GCCATGTTTGACCACCTCTCCTCCTTGTACCTTCATAGGAATTTTTTAAAAAATCATGAATTCATTGTCAAATTTAAGCTCTTCATTTTTACAAACCATGTATCTTTAAAAAAAAAAAAAAAAAAAAAGGATGGATTACATATGTTTGTCATCAATGTGTATTGTATGTTAACATGTATGGTTAATTTGTGAAATAAATATGTAAACTATTTAAGTCCACTGCTTCCTGTATTTTATTCATTTCAGAGACAGCTACAATATGAAAAAAACAAAAAATGGTGTATTTTTTCTGGCATAAATATACAGGAACAAAACCAAAATGCATTAACTTTTTCTTCATTCCTGTGTATGAAGCCATCTCGTGTGTTGTTATAATTTATCTTCTGCAATTTTTATATTTTCTCATGGCCCAGGTCAGCTGTCCATCTTCAAATTTAGTAGTACACTGAATTTTCGAGGAAGCTGTCCTACAGGTTTAACAAGGCTGTTAGATTCGACTAAAGGACTGGTGTAATTTCTTTTTCATCTAAGCATCTCTTCTCTTCAGGTAGTCACCATGCATAGTGCTATATCATGTATACTTTGGCATTTGTGAAAAGGTTAATAATTGCTAGAGCTAATGTGAAAGAATTGGGTATGGCATATTCTGTTCTTCTTCATAGTTGTTATTTGAGTACAGCAAAAATTATTATTTCACAATAAATTTTGGAATTTAAGATGCTGTAATTGAAAAGTTATCAAGGTTCATCACTGGAATAACTGGAGATATTTATCCACTCCTTCCATTCTTTTTTAACAACTTCAGTGTCCATCCAACATCAAATATCATGGGCAACAACTGAGCTAATTTGTTTCTGGGTGGACAACAATATCTGATTTCTAAAGATTTTCTTTTGTGCTGTGCTTTTCTTGGATATCTTGTTCCATTCCCAGAAACTTCAGAATTCACTGATGTTTCTGCTGTCAAGAATGTGAGGACAACACATTCTTTCCTCCATTTGTTTCCTCACATTTTAAACCACCATTAGAACTAAGTGGTCCATCACATAAGGGTCTAAATTCATAACAGCAAGAAGAAAAAACAAAGTGCTCTTATTTTTTTCTGGTATTATAGGAGTTCTAATATGCAGAGTTGTGCCACTTAAAAGCAGAAAGTCAAATAAATGACAGTAAAGCAAGAATGCAAACTCATTATTTTAGTAATAACAGTGTTTAAACTTAAAGATTCTTTTGATAAAAACAGGAGAATTCTTCTGAGGGAGCAGAAATTTCTTGTGTTACATGCAAGAGTTGAAAGAGATTAAGTAACTATACCAGAGGAAGAGCTAGTGTGCTGAAAACTTACATTTTTTCCAGCTTGGAATCTGACATTCTGTTTTTTCTTGGTATTTTGAATTAATCAGGGCCTTAGCACTGCTGTTCTATTTATTTGTATGCGTGTGCCTATAAATAAGGCTCATACCACTGTATTTGTGAAATGCGCCGCTGTTGCTTGACTGTTATTTTCAGTGTTCGCTAAATCATCCATGAGATTATGTCTAAACCATACTGTGATGTCAAGTTTAATGAGATGCCCACATTAATCTATATGGCAAGTTCTTAATTAACCTGACGGCACAGCATGGGTTGCTGTGTATGGTAAGTATCTGATAGAAGGAGAACCTTGTGTACCTGCTGTATGGTAGTAAGAAACACTCCAGATATACAAAAATAGTTGTATTGTATACAGCACTAACACAGTTGTACGTTACTCTTAGCTGCTTATTGCTGTTTTAAGTGTTTATTTAAACATTCTAGTAAAACTAAACTTTTTTTTTTTCCATACAGACATCTCTAGTTCTCTTACTGTGTCTTCTGAGGAAGGAAGAAGTGAAGGCTACAGCAGCAGCCTTCAGTTGCCCGATAGAGAAAAAACACTTGAATTTGAGTCTGAAAAACCAGTTTACTCCAGTCAAAGCAAGCAGAAAATGGAGGAGGGGGGCAGTGCACCTGTTTTCCTCAGACAGGTCTCAGATGTTGAAGTCTGGCAGGGAGATGTAGCTAGGCTGTCTGTTACTGTTACTGGAAGCCCCACACCCAAAATCCAGTGGTTTTTCAATGGTGTGAAGCTAACCCCCTCCACAGATCGTAAATTAGTGTTTGCTGGAAATGACCACAGCCTCATCCTCCCCTATGCAGGCATGCAGGATGAGGGCGAGTACACGTGCACAGCCAGCAATGTGCACGGTGAGGCCACGTGCAGTGCCCACCTCCACGTGCAGCAGCGGGCACAAGGGGCCCCTTGCTTTGCCAGGGTACCAGACAGTGTGCAGTGTGCACCAGGTTTCACCGCTGTCTTTGAGTACACTGTAGCTGGGCAGCCATGCCCTGATGTGGAGTGGTTCAAGGGGAACGAGCAACTTTTCTTGGATGCACGTTCTTTTGTGGCTCACCATCCTGATGGCTCGGGCTCCCTGACAGTGCAGGAGTGCACTGAGGAGGACACTGGGCTGTACGTTTGCCGAGCAGTGAATTCACTGGGTGAGGCTGTATGCTCTGCTGAGCTCCTTGTGCTGCCTGAGGAGCATCTTGTGTGCAATCAGAGTCCAGCCTTGCAGCACTCCATGGTGACAGAGGACCAAAGTCCTACGTCCTATGAGGAGGCCAGCGAGCTTCCCACTGCAGAAAGAGCCCTTAGCCTTGAGCCCATGAGGGAACCCCAGGCTCTCCTCCAGCTCCAGATGAGCCAGATGGAGCACATGCTGCCCAAGGAGGGCATATTACCTAGCCTGCCACCAACCTGCCTTGCTGTGCAGGGTGTTGAAGAAATGCTGACCCAGGCAGCCACAACGCAGGAGAACAACAAGCTTCTGGCGGAGCTGGTGCAGACCCTCCCTGGTGGCCCCCAAAGTGTTTCACCTGAAGTGGCAACTGAAACACCACTGCCAGGCTGCCTTGGAACTGTGGCTGCACAGATGTTCTTGCCCAAAGAGCAAGTCATCCCAGAGGAGTTAGAGCAAATGGCTGCTCTGAAGACAGAAGTTTCCCAAGCCTTTCAACAGGTATCAAGCACCACTGAGAGCTATGTCATGTATGGTGACCACTTTCAAGTCATAGAAGGCTTCCAGGCAATGCAAGGTGAGCTAAAGGCTGAACCTAGATTTCCCTCCGAATTGACGTGCACAGGGGGTCATGCTGTCCCCCTGGAGAACATTTCTGCCCTGGAAGCGGCAGAGGAAGATTTTGCTGCAAGAATCCGTGAGGGACAGGCTGTGAGATTTCCCTTACTACTAGAAGAAAACCAGCCTTTGGAGGAAGAACACGTTATCAATCTTGCTAGCCCACTTGAGCAGTATTCCAAGGTAGGAAGACAGCCCTGTGAAATGATGTATGCTAGCCAGTTCTGGACAAGCCAAGCCTTTACCAAAGAGAGCCAGCTCACTTATCAGGTTCCCAAGAGCTGTCACCTAGATATAAAGTCCCAGATCAGAGATGCACTAAAAGCTGCAGTGGTAAGTGAGCAAAACCTCTTGTTTTCAGAGTGGTTGGCTGATAAAGAAAGCATTGAAGTACAGGCACTAAAAATCACCAAAGAACATAAATATGCCTTGTGCACCTATGTTGTGACCACAGGAGGACTCAATCCCATTGAAATTCCAGTCTCTCTTGCAGAAGTCGACATTGAGATAGCTGACCAGAAAAAAGTATTAAAGGAGGCTTTCTATTCTCTTATTTATGAAGAAAAGCACCTCTTGACAGATGAAAAACCCGAAGCATTGCCAAGCCCTCCTCATTCACTTAACTCAGGAAAATCCATTGATGATGCTTCTGAGCTGGAGCCCCAGCAGGCTGAGAGAACTACAGAGGCAGAAATACCCTTGGAACAGCCTTTGTCTGCTGAAGTAGTCAACATTCTGATGGAACATGGCCAAATCAAGGATGTGGGGGCAGCGGCAGCCACTGCTGATGTAGCTCCTGCAGGCGTTCCTGTTGAGAAACCCGCAGAAATACTGAAAAGGAAGGAGAAAAGGGAAAAAATACATGAGGAGGAGGGCAGAGAGGGTCTGGAAACTAAAGGTGTGAATCTAGAGGATGAGCTGAGTAAAGAGAATTACCCTATCATACACAGGAAGCTGGTTAACACTATTGTGGAGGAAGGGGAGAGTGTCACTCTGGTGTCTGTCATAACAAATGTCAGGGAGGTGAATTGGTACTTTGACGGTAAACTGGTGTCTTCAGGCAACAAATTCAAGTGTTTGCAAGATCAAGACACATACAAATTAGTGATCAGCCAAGTGTGTGGGGAGATCCACCAAGGAGAGTACACTTGTGAGGCACTGAATCAAGGTGGAAAAAGAACAACAACAGCAAAGCTCACAGTTGTTAAAAGAGGTTGGATTATGGGGATAAAAGACCACCTTTCTAATACACTGCTCTGCTAAGGAAATTGCCCCATTATGTATCTGTATCTTTGGATACAGATACAATACTAATACAATCACAGCACTAATCAGAGGGTCTCCTTTCTCTCTTTATTCATGATTTTCTTTTACCACATTGTAGTCTCTCACTTCCACAGTATACAGCCAAGATCAGGATGAACTGCACTGAAGTCCTGAGCACTTCATTCCACTGTCACCCAGGAAGTGAATCTGCTCTTACGCTTCATCACTACTGCATCCAATCTTCAGATCATTGCCCTGTTTTGGCACAATTTCTTATTCACATTGTCACTTTGCATGGCTCCAAGATGGCGTGGTATATGTTTGAATTGCATTATTACTACATGTTGCTATTGCACATCACTTTTGTGGTTTCACCACTGTGTTTCCTGATGTTATTCTGCACCATTGCAATCTGTCCACTGAACATTGTACTACTTTCATTTCTTACAGATTTTTTTTTCCTTTATATCTTATATGGATTGCAAGATCACATGTTTTGTTTCAGTTAGTGCCTTCACTTACTTTTCACAGTTATAGTGGGCATGGCTTTGAATTAATCTCTGCTTCTGATTTCAGTTGCACCAATCCTGAGAAGAAGGCTTGAACCTCTGGAGGTGGCCGTAAACCACGTGGCCAAGTTTACCTGTGAAGTAGAAACTACTCCTAATGTCAAGTTCCAGTGGTACAAAGCTGGCCGAGAGATCTATGATGGGGACAAATACTCAATTCGCTCCTCCAACTACCTTTCCACGCTGGAGATCCCAAGGCCTCAGGTTGTTGACTGTGGAGAGTATAGCTGTAAGGCTTCCAACCAGCATGGCAGTGTAAGCTCCACAGCCTTTTTAACAGTAACTGGTAAGTAGAGTCCCAAGCACTTCTTTTTTTATTCAGTATCTTAAATATCTTGATATCTTGAAATGGTTATCCTGGTATACTCACAAACATTTACGGTAAGGCTCTTGATTGCTACTGTTATGTGTAATCCATACGTAATCTTGACAAGTAAAAGTGATTTTCAAAAATGCTCTTTTAGATGCTTTCTGTATCTAGAAAAGAGAACCAGTGTGAAAAGTTTCAGGAGAGAATACAAAGTGGCAAAAGAGTGGAAGGAACTAGCTTGTCAGTAGAATGGGATTGCTTTGTGATAACATTCTTGAAGGTTTATTTCACTTGCAGACAATGAGCAAACGTACGATTTTAAATCTGACTTCTTTGGTGTAGTAGGTAGTGTGATTATCCTTGTATCTTACATTTATCCTGCAGACATACTTGTGAGGCAGACTACGCAGCTGCACTTACCTGAACGTGGGTGCCGTTTCCAAGGCACCCGCACTCTGAGTGATGGGGGATAGGTCCTCTTAAACAAACAAAAGACAGTTCAACGGTGTTACAATTTGCAGAACTATTTTTTTTAATCTATTGATAACTCTGCAATTATCTTCTCTCTCTTTTTCTTTCTTTTTCTTTCTTTTTTTTTTTAAGCATCTTGCGGGCTTTTTTGGTTATTTTTTATTTTTATTTTTTTTCTTACTCTGACTTTTTGTGGGAAGAGTCTTTTTGATCTTTGCTAAGATGTCTTTGGTGGAGGGAATCATGTACAAATGTGTTATTTTTAGGAAAGGAATTTCTGGGTTTCAGTTTTATTTCCTTTAGTTTGTACATTGCTCCAGAGCTAAAATGCCTTTAAGCTCTGGAACATTGTATAGATCCAAGTACAAAACCAAAATCTTAAATTCATGATCTTTAATACCTCTTATCTCCTTCGCTGCTGACTTCTTTTGTTTAAGAGTGACTTGTGGCAAACTGCCCTTTCTGTTCTCTGTCCCCGGCAAATGAGGAGACAGCATAATCTGTTCCCCATCTCTGCATAACAGTGAACCCCTTTATTTTGCAGAAGCACTTCCACCAACGTTTCTTACCAGACCTGAATCTATCACCACTTTTGTGGGCAAAAGCGCCAAGTTCCTGTGTACCGTTTCGGGCACTCCAGTCATTGACGTCGCCTGGCAGAAAGACGGCACAGCCATTTCATCTTCGGACCACTACAAGATTTCCAAAGTAGAAAACAAGCACGTGTTAGAAATTTCCCTTCTCACCACCAGTGACAGGGGGATTTACACCTGCAAAGCTTCTAATAAGTTTGGGGCTGATGTTTGCCAGGCTGAAATGGTTATTATAGACAAGCCTCACTTTATTAAAGTTTTGCAATCAGTGCAGTCAGCAGTCAATAAGAAGATACGTCTTGAATGCCAGGTAGATGAAGATAGGAAAGTAAAAGTAGAGTGGACAAAAGATGGAAACAAAATCCCTCCTGGCAAAGATTATAAAATTTTCTTTGAAGACAAAATAGCCTCACTTGAAATTCCTCTGGCTAAACTCAAGGATTCCGGCCATTATGTATGCACCGTTTCAAATGAGGCAGGAAGCAGCTCCTCTTCGGCCAGTGTCACAGTCAGAGGTAAGATAGTCTTAGGTCCCACTTACCTTTCCCTTCTTCGGGTCCCGCTTTCTTTTTTTTGCAGGCAAATTCTTTTCTGAGGTGAAATAATGCTGTGAACTCCCCTCAGATCTTCCATCAGCTCCACTCATCTCTTGCTTTTTTCCCCAGCTGCCTTTCAATGCACTGTGCGTTGCTTCAGTATTTCTTTTGTTAAACACATCCAAGAGTTGCTCCTGCATGTGGGGGAGAGGCGGAGGGGGGGAAGGGCAAGAGAGACCACAAGAATTGCAGCTCAGCGTTTGTTGTGTTGATCTTTTTCTAAAGTCACATTTTGTTCTGGTGCTAGGAACCAGTCTTTGTATTTCAGGCTTCTTTTATTTTCTTTCCCCTTCTCTCCCTACCTTGTTTTTCCCCCGTCCTTCCCCCTCCTTCTCTCTTCTCCCTTCCTCTTCCCTTCGTCTTTTTTTTTTTTTTTTTTTTTACTTCCTATTTTTAGAACCACCATCCTTTGTGAAGAAGGTTGATCCATCTTATTTACTGACCCCGGGTGACTCTGCACGGCTTCAATGTAAAATCAAAGGGTCTCCTGAAATCCAGGTTTCTTGGTTCAAGGACAATAAGAAAATCCTTGAAAGCAATACACACAAGATGTCTTTTGTCAATTTTGTGGCTGTGTTAGACATCTGGGAGATGAAGGTTGATGACAGTGGAAGCTATTCATGTGAAGCCGTAAATGAGGTTGGAAGCGACAGCTGCACCACAGAAGTAGTTGTCAAAGGTCTGTTCTTCATGCTGCTGACAGTCACACTTGAGAACAATCTTCCTTTTATTTTGGCATGGGCAATTAATCATTTCTTGCTGCTTTTATAGAGCCTCCATCTTTCGTCCGAACACTTGAACCAGCAGAGGTAGTGAAGGGAACAAACACCGTTCTTCAGTGTGAGGTTGCTGGCACCGGACCATTTGAGATTAGCTGGTACAAAGACAAGAAACAGATCCGCAGTAGTAAAAAATACAGGTTGACCTCTCAGAAAGCGGTTGTTTCTCTGGAGGTGTCGTCTTTTAATAGTGCAGACGTTGGTGAATATGAATGCATCATAGCTAATGAAGTTGGAAAGTGCATATGCAGTGCAACATATATCTTGAAAGGTCAGTAGGAGAGAGAACACTCCGCTCACTGCAGGAACCTCTTATTTCTTAAAACGTCTTGTCTTTGGATTTCTGCGGGTGGGTGGAGAGGAGGGTATCTTCTCTTAAAACTCTGTGCATATCTTAACTCTTACCTGACATCAAACCTATGAATTTAAAGAACACTGGGCTTAAAGGGCTCTGCATTACTCTTCCAGCTGGGTAATGTAGCTCTTTCCTTCGCCTGCTCTTTAACTGAATTGTGTCATATACTGTGCGCATTGTCTCGTCTTGTGCAGCGGATTTCGTGGAATGATGTAGCAGATGAGTATTTCTTTTTATCTCTTTTCTTTGAACTAGAACCACCTTCTTTTGTTAAGAAAATTGAAAACGTGACAGCTCTGGCTGGAGACAATGTTACGTTACAGGCTGTGGTGAAAGGGTCAGAGCCTATTTCTGTGATGTGGATGAAAGGCAAAGACATTATTCAAGATGATAACAAAGTGAGAGTGGCATTTGAACACGGGCTAGCAACACTGCAAATTACTGGTGTCCAGCTGAGCTCTGGTGGCAAATACACTTGTGTGGCTGAGAACGATGCAGGAAGTCAGTCCTGTTTTGGTGAACTGGCAGTTAAAGGTCAGTGGAGGAGTGCCATTTCCTCTGCATTGTCTCCCGCCTAAGAAGAGCAATTTACTTTTGTCCTTAACGCTGATTGTTTAATTCTGTTGTAGAACCTGCCAAAATCATTGAAAAATCCGAAGTTATTCAGGTGACAGCAGGAGACCCAGCCATTTTGGAGTACACTGTCACAGGCACTCCAGAGCTAAAAACCAAATGGTTCAAAGACGGAAAGCCACTACCTGCCAGCAAAAAATACAGGATCAGCTTTAAAAATAATGTTGCCCAACTCAAGTTTTATGCTGCTGAAATGCAGGACAGTGGCGAGTACACCTTTGAAATATCCAATGATGTGGGAATCAGCTCTTATACTACCAGCTTTACTGTGCTAGGTTGGTACCGGCTCTGGCAAAGATCCCTGCTATTCTGCTCTGAGTCTAGCAGAGCGAGAAGTAGAACTGTATTTCTCTTTTGTTCATGTATTTCTTTCTTTCATGTTTTTTCATACCCAACAGATCGCACTCTCCCTCCCTTCTTTACTAAACCACTGAAGAACATTGACAGCATCATTAGCACCTCGTGCCGTCTAGACTGCAAAATTTCTGGCTCTCTTCCAATGACTGTCTCTTGGTTTAAGCAGGACACTGAGATCACTACAAGCGCGAAGTACACAATACACTTTGCAGAAGGCTCTGCATCTTTGGAAATAAAACACCTAGATGCAAGTGATGCTGGAGTTTATATTTGCAGAGCCACAAACTCTGCTGGTAGCAAAGACAGCAGTAGTACTTTGTTTATAAAAGGTTTGGAAATTTGTTTCAAAATTCTTGCATTTTTTTTTCTTTTTGTGAGATAATGATTTTCTTCCCCAGAATGCAGGATGTTTATCTTATTCTTGGCAATTGTTTCCTTTCAATGCAATCTAGAGCCACCCAGCTTCATTGCAGAACCAGAGTCCCAGAATGTACTGCCTGCATCGACTGTGCGTTTCAAGGGCACATTTAAAGGCACTACACCGCTGACAGTGAAATGGTTTAAAGGTGATACTGAGCTGATGACTGGAGGAGCCTGCTACATTATGACAGAGGCATTAGCAAGTTACTTAGAGCTTTACGCAGTCAAACCAAATGACTCAGGAAAATACATCTGCAAAGTCTCCAATGTAGCTGGCTCAGTAACATCCACTGCAAAGTTGTTTGTAAAAGGTTTGCATTCCTACTGTCTTTTTGTCTTTCAGTGGCACTTTTTGCTGCCTTCTTGTTACTGAACGTTTTTCTTAAACCCACAGAACCTGCTGCTTTTACGGAGAAACTAGAGCCAGCTCACCTGGTGAAGAAAGGTGGATATGCTGAACTGACCTGTAAAGTCACTGGTACTCCTGAGATTAAAATCACATGGTTCAAGGATGACAGGGAGCTAAAAGAGAGTGACAAATTTAGGATGTCTTTCACAAAATCTTTGGCAGTACTTCATCTTACAGACGTTGAGACTGAAGACAGTGGGGAATATATTTGTGAGGCCAGAAATGATGCTGGGAAAGATACTTGCAGTACCATTGTTACAGTCAAAGGTGTGTGTGACTTCCAGCAACTCAACCAGTTTGTCTGTTCAAATTCTGTGCAGCTCTACAAGTTTCCAGAGTGTGATTAATATAAACTGCTCTTTCTCTCTTTTGCACTATAGAGTCACCTTATTTTAGAAAGGAGTTTCAATCCATGGAAGTCTTGAAGGATTCTGATGTGGTTTTGGAGTGTGAGGTGCTTGGTACACCTCCCTTTGAAGTGTTTTGGGTGAAGGATGATAAGCCTGTGCGGAGCAGTAAGAAGCATAGAATAAGCACTGAGAAATCTTTGATTAGCCTCCATGTCTTCAGGTTTGATGCGTCTGATGTTGGTGAATATCAGTGTAGAGTAACAAATGATGTGGGAAGCTGTTTCTGCAGTTCAGAGGTCACACTGAAAGGTTAGTGCAAGGTGGAAAACTCCACTAAGCGTGATTTTGTGCCAGTGTGGTTTCCATGCCACACAAGCATGAACCAGGCCTGTACTTACTTAGTCACTTTCTTCCTGCTAGAGCCTCCCCAGTTTTTGAAGAGGATAGAAAACATTAGTTCCCTTCGAGGGGGCACAGTCGTGTTTCAGGCTGCTGTTAAAGGCTCCTTGCCCATCACTGTGTCCTGGCTGAAAGACAGTGATGAAGTTATTGAAGACAGTAATATCAAAATGACCTTTGTGAACAATATTGCCACTCTTCTGGTGAAGTCTATTGAACTGAAACATGATGGAAAATATTTCTGCCAGGCTAAAAATGAGGCAGGAATTCAGAGGTGCTCTGCTCTGCTGACTGTCAAAGGTTGGTCCTACTCTGAATTGCAGTGACCTCAGTTTTTTTTCCAGTGTTGTTTTTACAGGTTACCTTAACACTCTGTCTTTCTGTTTAAAATAGAGCCTGCTACAATCGTGGATAAGGCTGTGTCAATAGATGTGACTGAGGGAGACCCAGCAACCTTGCAATGTAAATTTTCTGGAACAAAAGATATTACAGCCAAATGGTTCAAAGATGGCAAGGAATTGACTTTAGGCCCAAAATATAAGATCAGTGTTACAGATACTGTCTCAGTCTTAAAGGTACTTCATGCGGAAAAGAAAGATAGTGGGGAATATGTATTTGAGGTTCACAACGATGTTGGAAGAAGTAGCTGTTCTGCCAGCATCAATGTCCTAGGTGTGTATGACCTCTTTTAGTATTGGTTTTGTTTACTTTCTCTTATTCTGAGTTGACATCTACCACAGCCATGGTTGAATTTCGTACTTTGTCTTTTTACTCTGTCTTGGATAGATCTCATTATACCACCTAAATTCACCAAAAAGCTCAAGAAAATGGACAGCATTAAGGGATCTTTTGTCCACTTGGAATGTATAGTGTCTGGTTCTCATCCTATAAGTATCCAGTGGTACAAGGATGGTCAAGAAATAACAACAAGTGAAAAGCACAAATACTCTTTCCATGATAATACTGCCTTTCTGGAAATCAATAAACTCGAAGGCACAGACAGTGGCTCTTACACTTGTGAAGCAACAAATAAAGCAGGAAGCAACCAATGCAGTGGGTTCTTAACCGTCAAAGGTTTGAGCTCCTTCTTTTCTTTATTAGGTCTCTAATTCATAGTTTGGGAACTTTCCTAGAAGAAAGTAATCCTCTTTCTTTTTTTTTTCCTCCCATGTTATAGAGCCACCATATTTTGTGGAAAAGCCTCAGTCCCAAGAAGTTGTGCCCCATGCTAGGGTTCAGTTCAAAGCATTGGTGAAAGGCTCTACTCCTCTGCAGATAAAGTGGTTTAAAGACAGCCAGGAGCTCCTTTCTGGAGCCAATCGTTCTGTCTGGATGGATGACACATCTAGTGTGCTGGAGCTCTTCTCAGCTAGGATGTCTGACTCTGGAAACTACACTTGTCAGATAAGCAATGATGTGGGGACTGCAACATGTAAAGCAACTTTGTTTGTAAAAGGTGTGCAGCTCAGTGTTATTCACATCTTTGTTGTTCTGTTTTTTCTGTACAAATGAGGGGGAGGAGACAGGAAACACTTTTTGGAAAAGTTATTTCCAAAAACTGAATGTTATGAAACCTCACTTTTTTTGTCTGTCTTCTAGAGCCCCCCAGGTTTATTCAGATGCCAACTCCTGTAGTAGCTTTGCGTGAAGGACAGTCCACTACTTTTGAGTGCCATGTAGTAGGAACACCAGAGATACGTGTCACGTGGTACTTGGATGGGAATGAAATGACTGATGAAGCTAAGTACGGCATCTCTTTCATTGATGGTCTAGCCACTTTGAAAGTCACTCAAGCCAGAGTGTCAGATAGTGGGATTTATGTTTGTGAAGCCCACAACGATGCAGGTAGTGAGAGCTGCAGCATCGAGTTGAAAGTAAAAGGTTGGTTTTGAAAATTTTGTCATCATCCAACTGTGCCACATAACTAGAGTGATGAAATGGGGGAGACCATTACTCCCCTCATAATTACCAAGGTTACTATCCACTTTCCCTTTATTCCTCTTTATAGAGCCTCCAACATTTGTTCGAGAGTTGAGACCTACTGAGGTAGTAAAGGGTTTGGATGCCATGCTCGAGTGTGAGGTGACTGGTACTCCTCCATTTGAGGTGAAATGGCTGAAGAATAATAAGGAGATGTTCAGCAGCAAGAAATATGCTATCTCCACCAAAGAATCAATATTTACTCTTAATGTGACCAACTGTGACACCTCAGATGTAGGTGAATATCAGTGCATTATATCAAACGAAGTTGGAAGCTGTTCTTGTAGCACAAGGCTCAGCTTGAAAGGTCAGTCTCCTGAAAAGTACCCCAAAGATTACTGCCACTAGCTGAAGTACAGTGACTAAGATGACCTTATGTGATCTCTCCTTTATTCCCTTTCCATGACTTACCCTTCTACGCAATAAAACCTCACACCACAGAACCAGCATCCTTTGTCAAGAAACTGGAGAATGTCACTACTGTTTTGAAAGGCTCCGCATCCTTCCAGTGTGTCGTAGCAGGTGCTCAACCCTTATTTGTGTCATGGATAAAGGATGAGAAGATACTGGAAGATGATGAACACCACCACATTACCTTTGAGAATAATGTGGCCACATTGAAACTTACCAATGTCGACCTCAGCCACAGGGGGAGATATACCTGCCAGGCAAAGAATGAATCTGGAGTGGAGAAATGCTTTGCTTTGCTTTTTGTGCAAGGTGTGTAGCTGCACCCCTTCAAGCTCATCCTTGAAAATCAGTCACTTTTCAGTGTCACTAACAACCATTTTTGTACCACATTTGTATTTTGTACTTGTATCACAGAGCCTGCACGGATTATAGAAAAGGCTAAATCACTTAAAGTTACTGAAAGAGACCCTGTGACTTTGGAATGTACTGTGGAGGGGACACCAGAGCTCCGAATAAAATGGTACAAAGATGGCAGACAGCTTCTACCCAGTAGATATTACACAATGAGCTTTGAAAACAATGTGGCCAGTTTCAGGATTGAACCTGTATCAAAGGAAGATAGTGGTACATACAGTTTTAAGGTTGAAAATGACTTCGGAAGTAGCACCTGCGAAGCTATTCTGACTGTGCTAGGTTTGTATTGTCATTTGGCAAATTTGCCAATCTAACAAGAAGAGAGTGAAAAAAAAATAAAAAAAAAGTAGATTGTGAAAGATAAGCAGTAAAGTAACCAGTGCATTTTTGCCATGTTTTGTGTTGTACAGATCAAGCAATTCCTCCCTTATTTATCAAAAAGCTAACCAAAAAGGATACGGTTCTGGGATCTTCTATTCAGATGGAGTGCAAAGTCTCTGGATCACTTCCCATTTCTGCCAAATGGTTCAAGGATGGGAAAGAAATAACTGACAGTGCAAAATATAGAAGCCTGTGCCACGAGAACACCATGTCACTTGAGATTGCTAATCTAGAGCTGACAGACACTGCAAATTACACATGTAATGTCTCTAACATTGCCGGAAGTGATTCTTGCAGTGCTGTCCTGACAGTGAAAGGTTTGAAACTCTTTGACTACTTTTTTTTTCTTGAGAAAAACCTGTAAATCTTATGCTAATGTAGCACTCTTATACCTCTTAATGTTGGAAACTTGGTCTCCATTTTCTTGCTGGGATCTTTAACCTCTTATGCATTCAGTGCCTCTGCTTAACTTACTCATTTTCTTCATTCTTAGGCATTCTTGATATAACTTAACGTTTCTTTTTCTTAAAAACTGCAGAGCCACCAAGCTTCTTAGTAAAACCTGAAAGCCAGCAAGCCATCCCAGATTCCACGGTGGAATTTAAGGCCACACTAAAAGGAACACCACCATTTACAGTAAAGTGGTTCAAAGAGGATTTAGAACTTGTATCTGGTCCAACTTGTTTCATTGGGATTGAAGGGTCAACTGGGTTCTTAACCCTCTATTCAGTGGATTCTTCTAGGAGTGGGCACTACACTTGCCATATTTCAAATGATGTTGGCAGTGACTCTTGCACTACAATGTTGATGGTAACAGGTGTGCACATTTTCTTGCTGTTTTGAAGTCTTTCTGTCTATTTCTTTGCTTTTCTTTCTGCCATGCCCACCTTAGTGATCTTTGATACCTTGCCAAGTGAATTCCCTGCTCTGCATTTGCAACCCGTGCTTGTTTGACTTGCTCTTTTCCATCCTCTTTCTTTTCCAGTATTCAGACCTTTCTGACTCCACTTTTTTGGTTTTTTAGAACCACCCAAGTTTGCTAAGAAGCTAGAGGCAACAAAAATAGTAAAACAGGGTGACTCAGCCCGGCTTGAGTGCAAAGTAAGTGGATCTCCAGAAATGAAAGTAGTGTGGTTCAGAAACGACCATGAAATTGTTGCCAGTGAAAAATTCCGGACCTCATTCATCGACTCTATGGCTGTACTTGAAATGAATCATCTCAGTACAGACGAGAGTGGTGACTACATCTGTGAAGCTCAGAACCCTGCCGGCAAGGCCAGCTGCAGTACCAAAGTCACAGTGAAAGGTTAGCTGTCGTCTTCTTCCCTGAGTACATCCTATTTTTCCCTAGTGGTTCCCCCTCCCCCCCCGCCCCCTTGAAATCCACAAAAACATTAGATTCACTTCTAATTTCAGGCAGTACCTTTTTCTTCATGTTTTTTTGTTTTTTTGGTTTTTTTTCTTAATATCTCCTCACCTCTTCTTCCACAGTTTGAGGAAGAGTTATTTGTAATGCAGATGTGTACTAGACTAGGTGTTCCCCATGACTACCAAGTCTCCCCAAGGCCCAAGACAGGTAGATCTGCTATACTATGGAGCTGCAATATGAATTATGAAGAACAGATCCAAACTAATCAGTGTCAGTTTTACACCCTCTAGTACAGACTATGAGACCTATACCCTCTCTGTCAAAGATCACACCTCTATTTTTTACCTTTTCTACAAAGGAGCTCAGAGCTCTGAAAGCTCACCTGCCTTTCATGATGTGCCCAGAAAATTGAGTGAAGTCGTCGTACTTCTGTTGGTTGTCCCAGCAGTCTTGATGTGGAAGAGCTTATATAAATAAACTGTTGATCAAAGATTTCTATACTCCTTTCTAAAAATGATCCTTTCTTCCCTTGGTAGAACCTCCTGTGTTCAGCAGGAAGCCCTCTCCAGTAGACATGCTCAGAGGAACTGAGGTTAGCCTGGAATGTGAGATTTCAGGAACACCACCATTTGACGTTACCTGGTACAAAGACAAGAGACAGATCCGCAGTAGTAAGAAGTATAAGGTTACAGCAAAGAACTACCATACAAGCATTCGCATTCTTAATGTTGAAGTTGCAGATGTTGGTGAATATCAATGCAAAGCTCAGAACGACGTAGGAAGTGACACTTGCTTTTGCACGATGAAGCTGAAAGGTAAGATATTGGCCTTCTGTAGTGCTCCCAATGGCACCGCATTGCTCCTCTTTTTTGTAGACACTGTATTTACTACAACTGCATGTTTCTTGTCCAGAACCGCCGAAATTCGTGACAAAAATAAACAGCGTGACTGTTGTGGTTGGTGAACCAGTGGAGTTACAAGCAAGAGTGGAGGGCTCCCAGCCGATTTCTGTGCAGTGGCTTAAAGACAAGGAAGAAATTATTAGAGAAAGCGAAAACACAAAGATCACATTTATGGAAAATATTGCAACTTTACAGCTTGTACACACAGAAACAAGCAGTGCTGGGAAATATATCTGCCAGATCAGAAATGATGCTGGAAGTCGCGAGTGTATGGCTACCTTAACTATCCTAGGTTTGTAAAAAGCACAAATTTATAGAACATCTTCGTTAAGTTAGAAACTTGGTAATTTAGTATCAGATGCATCCTTTGCTTATGCTGCTGAATTCAAAACAGGCAAAACAGAGAATCCTGTGTCTCCAGTAAATATTAGCTGGGTTGCTTTTTTCCAGTTGCCCAAGGATAGAAGTGAAAGGAACTACAGGCCTCTTCACTGTGATGTTCGGTTGTCTGTATTCCTAAGCCATGTCTTCTGCTCATGCATGCTTGAAGAAAGACAGATAGTTGCGTTTATCTTCCAGAAGTTTCAAAATACTTGTTCTCCGTGTTGGAGAACATCTGAAATATCTAGTTTAGAGTGGGTTAAAAGATGGAAAAACAGAGTTGAAAATATTTCCCAACCCAACAAACTGAGACAACCTTAGTATCAAACATATAAGCCCTGAATTCAGTGTAATAATACTTGCAGATATTACTATTGATATCCAGTTTTCACTACACGTGTTAATTGTCTCTCCTTCCAGAGCCTGCAGTCATTGTAGAGAAGGCAGAGCCAATGAGGGTTACTATAGGAGATGCCTGTACTTTGGAGTGCAAAGTGGCAGGCACACCAGAACTATCCACTGGGTGGTTTAAGGATGGCAAAGAACTGACCAGCAGCCAAAAATACAGAATTACTTTTGTCAACAAAGTATCTACACTTAAAATTATGGACACAGAGAAAGAAGATGGTGGATTGTACACTTTTGCAGTGCAAAATGATGTGGGGAAAAGCAGTTGCACGGCATCGGTTGAAGTTTTAGGTTGGTTGTGTAGTTTGTCTTCTATCTTTTACTAAAACTTTCTTTTATTCGCATATTCTTTTCTTGATTCCATTCCTTTCCTCCTTTTCTTTCTAACAATGGATTTATTATATTTTTTTTATGCAGATCGAATAATTCCTCCTTCTTTCACAAGAAAGCTAAAGGAAACCCCTGGTGTCCTGGGTTCCTCAGCACTTCTTGAATGCAAAGTGGCGGGTTCACCTCCTATATCTATTGACTGGTTCCAAAATGGAATGAAGTTAGTTAGTGGGGAAAAACATAATATCACATTTACTGATAACCTGTGTATTTTAGAAGTGAATTCACTGAGCAATTCAGATACTGGAACTTACACCTGCAAAGCTACCAATGTAGCTGGTTCAGATGAATGCAGTGCTGTATTGACTGTCCAAGGTCAGTATATGATGGTCAGCAAGCTCTCTGAGCTAATCTTTTCTCTTTCTTTCTTAAAATTGCCTCTGGTCTTTTGTAAGCATATTGAGAGATATTACTGACTAGAAAGTAAAGGTTTTCTTCTTTAACTTCAGTAGGTATGTGGAAATGCTGGGGTTATGCTGTACCAACTGCCTTATCTCTCTTTTTCTCTTATATGTTTAGAACCACCATCTTTTGAGAGGACACCTGAGCCTTTGGATGTCTTGCCAGGCACAAGCGTAACTTTTACAGGTGTTATCAGAGGAACTCCTCCTTTTAAGGTGAACTGGTTTAGAGGAGCCAGTGAGCTTGTGCCAGGAGACAGATGCAATATTTACTTAGAGGACTCTGTTGTGGAGCTTGAGTTATTTGATGTAACCCCTCTCCAAAGCGGAGAATACACTTGTCTAGTGACTAATGAAGCTGGCAGGGCAAATTGTACAACACATCTTACAGTAAAAGGTTCGTAAATATTGCATTTCTTTGTATGCCCTAAAATACTGTTTCTTTCTTTCCATTTGTAACTGCTATGCTCAACGCTTCTGAATTCTTACCCTTCATTAGAACCGGCTGTTTTTGTGAAGAAACTGAGTGATCAATATGTGGAACCTGGTAAGCCCATCATCCTGGAGGGCACATACACGGGCAGCTTGCCCATCTCTGTGACATGGAAGAAGAATGGCCACACACTCGCTCAGTCTCACAAATGCAGCATCACTACCACAGAGAAATCCTGTATCCTGGAGATCCTTGACAGCACGAAAGAGGATGCAGGAGAATACACCTGCCATGTTGAAAATGAGGCAGGAAGAGATGTTTGTGAAGCTGTAGTATCTACTCTAGGTGTGTTCTTCCTTTTCTTCTTTTTCTTGCCTATTCTTTGAAGTATGTGCTTTCAAAAGCCTGGCACTATATAATGAGCCTATCTCATTGCTTCTCTTTTTAGAACCTCCCTATTTTGTTACACACATGGAACCTCTTGAGGTGTCAGTTGGGGATTATACAACATTGCAATGTCATGTTGCTGGAACCCCAGAAATTATTGTGTCTTGGTACAAAGGTGATACAAAACTCAGGTCTACTCCTGAGTACAAAGTGTTCTTTAAAGACAACATTGCTTCCCTCACTTTCAACAAAGTGGCTATCAATGACAGCGGCGAATATATCTGCAAGGCAGAAAACAGTGTAGGAACTGCATCTACAAAGGCTCTCTTAACAGTTCAAGGTGATGATTTTGTTCCAAATGCTTCTTTACTGTACTTCTTCTCTTGCAAAATTATATAAAAAATTGCTTCTTGGCATACATTTATCTTTTACTTGTTTTCTTCCAGAACGCAAACGACCACCTTCCTTTGCAAGAAGATTAAAAGACATCGAACACCCTGTTGGTTTACCCCTTAAACTTATGTGTCGACTCAATGGCTCAGAACCCATCACTGTGACTTGGCATAAAGATGGTGTGCAATTAAGTGATGACCACAGTGTGCACATGTCTTTTGTAGATAATGTTGCAGTGTTGCAACTGGTGCAAACAGAGATGAATCACACTGGGCAATACACCTGCACAGCCACTAATGCTGTGGGCACTGCCAACACAAGTGCTAGGCTTACAGTGACAGGTGTGTTGGCTTATAAAACTTTTGCCTGGATCACAGGTGCCTCCTTCCCATTTTATGTATGGAATGGTATCTGTGTTTTGGATTAACTTTTCTATGAGCTGTATGAGCATTATATTGTTTTTTTTGTGTGTGTGTTTCTAGAACCCAAGCAAGCACCTGTCTTTGATACTAAGCCAGAATCTATTGATGTGCCTTTTGGAGAAAGTGCTGATTTTGAATGCCATGTTACTGGAGCCCAGCCAATACAAATCACCTGGTCCAAGGATGGTCGGGAGATCCGAACTGGAGGAAACTTCAATATCACTTTTGTAGCAAACACAGCTCATCTTCGAGTGCTCAGAGTGGGTAAAGGAGACTCTGGCCAATATGCTTGCCAGGCTAGTAATGAAGCTGGGAAAGACTTTTGCTCAGCCCAACTCACTGTGAAAGGTATTTGTGATTAAGCCAACTTTGTTTGCATGTTCTCTTTCTCTTGGGTATAGAGGCCTCTTTATTAGTGAGCCTCATCTTCCACCCTTTTCAGCTTGGAAATACATAGAAGTGAGCTTTTCAGAAAGCAGACATGCCATGAGATGACTCTGCTGCTCTCATACTGTGTGCCAATAGAAAATTTGTGTACCTGCCAATTCTCCAAAGGGACAAATCTCTTTGCAAAGCTCTTTGTTGGTATGGAGAGCTGCACGTGATAATATCCTACTTCTTCATTAGTGCTTAAATTACACTTACAGGGGTATTCATGCGTAGTGATTATTCTATGGTAAAATACAACTATCTTGCATATTTCAGTTAGAGTTGTTAATTACTGATTTAACCTGGACTATAAGTTACTTAAGTTCTTCATGCAGAAATATGCCTTAAAGATATGCAAGCAAGTGCCACTGTACCTACCATTTTTGATGCTTCTGGGGTAGGATCCTGGGGGAGATGGGCTTGTCACTACATTTGTGCTGCTCTTGGAATATTTTCACCCCACAAAGGTAACTTCAAAATTTCTCTTGAGTGGAACAATCGTCGTTCAAGTGTCTTTTACACCTCCAGAGTGGGCGAAACCGAGTTTTGGTTCTTTTTGCCATCTTTAATCCTTCTTACATCTTTCCTTCTTTGTTGCACTCCAGTGCTCTTGTGCTCCCTGTGACTTTTGCTCAGCATTGTAGATTTCATGTGGCAAATGCGTGCTGTCATTCTCTACATACTTTTTTTCTGCAGAACCTCCCAAGTTCATCAAGAAGCCTGAAGCTTTGCAGTTTGTGAGGCAGGGAGACACGGTTCAACTTGAATGTAAAATCACTGGCACACCAGAGATCAAGATCACGTGGTACAAGAATGATCAGGCACTCCAGGCGAGCAACAGGCTCCACATGTCCTTTGTAGAGTCTACAGCAGTGCTAACTATCTTGGATGCCAGCGCTGAGGATGCCGGTGATTATATATGTGAAGCCCAAAACTCTGCCGGCGCTGCCAGCTGTAGCACTTCAGTATCCGTTAAAGGTCAGCAGCATGGCTCCACACACCACCGCAATCCTGATCCCACTTTCAGCTGCACACCGAGGCAGGGAGCTGCCACCGTGGTAGTTTTGGCTGCTGGGGCAGTGTCTCCAGCTGCTCTCACATTTGAACAGAGATGTGATATAGGCAACAGAAAGTAGGCAGAAAGTGGTAGTGGGTGTTGAACGCTGTGTAGCCACTCCCTTGCCCCTCCCCATTTAAGTCAATTGCAAGCTGAATAAGGCAAGGTTGCCAGCTCAGAAGAGAAGCATGGAATAGCTGGAGCACCAGCCATGGTGAGAGAGCTGGACACGCTTTGCAGCCATCTCTCTGCCTCCTTTTCATATACGTTGATTCAGACAGGAGTGAAATCTAGTAAGAGGAGGGCTTTTGCACTGAACCTAATTGATTGTAACTTTCATAATTGGAAAGAGATGGGGAAAGCTGGAATATGGTCCTGGAGAGAGGGGAGAATGACTCTGGGGGAGGGATCTGTGCTCTGATTCCAGATACAGAAGTGCCATATTGGCCTTGAGACTCTGAGTGCTTGGGATGAATTCCTGGAAAGATGTGCTCAGCATTTTTTAGAGGAGAGGCCATGTATTTGGAGACTAAATAGAAGAAGTACAGGCCTCCTTCCTGAATAAGTTGCCTTTTGATACTATCCAGAAACTTACCCAGGGAAGCAGTCTCACACTTTATGATGTGATTCTTTTTTTTATAGAACCGCCTGTTTTTAGCAAGGTGCCGAGCCCTGTGGACACACTTAAAGGCTCGGATGTTATCCTCCAGTGTGAGATAGCAGGGACTCCACCCTTTGAGGTGGCTTGGTTCAAGGACCGGAGGCAGGTTCGGAGCAGCAAGAAGTTCAAGGTAACAGCAAAGCACTCCATTGCCAGCCTTCACATACTCAGCCTGGAATCTCAAGATACTGGAGAATATCAGTGCAAGGCAATGAATGAAGTGGGGAGTGACACTTGTACCTGCCCAGTGAAATTCAAAGGTTTGTATGCTAAAGGATCAACAATACCAATGCCTTCTTTTCTTGATCTCCTGGCTGCATCTCTTTCAAGCACGCATGTGTGATTAATCTCCTCTGCCTCATTCTTACCATCAGAGCCCCCACGCTTCACCAAGAAGCTGAGTGACACTGCAATCTTCGTTGGAGAGCCAACAGCCCTGCAGGCAGTGGTGGAAGGGTCCCCACCAATTTCTGTTGTATGGCTGAAAGACAAGGGTGAAGTTATTAGGGAGAGTGAAAATGTCCAAATGTGGTTTATGGACAATATTGCAACTCTTGAGATTGCCAGTGCTGAGGGAGCGGATGTTGGAAAGTACATCTGTCAGATTAAAAATGACGCTGGCATGAGGGAGTGCTCTGCATTTTTACAAGTCCTAGGTGGGTATAGCCTGCTCCACAGGTACCATATCTTGTGGCTTGCAGTTTCCTCTACCACCTTTATTTGCTTCTTTTATCCTCTGCTTAGTGGTTTGCAGGTGAATTTCCTGATGATGCATTTTCCCTTTCCTTCCTGTTTCAGAACCAGCAGTCATCTTAGAGAAGACTGAGCCGATCACAGTGATGGCAGGCAACCCTTTTACCCTGGAGTGCAGAGTAGGGGGGACGCCTGAACTTATCACCAAGTGGTATAAAGACGGCAGAGAGCTGAGGAGTGACCGCAAATACCAGATTACCTTTTTCAACAATGTATCTACTTTGAAAGTCTTTTCTGCAGAGAAGAGTGACAGGGGCTTGTATACTTTTGAGGTGCACAATGAGGTGGGGGACAGCAGCTGCACTTCTTCAGTTGATGTTTCAGGTCAGCTCTCTATCTTTTTAAAGACAGGAGTTTTGGGTGGTTTTATTTTTTTCATTTTCCACTGAAAAAAAAAACAACCGACGTGCACTTTTCTTATTCTTCTTCTGCACTGTCTTACTTAGATCGCCTTGTTCCTCCTTCATTCTCAAGAAAATTAAAGGAAACAAATGGGGTGCTGGGATCCTCAGTGCTGCTGGAGTGCAAAGTGTCTGGCACGTCCCCCATGTCTGTGGCCTGGTTTCAGGATGGGAATGAGATTGTTGGTGGGGAAAAATACGAAATCTCATTCTTGGATAACATTTGTGCTTTGAAGCTGAATGCCCTGGATGTCACAGATACAGGGCCATATACTTGTGTGGCAACTAATGTGGCTGGATCTGATGAATGCAGTGCCTTCTTGACTGTACAAGGTCAGTGGAAGGGTATCACATACCCTTCTACAAAACGCTTCTTCCCTCTTTATACCATATCTCTTATTTCGTGTATTTTTTTCTGGTTTCTCCCTTGCACTCTCTTTATTTTAAACCTGTTTTAGATTTCATCCCCAACAGGAAATCTCCTATTAATATCTTTCTCCCTCTTCACTTCTTTGTGTGACCTTAGAACCACCTTCTTTTGTGAAGACACCTGATCCCCAGGAAGTTTTGCCTGGATCAAGTGTGACATTCACTAGCCATATCAAGGGCAGCACGCCCTTCAAAGTCACCTGGTTCCGAGGCATCAGGGAGCTGGTGCCAGACAGCACCTGCTCCATTTCTCTGGATGAGTCTAAGGCACAACTGCAGCTGTTCAACGTGGAGCCAGGGAGCAGTGGGGACTATGCCTGTGTTGTCACAAATGATGCTGGCAGTGCCTCTTGCACAACTCAACTCTTTGTGAAAGGTGTGTGTTTTGTCTATGCATAGATGTGTCTCTGCAGCACTGCCACACTTGTCCCTCACCTTATTGACCTGTGCCTCCACACAGAGCCTGCAGTCTTCATGAAGAAGTTAAGTGATTTCAGTGTAGAACAAGGAAAGTCCATTGTTTTGGAAAGTATCTACACGGGTACCCCTCCCATCTCTGTTACCTGGAAAAGAAATGGCATGCCAATAGCTCAGTCTCAACGCTGCAGTGTTACAACTACTGACAAATCTGGCATTCTTGAAATCTTCAACAGCACCAAGAGTGATGAAGGCGAATATACCTGTGAGGTGTCAAATGAAGCGGGTGGGGATATTTGTCACAGCCTTGTATCTATCTTAGGTACGCACCACCCTTGATCCCCTAGGGTACCCCAGTGATGCTCTGCCTCTACTCACTATGCTCTTTCCTCTCTAGAACCACCCTATTTCATCACACACCTGGACCGTGTGGAGGTGAAGATTGGCGAGCCCTTGGTCTTAAAATGCCAGATTGGTGGCGCACCAGAAATCAAGGTGTCTTGGTACAAAGAAGACACCAAACTCAGATCAACACAGGCTTACAAAATGCACTTCAAGAATAACGTGGCCACGCTGGCATTTTCCACCGTGGAGGACAGTGACATTGGAGAATATACCTGCAAAGCAGAAAACAGTGTTGGCTTTGCTACTACCACAGCTTTGCTTGTTGTTAAAGGTGATGGGCCCAAGGCCACTCTTTGCTGGGGTATTTTGTAGAAACTCTTTGTTGTCTACAAAAAGGGGTGCTTACTGGATTCTGCATGTTAAGTAATTCTAGGTTAACAGGATAGCTTCCTACTTATGGTGATGATTATTATTGTCTTGCAGAACGTCAACTTCCACCTACATTTGCCAGGAAACTGAAAGATATTCAGGAAACTGTTGGTGCTCCAGTGACTTTTGATTGCCGTATAAATGGCTCAGAGCCTATCCAGGTCTCTTGGTACAAGGATGGGGTTCTCTTAAGTGACAGCGATAATGTGCAGTCAACCTTCTTAAATAATGTTGCAACTCTTCAGATCTTGCAAACTAATATGGCTTACTGTGGTCAATACACTTGCTCAGCCCAAAATGCCCTGGGAACTGCATCTTCCAGTGCTAAGCTTCTCCTTACAGGTTTGTATCTTGCTCTTAAACAGAGATACTTTGTATCTATTTCCTCTTCTATTTTTTCACTCTTTCTGGCACTCTACTCATTGTATGGTGGTAAGGGAGTATGGGCATGGTGTCATGAGTTGTGTGGTAAAGTTTGATGGTGAGATCTGCCATGCCTTCCTCTTTGCAGAACATCTACAACCACCCTTCTTTGACATCAAGCCAGTATCTATTGATGTGGCACTAGGGGAAAGGGCAACCTTTAAGTGCCATGTGACTGGCTCCGCACCCATGAGGATTGTGTGGACCAGAGACAACAGAGAGATCCGCCCAGGTGGCAACTACAAGATGATGCTGGTGGAAAACACGGCCAGCTTGGTGGTCCTAAAAGTGGGTAAAGGAGATGCTGGACTCTACACCTGTACTGCCAGCAACAGTGTTGGAAAGGATGCATGCGCCGCTCAGCTGGCTGTACAAGGTACTGCTTGGAGCTCTACTGTTCAGCAGACTTTGATTTGCGAAGTAGACACCCTGAATAGTCCATATGTGAGACTAACAATCTTTTCAAGAGGGTACAGTGAAATTTGTTATTTCATGTAAATACTATTTTAATATTTAAATGCTTATCCATCTTCCTTTTGGTCTGATACAGTGAGTCCTACTAGAGGAATTCTCTCACTGAAATGTTAAAATTTACTTAATACCACGTTGTGCCTTTATGAATGATCCCATCAGCCAGCAAAAGCTGTCTGCCTTAAAGTCTTTCTGTAGAAATGTCATTCACTAACTGATCTAGAAGAGGGAACGGTAGCTGGAAGAAGCAGATTATCCTAAGAGACTTAAACGTGTTTTTTGTGTGTTCAGTTCCTGCAAATATTTTCACTCTTCCAGCGTAAAATCATTGAAAACCACTGTTGTTGAATAGGAAAAATTGTAGAATCTAGGGGCAGACCTGGTGGCGAAACAATCATTCTGCCAACACTTCTCTACATAGTGTGTGGATGTAATGGTTTTTTGAAGGTCTAATTTTAAAACTGGCCCCGTGTAAGTGGCACTTGTATCTTACTGTAATTTCCTTAATGTAGGTGGGAACCTTGGTTATATTTATAGCTGTTCCGGATATCTTATTCCTGCTTATTTTATGAAAGGACAAACATAAAGTCAACTACTTAAATGATGTATGACTTTCTATGTCCCTGTTGTTTCAGGGGCGTTCTTTTCTTCCACTGTGTAAGCTTTGAGGTGAAAAAAACAACAGAACAGCACACATGTGCATGCAAACATTTCAAGAGTAAATACTGTAACTTCTACTCTGAGACAAAGAACAGAAGAAGCTGAACCACCACTAAGATTTTGTAAAAAATACACATCAAAAGTATTAGATAGATCTGGAGCATATTCTTTCCATACAGATTTTTCTCTCTGGGTGTATGAGGACTGTGGCAAACTGCATTACCTGTGGATTCAGTGGCAAATAGAGATTCTATTCTTATATAGATTGTCCTACGAAAGTTATTGAAATACTGTAGCAAGAAATCTTATTTAAAGAAATCTCTTTTTAAAGAAAGAAATCTCTTTTGAAGGTTTCAAGCTTGCTTGCACCAAAATCACAATTTTGCTTATTGTGAATGATAACAGTACTAATATGTTCTTTTGACTGAAGTTACTGTTCATAGAAGGATCTTGACTAACCTTATTAATTCTCTTACTCTGCAACTCTTTATTCACAAAGTTGTGAATCGATCCTTTTATGTTTTTTAATCTTATCATTACTTACATTCTTTAGAATTTGTACGGTTTTCTCTTTTCTTATAATTTGTCATAAAATTCCTACAGTACTTGGAAGTGTAATATTATGTATGAATTGGTTTACCTTTTTTTTTTAATTTGGGAAGTTGCTGTCTCATCTTTATGATATATATAGCTTTGTTTCTAGAATCAAGATCTTGTGTCCAACTGACTTTCAGCATCTCCCAGTTTTTTAAATTAAATTTTAAATTAAATTAGATTTAGTGTTCCAAATCTGTAGCTTTAATAACTCTTTTAGAAACTACTTAACATTTGAAGTACGTGCTTTACTAAGCTATGTTCTCATTTTTGGAAAGAAATTGAGTCAGAGTGTGACTGGCCAGCAACTGACCAGTATGCAGACAGGCAATCATCTGTTTATCAGTGTGAAAATTGATAGTAAATTACTGAGATTTCAAGAATTCTTGTGTTAACAAGACATCATCTCTATTTTTAGAAACTCAAAGGAAGTTTTGTTACTAACAACATAGGATCTTCTGTAAACATCCCACAGGTTGAAGGAACCCAGAATAAAACAGATATTCTTCCTACACTTTGCAGACGGATGCGCAAACAGGGACTTAACTGTAGAAAGATCTGTTGGTTTCACCCACATTACCACCTCATCATTCTACTACATCTATCTTTGATCCAGGCGTATTCAGAGTCTTGTGATTCTGAATCATTCATGTGTTACTTTTGATGTAAAACATCAAACATCTGCTCCTTTCTCTCCTAACAGAAAAGAATGTAACTATCTAGTTTACTGTGCAGTCACAGGATCTTTATAACCAATTTCAGTAATACCAACCATCTCATAATTCTTCCCAGCATGACTGTTTTGAACATCTTTTATTTGTGGTGCCTAAATGTAAGCTCCTGGACTTTTCTTCCTTGTATGCACCTTTATGTTTGGTTTTGCAATGAATGTGTGAAGGGTTTTAACTTGGGTATATTTATTGACTGTATCAATTCTTAATGACCTGTTAGGTTATAAAGCAGTTGCTATAATACTCAGCATAAGTTCTCTTAATAATTCCTAGCTGACTAGTTTGAATTCTTGCATTTCTGTCGTCATTCTTATTATCCACATATTGCAAGAGGATATTATTAAAGAAAACCACACGTCAGCTGATCTAAACTGGATGTATAGAAAGAGAAGTAGAATGGGAAAGTAAAATAAGGAAAAACTAACTGAAATGCCAACAGAGAATTTGTTTGCTACCTAATATACATTTTGGACAAACTTGAATTAATAATAATAACAAACATAGAAATTACAAAGTTAGAATGTTTGCATAAGTCCCCAAAGTTTATATTTTCTGTTACGTATTTACCTGCTTTTTCAAAGAATCAGCACAGTTCAAAGCATCATCTCCCATTTTTGGCTTTCCAGAACCGCCAAGGTTTATTAAGAAACTAGACTCTTCAAGACTTGTGAAACAACATGATTCCACTAAGTATGAGTGCAAAGTAGGTGGATCTCCTGAAATTAAAGTCACCTGGTACAAAGGAGAAACTGAGATCCATCCAAGTGAAAAATATAGCATGTCCTTTGTGGATTCGGTGGCAATCCTTGAAATGCACAACCTCAGTGTTGAAGACACTGGTGACTACAGTTGTGAAGCCCAGAACCCAGCTGGTAGTGCTAGCACCAGCACCTCACTGAAAGTGAAAGGTGAGAATCCAAGTTCTTCCCCGTGCCTTTCTGCCTGTATGAGTACTCCTGTGTGGAAAAGCTGTTAAATCTCACTTTCTTTAATAGGAAGGGACAAAACCTGTTGGAAAAGATGCAGAGTCTCTTGCCTGCTTGTTATGCTGTGGGAGATCTCTTTTATTTATCGTTTGCCTTTTTTATTCAGTATCAGTTTGACTACTTGAATACTCTCCCCTCTTTAATGTCCTCTGCTCAAATAACACAAATTTTAACTCCTTTGTTTCAGCACCCCCTGCTTTTACCAAGAAGCCTCATCCAGTCCAGACCTTGAAAGGGTCTGATGTTCATCTGGAATGTGAGCTTCAGGGCACACCTCCATTCCAGATTTCATGGTATAAAGACAAGCGAGAAATTCGAAGCAGCAAGAAATACAAGGTCATGTCTGAGAACTACCTTGCTAGCATTCACATTCTCAATGTGGATACTGCAGATGTTGGTGAATATCACTGTAAAGCTGTAAATGATGTGGGAAGTGACTCCTGCATTGGCTCTGTAACACTGAGAGGTTTGTATACAGATTGGCATCTTCTCAGAATGTCGTTGTTCCCGTTACTGTCCTCCTACTTTTCCTTTTCTGGACTGTGATTTTTACAATCTTCTCTTAAATAGCACCACCAACCTTTGTGAAGAAGCTGAGTGATATCACTGTTGTGGTTGGGGAGACAATTGAACTACAAGCTGCAGTTGAAGGAGCACAGCCCATTTCTGTTCTGTGGTTAAAAGACAAAGGGGAGATCATTAGAGAAAGTGAAAATCTTTGGATTTCCTATTCAGAAAACGTTGCATCTTTGAAGATTGGAAATGCAGAACCAGCCAATGCTGGGAAATACATTTGTCAGATAAAAAATGATGCCGGATTTCAGGAATGCTTTGCCAAACTAACAGTGCTCGGTGGGTAGCATGGGATAACAAAAACAACAGCAATAAAAAAACACTAATGCTTAAAAATTTCAATTTTTACGGTACTAATAACTCTTGCATTGTTGTTTTTTAAAATGTTGTGACTTACATCTCATTGCAGAACCTGCAGTCATTGTAGAGAAGCCTGGTCCAGTGAAAGTTACAGCTGGAGACTCTTGTACTCTGGAATGCACAGTAGATGGCACACCAGAGCTTACTGCTAGGTGGTTTAAGGATGGGAATGAATTGTCTACTGACCGTAAATACAAAATCAGTTTCTTCAACAAAGTATCTGGGCTTAAGATCCTCAATGCAGGACTAGAAGATAGTGGAGAATATACTTTTGAGGTGAAAAACAGTGTTGGTAAAAGCAGCTGCACTGCTTCAGTGCAAGTTTCAGGTTAGTTGTCTACTCTTTTTGAGTCATATCTGATCAAAAGTTCCTTTACAATGCCTTTATGTAGCATACTGTTTCTTATGACTGACAGTCTGGGAGACTCACTGCTTGTATAATTTTTCAGTTCTTTTGCACATGACGGTGACAAGAGTCAGGGATAGATGCCTATCTGACATCTTAGGGGCAGGAACTGCTGCAAGGATTTGATTTTTTCACCTTTAATCCAAGCGTCTTTTTTCAGACAACTAGTGCAATATTATGTAGTATAAAAAATACTTAAAAACAAACAAACAAAAAATCCTGCCCTTTAAAAGAGTGTGAGTAAAATCTCCAGCCTTAGTCATCAATATCCTTAGTCATCAACTCTCCACTTCTCATTGACATAGGCATGCAGGAGCAGATTAATAATGTATGTACAGTAAAAGAAATCGAACTGATTTTATGATACATAGAGAACATTCTGTAATTTAAGCTTCTGTACAATAGTTTTTCATTTATTTTATTATTTTTTTTAAACAAATACAGATCGTATTATACCACCTTCTTTCACAAGAAGACTGAAAGAAACATACGGTCAGCTGGGTTCTTCTGCTGTTCTGGAGTGCAAAGTTTATGGGTCACCGCCCATTCTTGTTTCCTGGTTTCATGATGGACAGGAGATTACCAGTGGAGACAAATATCAGGCTACCCTGACAGACAATACTTGTTCTCTGAAAGTTAATGAGCTTCAGGAATCTGATATGGGAACTTATTCATGTACAGCTACTAATGTAGCTGGATCTGATGAATGCAGCACATTTTTGAGTGTTAGAGGTCAGTATCTGTCAGATACACTTATTTGTTTGCAAAAAGTCTTAATTCTTTTGTTACACGCTCTTCATCAGAAGATCAAGAGTACTACTTCTTTGTCTGTTTTATTTGTATACTTAGAGCCACCATCTTTTGTGAAGAAACCTGAACCACTTAATGTTCTATCTGGAGCAAACATCACATTTACAAGTATCGTGAGAGGCTCTCCTCCATTGGAAGTTAAATGGTTTAGAGGTAGCGTTGAGCTAGCATCAGGACACAAATGCAACATTACCTTGCAAGACTCCATTGCAGAATTGGAGCTATTTGATGTACAGCCACTTCAGAGTGGAGACTACACGTGCCAAGTCTCTAATGAGGCAGGGAAGATTTCTTGCACAACACATCTTTTTGTCAAAGGTTTGTGCAGACTATTTCTTACACTTCTTCATAGAAATAATATGGCTTTACTTAATTTATTTTCTTCTTATTGTTTGTTATAGAACCAGCGAAGTTTGTGATGAAGGTGAATGATTTAAGTGTAGAGAAAGGAAAAAATTTAATCTTGGAATGCACATATACGGGTACTCCACCAATTTCAGTGACGTGGAAGAAAAATGGAATAATATTAAAACAATCTGAAAAGTGTAGCATCACTACTACAGAAACTTCTGCCATACTGGAAATCCCTAATAGCAAACTGGAAGATCAGGGGCAGTATTCTTGCCATATTGAAAATGACTCTGGGCAAGATAATTGTCATGGTGCAATTACAATACTAGGTGCGTCATCAAGCCACTATCATTTTATCAGCTGCTATTTCAACCACTAGTAGTCACTGTGCCATACCTTTTTTTTCCTTTTTTTTTTTGTGCTAATACCATGTGTTTGTTCTTTAGAACCACCTTACTTCGTTACACCTTTGGAGCCAGTGCAGGTGACTGTTGGGGATTCTGCGTCCTTACAGTGCCGGGTTGCTGGAACACCCGAAATGATTGTGTCATGGTACAAAGGGGATACAAAGCTGAGAGGAACAGCTACTGTGAAAATGCACTTTAAGAACCAAGTTGCCACTCTGGTCTTCAGCCAAGTGGACAGCGGTGACAGTGGGGAGTACATCTGCAAAGTAGAAAATACTGTTGGGGAAGCTACTTCATCTTCTTTGCTTACCGTTCAAGGTGAATAATTCTTTCTAAAAATTAGGAAAATTGCCTACGTTTCTTAAGTATATTTGCTCTTTCAAAAACTAAGATAACTTTTTCTTTCTTAAAAGCTTTGCTCTTTCCTGGCCAGTAAGATACCCTGTCTTCTATTAACAAAGGCCTTCCATTAAAACAAATTGAAATTAATCTCTCACTGATCCCATTTCTTCTGTAGGAATAGGAGGTTCTGCATCTTCATTACACACTTAGGGAATTTTTCTGATGGTTTCTGCCTGACAGTCCTGGGTGTTAAATAGGCTAACTGAGGGCCGAATTGTTGTATATTTTCCTACAACCAGATGTACTGTGGTATTTATACATCAGCTCCCGAATTAAATGATATTGTGGATGAAATTTTTTGATGAGTTATTAGCAGAAATGCATTTTATGAATCGCTTAATCAGTGATTACTGGTGAGCACTGCAACAGTTGTGTAGCTTTTGAAAGCACTCACCGTACAATACATGTTTTCTTACAGAGCGTAAACTTCCTCCTTCTTTTACAAGAAAATTGAGAGATGTTCATGAAACTGTTGGCTTGCCGGTTACATTTGATTGTGGCATTGCTGGTTCAGAACCTATTGAAGTATCTTGGTTTAAAGACAATGTGCGTATAAAAGAAGACTACAATGTTCACACATCCTTCATAGATAATGTAGCAACTCTGCAGATTTTGAAGACCGAGAAGAGCTTTATGGGGCAATATACCTGCACAGCGAGCAATGCTATTGGAACTGCTTCTTCTAGTGGCAAACTTGTCCTTACAGGTCTGTGGGCTGTGAATTATTGAATGGAAATATCTTAAAACTCACTTTTACTTTATATATGAATTTAATATTGTAAAAATAGTAGTATTTATTTCAGGGAGGTTTATGACAGCAAATTGAGATGTTAACATGATGCTTTTTATTTCCTTTGCTCTTCAGAGGGGAAGACTCCTCCATTCTTTGATACCCCAATTACACCTGTGGATGGTATTGTTGGAGAAAGTGCTGACTTTGAGTGTCACATTTCTGGAACACAGCCAATTAGAGTCACCTGGGCAAAAGATAACCAGGAAATTAGAACAGGAGGAAACTATCAGATCAGTTACGTAGAAAGCATAGCCCATTTGACCATCTTGAGAGTTGACAGGGGAGACTCTGGAAAGTATACATGCTATGCTAGCAATGAAGTTGGAAAGGATTCTTGTACAGCACAACTGAATGTTAAAGGTACTGAATAAATAATACTTTGTGTGTACATTTCTTTTAATTGAAAAGGAAGCTAGCTTAATTGCTGCAGGACAAGTTTGAGAAAAAACTTGAAGCATAACTTTTGTGATACACCTCAAAAACACCTATCTGGAAGTACGTACAAGTCTTTGGAGGGAATTTGGAAGGGTCATTAACAACAATGGGAGAAGGAAAGAAATAATATTGTCTTCAAACTAATTTCTTTATTGTCTTTGGATTATTTCTTTCTTGATAACTCAACGAAAATCTTGTGTTTTTAAGGTCAGTTGCCTTAGATCAATGTAAAAAATGTGGGGATTTTTGTAGTTGCTTTTATGCACATAGGAAAATTAACTAACAGTGAATGTATGATTAAGACACTTGCTATTGATCTTGGCTTACTCTCACTTAAAAATGGAAAAACAGTCCTGTTTAAATGAGAGCAAATACTGATTCCCCAATGTTATTTTTTTTCTTGAAATAATTTATTTAGATTTATTCATTTCAGGTCTGATGCATGTGTTCTTTCTTTACAGAACGAAAAACTCCACCTACTTTTACTCGGAAACTGTCTGAAGCAGTAGAAGAAACAGAAGGGAATGAACTTAAACTTGAGGGCCGGGTTGCTGGTTCTCAACCTCTCACTGTTTCTTGGTATAAAAACAATCAGGAAGTTCATTCAAGTCCTCACTGTGAAATATCATTCAAAAACAATACCTTGCTTTTGCATATCAAGAGTGTAGGGCAATCAGATGCTGGTTTATATACCTGCAAGGTGTCCAATGAAGCAGGAAGTGTGTTGTGTACATCCTCTGTTGTTATCAGAGGTTAGTTGAAGCCATGTTTTTCTTTACTTCTTACTTTTTCTTGGTATGTTAGCTGCAAATATACAGCTTCTATCTTATAAACTTGTACAGTTAATAAATTAATTGCATGTGATTATATGTGTTTGCTTACCTTAACATCAATAGTTTGTACTGAGATGGACAAGATAAAGCTGATTTGAACCACAATATCAAGGAATCTTTCAATTTGGGGGAAATCAAACCATTTCTTCAGGGAGTGGCTTCTTTATTTATTCACTACTTACTATGAATTATCTAAAGTAAACATTGAAATCTTTAACATGATATTTTGGTTGAATATTTAATCATTCTCTCTTTTTTTTTTTCTTTTTTTTTCTTTTTAAGAGTAACAATTTTTCTATGCACTTACAACTAAGCTGGAGAAGCATGGCACATTGTCCTAATGCTACTGCAGGAGATTCTATATTTGTTTCTCTACCAGTGCTTATGTAGTTTACAGACTAACAGCAGTACATTAGTTCTACTATTTTTTGCATGTGAATGTCCTTACTGTGTGCAGAGAATGTGTTATGTAAAGCACTCATTGTATGTTTGCATTCAAAGCATACTGTCTAGATAGTAATTATATTTCCTAAAACTATGATTGGGATTCTCAGACTTCTTATTCTTGCTCATTCCTTGTCATTTTCTTTCTTAAGAATCACATGTATCTCTTTCTCCTACATTCTTAATCATACTTTCCTTCTTGGAGAATTCACTGAAGCATTTTCGCCTTTCAGAACCAAAAAAGCCTCCAGTTTTTGACCAGCCTCTTCAGCCAGCAGCAACAGAAGAAGGTGATACCTTGCAGCTCAGCTGCCATGTCAGAGGATCAGAGCCAATCCGGATTCAGTGGCTGAAGGCAGGAAGAGAAATAAGAGCTTCAGAAAGATGCAGCTTCAGCTTTGCTAATGGAGTAGCTCTTCTGGAACTTGCTGCAGTTACCAAATCTGATTCAGGAGAATACGTGTGCAAAGCTTCAAATGTGGCTGGCACTGACACTTGCAGATCTAAAGTGACAGTTAAAGGTACAGTTCAAGGCAAAATCAAAACATGCAATGGAAATCTAAAATAAAACTTCATCCTGCTTTGTTTTGTGTGGAACAAAGATACTAATATTCTAACAGGAAACAATTAGTATCTTTTAGTTCTTTGCAAAACTATGCAATCTGGGGAGACAGTATATTGAAAAATAATTTACATATAAATATCAACATAAACTGTGAGTTCAGTGTCAAACCAGTAATATATCCTCACTGAAAAGATGAAGAATTTAGTTCCTGAAACAAAACACAGAATTTAACAAAAAGGAAAGCTAAGTTAGTTAAAATTACATTCATCTGTGCATGTTTTTGTAGTAGCAGTGTTTATTAAAAGAAATTAGAAAAGGAATTTGATTCATAATGTCGCCTTAGAGGTTAGTTGCTTCAAAGCTGTTAAAGCTCCAGTGCATTTTGAAATTATAACTAGAAGTAAATATTGCCTAACATGAGACCTTCCATGTAGTGTCCTGTCTTACAAATGCATTCAAGTCATGAAGATCCAGTAACATGTAGAAACAGTTTTTGTCACTATGTGGGTAGCAGGAAAGATAAGTACTACACAAAAGAAAAAAAAAAAACAACCAACAGATCACTGTTTAAAAAATGCAAATAACTTGGAATAAAATTTCCAGAAATAGACAGAAAATACTTCATTAAAAACTGACTCATTTTAGAAAATGAAGCTTCTTATTTGCATATCCATCTATGAATTTGCAGCTGTGAAAATATAAATGGCACAACTAATGTTATTGAAGACCACAAAGTGGCCCATAATATTCAGTTTCATCTAGAAAGCTCTGGGCAATCAGCTTGAGTCCTCTGCAGGCTCCTTTCAACCTTACCTATTCTATGATACTGTAAATCTTGTTTGTTTGTTTGTTTTTCCCCAGAAAAAGCAGCAGCTGCACCAGCAGCTAAGAAAGCAGACATGGAAGGAAAACTTTATTTTGTATCAGAGCCTCAGAGTATCAAAGTCATGGAAAGTAAGAATTCTTTCTAAAATTACCCTGTTTTCTATTTGCGTATGCCTGATGCTTGAGATCATGTCCTGCTGTCATAGAAACACCAAGAAAATACTTAGCCTTCTTATTTGCATCTTTCTGCAGAGACTGTTGCAACATTTATTGCAAAAGTTGGAGGAGACCCAATTCCAAATGTTAAGTGGATGAAGGGGAAATGGAGGCAACTCAACCAGGGTGGTCGCATTATAATCCAGCAGAGAGGAGATGAAGCCAAACTGGAAATAAAGGACACAACAAAAACAGATTCTGGCACGTACAAATGTGTAGCTTTTAACCAACATGGTGAAATTGAGAGGAGTGTCAACCTGCAAGTTGAAGAAAGAAAGCAAGAATTTGTTGAAGAGGATGTCAGGGGAAAACTGAAAAGGTATACACAGAATTTGTATAAACTACCTTCCCATCAACACAGAACTTTTTGATTATAAGACTCAGATCAAGATACAGTGTTTTAATGTTTATTATATGTGTTTAATTGTGTACTGAAAATAGAAGCACCTGACTAGGTTACACTAAAGGATTGTGCTGTATGTAGCAGTTCTAAGTTGATGGATTTTTTTTCAGTAGACGTCTTTCTAGGAAACTTAATAAATTTAATGTTTGTTATTGGTTTGAATAGAGTTCCAACAAAGAAGAAGGAAGAGGAAGAGCAGACTATCGATATCTTGGAACTTCTCAAAAATGTTGATCCCAAAGAATACGAGAAATATGCTCGCATGTACGGAATTACAGATTTCCGTGGCCTCCTGCAAGCTTTTGAGTTACTAAAGCAGACCAGAGAAGAAGAAAGCCATAGATTGGTAAGATATATTGCCACTATGGCATTGTTTTTGTTAGAAGTAACAAAGTTCTTGTAAACAGACCTGGTGACCTGTACTTTCTATACAGGCTTTTCTGGAATCTGTTCAGATGTTTTACTGATCGTTTTCAATTTCCTGCATGCTCAAACCAAAGAAGAAGGGATGGCCCTTCTGGCCAACTGTGTTCTGCCTTGACTATGTGGCTACTATTTTTAAGATGGGAAGATAGACTAGTTATAGTATGGTTACATCAAATTTGATGTAAGAACTAATTCTGTGTTGGATGAACATGCCAACTTGGCATTTAGTATCTAATCATTATGTACATTTTGTCTTATTACAGGAAATTGAGCTCACAGAAAAGGCTCAAAAAGAGGACCAGGAGTTTGAAGAACTTGTAGCATTTATTCAGCAACGGCTCACACAAACAGAGGTGACATATTTTTGTCCTGATTCATGAAATATTCAAACCCATAACAAGAAAGATGAAACTAATTTAAACTAATATTTTTTTCAGCCTGTTACTCTAATCAGAGACATTGAAAATCAAACAGTTTTAACAGATGAAGATGCTGTCTTTGAATGTGAGATTAAAATTAACTATCCAGAAATTAAGCTTTCATGGTACAAGGGAACTCAGAAACTGGACTCCAGCGACAAATATGAAATTAAAATTGAAGGTGATCGCCACATACTGAAAATCAGAAACTGCCAACTTGAAGATCAAGGGAATTACAGAATAGTGTGTGGACCACACATTGCCAGTGCTAGACTAACTGTGATTGGTAAGTATATTTTGAAGTGTGTATTTGAAGTATTTTTTACTTTATTTATTATATTGTGTGATGTCTTCTAAAATGTATGTTTTACATGCTAATAGAGCCTGCAGTTGAACGGCATCTTCATGACACTACTTTCAAGGAAGGAAACACATGCACGCTGTCTTGTCAGTTTTCTATCCCAAATGCCAAGTCTCAGTGGTATAGAAATGGGAGGCCAATTAAGATAGGAGGGAGATATTCAACACAAGTCTCCGACAAAGTACACAAACTCATCATCAAGGATGTTAGAACAGAAGACCAGGGGCAGTATACCTGCAAGCTTGACAATCTAGAAACAACTGCTGATCTGGCCATTGAAGGTTTGTAAACAGATATAGAATATCTTTATTACAGTAGTGATAAACAGTTGCTGGATATCCCATTAACAGAAAAGATGAAAATAAAAGGGATTTCTTAAAGAAATATCCTCAAACTTGAAAATTGATCATACAAGAAGTTTTGCTTTTCTTTCTCTTTGAACCATATGTGATAGTATTTGTGTAATTTAATATTTTTAACTAAGTCATCATTAGTAATGACCTCTTGATCTGAAATCATCAGTCTTATTTTCTTGTATTTTCTTTTTTCCTGATGCTCTCATATTTTCCTCTTTTTCCTTGGATTACCTCTTTTTCTTGAATTATTCTTTACCTTCTCTTTATTTCCCTTATGACTTCTCTTGTATAATTTATCTACAGCAATCTTATTATATTTATATTCTTACATCTTCTAATCTTCATTCTTATGTAGAAAACTTCACAGTAGATGGAAACTCTTGTTTCTTATTTGTTATTATACCTTACTATAGTGTGTTATTGTCATGAAAGCTAAATAGCCTGAATGGTAGACAATAACTTACTTATTTTTGTTTCTAAAACAGCTGAACCAATTCAGTTCACAAAGAGCATACAGAACATTGTAGTAAGCGAACACCAATCTGCTACCTTTGAGTGTGAAGTGTCCTTTGATGATGCAGTTGTGACATGGTATAAAGGCCCCACTGAACTGAGAGAAAGCCCGAAGTACAGCTTCAGAAGTGAAGGTCGTTGTCATTATATGACTATTCACAATGTTACTGCAGACGATGAAGGTAAAAATTCCTAGAATGTTTGGGCTGATGCTACTTTATCAGATTTTGTTGTGTGTTCTTTTAATTATAAAGTCATATTAATACAAAATTCTTGGCTGTTGCAGGTGTATATTCTGTAATTGCTCGTCTCGAACCAAGGGGAGAAGCAAGAAGCACTGCAGAGCTCTATCTGGTAACCAAAGGTTAGCCGATTTTTAAAACAAATTTGTGATCATAGAGTCTGCAAATTTGTGAGTTTAAAGTATGATTCTGGAACAAATAATTCTGAAAGGAATTTATTTTTCTTTTGCAGAAATCAAACTGGAGTTGAAGCCTCCAGGTAAAGATCATGCACAAGATTAGCGTGTCTGTTATCTGTCATAGAATGCATTGCTCTGCTTTATCCTTTTTTCATGGTTGTAGTAAGTCGAACCTACACTCTGGAATAATACGCCTTACCTGTATACATGTGGAATTATTTATTCTTATACACTATGGTGCTTACTGCTGTGGTAACTTTAAAATCACTGATTATCATCATGTCTGGGGTCTTATTTTGTATGGTAGGTATGGGAAGCTATATTCTCTAGAACAAATGAGTTTATTTAAATGACTGAGGAATACAGCAGTGAAGAGATACCAATGAATATAATCAATGTCCTCATCACAGCTGAAAAATAATTAACCAAGGAAGCAAAATAGATAGCAATAATCTGCTTCTGATGTATAATGATTTTCCTTTCTGAATGTTCTTAAGGAAGAGCCTATTCCAGAATGAGGTGAGCAGTATGTAGAAATAATTAAAAAAAAAAAAAAAAAAAAAAAAACAGTAAAGTCTGGCCAGATAAGAAAGATTAATTCAAATAGTTTTCTATACATTGGGTTGCTTATGCTTAAGGGCCAAGATAACTGTGTGCTAGAACAAGAAAAAATGAAACACCATGAGCTAGTCCTGGGAGCAGCAAATTCATATATCTATTTCTTTTACACAGTTAAATGTTTATATTTTCTAGATGTTCCTGATGCCAAGGTAGCAGTTCCACCTCCAAAACCAGCTGAAGGTAAAATAACAAACTAGACTTGTTCTGTAGTTCTCTTTTATGTCAGTATTAAAACAGCAAGGCAGTAGGAGCCTCAGAGAAAGATCACAGATAAGGTTTTGGTAGGATCTGGTTAGTCCACTCTTTAGAAATATGTAAGAGTAAGCCTTTGCTTGGTTGAACTCATTTTGCATTGTAGAAGGTGAAAACCATAAAATAGGAGTGCTCTTTAAAAGAAATAAAAAAAAAGAAAAGAAAATGAAAGACGAAGATTATTTTGAAGCTGTATAAACAGATTGGAACAGGTTGGAGCTCCCTTAGCTTCCCAGACTCTGTTGGTGGACTACAGACAAGCATTACATATGTTTCTGCTAGATTCAGCAGTTCAGTATGGACCTAGAAATTCATTCTTTATTTCATTTCCATGAGAATTTGGTAAATGCTTTGAGATACAGCAGGAGGGAAAAGATTTTATATCTGGATGAGTTACTATCAGCAAGAAAAGGAGAATGGTGCTAGGAAAAAAAGCTTCCAAGTATCAGTATGCAAATAAAGGCCGACTACGGATTTCCATTCAAAACACATTGTTCCAGCTACAGTGAACTATCAGAGTAAGCACCAATTTTGCTCCTATTCTGCAAGTACAGTAAAAAAAAAAAAAAAAATCTCATTTTTCAAATGCAATAAGATTTTTCTTCAATTAGAATTCAAAACCATACTCATTCTAAATATATATATATTTTTTTTTCAGAAGCTGCCCCCATTCCTATTCTTCTGCCCCTCATTACACCACCAGAGGAGAAAAAGCCAGGTAAGAGTACTTAAAGTAACTAGATAGTGTACATATGTTTAGTTATGTTTTGTTCTTTTGTTTTAACTTAAATTTTCATATATATATATTTTAAGCAGAAAAGAAAGTTCCAGTAAAGAAAGTCTCGAAAAAGGTGGTTAAAAAGGGTCCCAAGGAAATCCCACCACCTGAAGGTAACTTGAAAAAAAAAAAAAAAAAAAAAAAAAGAAAAAAAAAAAAACCACAACAAATACTCTCTTAAAAATAGTAACATTATTTCGGGAAAAGACGTCTCTTGGATGTCTGTGCTTATGATCTTTTATAAGATCTTATAGATCTTATAAAAAAAAATCACATAACACTGTCTGCAAGGAAGAACTAATTTCACTAACTGTGAACATCCAATACACTTTGCAGATTCCAGGCTATGATGATAACATGGTTGTTTTGTTTTGCTTTGTTTTTAAGTTCCTGAGATACTGCCAGAGAAGCCCAAAGAGGTCAAAATAACATCTATGGCAAGGAGAGAAGAGATTCATGAAGAAAAAATGGAAGTATATGAAAAACCCAAAGAAGTTTATGAAGAATGGGAAGAAGATTATGGAGAAGATCATGATTATTATTTCAAGGAAGAAGGTTATGATGAAGGAGAAGAGGAATGGGAAGAAACTTACGAGAAAAGGGAGGTGGCTTATGAAGAAAAACAAATCATTCATGAAGAAGGTATAAAAGATTTACAATTGTTTTACCAATTGAATCCAAACATGCTGCCAAATTGTAACTAGGACTTGACAATATAAGGACCCTGGTATGGCAAAATGTAAATGCAAATGGAAAATGATACACTATTATAGGATTACCAGCAAACTTTGCAGATTGGGCCATCTTTAAAATCTAATATGAATTAAGGGTTTGTAATTTGTTTTATTTTTAGTTGTTCAGGATATTTCTGCTATCATTTTCACACATTCACGCATTCTAGATAGACTTGATTTAGATAAATTTTTCTAACATCAATTTTTTTATTCTAATGGTGGGATAATTTTGCAATTCCTTGTATGCTTCAGCTGTAGTATGCCTCTATGACAAGAATGTGATTTTAATGGAAAAACATGGAAATAAGCAAAAAAAACGTACAGCAGCAGTTCAATCTTCAAAACTGTGTGTTTGTTTCAACTCATAATCTTATAATGACATAACTAATTCCTTCTGTGAGACTTTATAAAATGTAATTTTCATCATTAGGAAATGTTTTTGTTTTTAAAGTGGTGGAAGTTCCTAAGAAGCCTGTGCCTGAGCGAAAGCCTGCAGCAATTACAGCTGAAAAGAAGGAAAAGAAAGAAGTTACAGTTCATAAAGGTATGTCATTCTTGCAAAATTAACAGCAGTGCTCGTTTTGACCTCTCTCATGCTACTCCCTCAAGCTGTACTGCAATGGCTTCATTTCTTTGAATAGGAGAGAATGATCTTCATGTTGAACAGTGCCCTGACCATGGGCCATGGCATGGCAACCCTTCTGTTCTCTCACCTCAGATTTTCCTGCAGATAGAGAATATGACAAAATGATTGAAGCAAAATCAGAACTGTTAGTAAAATCAATCTGTGCTTCAATAATCTTTCCCTCTTAAAATATATTAGCTTTAGACCTAAGTGATGTTCTTAAGCCAGTGGAAGCTGGAGTTTCTGAGAACTGTTCGTATAGATCAATGCATATCTCTCAGGGGAAGGTGGGCTGTATTGCCTGTTTCATGAATACCTTTACCACTATTGTTCAGTGGCAGTGAACAGTGTGCTGAATAAAGCATTGGATGCTCATATCTTAAACAGGAAAAAGTCAGTTCTACCTGTTTTATGTCTGAAAAACAATTTGCAAGATGACACAAATGATGAGTATATTTGTATTACTTACAGTTGTCAAGAAACCTGTTGATGAAAAAGTTGAGATTACCACTCAGAGGGTTGCAGAGGAAAAACTCAAACGGGCTGAGGGTAACTACTGCTTAATTACCTTAATATTGCCTTTATGTGAAAGTTACTTAGCTAATATGCATGTGCTTGTTTAGTCACAGCAACCCCAGGCAACAGTACAGGCTTGGGGAGGAGTGGCTGGAAAGCTGCCTGATGGAAAGGGACCTTGGTGTACTGATGGACAGTTGTCTGAATATGAGCCAGCAGTGTGCCCAGGTGGCCAAGAAGGCCAATGGCACCCTGGCTTGTATCAGGAATAGTGTGGTGAGAAGGATTAGAGAAGTAATCCTGCCCCTGTACTCAGCATTGGTGAGGCCTCATTTCGAGTACTGTGTTCAGTTTTGGGCACCTCAGTATAGAAAGGACATGGAGGTGCTGGACTGTGTCCCATGAAGGGCAAGAAGGCTTGTGAAAGGCTTGGAGAATATGCCCTACAAGGAGCAACTGAAGAATAGGGGCTGTTTAGTCTGGGGAAGAGGAGGCTGAGGGGAGACGTTGTTGCTCTCTTCAAGTACCTGATAGGTGATTGCGGTGAGAGTGGGCTTAGTCTCTTCTCGCTGGTGATAGGTGACAGGACAAGGGGAAATGGCCTCAAGTTGTGCCAGGGGAGATTTAGGTTGGATATCAGGAAAAACTTCTTTACAGAAAGGGTTGTTAAGCACTGGAGTAGACTACCCAGGGAGATGGTTGAGTCACCATCCCTGGATGTGTTAAAAAATGGTTTGGATGTGGTGTTCAGGCACATGATTTAGCAGAGGGTTGTTAGAGTTATGATAGTATGGTTAGGCTGTGATTGGGCTTGATGATCTTTAAGATCTTTTTCAACCTGAGCAATTCTATCATTCATTTCACATGGATCTGACCAATTTGTCAGTCTTTAAAACAGCTGTAATAATGGCTTCTGCAGCATTTTGTAAAAGGAAGGCAAAAAGTTTTTTAGGTGAAAATAGGAAATTTAGTTGTTGACAATGGATGCTTTAAAACAGGAGGTGTATAATTGGATCAAGTGACAAAAAGTGTTTCACTTTAAGCTCAAGATGTGAAATCTCCATCTTCCTCAGATTTCCACCTTGACTTGTCTATCAGGATATCTTAGTTACAAGATGCATCTTCATTCACTTGGTAACCAGTTCTTCTCATATAGCATTTACCATTCTGCAGCAGGAAATCAGGCTAGAATTCAAAATACGTTAGGATAATGACCTTCTCTGCACTACAGAAGTTACCAGCCCCTTTAGAAAGCAGCAAATTGAAAGAAGCAAGCACTTCTTTTATCTTGCTTTGTATGGTTCTGGGCTAGTTTGTTTGTTGTGTTTCCAACATTATTCCTAAAAAGCCGTAGATTTGTTTTAATCTCTTTTCTGAATATATGTCTGATTAACCAAATTTAATGCTAACAGTTACCAAGAAAATCCCATCAGCAAAACCTACACCAATGATCGTCGAGGAAAAGGTTATGAAAAAGGAAGGTAAAGATCTGCAGCTTTCAATTGTACTTTACAATATTTCCAGTACCCTGTGAATTCTTGTGTCTCTTGTGAACATATAGAACTGTGCATGTACTTGGATCTGTTGTACTGATCATACTTTGACTACTTTCATTGTGCAAAATGTATGTCTACCATGATTCTGCGTGTCATAAAGTATGTTCTCATGTTTGTGGCTGTCTTTGTGATTTGTATTCAAATAGTCTGTCGGATATTGTACTTTGATTTGGTTTTCTCTTTAAATGTTCTGCCTGTTGGCACATGCTTATATAACATCTCAGGGCCCTAACACTTCCTTGAAGAAGTGCCTTTGAAATCATTGTGATACACTAATTGCAGAAGTCTGAGCATGAATTTATTTTATATTCTCTTGTTAGGAATATCTGTATCCTTAGTTTCTAACCAAGTAAATTTTATATCTGTTGTTGTTGTGTATTCAGTGTTTCAGAATGTCATTACTGACTGTCTAAATATGTTCTAAGACTTTAGCATACAATACAGATACAGATTTCATAAAATTCACATGCTCTCTACCGCTGCTGTGGATCTATAATATAAAATACTAAAACAAAATCCTATCTTTAAAGTACCGACAGTAGAAAGATGGACTGTTTCAGAAGAAAAGATGTCAGTTTCTGTCCACAGAGAAGAAGAGTATTCATATATCACAGGTATGTAAAAAAAAAAAAAAAAAAAAAAAAAAAAAAAAAAAAAAAAGTTTTAAAAACAAATTAAAAAAAATAGTAATGTTAAAAAAAATCACACACACCCAAAAAAACCCAGTACTTTCTGTATTGCCATTTTTTCTTTAAGCCAATTTTTCTGTTTCAAATTACATATTTAGACATTTATGTTTCGACATGCCTTGCTTCTTTTTGTTCATTGTGCTATTTATCCTCAGTTTTCTTTAGATTAACAGATGTTAACATCTAAGCTATTTTTTCTAAACATTATTTAAATGCTTCTCTTTGAAGAGCCTACAGAGCATGAGAAAACAGTTGAAGAAAGATTCTTTGAAGCTGTTTACCCAATTGAAGGTAGATTGCTTAAGAATGAGATACTAATCAATATTTAAGATTTTTTTTAAAAATTTGAATCTTAATCAAAACTCACTGTGAGATCTGCACATTCAATTGATTTTCTGGACAACATTAGCAAATGTTGTCAGTGAACCTTTGTGTACTGGACACATAATATCTTAAAAGTATTTCAGTTTACTACAGACATTAGGATTTCACATCTCTGTATTTAATATCTTTCAAATTCCTGTTGCAGCACATAAGGAAGTTGAAGAGGAGGAAGAACGAGAGGTCATTTCTGAAGAACTGGAGACTCATCACGTTGAAGGTGAATTAAATCTTTGCATCATCCACCTAATTTTTTTTTTTTAAATTTATTTGTCTTACCACTCTGTATCAAAGAACAGCATATCAAGGCTCAGTTCTTATGGTTCTACCCTCAAACATCATCTCCTACCACGTTTCCAAGTCTACTTCTTAATCACTACTTTAATTAAATCTTTGATTTTGGGGGAAAATTTGAGAATATTTCCCTGTCTGAAAAATAGCATGTTTTTTGACATGCGATGTTTGCTTACACGGCATGTTGAAAACAGCCTACAGCAATGTACTCTCTTTCCATCTTCTAAATGTTCACCACATATCTCTTTAAAGTGCCTGAGATAACAAAGAGGCATGTCCCAGAAGAAAGAAAGCCTGTTCCTGTCCCAAAAGAAGCTCCACCTGCTAAAGGTACTTCTTCTACCCAAGTTAAAAAAAATAAAAAATCTTACTATCTTTCAGTATATTTTAGTAAGCTGTCTTGAATGTTTTCATGAATCTGCTGTCTATGTGCCTTTCATTTTGCCTGGTCTCCTTTTTTGCTTTGTGCTGTATCTTAGTTTACAATGCTTGAATGTGTCTCAGAGTTGGCTCTTCTCTTTCCTAACAGTCTTGTTTGTTTCTTGTGTTTGCTTTGACTGTGTGTTTTTTGCAGATAAAGAGTTGGGTATTTTTTCTTCTAGAGTGCCATGAAAAATGATAGCGCATAAATGTTGGTATTGGAATTTTATGTTGCATTTTTGTGTCTTTCCTAAATAGTCTGCATTATGTTGTAAACCCTGCAAAGGGTCATACAATGTATTGTGCTGCAGTGTTTAACTATTTGCCCAGACATTGTGTGCTATAGAGCAGTCTTGAAATCTGAATAAGTGTTGTGAAAACTAAAGTTCTCTCTCTTTGGAAATGCTTTCCAAGTGCCTGAAGTCCCTAAGAAACCTGTTCCAGAAAAGAGAGTTGCTGTTGCTAAGAAGGAGGTGTCTCCCCCAGTAAAAGGTACAGAATCTTTTGAAAGTGAACTTTAACCTGTCCTGTACTGTTTTGTTCAAGCTACTACTCAATTTTAAATGTAAGCATATGTAATATATGTGTCTTGTATGTCTCTTCTCATCTAAGACAATTCAAAAGCTTTGACAAGATTCTTTAAATACATTTTAATGTCTTTAAAGTGCCTGAATTGCCTAAAAAACCTCCACCTGAAGAAAAGGTACACATTCCAGTTCCCGAAGTAGAACCTCCACCTCTCAAAGGTATATTTAGTGATGGAGTGTACCTCTCAAATATCTTTTTTTTTTAACTGTTTTTTTGTTGGTTTTAGTTTCTATGTAATTATATTTGTCAGGTGGTTTTTTTTTTTTTTTTTAATGTATAATTGTTTGTACGCATGTAACACTTTTTAAGGTCAGGTAATATACTCAAGTAGCTCTCTCAAGTTAAGGAATTAGTCTCACAGCACTTTGGAGGCTTCCTGTGACTGAATAGATAAATGTTTTTTTCAACTGTATGTTAGTCTTATATTTTTCTGTGTTAGATGTAATATTTATGTGATATTGACGTGTCCTGATATTCTTATGAATGGATGCATTTGTAAAATACTCAAACAGATCTTTGAAACATGGAATTCAATTGTTTTGTTTCATGTTTTTTAAGTGCCAGAGGAGCCCAAAAGAGCTCCCCCTGAGAAAAAAGTTGCTGTTCCAAAAAGAGAAGCAGCTCCACCCCCTAAAGGTATACTTAAATCAAATATCTTAAGCATTTTGTTTGTCTAATTTTGTTCTTTATTGTTAGGTGAATCTGGGTTCAGTTGTGCTTCAGTAATACTAGTTACGTGGTTTTTTTGTGTGTCAGTTTTGTTGGTAATTGTGCTTTAGATGTAGTCTTGAGACACTTGTAATTTTATTTAATATTGTTTAATTAATATCTCTGAAGCACCAGAAGTACCTAAGAAACCAGTACCAGAAGAAAAATTGCCTCAGATTCCTAAACCAGAAGAGGCTCCACCTGCAAAAGGTATCGTCTCCTAGTCTTCAGAACATAAACATTTCCCTCAGTTTAGTCAGTTGTGCTTTGTAAACAAAATGTCTGTGTAATCTTCTGTTTGAACAATACCTTTCTGTTTCGTGTTGCTTTTGAAAGTGTTTCACTTTCTAGATCCTAAAATTAAATGCTTTTTTTAAAAGTGCCTGCAGTTCCTAAGAAACCTGTCCCTAAAGAAAAGGTACCTCCTGCTGTTCCTAAAAAAGTTGAGGCTCCTCCAGCTAAAGGTATGCTTTCCAGTAGAATAAATAAAATGCTGTTTCTTAGCTTCTGTGTGTCTGCTCTGTCTTGTCATTTGTGCTGCCTTTATGAATTCCGCAGTACTGATTTATTGACAGTAAAAAAACGATTATTTTTTTGTGTGCTGTACGTACAAAAATACGAATGTTAAGTGTTGAATCTCTGTTGTGTTGTTTGTTCAAGACCCTTAAGCAATTCTTTGGAAACTTAGTTACTTGCATTTTGGAAGGTGGCTTTCACACTGGCATTAGAAAATCATCCATTTAATGCTATTATCTTTCAAAGTACCAGAAGTGCAGAAGAGAGCAATTTTTGAAGAAAGAATGCTTATTACAGAAGAAAGAATATCTATTGCTGTTCCAGAAGAAATCCCATCACCTGAAGGTAGATTGTTAACAACTGCCAATGAGAAACCTATGCTTCTTTTAGAAGTCTCTTGCTCTAAGACCAAGATGAAAATATGCAAGAATTTTGTGTTAGTTATTTTGAGTGAGTTTTCTGTAGGAATATTTTATAGACTTCTAGTTAGTTAATACCCTCTGAATGCCGCTTAACATCCCATGAAATGTATGGGAATACTACTACTAATCTTACCAGCAAACTTTCATGAGATATATAGATGTATAGTGTTGAGGTTAGATACCAGCACTTAGGACCACAGCTATCCATTTCTTGTACTCCCTACTTGCTCTCTGCAGCCTTGCAAGTAGCAGGATTATGTTCTCCACAAAAACTCTTTTAGTTCAGATTCTCATACTCAAAAAAGGCTGGGATTGGTTGTTTTAAAGTTGGTCTGTTTCAAGACAGATGAAATCAACATTTTGACATTCCATATGCCTTTAGTGATTTGCTTGTCAACATAATTTATATGTTCTATTAAAAATACAAATGGGCTTTACAGGAAGATATGGAAGTTATCTATTTGCAATATGAACATACTAATGTATGCTCACATATACTGATATACTGTTAATTTTTCTCCCCTGCTAATCAGTCTCTGATGTTTTCCCTGATTGTCATATTTGTAGACATATATGACAAGCTTTCCTTTCAGTTCATGATCTGCCCTTATCTTGTATCCTTCTTACTTTCATGTAGCTAGATCAAGTAACAACATCTAATTCTTTCCCCACATCAGCTGTTGTGAGGGGGAGGTCTGGGGAGTTGAGGCATTCTGATGGGCTGACATTTGACCTGTGAAAAATATTTGAGAGAGACAGCAGTACACAATATCGTATATGGGTCACTTAGTGCAGATCATGAATGTCTGCACAGCACTTTCTATACAATATGTATGTTGTTATACAGAACTTTTAAGAGGTGATCTTCACCTTGTCTGTCCATTGAACCATCTACTCATTCACCAGAAATAATAAAACTAAATATTTTCTTTAAAGAACCAATAGTTGAAGAGTGGTCTGAAGAAGAAGCAGAGGAAGTATCTGTTTCCATTCACAGAGAGGAGGTTTCTGAAGGTATGATCACAATTCAAGAATACTAGACAACAACAAAAATAAAGTTTTGTTTTGTATCAAAAATAGCATAAAGATCTACTCTATATAAAAGGAAATTTTACTGCTGCACAAATACGCCTTAAGTTTCATATTTCAGAAACTGTAATACTGTCTTCAATTTGTCTTGCTTTTGAGAAGTGTAATTACTCTTGCTTTGATACAGTGAAAATAAGGTGTCTCTTTGTTTTTTGCTTTCTTTTTTTTTACACTTACTCTCTGTTGAAAATTACTCTTTCACTTTGTTTTCTGGATGAAGTAAAGACCCTTCAGAATCTCATGATGTATTCCAGTTTCTTATACCATTTCACAGTAAACTGATAAAATTATTCCCAATTTGAGTTTATCTGTGTTAAAATAATTCTGTGAAGAACAGTAACATTATACCGTTTGTCTCAATTTTCTTCAAAAGCAACACCATGGAAAGTATTTATAAGGGATAACTTCATCCAATGAATTAATGATTTTTTTTATAAGTATCTGGGAAGCTTTCTTGAAGTGGACAAGTTCTGATAGTGTACTAACAAACACAGGAATGGAAAGTTCTGATCTGGCACTTCATATGCCGGATTTTCAAATTCACAGAAATACAAGATAAGTCTTAAGTTGCTTGGACTTGTTCCACTGGCTTCAGAAGGAGCAGGAGGGTAAAAATCTAGATTTTAAAAGACACCAGAGATGTCTTTTAGTAATTCTCACTTCTTACTCTTGTCTTACAAATATTTTGTTTCATACCAGTGTTGTAAAGACAGTAATAGATGTCTAGTACTGAAATTCAAGTATTTTTATTTTACTATTTTTAAGTGACTGAAGAAGAGTCTTATTACATAGAAGAGAAGGTAACTGTGCCTAAAAGAAAGGAAGCCCCACCTGCTAAAGGTATACATTCTTTTCATTTAAAAACAGTGGTTGTTACTGTTTCAGTGTTCTTTGTGTCATTATTCTGAGTATATGTTGCCACTATGTGTTTCTGTACATTTGTGGGTTTTTACATTAAGGAAATGTCTGTATGCTAAAGTGCTACTATTCTTCTTCGTAAAACTATGTGTTGTAATCTCTTAAAGTGCCTGAGAAGCCTAGGAGAGTTGCCCCTGAACCAGAAATTCCAGCTGCTCTGAAGGAAGCTCCAGCAGCTAAAGGTATAAAACAGTTCCTCATTTGGATGATGTTATATGCGCCTCTTAAAGGGGATAATGTTTATCATACTGTCTTTTTATGCTGCCATGTCTGCTTTCAATGATGAGTTACTGTCTGAAATTCCATCTTCTACTATGAAAAATAACTCAGTAAATTGCTACTATAAAAAAAAAAATGACAAAAAGTAATGTAGTAGATAATTACAAACGTTACAACTTATTCTTTCTCATCTTCCCATCTTACTCATATTTTTAAAGTGCCTGAAGTTCATAAAAAAGTAGCTCCAAAAGAGAAAGTACCTGTCCCTGTTCCTAAGAAAGTGGAGGCTCCACCATCAAGAGGTATATCCGTTGTTTGTTCCACTTGCATAAACAAATAAATAAATTTATTCCTACATTCCTTCTTTGACATGCATGCATGCTGATAAATAAAACCCACAAACCAAAATTCTTAAGCGTTAAGCATGTACTTATGTCTGTTTGTCTACAATATGGACTATGGATTGTGTCTTGCTGGAGGCATTTATATGTTTTTGTTATGCCTGTTGGTGAGATCAATCCCATTGTCTAAAGTTGCACAATCTTTTTTAAGAACGTCCAGAAGAAGTGCCCACTTTTGAGATAGCTGTTGAAGAACCACCATCAACCAAAGGTAAACAGAATAATGTCATGAACCGTTTTCTTGTTTGTCTTGCAGTATTTGTGTTCAGGTGTTTTACATAAAAGTTCTTACTTGCTCATATCTGTGATTTCTTTGCATCTCTCCTTTCTTCCAACTGTTTGCTTTGTTTGTTCTATGGTTTGAAGTACATTCTTCTGTGATGTCTCGCTTTTGTTGTTGAAATTTCCTAAGCATTTTCTTTTATGCAAAATCAGATGAAGTACAAAAAACTCCATGCGTCTTCACATCAAATGTTACAATTAAGTATTCTTATTCTTTCAAAGTGACTCAAGTGCACAGAAAAATTATCACAGAAGAAAAAGTTGCGGTTGCTAAAAAAGATGAGGCTCCACCCAAAAGAGGTATATAATTTTTCAGAGCTACATAAGAAAGCATTTTTATCTGGTGACTTACGTTTTTTGCATATAATTGTATAGCACAAATTGTTTTGTTGTTGTTTGTTGTCATTTGCGCATTTGAGTTAAAGAATTATCAGGTCTCTGCTTTTGTGTTTTGTCATCTAATAATGTTTGTGACTAAGTCAAAATCTTTTCAAACAAACAAAAATTTTGAAAATGCCAGCAGTGCCCAAGAAGACTGTGCCAGAAGAGAAAGTTCCTGTTCCGGTTTCACGGAAAGTGGCCACTCCACCAGCTAAAGGTATCTAAGTTCTTTTCAAAGTAGAGAAGACTTCTAAATGTCAGATATGTGCATGTATCATACTCATCATTTGCCTGGCTAATATTCCATTCTCTATCATCTTGATTATAAATGAGGAGCTTTATAAATGAGAAAGGAACTTGGTCTTCTCTCTTGCAAAAAATGCAGTAGGTGATGGAGAACAGACACACGTCTGCATTCCTTGCATTTTCTAAGCTGCTAGTAACTTCATTGTTTACAATGGCTGCTTAAGTGCTTTGGAGAGCTAAATGAAGCAATTTACTCAGCGAATAAATGTGAACACATTTAGAAAAATAATATAAATGTTTTAGAACATAGTCAATTTTCAGAGTGGTAGATTTCAGTCTTAGAAATGTGATCTGCTTCTCTGATCTTGTTTTTGAAATGTAATTTTGTCATGTGTGTTCAGTGTCGTGTTTTGTGATGAAATTATGTTTCTGAAGGACCTAGAGAAATCTTTCATCTCTATCTTTGCATATTCATTTTGTGTGTTTATGCAGTTTGCTTTTTGATGCGTTTTACACTGTATGTGAGTCTAACGTTTTCTGTATACTGTAGTAGCTTATATTTCTACTGCTACTAAAATTGTCAGGTGTTTCAAAGGAACTAGCTCTAGGGAATTTATTCTTGGAACACCTCCAAAAGAATATTCTCCCAAATACTCAGTGCCTTCCTAGCCACCATGTATTAAAAATTCAGCTGGTCAGTTTCTCTGTGAATTTAAATGTCTTAATGTTTGTGTGTTGTTTTTGTTGTGTTTACTGTAAGTATTGTTGATGTGTAGATCTGTTCTATTCCCTTGTAATTATTTGTCCATTATTCTTTTGTATGGACATTGTATGGAAATACATTATTTCTTTAAGAATTTAGTATTCTTACAACTACTGTCTTTAAAGTGCCAGAAGAGCCAAAGAAAATGATCCTAGAAGAAAGAGTACGTGTTGCTGTTCCAAAAAGAAAAGTGTCACCACCACGAGAAGGTACTCCTGCCCATGGATTAATCTATGAACAGACTTCCGTAAAGCAATACCATGAGAGCTTAAAACCTAACATGCTGGCACATTTTTTTATAGTTCTAGTGCTCCAACAGCATCCCCCAAGGGACCCTTAAAAGAATCTTTGTAATACACTGGAGATATTTTCCCCAGTTACTTCGGGTGTGAGAGATGTCTGGAAATAATTATCACTTTTCTAAGAAACACTTAATAGGATATGTATTTGTACATGATATTGTGCCAGAAAAGATATTAAACTAGACTCTATCTTTAAAGAACCAACAGAAGAAGAACACTGGGCTATGTCAGAGGAAGTGTCTGTTTCTCTTCACACAAAGGAGGAGATTTCATACACAGGTATGAACAAAGACAAACTTTGTCCAAATTTACATTTAACAGCAAAAAAAAAAAAAAAAAAAAAAAAAAAAAAAAAAAAAAAAAAAAAAAGAAAAGAAAGAAAAAAGAAAAAGAAGAAGACACCATAATATAATCTATTTTTCTGTGAATATAATTAATGATTAGTTTATCTTAAAGATGAAGCTTGTAGAATACCAAAGGAATCCCAGAGCAATATTTAAGTCTCAAAAAAGGCTTAAATTTTTCGTTCTGGCTTATTGTTAGAGTGAAAGCTCAACTATTTCACTAGACCCTCCTTTGCAAATCCTGCCATCTCATGGACATTTGAGGGAAAACAAGGCAGCTGTGGTTTAGCATAATCTCATGTGTCAGACCTGCCAGGTGGAGGGTTTTAATCAAAGTCCATGGCTCTTAAAGAAAATTAATTGCCATATTACTTAGGGAAGTAATCTATTGATTTGTGGAAAATTATTCACAAGCTGGCTCACACTTACTATTTTTGCTCCTGTTGCTGTTGATAAAATTATCATCACCCTGAATATATCAGTATGAATTGAAAAACTAATATAACCACATCAATGTGAAGTTTAAATAATTTATTTAATCTTCTGGAGAATGGTTTGGGGACAGGCTGATCATGAATATTGTAAGGAAAATATAAGAGGACTGTCTTTGTAATTTACCAGCTGCTTTTGGAAAATAAGGGTCAAAACAAAAGGATATCAAATTCACCTGTTCTCCCAGCAAATTGAAGTGTTGTTGTGATAAAAGAATCCATAGAAACCTGCTTTTCCTGAGAAGAGTATTTACTCACAATGCAATTTTTGTAATCAAATCAATCAAAGTTACCAGTTCCAGTCAGTTTTAAGATTTCAAATAGAGATGTACTTGGCCCTTACAATTAAAAATCATGAACTCTGCCAGAGAACTTTTAAAAAGCTTGGTAGTCTTCACATCATCCCATTCCCTCTGCATCTACAGTCACAGTAGCTTGCCATGAAGGAAGCATGTGGGAATTCTCAGATTTGCCATTGACGGAATGGATTCCATCCTTAAAGATCATAAAGATCTCAGATCTGACAGAATAAAGGTCAAAATTATTCTCAAACTTAGCAAGCTTTGCTGCCTCCCAGATGTTACAATACTACGGTAATTTTCTGTGCAGCTTCCCCTGATATAGATTAGTAAGTCCCAGAGAGCAAAACCCATACGCTGTTGCTGGAAGAGAAGAGAATATGCTTTTTAAACACAGTATGCATTCTTTCCTGAATTTTCTGAATCTTAAAATCTGTGCATATTCACATCTTAATCTTTTGGAACTTTTTTTGCTGCTGTAGAGTTGTTGCTTGCCATTACTGAAGAAACCAGGCATTATGTAAAACAAATGACAGAAGAGAAATGCCTTCTTCACTGAACAGTGAAATCTTTTAGCCTTAATTAGGTTAGGGATCTTATCCATTCTTATCCACTCACTCAGCTTTTTTCTACATGCTCCCCCGTCTTCATCTAGAGTTTTCTTTGCAGAACTTTTGTTAACAGTGATTGAGACTTTGTTCTGTTACTGATGTCACTGTTGTGGAGAAGAACAGCCAAAGAGGATGCAAATGGAATTTAGTGATTTTGTAGTTGGTCGAATATGGATTTTGAATTTTTCTCATCAGCAGACTTAACTTCACTGCTGGCAGCAGTGGATGAAGTAGAAATCATCTCAAACACTTATGATGGGATCTTGAAACATTTATTGTTTTTTTACTGATTTACAGCCTACTTTAGTTCTGTAATTACATGTCCAGTGTCAATAAGTGCAATTGTCTTGTGTATTAACCATGTATTTGTATGATTTTTTTTGTCTTGACAAGAATATTTTTCTTCTAAATGACACTTCTAAGGATTCTTAAATATACATATACTGTATCTTTTAAGTGCCTGATGTACCAGAAAGGGCTATCATTGAAGAAAGAGTACCAATTTCTCCTCCTAAAAAAATGCCAAGACCACCAGCCAAAGGTATACTGAATGAAATATTGAAATATGATATAAACGTTTTCTGTGTCCTGTATGTTCCATGTATAGTGAGTACCAATCTGTTTTCTGAGAATTGTTTGTCCTCTGATTTTAATTCTTACTTGCCATTGCCTTGTGATCCTTAGTATTATTAAGATGTATGTGCTAAATTTTAAAATTCTTTTAATTGATATCTTTTTAAGTGCCCGAAGTACGCAAGATGGTTGTCCAAAAAGAAAAGGTGTATATTGAAGTTCCTCAGGATGAGGAGGAAGAAGAGGTTCCACAATATGAAGAAGTAACCAAATATGAGAAGGAAGTAATCCATTACGAGGAAGAAGTCCAACATTATGAAGAAATTAGTCACTATGAGGAAGAAGCTCCTCAGTATGAAGAAGTTCCTCAATATGAAGAGGAAGAAGTCACCCATTATGAAGAAGAAGCTGCTTATTATGAAGAGGAAGTTCCTCAATATGAGGAGGAGGAGGCAGAAATTCCCCAATATGAAGAGGAGGCTCCACCTCCAGTTAGAGGTATACTTTTATAATAGGACTGTGCAAGAATGAGAAGTATCTTCTGTTAATGTATAATAGTTTTGTCTTAGTGTATTCTGATGTGCTTCACAGATTGCTCTTTTCCAAGGCTTTTGAGGATTAGGATACAGAGTTGAAAGTGTGCTATATGCTTACACTTCACTACTTCCACAAATTTAAATGTTCCACGTCATAAATGTTCTTTCCTCTTTCACATGAAGTCTATATAACCAAGACAATTTAATTGGACTTTATTTTGTCCTTGTCAAATTCCACTGTCAGTCTGTGCTTGAAATGTTTAGAATTGCTCGTGAGAAGTGTAACAAAAAACTATATTTTTATCTAGCAAATGGCCAGGGTAATTGAAAATAAGTCATTTAAGAGCACAAGCCTCTGTGAATTCCTCTCAAAATTATTTGAAAATTCTGTAATTGTTGTTAGTGTATTTATTTATGGAAACAAAAGATATTAAAGTTCTATTAAATTGACATATTTCAATCCCCTTAATTTTTAGATATTTTCCTCAGAAATCATGTTTATGTTGATGGTATAAAATTTCAACATTGTTAGAACAGAGTGAACAAGTTATTTACTGTTGAGAGAGGAAAACTAGACCATGCCAAGATCTTAGTAATAAAGTCTTCCTACGTCTTAATATAAAGACGTGGACTATGTCCAGTTTTCCAATATGATGCAATTGTGTAAGAGTACACAAAGCATATTTTCCAGATATGAATCAAATCAACCGGTAGTGTTTTTTCCCCATAAGGAAGTTGAAAAAAAATTTTTTAACTGACTAATGAGTAAAAATTATGTTTAAAGTTGTTTGCTCTATAATTTTAATAAATTGATTAGTACATTTTTCCTATTAAAGAAAAGGCCATGCTGCACACAGCAAAAGTGAGGTTTCTCCTGAGCTGGAAAATTAGGGTTGGTTAAAATTTCTCTTGACTAATCTCAGCAATTAAAATTAACCTGTATGTGCAGCAGTCTTTCTTCAATATGCTCAGCAAGTGATCATTCTCCTCACATCCACATAAAACTTGCATGAATACTTCTGGATTGTGGAGTACAATAACTATTAGTATACATTTTAGTTGAAAGTGTAGTTAAATGGAAAATTTGTGCTTATTTCAGCTGAGTCAGGATTTGATTTGATGCCATTAACCAACAAATTATGGTATGGACTGCTGAGTGCTTGTTATTTGTCCAGTTCTCTGTTGGATTTGAATCAATATGTAAACTGTGTCCACTTGCTTTTAGCATGTTGGTAGCACTTGGAAAATTTTGAAGAATAAAATGTAATCAGCAATATATATTTGATATATGTGCAAAACTGATGCAGTCAGCATGATCAAGTGTAGCCTGTTGAATGTCTTTCATAGAAGTGTTAGGATCATAGCTTTAGAAGAAAGTAAGGAGAAAAGTGAAACCCTAAATATTAATACTGCGCTTAAAGCAAGTGCTTATTACAAAGTTTGTTTTCATCTACTGTTAGCATTTTCATTTGTTCCAAAAATTGAGGAAAGGGTTGAATTTGTATTTTAGTTAGTTTCCCCACTATTATCTTTAATTGGTTCTAAAAAGCCACATCCTGCCTTTCTCAGTCTTTGGCTCAACAAGTAAATTCTTGAACTAAAAAAGAAAATGTCTTGGTGGCATCTGTGGCTGATCAGGGAGGATAGGCTGAACAGCAATGAATGTGATCTGTTTTCTGTTTTATTTTGTCTTTGTGCTCAAATCATTTTAAATTATAGCTGTTCGTTTTGGGTATGACTTTGAGATTTATTTGTGTTAGGAGTTCTTGCTTGTTTGTTCCTGTTGTTTTGGAAGTAAATACCTAAGACATTAATGGTATCTTTCAAGTGCCTGAGGTGCTCAAGAAGGCTGTTCCAGAGGAAAAAATACCTGTTCTGAAGAAAAAGGAAGTTCCTCCAGCAAAAGGTATATCATCACTTGATGTTAGCAGGCATTCTCTGAATATATAACTTACACCATGTTGCAGATGCTTCACTTGGGCATTATTTTTTCTTTTCTTTTCTTTTGGGAGGGGGCTCTGTGTTTGATGTGTTTGCGCTGCTGTTTTCTGCTATTCTCTGTTTTGAATAGCTCGTGGGTTATGTTTTAACCAAAATAATCTTTTGAAGTGCCTGAGGTGCCAAAGAAACCTGAACCTGAAAAGAAAGTCCAGGTGCCAAAGAAGAAGGAAGCTCCCCCACCTAAAGGTATAGCAACTTATAATTATATGTAATCAGAAAGGTCTTCTAGACTTCATTTATCTTCTCACTTGTATTAAGCAAGATGACAGCAAAAGGATTATTGGTCTTAAGAACTGTCATTCTGTGTGTTTGTGTTAAAATGTTTAGTGTTATTGGCTTTTATGTCATGGTGTTGCAGCTGCTTATTCCAGGCTCATTTTACGATAATATCTTTAAAGTTCCTGAAGTGCCAAAGAAACCTGTGCAAGAGGAGAAGGTTCCAATTCTTGTAAAGAAAAAGAAGGATCTTCCACCAGCTAAAGGTATATCAGCTCTTAGCCAAATATTTTTAAAAAGCAAAGTTCTTCGTTCACATGTGTTCTTTAATGTAATGTAGTTTGAAGAGTCTATTCTTGTGTGTTCGTTTTGTCATTCAAATAGATTCATTCAATTTTTATTGATTCTTTGCGTGGTGGTTCAAAAATGAAATTCTTTAATTGCAATTATATCTTTAAAGTTCCTGAAGTACCAAAGAAACCTGTGCCAGAAGAGAAAGTACTTGTCCCAGTACCTAAAAAAGTGGAAGAACCTCCATCAGCCAAAGGTACACCATTTTCTGGTTCAAACAAGTAACCCTAGTTTTGTTTCTCCAGTTTTAGAAGACTGCAATCAACAAACCCACTCCTCTTCTTAGTGTATTTCATACTGAACCATTCATTGCCCTGTGTGTTATCAGAACACTGTATTGTGACTGTGTTATGTACACTTATGTTGAACATGGGTGATATATTTACTTTACACTTTCTAAATTTCCATGTTTGTGTCATGTATTGTCTCCTTTTTGTGGCTTTTTTTTTTTTTTTTTTTTTTTTTTTTTTGAGTGGGGCAAAAGATAATAGCTATTTACAATTCCAAGTTATTTTAAAATACTTGCAGTTTCAAAACCAGCTGCTCTGAAAGATAATGTACCTAAACATCCAGATTTCCCCCCAGCCTTACTACATTGACTTACAATGCAGTCAACTAGTTGTTTATAAATTTATATCTGTGGAGGAATCTGTAGTTGTTATTTTAAGAACAGTTATCATACACAATTAAATTTATCATGTTTGTGTAGTTATCTTAATGTCAGCTACACAGTTATTTTATGTTACACTGAAAATTATTTTCTTAATCAACAATGTCTTTAAAGTGCCTGAAGTGCCCAAGAAAGTTCCAGAAAAGAAAGTACCTGTCCCTGTACATAAAAAGCCAGAGCCTTCACCAGCCAAAGGTATCTCTTCTCATCGGCGAATTTGTGCAAAATGCTTCTTGTTGTTTCTGTATGTTTGTTATTAGTATATAACTGTAGTATCATAGCAGATTGTTAAAAATGTACTTGCTAATTTGCACTGTTCAGCTTCTGTATGTTGTCTCTCTGCTTCTGATGTTGTCTATGTACTTGCTAATTTGTGCTCTTCAGCTTCAGCGTAAGTTCTCTCTCTGCTCCTGATATTGTGTCTAAGTTTCTTACAATTAAATACTACCTCAGAAGTGCCAGAAATACCAAGACCTGCTCCTGAAGAGGCACCTACTTTTATTCCTGAAGAAGAGGAAGAAGAGGAAGCTATTCCAGAAATACCAGTAAAAGGTACAACATTCCTTCCTGAAAATTACCTGAAAGCTCTGTTCAGTTCGTCAGATCTTCATCTCTAGTGATTAAGTTGGGTGTAAACTTTAATTATTCTTTTGAAGGAAGTTTTCTTCATCTTATGGTTGTTTGTGACCCTTGTTCTGTATTTTTTTGTAGCTGTGTAGTAGTTGTGATGTTCTAAATGTAATAGAAAAATTCTTATCAAAACAATATCTTTTAAGTGCCAGAGGTGCCCAAGAGAGCTGTACCGGAAGAAAAAGTACATGTTGCAGTTCCTAAAGTAAAGAAAATTCCTCCAGCTAAAGGTATATCATTTTGCAGTGTGTGAAGATAATTCTCTTTCCTTATATTTTCATGTTGCAGTAGAATCAGTTTATAGTCATGTGAAGCCACATCCCAGGTTCTAGCACACTGCTACTCCACTGTAGATAGTGGAGTGCTAGATCTCAGGTAGGGCTTCCTTGGGCTGAGAAATCTGGTCTTGAATGATTTATTTGTTTTCGATTTTAAATGTTTGCCATGAATTAAAGAATTCATTGTGATATTGTTAGTGAGAATTCATCTTCCTGACTCACAATGTTTCAACAAAGTACTAATGTCCAAAATAATGTCCTGTGGGACTTTATCTCAAAATTCTTCAATTCATGGAGATCATTCTGACATATATTTTGAAAGTGTATGTTATAGTCTCAAGCCTACTAACTAATACACACAAAAAAGTCAAAACACAATTGGCTCTGTAAGTAACCAGAAGATGGATCCTAAATGCAAAATTTGATGTGGAAGCAGATTACTCAGAACCTCTTCTTCAAAGCTGAGCAAAGTCTACCTAAGCAGCTGAGTTTTTAGAACAAAATTGAAAAGAAAACAGTTATAGGATATATGTTAGAAACTAAAAAAATCTACAACCACTCATTTGCAGTTTACATTGGTAATACAGTTGGTAATAATTAAGTATAAGAATTAGGCGAAAGTAAATTCTCACATAATCTTATAATCAAATTGCTATTTTCATAAAAGGAATGGAAAGTAATGAATTGAGTTTCCCTTGTGTTACTTACTGTTACAGTAACTATCTTAGAGTTGGTGTCTTTTTGTTCTACATCATCAATTTTTCTTTGGAACATTGCAAAAGTTCTTAATATCTTTTAAAGTGCCTGAGGCACCAAAGAAAGTTGTGCCTGAAGAAAAGGTTCCTATGTTTATTCCTGAGAAAGAAGAAGAGGAAACTATTCCAGAGAAAACCATACCAGCAAAAGGTACAACACTGCTTGCAAGTTATCCATGAGATCTTTTGACTTAATTAATGTACTTCATTTCTTTTTCTGAGCTCTATGTAAATCTTAACTGTTGTATTGGTGAGTTTGTGGTCTTGTTTCATGTTTCTTAGTGTCTTCAGTGTTCTGAAAGTAGTTTTAAAATTTGTTTGCAAAATAATATCTTTAAAGAGCTGGAGATTCCTAAGAAACCTGCTCCAAAAGAAAAAATACCTGTGCCCACTCCTGACAAAATGGACCTTCCTCCAGCAAAAGGTATATAAATTAATAACTAGGAAAGCTATCTCTTGTTGTTCTCATTCAGTAGCAACATTTGTTTTATGTTGCTTGTTACTTGTGTTATTTTTGTGTCCTTATTGTCTTTCTGTATCAATGTCTCAGAGTGCCTATCAGATTCCTGACAAATAATAATCTCCAAAACAATTTAACTTCTTCAAAAAGTCTGCCCATGTCCTTTATTGTTATTTCTTTATGTATATGTACATATATGTTTTTATGTATATATCTATGTTTTTTGTAGTCTTACTGTTACTTCTGGTTGATGACATTCTAAATTGAAAATATATCTTTAAAGTGCCTGAGATGCCTAAGAAACCTGTTCCAGAAGAGAAGGTACCTGTTCCTACAAAGGTGCCGGTTCCACCAGAAAAAGGTATTGCATTTGTAAATGCTCTGTTGTTGATAGATAGCATTCTTCATACAAGCTGAGCTTAGCACAAGACTTTTTAATATGTCTGTGTTGTACTGAGTTTGTCACTTCACTGTTTCTTTCTGTACACTGTTGAGTTTCTGTTCCGCTGTTGGAAAGTGTCTCGGTTTGTGTCTATTTAAAAACTGTGCAACAAGAACACTGAAGTCAGGTTATATCTTTAAAGTACCCAAGGTGCCTAAGAAAGTTGTTCCTGAAAAGAAGGTACCTGTTGCCCCTCCTGAAAAAGTGGAAGTTCCTGCTTCAAAAGGTACACGTGCTCCAGATCATTTGTATTCATGCTAAAAAGACTCTTGAGCTTCTTCTTTCTAACTTTTCTCTGTTGTATGAGATTTCTGCTCTGATTTATGTTAAAACTCTCATCACTGTTTGCATTGTGAAGTCATTAAGCTGTTTATTGTCCATGTGTTTGTTTTTAATTATATTGCTTTAAGTTTTTCCTTCTAATTGCTAAAAGAAAATCATATCTTTAAAGTCCCTGAGGTGCATAAAAGAGATGTTGCAGAAGAGAAAGTACCAGCCATTGTTCCCAAGCCCAAAGAACCACCTCCAAGTAAAGGTACAGATACTTTTCTTTCTTCCTTTTTTTTTTTCCTCTTCCTTCCTAAAATCTTCTGGAATATGTACCATTTCTGGAGCATATTCTTAAATTTTGAAGTAAATAGTGCTTGTGGTTATCACAAATATTTTCTGTTCTGTATGGATGGTTTTGTCCAACTGTAAACGAAATGAAATAACTGTAAATGTACTAACAATAATACCATCTCTAAAGTGCCTGAAATACCCAAGAAACCCATTCGGAAAGTCCCTGCTCCGGCTCCTGTTCCTGCAGCAGAGAAATATGAATATGCATATGAAGAGTATGAGAAGTATGAGACGTATGAAAGTATTGAAGAATTTGAGGGGGTTCAGGAAACTGAAGAAATTGAAGCATATGAGGAACCTGAATTACCTGAGAGATACAGAGAAATCCAGGAACAGGAGTATGAACTGGAGGCTGAAGAGAAGGAAGATATCTATGAGAAGTATGAGTTTAGGGAGAAAGAAGAAATCTATGAGAAATATGAGGAAGCATATGAGGAAACTTATGAAATCCCACCAGCTATAGGTACATCATGTCATGATTTCTTTATTCTTATCATTGCTGTTTAAGCCACTGCTTAAGCCTCCTTCTTTATATTTTTCCCCATTTGTACTACTCTGTCTGTCTGCAGCTGATGATGATAAATCCATTCCCTATTACTAAGGAATTCTCTCCAGAGTGGAATGGAAAGATTGAACCAGTGTAGATGTGATACAAACAAAGTAAATGATACTTTTCTGATGCAATTCAGCTCCAGTCTGGATTCAATACTATTATGTATCAATGTGTTTCTTTTGTACATTTTAGTTCCGATGAATCATGGAGCTGTTAAAATTCAAGCAAGGCTTTCCTTCTTATCTTTTATATGTGTGATTATACGATCATAGGATCCACCATGCCAATCAAAACTGTATCTGAAATGTACCAGAAAGATGTACACTTACATTCCTTAGCTATCATCAAGTTCTGAGACTAGTGGTTGTTCTCTTGATGGCATAGATAATTATTCTAAATTAAGTGATTATTCTGCTTTCTGTCTTTGTATCTGTTGTAATTCCTCAAAACTAACTTAAAATCCCTATTGAAATATTTCTTAAAGAACCCGAGGTGCCTAAAAGACCTCTGCCAGAAGAAAAAGTACCTGTTCCTGTTCCAAAAAAAGAAGCTCCACCAGCTAAAGGTACATGAGCTTTAAGAGGAATTTAAAAATGCAGACTTCTGTCTTCTCAGAATCCCCAAAAGCAGTAAATTACCTATTCTGATTTGACAAATACCTAATTTTTTTCTCAGTACTGTCAAAGGCTGGGATTAAGGAACTTAATTATTAAAGATGAATACTTACTTAACAAATCAAAACTTGGACAAATTCTTTCTGAGGGCAAAGGCATTTGGAGGAGGACCTCCAAGATTTAATTTTTGCTGTCAGAGTATTAACAACATTTTATATCTAAGTATTGAAAACAAGTAGATGTATAAATTAAAAGAAGTCTGTCAAGCAGTCAAGTCATTTTCCCACAGAATCCCAGAAGACAATTACTTTCTTCAACCTAACTATATGCTGGAGTGGATTTGATACTGATATGTGTTCTCAGTGTCAGTCTCCACAAAGACTGTGTTATGAACAGCAATGATCAGCGCATGTTAGAAGAGTTCCTGTTGTAATTCAGAGTTCTTTACTTTTCTCTTCAGAGCTCTTAATTTGCGAGAAACTCACCTTGTGGTCAGTTTTTTATTAAGGCCAATCCCACTCTACTGAGTTTACCAAACAGCTGTGTGAATTCATGCAAAACAGATGAGGAGGATAGCTCTTAAGTCTACCACTCAATAGCAACCAAAGGCACTCTATTTTGTGTTTTTCTAATTCTAACTGTTCTTTTCTGACTCATTGCACTGTTTGCATTTTTTTTAATGCTTATTCTTATGTACTGTTACTACTGCAAAAATTCTTAAAAACGTTACAAATGTCTTTAAAGTGCCAGCACTGCCAAAGAAACCTGTTCCAAAGGAGAAAGTACCCGCTGTTCCTAAAAAGGAAACGGTTCCACCAGCTGAAGGTATATTTCCTTTGTGTTGTCCTCATTGAGTCATGAACTCTGATTTCAGTCTTTTGTTTTCATTATTCGTTGAGAAATACGTATCTGTGTTTTATGTCTCTATGAAGCTCTACTCAGTTGTTTGTGATTGAGTCATTTTTGGCCTGTTTGTTTCAAGTCATTTGTTGAAAAGACATGAGTGTTGCTTTGAAAAATATGTGCCTCATTCTTTAAGTTCAGAAGTAAGAGTACTTTTGGTCTTCCTGAAAAGGACGTAGTTTCCATCAGCTAAAACTAAGTCTGTCTTTCAAGAAAATGTTTTAAGTATGTTATTCTTCTGTCTAATCTTCAGAATTAACATAAATATTCTGTCAAGAAGCATTTAATCCTTCGTTGCTTTATGAATCTGTCTTAGATTTGCTTTTTTTCTAACTTCTTCCAAATAACTTTAAAAGCCCTAAAAGGAAATAAGATCTTAAAGGGCTGGCTGTTATCAGAAGAGCTGTCCCTGAAGAAAAGAAACCTCCACGTGCATCTGAAATGAAAGATAAAGGAACCTTAGCTATGAGATTTTTTGGAAAGGAAAAATTTAGGACTGTTTTTTCCCAACTAATATCTTCTAAAATGATCCTCGTGTTCTTTACACCATGAGAATGGTGTAATTTAGTCCCTAGCTGTTGCTTCAGCTCTAAGTGCTCTCTCATTCAGATATTCTGTATGTTTGTTATGCATGTGCTAGACAGAAATATGATGATTTATGAACAAAAAAACATGTTGAGTAGTTACTCTACTTACACTATCCAGACATGAAAACTTAATTTTTGTGATGTAGATGTAAATTTAGTTTAAACTGGGAGTTTAAAGCAAGTATAGTAGTAATGATATTCCTAGAGAAGTAATAGCACAAGAGCTAGTAAGTTCAAACCACTGATGTTGTCACGTGTGTCAGAAAGAAAGGCAAGAAGACAGAGTGAGAAAAGCAAACGCATATGCTCTTTGAAAGCAGAAACAATATGTTTTCTACGTAATTCGTTGTTCCAGCAAGACAGTTCTAGATGGAATGTTTCTTTCATCAAAATGCTCAGTATTTGGGAATTCAAAGGAATTTTGTTATCTGGACTGATTTCTCTTTGGGATTTTAAAAATTGAAAATTATTTTGAAGTTACTAAAAGAAAGCTAATATCTTTTCAAGTTCCCAAGATTGATAAGAGAGCTGTACTTGAAGACAAAATACCCATCTTAATTCCTAAAGAAGATGAGGCTCCTTTATATGAAGGTACATCAGTGATACATCTACTGAGCCGTAAATTGCAGAGAATTCCTTGGTTCACATTCTAGGTTGTTTTATAAAACATGAGTCATTTTCAGTTCATTTTGTTGTAATTGGTTGTAAGTAATTTCCATGAGTATCTTTGAGACTCTCTCTGCCTCCAACATTTTGATATAATTTTTAACATTTTTCTTTTCTCTGCTATTGCTGGGTGAAATAAATGTAAATAAGAGAGAAATTAAACTTCTGATCCGGGAAAACAGTTCAGCTGTATTAGAACAAAAAAAGAAAAAAAACCAAACAAAACAGAATGAAGCAAATGCTGGCTTAAGAGTTGATCTGAGTATGACTTAAATAATTTTTTGAGCTGGAATATAAATGCTTAAGTCCAGATATGGGTGTGGGAAATTCAACTGAAATATAGTATTGCATCTAAAACGAGAAATAAATAATTAGAAAATATAATGAAATATTTTTATAAATTTGTATTCTACACATTGGGAATGACCATTTCTAATAAGTGTAGGCAAACGATCAGGTTGAAATTAGATATTTAAATAAGTTGTGTTCAGTTATTTGTCTGCATTTGTCTCTGCATTTTACGCATTCTTTCTAATCTTGTCTTGTACATAATATTAAAATACGTAAAATATGCTAATATCTTTAAAGAGCCAGAATTTTATGAAGATCTTCCAACAGAAGAGCTCCCTGCTATTATTCCTATTAAGCCAGAAGCTCCAGCACCTAAAGGTACACTATTAAAACCATATATATATAAACCAACATGCATAATAATAACCTACAAGTCAGCTATTCGTACCGTCATCACTCTGTCTTTGCTCCAGTCACTTAATGTTCTCATTCTAATGTTTCATTAGTTACTATGTGTCTGTCATTTGTTCTTTGTTTTGTTACTTACATTTTGTTAATGTTCTTAAAAATGTAATATCTTTGAAGCACCTGCAGTGACAAAGAAAGCAGTCTCACTTAAGAAAATACCTGCTGCTGTGCCTAAAGAAGAAGCTCCTCCACCTCAAGGTATATGATCTCATAATGGAATTTTTTCTAATCTCTTTAAAAATTGAGGTAACAAGTGAGAAATCCATCATGAGTCTTTTTACTGAACAGCAATAGGAAGTGCTGTACGCAGTTTTCCTCCATTTCATCTCTTATTGTATGAGCAATTTATGTTCTTTATCTGAGGAAGAGAACATGCATACCAGGGGGATTAAAGGAAATCCTTTTGCTAACACAAAGAAATACAAAGTATTTCAGTAGCACTTTTCACAGGTTAAAATAACGAGCACTTACCAATGCAGTAATTCATCATTTAGGAGAACAAATTCCATAGGCATACTCTGTAATTATTTATTTTTTTGTCTCTTATTAGGAGCTGCACAAACACATTGATACATTTTGCATCAAGAACTTAAAATTTAAACAGACAAAATTATTTAAACTTTCCCACAGCCCAAAAATGTTATCAGTCATGTTATCAGGGAGTTCATTGCAGAGCCAAGGATCAACCTCATTTTTTGACTGCTAGTCACATTTCTTTTCCCAAACTACGTTCTCTGACAATGTCTTAAGACTAAATAAACAAAGAAATGCAGTGACAAATCTGCAAAGGTCCCAGAAGCCCTCTTTCCAGTTATGTCAGGAGCTCTGTTGAAGACTATGACTTCAATTCAGACAAAAATTACAAAGCCCTCCAGATATTTTTACGGAAACGTAGCTTTAAAAAAAAAAAAAAAAAAAAAAAAAAAAAGGCAACATTTGTTATCTTTTCAGAGATTACCAAATTCAGACTTGTAAGTGCCAGGATTTACAAAAACAGAAATGCATAAACTTAAGTTGTCATATTGTATTCACAGCTTAATGCCTCGCATTTTTATGCTTTTTTGTAGTAGCATTTTTGTTGTTTTACAAACTGTGCAACTTATTTCCTAGTGCAAATTTGTAAAATAAAATATTTTTAAATTTCTGAAGTACCAAAGAAACCTGTCCACAAAGAAAAAATACCTCCTGCTCCACAAAAAGAAGAAGCTTCACATCTTAAAGGTACAAAATATTTTAAGTGGGATTCGAAGAATAAGAGATCTGTTTTCATATATCTATCTTAAACAATTTTGGGAGTATTTTATGTACCACAACCTTTAGCAGCCACAGTATAAACCTGAGTAAAAAATAAAACTCACCTGGATTTGTGCTTTAGGGAAAAAAAAAATTGTTAGCTTAGTTTTGCAGCAAATGAAGGTAGGAACCCCCAAGGAAAAATAATAATTAAAAAACAGACAAATTGAAAAAGTTAGAGGGGTCTAATCGAGAAAGTAGATCAGTTAAGGACATGTCACACGTCTTCTGTTAATGTGCAGAGGTCTTATTGTGGCAGTATAGAAAGTCATAGTTGTTTTTTTTCCCCCTTATTCCAAATACACCTGATTTTTAGTGTAGATGTAAGATAGAGCTGTGCATATTAAGATGAGCTTGTACATTTGATTTCTTTGTCTTTCTTACTGTCTTGTCTGAAGATGTAATTCTATGTTAACTTTAAAATTATACTAATATCTTTCAAGTACGTGAAGTTTATGAGGAAATATATGTAGAAGAAGAAATTTCCACTGTTCATAGAAAAGAGGAGACTTCGACACCTAGAGGTATATGAACTTCTTGATCATCTCTCATCTGCAATTTGGTCATTCATCATCTGCAATTGATTATCTGCAATTTGCAAATTGATGACCTTCAAGAAAAATTTAATTATTCATGTTCATAGTTTGGATCTTGTTCAATATAATTAATATTTGTGTTCATTCTTTTTGTTCGTTACTTGCATTTAATACAGGCTTTTTTTGTATGACTTGTTTTTCTGTTTTGTAAAAATTCTTAAAATGAACTAATATCTTTAAAGTGCCTGCATTTGTGAAAATTGCTCCTGAAGTGCCTCTTGCTGTGCCTAAAAAACCAGAACCTACTCCTGTGTCTAAAAAGCCAGAATCACCATTTAAAGGTACTATAGTAGTCCAGTTAAACCTAGGCCTTGTCAACTTTTGTTCATATTTTGTGTTTCTTACTCATTTAATAGTTAGTAATCAACTTGTGTGAAATTTGTGATGTTGTTTGTCAGTTTTCGTGTTTCTCTACTAGTCATATTTATTTGTATGTATACTTTAAGTCGTAAAATTAAAAACAGTAAATATCTTTCAAGTGCCTGAAGTGCCCACAAAAGTTATCGCTGAAGAGAAGCCTGTCCCTCTGTCTAAAAAGCCAGAAGCTCCACCCGCCAAAGGTATAGGCCAACATATCCTTTCTTTATCCTTTTTCTTTAGCTTTCTTCTGTCTTGTTTTGCTCTTGTCCAAATGTTGAAAAATAGTTCAATTTGGCTATTTCTTCTATCCAATAACAAGCCGTTGCAGTGGTACAGAAATTATATCAGAAAATTATCAGAAGGACTAGTAGTAATAAGAAAAACTTTAGCTGAGTCAATAGGCAGAAAGATTTACAAAATAAGCATTTTCATTTTATGGATATTAATATATACTTAAACAGCTTCAGAAATTCCACAATACTCAAGCAAGAAATCTCTGTTCTCTTTCACATTGTTCATGTTAAACTTATTGATTCATTTTTCAATAGAAATAGCATTTGGCTATTGAAAACATTAGAAATACAGAAATACAATATAGAAATGAAAACATTTCTAACAGTTCATTCAGGTATTTTGGAAGGCTGTTTGAATGAGCATTTTGTGTCATATGTCACTACTGCATGACAAAAGTCTCCCAGTTAAGCTGCTTCAAGCCATTCTTTGTCAGAGTAGAACAAGTGCAACTGTTTTGAACATATAAGTGTTGTCAGACTGTCCTTTCATATCTACTTGTTCTATCTTACTTCCATGTATTGTGTGTTTTATTTTTCTAATTCCCAAAAGTGCATATCTTTCAAGTACCCACGCTACCTGAGAAATCTGTCTCAGAAGAGAAGGTACCTTTTGCTGTACCAAAAAAGACAGGAACACCACTTAAAGTCTATATGTCAACAATGGTTAAACTCTGAGAAGATTTCTCTTTCTCTTGGGCAGAGGTGTTTACATTAAAATAAAATTCATCCTTTCTTCCTTATTTATAAACATTCCTATAGAATGTAGTAATATACAACATTTCCTGCATTGCACATCTAATTTCAGATTCGTTCTTATGAATCATTCTGCTATTCTTCTTGTGACGCTCTTCTAAATAATTTACTTTAAATGCTTTAAAAATAACAAAAATAAATGCTGTTTTCTTTAAAGTGCCAGATGTGCCCAAGAAAATTCCAGAAGAGAAAGTACCCATCACTGTGCCGAAAAAACCAGAACCAACACCAGCCAAAGGTATATATAGAACTAAAGTTTGGAAGAAAAGACCTCTAACATGATTGTTTCAACTAGTTTCTGTTGTTCTACTATATTTATTTTCTGTGGTCATACTTTTAGTATGCTACTGCTTTGAAAAATCTCTTCTTTGGAGTGTGATTAGTGTACTAGTGAATTTAGAATGCTCATATAATTGGGCAGTTATGAGACTGATTCTTGAATACCGTGGCAGAAATCTTTAAGGGAAAGCAGTGCTTCTGTAATCTGACATACTGTTGACTAACAGTAAAAAAGAAAAAAAATAATAATTAGCTCCAGAAGAATGTTTAAGAACATCAAAGTACAGAGTGATACAGATATCTAACACAAGGGAGAAATCTATATTGACACAGAGACAAAATTATCATGCATAGAACATGACATAGAATATGACAAAGAAAGCAGACTGGACAGTGGCAGCCTTAGTCAGAGATTAGAGATGCTGTTGACTTAAGTGGAAAAGTTATTTTATGCAGAAGAATGCATTTAAGTCTGCCACATCCCCAATCTCCACTTGACTAAAGCTTCTAAAGGCTCTGAAATGCTACCTCAGACTTTACAGGGACACTGAGTACTAACCTTGTTTTAGTAAAAATGTGATTCCATTAAGGCTTTTCCTAATTTGTGGTTTTACTTAAAAATTTTGAACATAGCTGTGAAATTCTATAAAATATCTGTAAATCATCTCTTTCCTTAAAGAGCCTGAAGTGCCCAAGAAAATAGAAGAGAAAATCAAAGTTGCTGAGCCTAAAAAGCCAGAAGTACCACCAGCTAAAGGTACCTGACATTAATAAATACATGAAAATAATTTTTTTCCTTTCACTGATAAGATCTTTTTGATACTATTTATCTGTATTTTTTACTTCATAAAATGTGAGCTTATATATTTAATTTTGGGGAACAGACTCTTTTCCCCTTGATATGTTCAAATGTATCCCAATCAAGATTGAGAGCAAAAGGTCTCTTTGGTAAAGGATATTATGTGTGCTTGATGCTCCTTGGTGTCCTTTTGCTTCTGTCTTTTTTCCATTTAATGACATTCAAATTTATTCAGATATTAATATTAGCATTAGTATTAATTTTAAGGTGCCAGAAGTGCCCAAGTTGCAGAAAAGAAAATACCAGTTGTGGAGCCTAAAAAAATGGAAGTACCACCAGCTAAAGATATTTGCCATTATGAAACAAAATAACAGAATGGGAAATATCACCCTTTATTGTTTTAACATTGTAGAAGACAATACCCAAGACCTTTGTGGGATTTTCTTCTTTTGTTTAAGCTTAAGTGAACAAATGTTTAGATTTTTATTGTGAGAAAAGTATCTATATATCTTGATAATTGGTGAACTCCCTAGTACAGTTATGCTATTGTGCTTTAATGCTGTTTATGAAATTCTCATAGAAAAAGTTATTAATATTTTTCAAGTGCCTGAGGTACCAAAGAAAGTGGTCCGAGAAGAGATTTCAGTTAAAGTACCAAAGAAACCAGAACCTCCACCAACTAAAGGTAACTGCTGTACATGATGAATTAAAGAAATACCCTTTGTTGTCTAGAATGTGATTTTAGTAAATTTATTTTCTGTAATTATAAATAGTCAATATTTTTTGTTGATTAAGTTGTAGTTTTTATATGTGAGAGACAGAGAAGCATAGAAGTTAACCTTTTTGTTAAGCAAAAAAAAATTGCCTCAGAAAATTTTCTATAGCCAAAGAAAAATAAATGATGCTCATAACAAAAGCCACTGTTGTTTTTGATGTCCACAAGTTTTATTTTTGTCACGTCCAAAGTGCTAAGGAACTGTTTAAATTTCTTACGAATAACATAAACTACTTTCTTTTAAGTGCCTGAGGTACCCAAGAAAGTGGTTCCAGAAGAAAAAGTACATGTTGAAGTTCCTAAGAAACCAGAACCTCCACCACCTAAAGGTACATGTTCAGTACTAATAAAATTGCACATAAATTTTAATTAGTTTATCTGAATACTATCTTTTAAAGTCTGTGTTATCCTTTGCTATATTCTTACATGCATAAGTGTTATAGTTTGTGTTGTCTTCTTCCCTTATGAATAACTCTCAGTAACAGTGGCTATTACTGGAGCACATTAAAGAATATTAAAAACACATAGACTGTTTATAAGAGGGTTGGTTTTTTTTTCTGATAATGTTATCCTTTGAGCTATATTAAATTACAATTCTTAAAATTTCTGAAAGTAAGCAAATACATATTTTTAAAGAACCTGAGGTGCCAAAGAAGATTGTTCCAGAGAAGAAATTACCAGAACCTGTGGCTGTACCTGAAAAACCAGAACCTCTACCAGAGAAAGGTAAGTCTCAACATTAGTAGAACAATAAAAGCAGTATTTTTCCCCTTTTCTTTAAACTAATTTACCAAGCCTTCTGATTCTGAGATTTCAAATTGTGTTTGTTCTATGTATCTGGATATGTTTGTGAAACATGCATAGGTGGATCGTTTAGAAGAATAGTGACACATTTTGAATGTGTGAATTACTTGTCTTCTTTGCTCAAAATCATCTTACTATTTTGGATTATTCCTACTGTACTACTCACTACCTACTTTGGTTAATAAAAACAGCGATAACTAATATCACAGAATCACAGAATTGTAGGGGTTGGAAGGGACCTCCAGAGATCATCGAGTCCAACCCCCCTCTTTGAAGTGGTAGCAGCAGAAGAAAAGTATCCATTCTAGCAGCTAACAGCAGACCATGTCAATGTTCTTGAAATACCAGAAGGTCTACCAAGAAAAGCAATATGCCATCACTCAATTCTTGAGCTTCAATTTCTATTATTAATATCTTTTAATAATAATACATGCAGTACTACTAATATCTTTTGTCCTGCACACTTAGTTTATAAATACTGTGATTTTTTACTTATAGTGTAAATTACACTATCTGTTCATATATACCTCCACATATGGTGACATGAAGTGTGTGTGTGTGGATGTATTTGAAAAGCAAAAAAAACTGTGTTATATTTATCATTAAAACTAACATAAATGCTTGACAATTTTTTAATGTTTTCATTACAATTGTGCTTTTATGTATTTTGATTTACTTGAAGTTATGTGTTTGAGCAATCATTAAACTTAGAACTAATATCTTTTATATATATGAAGTGACCAAGACAACTGTCCCAGACAAGAAAGTACCTGCTGAGAGAACTGAGGGCGAAGAAAGGGGTGTACAAGCTCTGGAAACAAGGCTGTGTCACCTGGGAAGAATACAGGAATGCCGTCCAGACTTGCAGACGTGGGATCAGGGAAGCCAAGGCGCAGGCAGAACTGAACTTGGCAAGGGACGTGAAAAACAATAAGAAAACCTTCTACAGGTACATTGGCCAGAAGAGACAGGCCAAAACGGGCGTACCTACTTTGGTAAATTTAAAAGGAGAACTGGCTTCAACAGATGAAGAGAAAGCTGAGGTGCTGAATGAGTTCTTCACCTCGGTATTCACTGGTGGCCAGGATTCTAGTCTTTTTCACGTCCCTGAACCCTGCATCCCCAAACCTCTATGTGGGGACCAAGGAGGTAAATCCCTCCCCACTGTAAGGGCAGAGCAAGTCCGAGAGTGCCTCCTTAGATTGAATGAATTCAAGTCTATGGGGCCGGATGGCTTGCATCCCAGGGTCCTGAAGGAGCTGGCTGAGGTGGTTGCCGAGCCGCTCTCCATCATATTTGAGAAGTCGTGGCTGTCAGGTGAGGTCCCGGATGACTGGAGGAAGGGTCACGTCACTCCCATATACAAGAAGGGGAGCAGGGAGGACCCGGGGAACTACAGGCCGGTGAGTCTCACCTCCGTGCCTGGGAAGATCATGGAACGGATCCTCCTGGACAACATGCTCGATCACATAAAGAATGAGCATGTGATCCGAGACAGCCAGCACGGCTTCACCAAAGGAAGGTCATGCCTAACTCATCTTGTGGCCTTCTATCATGGAGTGACGGCATTGGTGGACGAAGGGAAGGCGACTGATGTCATTTACCTGGACCTGAGCAAGGCCTTTGGCATGGTCCCCCACCACATCCTCATCTCCAAATTGGAGGGAAGTGGATTTGATGGGTGGACGACCCGATGGGTAAGAAACTGGTTGAAAGGCCGCAGACAGAGGGTGGTGGTCAATGGCTCTATGTCCAGGTGGAGGCCGGTAACAAGTGGTGTCCCCCAAGGGTCTGTCTTGGGACCGGTGCTCTTTAACATCTTTATTAATGACATCGATGAGGGAATTGAGTGCACCCTCAGCAAGTTTGCTGACGACACCAAGCTGAATGGTGCGGTTGATACGGTGGAAGGAAGGGATGCCATTCAGAGGGACCTCGACAGGCTGGAGGGCTGGGCTCGGGTGAACCTAATGAGGTTCAACACGGCAAAGTGCAAGGTTTTGCATTTGGGCCGGAAGAACCCCAGGCACCCGTACAGGCTGGGAGGAGTGGTCGTTGAGAGCAGCTCGGCAGAGAAGGACCTGGGGGTCCTGATGGACGAGAGACTGAACATGAGCCAGCAGTGCGCTCTGGCAGCTCGAAAGGCAAATGGGATCCTGGGCTCCATCAGGAGAGGGGTGGTCAGCAGGGACAGGGAGGTGATCGTCCCTCTCTACTCGGCTCTTGTGAGGCCCCATCTGGAGTACTGTGTCCAGGTGTGGAGCCCTCAGTACAAGAAAGACATTGAGATTTTGGAAAGGGTCCAGAGGAGGGCGACTAAGATGATCAGGGGGCTGGAGCACCTCCCCTATGAGGACAGGCTGAGGGAGTTGGGCTTGTTCAGCCTGGAGAAGAGAAGGCTGCGGGGTGACCTCATTGCAGCCTATCAATACCTGAAGGGAACCTACACCCAGGAGGGGAGTAAACTCTTCAAAAGGGCTGACAACAGCAGGACTAGGGGAAATGGATCGAAGTTGAAGGAGGGAAGATTTAGGTTGGATGTTAGGGGGAAGTTCTATACAAGGAGAGTGGTTAGGCCCTGGAACGGGCTGCCCAGGGAGGTTGTGGATGCCCCGTCCTTGGATGTGTTTAAGGCCAGGTTGGACAGGGTCCTGGGCAACCTGATCTGAATGTGTGTGTTTGGTGGCCCTGCTAGGCAGGGGGGTTGGAACTACATGATCCTTGAGGTCCCTTCCAACCCGGGTGATTCTGTGATTCTGTGATTCTGTGATTCTGTTGCTGTTTCTCAAAAAACAAAGGCCATTGCAAGACCCCCCAAAACAAAGCCGTTTGTGGCACCTCAAGAACTAGAACCTGTGCGAGTAGTGCAAAAAGCAGAGCCTGATATGTTGCCTGAGGTTACAGGGCCTTTTGTGGCACCCCAAAAATCAGAGCTGTTCGGGGTAGCAGAAGAATCTGAGACTGTTTTGGTACAACAAAAAACAGAACTTGTTGTGGCATCTGAGGAAGCACAGACAGCTGTGGCAGCCCAAAAAGCAGAGCTTTTAGTGGCAGCAGAAGAGTCTGAGACTGTTTTCCTACAACAGAAAACAGAACTTGTTGTGGCACCTGAGGAAACAAAGCCAGCTGTGGCAGCTCAAAAAGCAAAACTTTTTGTGGCAGCGGAGGAGTCTGAGACTGTTTTGGTACAACAAAAAATAGAACTTGTTACATCTGAGGAAACAAAGCCAGCTGTGGCAGCCCAAAAAGCAGATATTTTTGTGGCAGCAGAGGAGTCTGAGACTGTTTTGCTACAACAGAAAACAGAACTTGTTACATTTGAGGAAACAAAGCCAGCTGTGGCAGCCCATAAAACAGAGCGTTTCTTGGTGCCTAGGAAACCAGAGTTTGCTGTGGTACCTGAGGAACCCAAGCCTGATGTGGCACCTCAAAAGCAAAAGCGTGGCGTGGTGCCATCAAAACAAAAACGTGTTGCTGAACCCCAAAAACCAGAGCCATTCATGGCCCCTGAGAAACCTGAGCTCACTGCAGCACTTGATAAGTTAGAGACAGTTGCAACACGCCAAAAAACAGAGCATGTTGTGTCCCCCAAAACCAAACCTTTGGTGGCACCCCAAAAAACAGAACTTATTGTAACACTTGAAGAAACAGAGTTTGCTGCAGATTCCCAAAAATCAAAGATGGTTGTGGCACACCATGAGCAAGCACCTGTCACAGTGCCTGAGGAACCAGAACCTCTTTTGGCAGCCCAGAAACTAAAGCATTTTACAACAATTCAAAAGCCAAAGCCTGAAGTGGCATTTGAGGAAATAGAACCTACTTTGGAACCTGAAGAACCACCACTAGCCAAGCTGGTCAAAAAGTCAGAGATTGTTGCTGTACATAAAAAACAAGCTGCTCCACGACCGAAAGGTATATCTTATGAATAGGAAGTCTTTTTCTTGAGTATAGTATGATTCAGTGCTCATATTAGAGCTTATAAACGCATAACTAATATATACTAATATCTTTAAAGAACCAGTAATGCCTCAGAAGGCTGTCCCAGAAGAGAAAGTTCCTGTAGCTGTTCTGGAAGAATCAGAACTTCCATCAGCCAGAGGTACATACAGTCATGAATACGTAAATACACATAATCTTCTCTTACGCACTGTTTTAACCTCTTTTGTTCTGTCCTTTTTAATGTGAGATTTTAAATGGCACTTGCCACAACAAATTGCACTGAGCATGAGTGTGTGACAGATTGCTTCTTAAGAACATTTCTCATCCTCTGTGTTTCAGTCTGTGTATTTATATTTAGATGTATTGTAAATGTAAAATGAACTAATATCTTTCAAGTGCCTGAGATGCGTGAGAGGGCTGTCCCAACAGAGAAAGTGCCAACTTCTGTACCTAAAAAACCAGGAACTCCACTTGCTAAAGGTATATGCAATGGTGAACCCCATCATTATTATGGTGGGTTTCTTAATTTCTGAGTTACTTGGAAATCTCATTTTAAATTGATCTTTTACTGTCATAATCTGGTATCTACCACGTTGGAGTCATGTACAAAATGTGAACCACAATGAAAATAGTTCAAATGTATTTCCTCAGAATATTCAGGAAAAGAGATTTTTCCAGGTGAAATACTCAAAAATTATTTAAGTAATAGTAAAAATCTGCATACACTATAAATTAATGCAATGCTATTCCATTTCATTTTTTTCACAAATTCCCAAGCAAAGGCCAGAGAAATATGTTTTTTCTGTCATTGTGTTTTGATTCCCTCAAAACACAGAATCCTCATGTGAAGTACCATTTCACAGTGATGGAATGAAAGGCATAAAAATATTTTTAATGAATACAAAAATGCACAAATGTAAGAAGCATCAAGTAAAAAGATGATGCAGACAGCCAAAAGTTACCACATAAAAAAAAATCATGAGTAACATGCTAAAGACATTGAAGTACAGTTGGACGCCGTACATTGGACCTTGATCAGCTCTTGCGAAGACAGTGTAGGCTTCCCACCCTCTCTCAAAAACTGAAGCTAAACAAAGAATTCCCACCTCCTGCGTGACATATTTGACACCCTGCACATTCCACAGGCTTGATGCAAAACATCATTGTCAACCAACTGTAGACACAACAGTTTCTCAGGGAAGACTGTGCATGAATGTTACTGATTGTCTGTTAGTCTTGTCTAGGTCTGTACAACCCACTAAACTAGAATATACTAATATCTTTAAAGTGCCCAAGGTGCCCAAGAAAGCCGCTCTGGAAGAGCCCATGCCAGCAGCTGTGCCAAAAAAGCCAGAACCAGCACCAGCCCAAGGTACATGTTGCCATGAACATTATCAAGCAGAATCTTGCTGCTGATTACCTGATGTTTTTCAGTACTGCCACTGTGTGCGAATTGGGAACTCAGTTACCTGGTACTTCTACACACAACCCAAGGGATATTTTGAATTTATTGTTACATTTTCAAATTCTGAATCACCAGGCAGAAAAGTTTCGATTTTTAAGGGCGTAGCATTATCAGAATAGCACCAAACTTTATCGTCTTAAATTGAGACAGCAAAAGGTCTTCATGACTCAGTGACTGTCTCAGTGACCGTGTATCGTAAGCACAAGTCTTTCAAAATGAAAAGCCTGTTTTTATTCAGAAATGCACATACAGTGTGAGTCGGAAGAAGTGATGTCTTAGTAAGTGCTGAAAGAATAATTAGATACTTTGAGAGAATGCAGTGGAGGAATGATTTATAAAATCCAAGTGTGGGAGTTGCTGCAATGAGGAGAGGACAGAAAGAAGAAATAAGATAGTGAGAGTGAAATGAACCAGTAGAGTGAAAAGTGTAAACAAGGACTGGAAATGCAGAAGGAGAGAAAGAGAGATGAAGGAATAACAGGGGGATTTGCGTTCCTACACCGCCTATGACTGTAGATAAGAGATGGGCTGAGGCTGTTCCCAAGGAGCTAACAGAGCTGAAAGTGGCAGTTTCTCTTTGTGGATAAGGAACGCTGCAGGGTATGCAGAGGAGTATCCTCACTCACACTTTGCCCTTGCGTAACATAAACATAACCTAACTACAGATGTTCTGCGTCTGTGTGTGCTTGTGTGAGAGAGTGAGAAAAGGATGGGATTCATACCAGGAGGCCAGCTTGTTTATTTTCTTGCGCGTACCTTTGGTTTAGGTTTCATTGTTTGTCGTCCTGTATAGTATGTCAAACTGATGGTTACTAATATCTTTAAAGCGCCTGAAGTGCCCAGGAAGGCTGCTCGAGAAGAAAAAGTACCTGTGGTCACTGCCAAAGCACCTGAGCCTCCAGCAGCCAGAGGTACCTGACTTGGTGGATAACTTGACAGAGAAGATACTTAATCTGCTTCTCTTGAGCGTTGTCCTGCTCTCTCTTGGCCTGTCTTTGTTTTAAATCTGAGACTCTTGAAGTTGTGAATGTTGGGTAAACTGTGCAGCAGCGTCTGAGGTTTTGGTCTCGCTTTTGTGGTGTTTAGCGTCTGCATTGCCCTGGTGTTTGTTCCTGTCTGCCCAGTCTTTTCATCACTGTAAAATGAACCCCACTAATATCTTTGAAGTGCCTGTGATGCCGGAGGCAGAGGTCCTGGAAGAGGAAGAGGAAGAAGAAGCACCGGAAGAGGCAGAACCAGTGGCAGAGCCTGAAGAGCCAGAAGCTGCTCCAGCTGAAGGTATACCATGGTGTCCTGGAAGTGTCTGTCCTGCTCTCTGCAGGGCTGGTGCAGTGCTGACTGCACTTCTACCCTCTGCCTTCCGTGGGGAGGGATGTGAGCTGCTTGTAGCCACCTTGTGTTTGTACATGCCCGTTTGGGCCTATGGCAGGGGGTGGTGCTGGTCTGGGGCCATGCGCCCTGCCATGAGCCCTCTTAGTCACTTTGCCGCAAGCAGTCCACCTGGAGGAAGCGTGGATGGTTGAAGAAGACTGCCTGTAGCATGCCAAGGGCTTGGTTTTCTGCTTTGCTGCTCACCATTGGGCTGTCTGCTGCTCTTTGTCCCTGTCAAGTAAAAGAAACTAATATCTTTAAAGTGCCTGAGGTGGTTGAGGAGGAGGAGCCAAAAGAAGAGGTTCCAGTGGTTGTTCCCAAGAAGCCTGAAGCGGTGATCAAGAAGCCTGTGCCAGTGCCTAGGAAGCCTGAGGCAGTGACCAAGAAGCCTGAGGTGGTGCCCAAGAAGCCTGTGCCTGTGCCCAAGAAACCAGAGCCTGTGGCTCTGCCCAAGAAACCAGAACCTGTACCTGTTCTTAAAAAACCTGAGGTTCCTCCATTGAAAGGTATATAGATCGGTGTCGTGAACAGTTTCAGTATTTTCAGTGATATGCACAGTGCTTATGTATTTGTGTATGCAGTGTCCCTGAAAATTTTATTCTTCATATTCTTAGTCTGTTTCTCTTAGTCGTTGGCGCTTTTCTGCATTGTGCTTTTGTATGTTTCAATATTCACAAATATGAAAATTAAATATCTTTAAAGCACCAGAAGTGACAGCAAGAACTGTCCTAGAGGAGAAAGTGATTCTTGAGACACCTAAAAAGCCAGAATTCAAAAAACCAGAGCCTCCTCCAACCAAAGGTATATATGTCTTGAAGGCACTTTCTTAGAATGTCTTTTCTGTTTCTCATTCCTTTGTTTATAACTGTGTCTATACAATGTGTCTTGTTTACTTCCTGTTCAGAACACATTCTTTTGTTGTTGTGGACACTGTTACTCGCTGTTATTTTCTTTGTGGTAGTTGTCATTTTCTTTTTATGTTTCATTCACACATTTATTTGCATGTAAATAAAATGTATTAATATTTTTTGAAGTGCTTGAGGTCCCCAAGAAAGTTGCCTCAGGGGAGGAAGTACCTGTTGCTCTTCCTAAAGTACCTGAACCTCTACCAAGTGAAGGTATTATTGTGAAGACAATTTAACTGTTATTCCAAATGTATGCTTTAAAAAAAAAAAATTCTTCTTTTTTCCCTATTCTAGTTCTTGTATTTTGTTCACTTCACATTTTAGATCATACCAATTTATGTTTTTGTCTCTTCTATTACAGTTCCATAGGAGAGAGCTAAATATTACTGTAAATATTTTCACATAGTCCTACGTTGGGTATTCTTAAGAGTATCTTTTATCATTCAATTTTAGGCAATAATCAATTCTCACTAAATTCACATTTCTTAAGACCTAGTATTTCTATTGCTGTAATCTTAAATTAACTAAGAACGTTCAAGCTTTTATTTTCTCCAGTTATAAATACTCATCCAAAATTTATTTCGTTTATATTGTACGCATAAAAAATACTATCTCCATCCAATCCTGAATTACACTTGCAGATAAAGCATTTTTCTCAAAGAATGCATTAACTGCAAAATTAGCGGCATGACCTGATGCTGAGTGATTATGTATCCTAACATTTATTTGTCTGTGTGTATTGGAGTAGCCTTCTTTTTATTGGTGTCTGCAATGATCTTATCATTGGAAACTTACACCAGTTATCAATGTTCTTTAAAGAATATGAAATTGAAAAGGAAAGTGAAGCTGAAGAAACAGAAGAAATTTCAGTAACAGAAGTAGAAGAAGCTTTACCAGTTGAAGGTATATAGATTACCTAGAGGCTATCTGACAGTTTCCTCATCCATTACTGCACAGATTTTCTTGCTCTGTTGTTCTTCACAAATATACCTGTGTGCTGTTAGTCTCCATGTATTTCTTTCCCTCTTACATGTTGCAAACAAGTTCAGATCTCTTAATTCTTCTAAGTATAATATGCAAAATATTTTAAGTGCTTTCACTTTGTTTCCTGTCAACTGGATTCTTCTTAATATTTGCTTTCCCATCTTTGTCCTCATGTTATTAACAAGTTTTTTTAAGTGAGCTTGAATGTCTGTGTTTTGTGTAAGCTACAGAACAATCGCCTAAAACTCTTGCTCCCATTTGATCAAAGAGATTTTTTTCATTAACTTCCTTGGAAATGGAAAATTATCATCTTTATGTTCGCACTCTTCACGTATCTACTGTGGTAGTATGTTTATTCTAAATATACCTAATGTTATTTAAAGCACCAGAACCTGAAAAGAAAATTCCTGAAAAGCGAAAGCCAGCAGTTCCTGCACCAGTAGAAGACATTAAACTGGCAAAAGAACTACTTAAAGGTATAAGCATTTGAAGCCACCATTAACAGTGGAGATTCAGACATGTAATCCTCTTTAATTACACTGGTGAATCTTAAAAAGCGTGTTTTAGAACGTGTCACTGGATCTTTCTTCTCTATTATTACTCTAATAAGGCATTTTGCTAATGCTAAATCTTTATGAATTTTCAGCGTATTGTGGGTAAATAATATTTTTTTACTTACTATATTTTACTATTATTATGATAAGTCAGTTTGCATGCATTCTTTTCAATAGTTCTGGAATAAATGAATGTATTTATGAGTATCTTTAGAAAGTTAACACGTTTGTTTATGCTTAACATAATTCTTCTACTTTTAACGTGTTCTTACAAAAGACAAGAATCCTCACCCGTTATTTGCTGATTCTGCTTTGTAAACATTGGTTTCAAATCAACTCTGCTTCATTTCACCCGACTTCTTCTAAATAGCTAATCAACCAGAATCTTACCTTTGTAGCCCTTGTCTTTCTACAGTGTCACTTGTATTAACCAGCTATATGTATTTTTGAGAAACTTCTTTTTGGAATCAGGTTATATATATGATAAAATTCAAATAATTTTCTTTAAAGCTCCTGAAGCAAAGAAGAAAGTTGTGACAGCAAAACCTGTTGAGGCTCCACAATTGGAACCCCCACCTGCTAAAGGTACCTACCTAATAAAAATATCTTTATTCTCTGAGGCATCTTTTGAACCAAGACTTACACCTTTCAGTATATTCTTCTTTAATTTGCTCAGAAATATCAAGTGGTGCCTTTATTAGACTGTACTTCAAGAATAGACTCTAGTCTTGAATAGATATAGTCCATGTCCTCATTAAATTCCCATTTTACAATTTATGAGATGTAAAAAAGATAATAACGGAAGAGTAAGAAAGTTTTTGTCATTTGTGTTTATTCCAGTTCTCTGCTTACAGAGAAATAATAATACACTGTTTAAGTGTATATAGCATTGTGCATCCATACTTGCTGTTTGTCTGACATGTAACTTTATTTCGTGAAAAGACACTTCCAGAATTGGCTTATGAAAGATAAATTGAGCAAGACACTTTACAAGTACTGCTTTGCATTCTTCAAATGTACTAGTGTTCTAAGCAACACCATAGAAATATCTTAATGCTTCTTAGAGATTAAACTATGAATATCATAGTACAGGTGAAGGTAATGAAAGAGTTAAAACGTAAATATGATAACTCTCTTTGAATACATAACTCTTCTAGTTTTCTGAGTTCATACTTCACTTTTGTTATTTTGCATGAAAATTTACTCTTGTGGATAGGCCTTTAAGACCACTGAACAAATGGTAATGGGAGGTTGATTGAAAATGCTGACTTCAATCTCAGCAATTATTTGCTTTGAATGTTCAGTAGTGTACCAGCACTTTATTTGTGTGTTTGAAGTTGTTAATTGTTAATTAGCTCTTCCTACTGGTATGAACCTATAATAAAATCTGGAATAATATTTTTCTAAGTTCCTGGACTTGTAAAGAAACCTCGTAGAATAATTCCTGAAGTTACCCCTCCACCGAAAGAAGAAGTTGTTTTGAAAAGAGGTACAGTAACTTATAGTGGCATAAAACCCTGGAATACTAACATTGTTCAGTGTGTTCTCCTAAGTAATGTCGCTTTATGTGGTGTGGAAAATTACATGAGTAGTGTACTACCTGATGGGTGTTTATCATGGAAAGAGTTTATAATTGAAGAGATAAAGCAAGGGCATGCCAAAAATTAGTTAAGTCCAAAGGATCTGTGCTGCAAACAGAGTAGAATGCTGAAAATCTGGTTCACTGTTGTAACTCTCTTCTGTTTTCTATTGTCTATAAAACCTATACAAAAACTCAATTTTTCAGTGTCTTCAGTTCATGGACGCCTATATATTTTCCTGTGATACTGTAGATTTTATTAAAAATCACACGTGACATTCTCTTTTATGGTTTTCTTGGAATTACTGCACTGCTCTCAGGATCCAGTGGCACTATTGGATATCATTCTCCTTTCCTGCAAAATCTTGAGCCTTTCAGATTACTTTGTGCTCAAAGCTTAAAAAAGAAGTAGTAATACCCAGGCTCTTTGAAATACTGAATGATCATTTGTGCCCTTCAAATTTTAGACAATCCAATTCCACAGATGTTCAACTTTTCACATGAATCTCGTTAGATAGTCAAAATGCATATCTGACAGGACAAAAATAACTAAAATGTAATCCAGACAAGATATAAACTAGAGCTCTCCAAATACAACAATTGAAAATTATTGTTTTCTTCTCTGATGGAAGTCAGTAGATATTTAATCCAGAATCCTTCATTTTGTCCCTGAAAATCACCTATAACTGAAGTTATTAATGCATAATTATGTGGTAATTGATCTTTAAATTGTAATAGATGAAATTTTTCTCTCAGAAGAAAATACGAGACTGACAGACGTCGTTCAAATGTTGTATATGGACATTTATCTGCTAACTAAACTCTCATAGAATTAATCCAATATTCACTCACCACAAATGCAAAGATACATTAAGAACAGTTCCTAAAATGTTTTAAGAAAGCACTAGGAAACTGTGGTGATGTTATTTAATCTAGTAGGACATTTTGAATTTCATACTGGATATTTGTAGATTAAAAATAGCTTGACATGAAAAGCTGTTGTTAACTAACATGCTTGATGAATACTGTGTAAATAGATAATATTATTTTAAAATATATTTTATCTTCCATTATTCTCCTGAAATACCTACCCATAATATCTTTTCCATGAAAGCTCTATGATAAGAAATCGTGTTCTGTCATAGACAGTTAACATCTTTCTACTCAAAGAGAGTGATCTTAAAACATCTTTTTGCTCTAGATTACTTTTAAAATGCTTTCAGAATAGTATTTTACTGTGTATTTCATATGCCTATTTCTTCATTGATTGTATATGTTTAGGCTTCTGTCTTGCTCACTATCTATCTTATTCATTTGTTTACCTGTGCTTTAAAAACTGAAATTACTTTTCTTTTAAAGTTCTTAGAAAGAAACCAGAAGAGGAAGAACCTAAACCAGAGAAAGAACCTAAACCTGAAGTTAAACCAGTACCTACACCAGTAGAAAAAATTAAGAAACCTGAAGGTACTAGCTTACATTCAAATCTATCTGGTAGAAAACTTTTGTGGAAAAGAAAAACAACAAAAAAATTAAAAAATATTCTCTGCAACTCAGAGTTCCAAAATTCTCTCAGTTTTAAAATTCAGATTTGAATAGATGAGCTTCATAAATGTAATTCTGTGAATCAGAGCTTTGCTGGGAAGCACCACCAAATTTGGCATGCACATTGGGATCTGAATTCTACAGTGTGTAATCTGACTTGTCAATCTAAGTGTAGAAGAGAAATTTACAAGTATACTGTAAAACTGATTTAAAAAATTGCAGTGAAATGGTTAATCCAAATATTCTTTCAGTCAAGGTCTTGCAAATATGTGTCCTTTTGTCCATTTTACTGCTTCTAATTTATTCAAATCCTAGCCTTAAAAATACATGTTCTTCAGCAGTTTGAGACATTAGGTTTTAAGTTTGAAAAGGGTGAAGACTTTTAATTATATTGGAGAGGGAGGTATTTAGAGATCCAAGGTGTTGCAGTATATCTTACAAAATAATGTTTTAAAGTCTCAGAAGTTCCCAAGAAGAAAACTGAGATACCTGTCATTAAAAAGGAGGAGAAACATGTTCCTGAACCACCAAAAGGTACATATGTGTGATGCTATTTTCTTTATTGCAGCAACTAAATTTTATTAATTGCTGCATTTCGCACTGAATTAAATGAATGCACTGTTGCCATCCCTTCTGTCCATGACAATTATATATGTGTTAACTACTTTGCATTCTTCAGGATTTCTTTTTGTCTTTGATTCTTCAGTGCTTGAAAAATTTCTTTTTTTTTTCTATTTTATCTTGCTTTTAAAGAGCTCGTCTCCAGTAAATTTCTTGCTTGCTGGCAAAATTTGTTGAAAACAGTTAGGTCTGTCCTCCATTAACTCTGTCTGTATTGTTGCTTGGAAATTTTATGTCCAATGAGATTAGAAATTATGTAAATTAACCTGTTTGTAATTGTTGTGTTTCAAATACTAGAACCTAAGCAGGCAGCTATCTCAGTTCCTGGGCCTGAACCTAAACCTGCCATAGGTAAGACTTCTTTAGCCATGAATACCAGTGCAACCTTACTTGTACAACTTTTTCATTTACAGTTTTTTTTTCCTTGAAATGACATTAAAAATACATGTCAGCTATAGTACTATAAAGACATACACTCTGCAGAGCATCTTGGTGAATATCATGCTTAAAACCAAAGTATTCATTGAGATAAATAAATGAGAACTCCTTTATAATTTTTTTTTTTTCCTACAGCTTTAAAATCTCCAAAACCAGCAGCAGAACCAGCACCAGCTGTTACTACTGCACCAGTGACAACTCCTGTTGTTGGAAAGAAAGCAGGTATTTATGATAGTTCTATGCTACTTATAGGGTTTTTCTCTATAGATACCTAAATACGTGAAAGATAAAGACAATTAACAGCTGTACAATCGTGTAACTCATTCATTACCAGGTAATTTTAGATCCTGTTCCAGGATCCTGATATCCTTGATATTGCCACCTGATGTGAAGCTTATCTCTGTGGAATTCCACTGAGATGAATCTGTACTATTATTTCTGGATTGTGAAATGTATGCTTGGATTTTTTTCCTACTACGAAGTTTGTGTATTCTGTTTATTCATGTTGTTTATGTTCTGATGTATGTCTTGTGAACTGCATCTTGAATCTTCTGTGTTGTAAATGGATGATTACACTCATTTCTAAATAATTCCTGCATTATTTGATCTTCTGCTTTCAATAACAATACTTTGTTATTGAAATCCCAAGGGAAAGTGGCAGCAGTGTTGAAGAACCAGCGTATTGATAGCTTAATATGATATGCTTGGGGCTCTAAGTCCTACCCCACTATGAACAAATCATTTGTTCTCCTCCTCAAAGCATTCTAAGTCTGAGGTCCATCGGTAGATCTGATGTAGATGCTGGTCAGCCTTTGATTAGATGACATAGTGGCACTGCTATCCATTTTATGTAGGTAACGGGGTCCTAAACCATTGTCCTTGAACCATTACTTTCTGCTGCTTTCAATCTGGATTGAATATGGACTGGTAAACTACTGGGATGATGCTCTGTACCGTGACATTTTGCCATCTGTGCTGTTTTTATGTATCATTCTTATCTTTTTTTGTTTCGTTTTGTGTTTTGTTGTATAGTCTGTTGTGCGAAGAAAAATTGTTCTATGTTCACTTTATTTCAGGTATAGCTGGAAATTTTGTCTTAAAATGTGTTGTTCTTGATGCTTATTCGTTTGGATTTTAACTCTCTAAATTACCTGTGAAATCTTTGTAGCTGCAGAAAAACCTGATGCACCATCTTTACTAAAGCATAAAGGTAAAATGCCTCCAGTGGAAGAAGACAAGACTGAGTCAAATGTGTTAAAGAAGATATCAGTTGAGAAACATGCACATATAAAAGAGAGACTAAGTCCTAAAGAGACAGTTCTGGACGTTCAGATGGTAGAGCCATTTGAGTTAAAAACTTTGCTGGAAACTGCTGGTGGATTATTAAAATCAGAACGATGTGAGCAGGAGCAAGTAATTCTTAAATATTTTGTGCTGCCTCCTGAAGGAGAGGAGCTAGAAATGACTCATTTAATTTCAAGGACTCCTACCCCTACAGGTGAGACAAAAGAAGTTGCAATGGGTCATGTTACTTACGAAAAGAATGAACCACTACTAGTTGATGAGGAATTGCAATTGATCTGTATATCGTCTGAACATGAGGAAACTGTTTGCAGAGAAGAAAAGAGGGATGAAGCTAAACTGGCTGTTCATGAGGAAGGTGATATAGAGAGAGTCTCTGACAAGTCCAGGCTTCTTCAGGAAAGAGAGATTCCTGCATATGAAAAAGGAGGGGAAAACGAATCAACTTATGTACCTAGTCTTATACCCAGAGGTCCTTTTGATCCCAGAGACAAGAAGAGATTTGTAAGAACAGAGAGAAAATCGAACATAAGTTTGCAACATGAGGAACCTCCCATTAAGGATAAAACCTCATTTGTGAAGACTGTCACACAAGCAGAAATATCTGGTAATCCTCTGCTTACCGGTGAAGAAAAGAGAGGAGAATTTACTCTAGAGAAATCAGAAATTACCCCTGGAGAATCCGTGAAGGACCGTGGTATGCAGAAGAATGCTCAACAGGTGAAGAAATCTGGTACGACAGTAGCTGAAATTCCTATGTATAAGACTCTTAATAAAGAAGCAAAGAAAATGGAAATTGTTCAAGATCATGAGAAAGATGAGAAAAGGGACTTTACATCATTGAATCTACATCCCTTAGAACTGTCTGATGAGACTACTGAACCAGCACTGAAAGAAGACCTAGAACACCTCAATGAAGAAAATGTAGTCTCTAGAGTAAAAGCTCACAGAGACTTTGAACAGTATGTTCGTTATCCGCAAGTAGTGGACATGAAAACAGGAGAAAAATATTCTGCAGAGGAAGAACCCATTGAACTTCATTATGAGGAGGGTTTAGAATCACTGTTGACTGAGAAAGCACTACTAAGTGATAAAAAACCAGGCAGAAGGATTATATCAGAGAAGAAAGACAAAACTATTTTCAGCAGCCCATTAAAAAAAGACAAATTTAGACAATCAAATGCCCCTGAAGAGCTGCCCATGGGAAAACAAGAATTTGATACAGAGATTATAGGTGAAGGAATGGAAAGAGAAGTTTCCATAGGAGAACATGAAAAGGGAGTTGGAGATGAAATAGCTAACAGAAATGAGTCAGCAAAGAAAGTTCCTATTCAGCCACCAAGGAATCAAGATAAAAAACTATTTCAAAAGCTTCATACCACTCCATATGAAAGTGAAAAAGCTCTGGATGTCAAAAGCAGCAAAATTAAAACTGAAGAAAAGAAAGCTCCTCTGACTGTAGAAGAAGTGAAGCTTACTGGAGGAGCGCTTCAAGAGATAGAAGGTATATCAGATGAAAAAACAGCATCTGAAAATGACTTTGGAAAAAGCACATCTGTTACTAAGGGAAAAGAGAAGGAAATGCTTCCAGGCAGAATGACATCAGGTAAAGGAATCCCTGAAAGCAGAGAAATCACTTACTCCTCCAGCATAGGTAAGATAATCACTCCCAAGAAAGTGGAAGGAGGGAAGGAGTACTGGAAATCAGAACCTGCTCATGTGACTGAGCAGGTCAGTAGCCTTTTGAGTGGTGACAGGAATTTGGATGCATCTGGTGAATCACATCAAGTTCTGGATGTTCCTGTTAAGCCTCATGCAAAGCGAGGTGAGGAAGACTACTGCCAAATTCTTCCACAAAGTGCTTGTACTATTTGCTTCAAGAGAAAGTACCATTTGCCATTGCAGTGTTTGTTCGTTAACACCATTCACATTTCCATCCACTCTATTGGCATTCAGCCACTCTTTACATGTTTGTCTTACTTGTATGTACGTATCTCTGTGCTGTTTATGTTCACTGTCTGAACATCACGCTTTTGTAAGACTGTATAAATCATGTTGCGTGCCATTGTCTTCTCAAAAATACTTGCACATTTTTTCTAGCGTTCATTTTTCCATCTACTGCAATAAAATCTATCCTGCATTTCATTCATATCATTCTGACATTACAAGTATACACTACATTTTGTTTCACAAATCATGATAAGAAGCAGCATAGTGTGGCAAATGTTTTCAGAAGTTGTAGATGGGTCATCACAAATTGGACAACTTATGGAACATCCCTCAGTTGTGAGAATATCGCATTGTCCTGAAATGTATTTAATTTATACAACCTATTTTTGTTGTCTCCATTTAGTAAGTGTGTGTGCTTTTTCTCAAATAACACATAATTTGTAACAGGTACTTCAACTGTTTTGATTGACAATTTGGTACTGATCAAGATCCTAATTGCAAGTGAAGTGTTAGGAAATGGCAGAATTTTACAGGACAATAAATTGAGGCATTCGGAGCTCCTAAGCTGCCTTTTGGTCTCCAGTGCTGAATATATCTTTCCCATTCTCAAAGATACTTAGCTTTCATTCAGATATAGACAGGATAAGCTATATAAATATATATGTCTATATATTTCCCTTCCATGTGTTCATAACAAAGGGAAGAGAAAACATTTTTTGTAAAATAAAATTATCTTAATTTAATATGCATGTTTATTTAACTCCATTCCTAATAATATTGCTGTTCTTCTTCAGAGGCCAAGCCAACAAAAGAAGAAACTCCAAAGGGTATCAGCCCAGTCAAAGGTAAGAATGATTACTAAATGGCTATGATTGCTATTGTTTTACAATCCTGAACTCAAATTATAAATAATGCTTTGAGCAAAAAAAAATATCACTATTCAGCAATCTTCTAAATTAGACTACCCAGCAAAGATTGTTTATAGTGTGTTGGAAGATCTGTTGTTTTTGCCTGAGCAACAGTAGTTAATAGGCATACTTTCAATGAAAATGTCTTTAAAATTTTTGTTGATTCAGCCATTGATAATATCAGTTAACCTGCATGCTTTTCTCAATAGCTGGACGTTACCAGAACATTAGACAGAACCAAACTTGACTATTGTATGAATGTAGTTAGAGATTATACAGCCTTCCAACAAAGCTATATCAAGCGAGCAAGGCTATGCCTCTACTTTCAGGGCACAACTAGTCTGTTGGAAGCAAAGAGGAGATGGAGGAAGAGCTACTTAAACACCTTTGATTCTCTACAAATCAGATTATTCTGAAGTTTACGCCCAATTTATCTCAAAATATCTGCCTTCAAATTCTATAGATAAATGCATGATTCTGTTATTCCATGTTTTGGTTTGAATAGATGAGATTTCGTGATCTTGTAACTAGTACAGTCACACTTTTTTCAGTTCATCTAATATTAATTCAAAAATTTAACACTAGTTACTGGCTCTATTGAAATTCCATTAAGTCCATAGGGTTCTGCAATATTATACAATGCATGATTGAAGCAAGTGGATCAGAAACCAGTTCCAGTTTGGAATTGCAGAAAACTTATAAGAAAAGTAGAATAAAACAAATAATTTGTTTCTGATTCTGAATTACAGCCAAGAAGACACCTTCACCAGCAGATGCAGAAAGGAGGAAACTCAGGCCAGGTAGCGGTGGTGAAAAACCTCCTGAAGAGCCTCCATTCACTTATCAACTCAAGGCTGTGCCACTGAAGTTTGTCAAGGAGATGAAAGATATAGTGCTGAAAGAAGCAGAATCTGTTGGGTCTTCTGCAATCTTTGAAGTCCTTATATCACCATCCACTGCAATTACCAGCTGGATGAAAGATGGAAGTAACATCCGAGAGAGCCCAAAGCACAAGTTTATTGCTGATGGCAAAGATAGGAAACTGCATATCATTGATGTCCAGCTGTCAGATGCTGGTGAATATACTTGTGTACTACGACTAGGGAACAAAGAGAAGACCTCTACTGCCAAACTCATTGTTGAAGGTAATCCCACTTCAGATCTGTCAGTAATTTAAAGGCTAACTCCTACTAAAGCTTATGAATTTACAGTGATAAATACATATTTTAGTTTTCATCAATAACTACAAAGTTTGATTTAGCACGTAAGGTATTCTTCATCATGCCATACAAATGAGAGAAATCAAAATAATGTGTTTCCCTCAGAACTCCCGGTACGATTTGTGAAAACACTTGAAGAAGAAGTCACTGTGATTAAAGGCCAGCCACTGTACTTGACCTGTGAGCTTAATAAAGAAAGAAGTGTGGTCTGGAGAAGGGATGGGAAAATCATCAAAGACAAGCCTGGGAAATTTGCTCTGGGTATTATTGGTTTGTCACATTCCCTCACCATCACTGATTCAGATGATTCTGATGCTGGCACCTACACTGTTACCGTGGAAGATACTGAGCTCTCATGCTCATCTTGTGTTAAGGTAGTAGGTAAGCAATCAAAATAATCTTCTCTTTTCTCTATGGCTCTTTTAAAATCAGTATTTCACCCATAGCATTGCAATATAGACTTATAGGTAGCACTTCTGCAGCTATTAAATGCTTGCTGTAATATAAAATCTCTAAGTCCTCTTTCTTCTGTTTATGATTCATCTATTTATTTTAAAAGTCTTATAACCTATATTTCTGTGCAACTTCTTGTAATGCAGAAGTGATAAGAGACTGGCTAGTAAAACCTATAAGAGACCAGCACGTAAAGCCAAAAGGAACAGCTACTTTTACCTGTGACATTGTCAAGGATACACCAAACATTAAATGGTTTAAAGGCGATGAGGAAATTCCTGCTGAACCAACTGACAAGACAGAAATCTTGAAAGAAGGAAACAAAATTTTCCTGAAAATTAAGAATGCTGGCCCTGCTGATATTGGAGAATATTCAGTAGAAATTGAAGGTCGCAGATACCCAGCTAAACTGACTCTTGGTGGTAAGGATTTTCTTATTTTCAGTGTTTAATCACCTTATATGTTAAAAATTCCAAAATCTCTAAACAAAAATTAAAATGGTAGTTTGAGTTCTTGTAAAGCTTTATCAAAACTTGACTTAATTACATATCTGCTAATTTGTGCATTCTAGAACGTGAAGTTGAACTTCTCAAGCCATTAGAGGATGTTACAGTTTACGAGAAAGAAACAGCAAACTTCGATACAGAAATATCGGAAGAAGATATTCCTGGTGAATGGAAGCTGAAAGGTGAAATCCTGCGACCTTCACCTGTAAGCATCCTTGAATATAACAACATAGCTTACTTAAAATTAAACACTATGAGCAGGTTCACTTAAGTTTTTATGATAAAATTTTTGCAGACATGCCACTCTTACTCAGTCCAGAATGTAGAAAGACTAAACATTTTGGTGATCAAAAAAATGTGGTTCTCAAAGTAAGGATTATATGCCTTAAGGCTATCTTTTGAACTGCTTATTTTTTTAAAAGATAATGGTATATTATTCAGATGATAATAGGTATAATTTATGTACATCACAGGGAACAATATATTTAAAAGGGTAGAAGGCTGAATAAATGCACTTTATTTTTTTAATTGTCATTTTTTAGTAAGTTAATTTTTTGAGAAATAATTCCAGTCTTTCTGACTCTACAGTTATCAAATGTTAGTGGAATTTCTTTATTTAAAATGTCTGGAAGTAATGCATTTGCATAATATTTACTAAAGTCTGTCATCCCTGCAGACATGTGAAATCAAAGCTGAAGGAGGAAAACGCTTCCTAACTTTGCACAAGGTCAAGTTAGAGCAAGCTGGTGAAGTCCTTTACCAAGCACTTAATGCAGTTACTACAGCTATCCTGACGGTGAAAGGTACAATGCGCTGTGAAACGAAACACAACATCAACTTTTCAGAAGTTCTGAGCACGGATACAAATAATGTGTTCTGTTTTGTTTCTAGAAATTGAACTGGACTTTGCTGTTCCCCTAAAAGATGTCACTGTCCCTGAGAAACGCCAAGCAAGATTTGAATGTGTCCTTACCAGAGAAGCCAACGTTATATGGTCTAAAGGCACTGATATACTGAAGATTGGAGAAAAGTTTGACATCATTGCAGATGGAAAGAAACATATTCTTGTAATCAATGATTCTCAGTTTGATGATGAAGGAGAATACACTGCTGAAGTTGAAGGCAAGAAGAGCACCGCAAGACTGTTTGTTGAAGGCAAGTAATTTATGAACAAAATGTTACAAAATTATGTATATATAACGCATGTATAGAATCACATTAGCTTTTTTTTTTCTGTTGATACTTATGCGTGCTTTATTTTCACCCTACAGGTGTGAGGCTGAAGTTCATCTCACCTCTACAGGATCAAACAGTGAAAGAAGGAGAAACAGCTCACTTTCAGTTTGAGCTTTCTCATGAAGACATGCCAGTGAAATGGTACAAAAATGATAAGAGACTCCATACAAGCAGAACTGTTTTTATTACTTCAGAAGGAAAAGTTCATAAACTAGAAATGAGAGAAGTAACACTTGATGATATCTCTGAAATCAAAGCTGTAGTCAAGGACATGAACACACAAGCAAACCTCAAAGTCTTAGGTAATTCCTTAAATATAAAATACACTATATCATAACTACAAGCAATGTTTTTATGTAGAGAGTGGCAAAATAATACATTTGTATCACTAATTTAATGTTTTGTATTCAATATCCCTTTTATAGAGGCTGATCCATACTTCACTGTGAGATTGCAAGACTACAGTGCTCTGGAGAAAGATGATGTTACTCTGCAGTGTGAGCTTAGCAAAGATGTCCCAGTAAAATGGTACAAAGATGGTGAAGAACTAGTTGCTTCAAGCAGAATTTCCATAAAAACAGATGGCGTGCGCCGTATCCTAACAATCAAGAAGGCTGCAGAGGGTGACAAGGGTGTTTATGAGTGCAGCTGTGAAACGGACAAGACAAACTGTAACATTGGCATTGAGCGTAAGTCATCATACCTTGGCTAAGGGAGCGTACTGAAGCCTTTGTAAAACAAAGTTGATAGAAGCTAATAGTTATGTAGTTGAAATATATAAATTAACAATTACCAAGTATATAAAGAAGAGACAATATATATATAAATGGCTGTTGTAAAGACAGTGATTCTCATTTTTGCATCTGTCCATTTACAGTCAGGAAAAAAAAAAAAAGCTTAATTAAATATAGCATATCTGACTTAATTATGAAGAAAAATATTCTTGCTGAAAATAACTAAACTTTCAGACATATTGTAGAAAGATGTTATAGACAGCCCAACACTGTATTTTTAAAAAAGAGGTAACATCAGTAGTAGTATTTGAATTCTGTAGAGAAGGGCTAAGGAGAGAGTTGAGATCCTTTTCAGTCCTACGTTTGCTATGTTACAAAATAAGTAAGAAAATGTGAACTTTTTTTTTTCCTTTCAGCTCGCTTAATTAAAGTGGAGCGCCCGCTGTATGGAGTGGAAGTATTTGTTGGTGAAACAGCACGTTTTGAAATTGAGATTTCTGAGCCTGATGTCCACCCAATATGGAAACTGAAGGGAGAGACCCTAACGCCTTCACCTGTGAGACTGCTGCTTTATTCTCAGACAATAATTTATGCTAGGAAAACATATTTGATTATAAAGTTTGCTGAGTAGTTTCTTGGAATACCTATATTTCAGGGATTCTTTTTTCGTTATTACCAGGAATGTGAAATCATTGAAGATGGGAAGAAGCATATTCTCATCCTTCATAACTGCAAACTAGATATGACTGGAGAAGTGTCTTTCCAAGCTGCTAATGCTAAAAGTGCTGCCAATCTGAAAGTGAAAGGTAAGGCTTGCACTTTGTCAAAACGTGTATCTCAGGGCACTAGAACAAATCTAGCGGTAGCAATTTCTATATAAATTACTGCTGAGCTGAAAGTACTCTTCTTTGATTTCAGAATTGCCTCTCATCTTCATTACTCCACTAAGTGATGTGAAGGTCTTTGAGAAGGATGAAGCCAAGTTTGAATGTGAAGTGTCCAGAGAGCCCAAGACTTTCCGCTGGTTAAAAGGAACACAAGAGATCACTTCTGATGAAAGATTTGAAATAATTTCGGATGGGACAAAGCATGCTCTGATTATTAAATCTGTTGCATTTGATGATGAGGCTAAATATATGTTTGAAGCTGAAGATAAAAGAACAAGTGCCAAGCTAATTATTGAAGGTTTGTTTGCCTTTATAGGAAAGAGTTGTGACATAGTTGTTCTTGAACTGTTTTTATTCATAGTATTTTTACTAATGAAATATTTTATTGACATAGGTATTCGCCTGAAATTCATTACTCCTCTCAAGGATGTAACAAAAAAGGAGCGAGAAACTGCAGTGTTCACAGTGGAACTCTCTCATGAAAATATCCCCGTTATCTGGTTCAAGAATGACCAACGGTTACATACCAGTAAAGTGGTTTCAATGACAGATGATGGCAAATTTCATACACTCACGATCAAAGATCTTACTATTGATGATACTTCTCAGATTAGAGTGGAAGCTATGGGCAAATCCTCAGAAGCTAAACTCACTGTTCTGGGTAAGCATACCCAAAAAGATTTTATATGATATATTATTATCAGAAGAGTCTTCCTAATGAAAAATCAGAAGGTCTTGTAATGTGTTTGGTTTGGCAAGGGTTGGGTTTTTGTGGTTTTTTTTTTCTATCTAAACCTATTCTACAGTGTTTTACAATTTGCTTGTCTTCCACTGGGCTTCATTTACCCTTCACAAGGGATGATTAAAATAACTTTGAGCTTTCATCTAGGTGTGGCAAAATTAGCTATAAAATACTACTTATATGGTGCTCTGAAGCTCCTAAAAAGAGCTAAATCATTTTGTCAGCAATACGAGTAATACACTGAAATGCTTCTTAGATATTTGTTTTTTCTTTTTGCAGGAAACTATGCAATAATAATTAGGACTATATTTTATTGCTCTTAGAAGGCATAAACAGGAAATGTATTTACGGTAAGAATCATTGTCCTTTCACTTGCAGAGGGAGACCCTTACTTCACTGGGAAGCTTCAGGATTACACAGCTGTAGAGAAAGATGAAGTGATTTTACAGTGTGAAATCAGCAAAGCAGATGCCCCAGTGAAATGGATGAAGGATGGCAAACCAATTACTCCATCAAAGAATGTTGTTATTAAGGCTGATGGTAAAAAGAGAATACTTATACTGAAGAAAGCTTTGAAGAAAGACATTGGACAGTATACTTGTGATTGTGGTACCGATCAAACCTCTGCTAACCTCAATATTGAAGGTAGGGCTGGGTTGCTATGTCAAAGTAGTCTGTTGGGATCCACTACAGACCGACAGAATCAATCTTTCTTTTTTTCTTTCCGCTCTCCAGACAGAGATATTGAAATCATCCGTCCGCTATACAGTGTGGAGGTGATTGAGACAGAGACTGCCCGTTTTGATATTGAAATATCTGAGGAAGGTGTCCATGGCAATTGGAAGCTAAAAGGAGAACCCCTGACTGAATCACCTGTAAGCATATGTTTTAGGTTCTTTCTTATATGTTACTTAATAATTTTACATGTAGCTGGAATGTGAGGGAGAAGCAGAGTTGCAGAAATTAAGTGAAAATTCATTCCACTTTCAGTAAGGGTAACTGTTGTAAAAATAGTGTAATTTTCAGTAATAACTTTAAAAATGTAGTAGAAATCAGTACAAAATATCATATGAAATAGCTAAATAGTAAGTGATTTTACATAAATACACTCTCTATTGCCAGTTCCTAAAAATCAAAATGCAGAGACCTTATCAAGTTCTGTTAAATGTGATAGCATTTGAAAATATGAACTTTAGATTCTGTGGGTTTTTTTGTTTGTTTGTTTTGAGTTATGTTTGTTATAAATAGATGTAGATCGCATTTTCATACTCTTCGCTATTGCTGTGACAGCTAAAAATTATTTAAAATGGTATATGGCTTAATTAAATATTATTAACTCCTTACTGGTAAGATCTGGAAGTTTAAAAAAAAAGTACAGTCATGACAGGAAATAATTTGGCAATGTTTGATGTTACAGTGCAGATGTGAATAATCAAAATGATCAAAAGTTCCATGAAAGTCAGTGTCTGGATGAAAGAAACCTTCTCAAGAACAGATCACAAAGGAAGCTTACCTTACCATTTTCTATTTATCTCTGGCTTTCTGATTGGTCTGCATATGAATGTATTGGCTAATCCATCAGCACATACATGCCACTCTCATAAATACACTGCCTCTTGCACTTTTTCCAGTTTGCACTAGAAAGGAGGGAAAAAAAAAAGGGAGCAGACTATGAATGAATGTTTATGGAGTATGTTAGGGGCAGTGGGCCTGAGTTTTCTGAGTGTAGGAGAAAATAACAGATGCATGGTCTGAGGAGAAGTATGGGCTGATCTGCTGAGGAACACAAACAAGGTACTGGAAAAAATCATTTCACTTTTCTTTTTGAAGGACTGTGAAATCAAGGAGGAAGGCAAAAAGCACTTTCTTACCTTGTACAATGTACGTTTAGATCAAGCTGGGGGAGTAGATTTCCAAGCAGCAAATGCCAAATCTGGTGCTCACCTTCGAGTGAAACGTAAGTATCTTTGGAACACTTATGAACGTATGAATGTTTTATGTACTCAGAACTTCTTTAGTATGAGTGGACAAATCTGTATATTGTAATCTACCCAAGCCAATTATTTCTAGAACAAGTAGCTCAAGCTACCCTTTTTATCCTTTAATTAAAAAATGTTGATATTTAGTTAGTTATTATTAGTTATTATTAGTATTTAGCTAGTATATTATTATAGTTATTTAGTTATAGTATATATAGTATAGTATTATAGTTTAGTTAGTATATTATTATAGTTATTATTGGTATTTAGTTAGTTATAACACTGGATATAGTTTATTTATATAGGTGTAGAAAAAGTAAAAAGATGGCTGTGAATGCTTCTTCATGATCTGGCATCGTGTAGTTATGAAATCAAAGTATCACAGCATCAGGCTTTGCAGCATTAAAATATCACGTTAACCTGAGAAGATGGGATCACAGTGATATTTGGAGATAGGGTTAAGATCGTGATGGACAGGGACAGACCACATGGTTGAAGACCACTTGTTTCCTACTCCAATCCTAGCCCTCGCTATTTTGGAAAACACATGCCTTATCTAGCAAGAGGCATGCAAGGCTTGGCAGAGAGACAGATGCACAGCAGCTTTCCTGCTGACCTTGTTCAATTTAAAGAAGCGTGCTCTGCAAATAGGAAATTTTTGGTCACTAGCCCTTCCCCTAAAAACCCAGGGTGGCCCCTTCTATTTAGAGAATTAAAAGAGCGGCACTGCAATGTCTGTCTCTCTTGAGGGAAGCCACCATGGAGATTAGTACATAAGGGCAGCAGTTCTCTCTTGGGTAGAAGTGACTAATCTGAAAATGATGTCGTCTTCTTACCAAGCTCGAGTAATAGGCTTGCTGAGACCTCTCAAGGATGTAACAGTGACAGCTGGGGAATCTGCAACTTTTGATTGTGAACTCTCTTATGAGGGAATCCCAGTAGAGTGGTACCTGCAAGGAAAGAAACTGGAGCCCAGTGATAAGGTAGGGAGACTAAACTTTATTTTTCCTTGTGTTTCTTCGTCCTTCTTCACTTTCACCTCTCTTCCACTTTTTTATTTATTATTTATATACATATATTTTTTAATTTACTTTCTGCTAATAGAGATAGTAAGACATAGCACTGCTGTTGTGATGAATGGCAACTTCTCACCGACTCAGAATGGAATATTTTACCTGGAAAAGGAGAATGTGGAATACTAAAAGTATGTTTTGTACAAAGGGAAGCTAAGACTTCAGTTCCTGATTCTGTGCAAGATGCTGTTGCAGGGATGATGAATTATTTTTCCTCTGGTTAATTGTAGCTAGTGTGAGAGTTTTGAAAGGCGCTTTCAGGAAATGTTTCTTCTCTTGAATGCTGAGTTGCAGTCCAATTCTGCATATAAGGGGATTAAGAGGATTCAAATTCCATTTCAGGCATTTGTTCTGGCACTCAAGATAACTTTCTGAACAGATTTGCTTGTCCAGCACTTCTCACTAACTATTTTTAACCCTTCATCAAGTGCTGGCTCTTAACTTTGAGATCTGAGCGGTCTGGAATGTAGCCAGTTTAACATTTAAAGTTAATGGAGGGGGGAGATTAATGTAGGAAGCGTAAAATAAAATAGGTATGGCTGGTTTTAAGACTACTTTTTTTTTACGTTAGCTCTTCTACATGAGAAGGAATGAGAATATAAATGGAGATGTAAATCTCAGACAAAACAATCCTTCAAGGGATCATAGAATGTAGCAAAGTTTCAGAACCTGTAGTTATGCTCCTAATGATACTTCAGTATATATTTTTTACTTTTAAATGTAGTTTTAACAGATTGTATTCAGTTTTGGGACATAGATCTTCCTGAGCTTTACCAAATTTGCTTAAGTGAAATCTAAATCATTAAAACATATAGAAATAAGATAAGAAAACAATTATCAGAGGAGTGACAATCCAACTTACTATATTTATGAACAGATAGGTGCAAAATTGAAACTCAACAGATGGGACATTTAGTAAACCAAAGTGATCACTTCTGAGTTTAGAAATAAAAATGTGGAAAACTATTAATCACTGCTATGGCTTGGTATTTATTACTGCCTGGCAAGTTATCACAAACTTGATATTTTTAAATGATCCTTTCAATTACTTGAGAAAATTCTAGATTTTTATTCAGCTTGCATATCTACTTAAAACTGTCATTTTTCTTCAGCTGAAATTTGTGAAGGAAAGTTTATGTAGAGGTAGCTAATGAAAATGCATGATTACCAAGAATTTTCAACTGTAAATGAACAGTGATATTTTTTTCAGGCAAAATTTTCTACAAAATTTAATAATAGAAAGTCAAACTAGCACTTGAAAAAGAGTGTGTGTGGGGGGGGGAGACCAAGCTGCTTTATATTTCTGTACAGTTTTTTACTTCAGATGTAGACAGAAGTGATAGCATAAGCATAAACATAAAATTTCTGTTTTTTGTAAGTGAAAAGACAAAACATAAATGATTCTCAAAATCCTCAGAAGATTTTTATTTTGAGCTATATTTATCATATGTATAAGGAAATTATCTGAGCTTCATTTAGAAGGATACAAAAAAAATCTGTAGACAATAGGAAAAAAAAAAAAGCTATTTCATTAAATGTTCCTCAAATCTTTGTTGTAGATACTTACAAAAGTATTTTTTTATGTACTTTATAAGGTTGTCACACGTGCTGAAGGGAGAGTTCACACACTTATTCTTAGAGATGTCAAGTTAACAGATGCCGGAGAAGTGTCACTGGCTGCAAAAGATTTCAGAACTCAGGCAAATCTTTTTGTGAAAGGTAAGTCAGTCATTTTAATTATACCATAGCCAGTGTTAACGGACCATTCATGTTTCACCCCACAAAAGGATGTCAGCATACACCATATATCAAATTAGAAGGCTCATATATACAACATTAGAATGGTAAATACATTTCCTTACTAAAAATACCCCTTTAAAATCTTGATGTTTCATGGAAGAGTTGAGAAAATGATGAAATAGTGAAATAGTGAAAATGTGACAGATGTGGGAGATCAATCAGTTCTTTAGGGTTTCTACAGCTTCACTGCAGATTTGAACGTTCAAGTGGCCTCAGTATGACACACCAATACCATACCTAGTTAAGACTTGCTTTTAGTCTTTCAAGTATCTGGAAAACTATGAAAAAAAACCCTTCAGCAGAGAAGTTCAAGAGTGCTGTTGATTGTTCAATTTTAAAAAAAAAAAAAAAAAGTGAGCAGAATGGAACAGTTCTGTACTAGCAGAGGGCCAGATGTGATTTAGATCTTTTCTACCAAAAATCTGTCTACTTTCAGAACCCCCAGTTGAATTTACTAAACCACTTGAGGATCAGACTGTTGAAGAGGAGGCCACTGCAATACTGGAATGTGAAGTTTCCAGGGAAAATGCAAAAGTGAAATGGTTTAAAAATGGAGAAGAAGTTCATAAAACAAAGAAGTATGATATCATTTCTGAAGGCAGAGTCAGAAAACTCATTATCCATGGCTGCACACTGGATGATGCAAAAACATATACCTGTGATGCCAAAGATTTTAAGACATCATGTTTTCTCAATGTTGAACGTAAGTATGATTATAATTTTCTATGGAATAAGTGTATAGACACTAGTACTATGATAAGCAATAAATCATAATATACATTTCAGCAATTTATTTTGCTTTATCTGAGGTTTTCCTCTACTAAAAATTCTGTGCTTTTTTTGTAGCTCTTCGTGTTGAGTTCCTGAGGCCACTAACTGATCTTGAAGTTAAAGAAAAAGAGACTGCTCGGTTTGAATGTGAAATTTCTCGCCCAGGTGTCAAGGTCAATCATATTTTCATTTTTTTAAATTTGAGTAGTTCCTTCAACTAGAGCTTTTACTTAAAATTGTTGCAAAAGAACACACAGCTGAAGTCTGTGCTGAGCATGTTAATTTTAGTAACCATGTCAATTTGTTTTAAAACAGGTGAAGTGGTTCAAGGATGGCATTGAAATTAGAAAAGGCAAGAAGTATGATATAATTTCCAAAGGGGCAGAACGCGTTCTTGTTATTAGTAAATGTCTCTTTGATGATGAAGCTGAATATGCCTGTGAAGCCAAAACAGCTAGAACTTCTGGCCTACTTACAGTGATAGGTAAATGCGTTATTTTCATAATTTCATCTGTAAAGAAGAAAAAATGTTGTTTTGATGTAAGATCTTATTTGGTTTTCCAAATTCTTTTTTGCAGAGGAAGAAGCTGTTTTCACAAAACATCTTCATGATCTTGAAGTAAATGAAAATGAGACTGTAAGGTTGATCTGTGAAGTCTCAAAGCCTAATGCTGAAGTTACTTGGTTTAAAGGAGATGAGGAGGTGCCTGATGGTGGTAGATTTGAATACATTTCTGATGGCCGAAAGAGAATTCTTGTCATACGTAATGCTCATCCTGAGGATGCTGGCAAATATACTTGCAAACTACCAAGCTCTAGTACAACAGGAAAACTTACTGTACATGGTAAGAGAGTTATTTTTTTGTCTCTGTTCTGAAAAAAAGAGATCAATTAGATCAATACATTTTGGTTTATTCTCTTTATAAAAAGAGAAATATAAAGACAGATACCTACGAATTTATTTATTTATTTATTCATTTATTCATTTATTTATTTGTTTATAGAACTTGCTGCAGAATTTCTTACCAGACCACAAAATCTTGAAGTTCTTGAAGGAGACAAAGCTGAATTTGCCTGTTCAGTATCCAAAGAGGCAATTACAGTACAATGGCTGTGGGGTGACACAGTCCTGGAACCTGGTGATAAGTACGACATCATTTCAGATGGCAAAAAGAGGACACTTGTGGTTAAAGACTCCATTATAGGAGATGCAGGAAAGTACACTGTCATGGTTGGTGAAGCTAAAGCTACAGCACGCCTGACAGTGATTGGTAAGTTTTGTTTTATCATTGTGAATGTTTTATTGCATTTCTTGTACAACATGATTTATTACTTCTTCCATTTTTTCAATTTCAGAAAAACTCAGGATTGTAACTCCCCTTAAGGACCAAGAAGTTAATGAGGGTCAAGAAATTATCTTCAACTGTGAAGTAAATAAAGAGGGTGCCAAAGAGAAGTGGTACAAAAATGGCGAGGCAATATTTGATAGTGCAAAATATATTATTGTCCAGAAGGATTTAGTTTATACTCTCCGAATCAGGGATACACAGTTGAAAGATCAAGCAACATACAGTATCTCACTGTCAAACCACAGAGGGGAACATGCTGAGAGCTCTGCTGCCTTAACAGTATTAGGTAAAAAAAACTTTCACTATATTACAGCTATTCAATGACCATTGTTTTGATTTCACAGGATGTAAATTAATCATGTTGTTTGTTTGTTTTTTTAATTCTTGATAGAGGAGGATCTTAGAATTGTTGAACCCCTTGAAGACATTGAGACCATGGAAAAGAAAACTGTCACATTCTGGTGCAAAGTCAATCGTCTTAATGCAACTCTCAAATGGACAAAGAATGGTGAAGAGATCACCTTTGACAAGCGTGTTCTGTATAAAATTGATAAATACAAACACTCACTCATCATTAAAGACTGTGGCTTTAAAGATGAAGGTGAATACACTGTAACTGCTGGACAAGACAAATCTGTTGCAGAACTTCTCATCACAGAAGCACCAGCAGATTTCATTGAACATCTCCAGGACCAGACCGTCACTGAATTTGATGATGCTGTCTTTACCTGCCAGCTTTCCAAGGAGAAAGCTAGTGTAAAATGGTACAGAAATGGCAGAGAAATCAAAGAAGGCAAAAAGTACGCATGTTTTATTATGCTTGTACATATGTTATTTGTATTCACTTTACTTTCTGTCTTTATCTGGAAATTAAAATACTGCTTGCTTATTTTCTCTCCCATAAAGATATCAGTTTGAAAAGGATGGAAATCTTCACAGATTAATCATAAAAGACTGTAGACTAGATGATGAATGTGAATATTCCTGTGGAGTGGATGACAGAAAATCTAGGGCAAGACTTTTTGTTGAAGGTACTTGTAAAATTAAGTAGGATTAATTTCATTATTTAGTGATAGTAGAAATGATACACAAATAACCCCAAATGAATTGACATTCATTTCAGAAATCCCTGTGGAGATTATTCGACCACCGCAAGATGTTTATGAAGCTCCTGGTGCAGATGTCATCTTCATGGCTGAACTGAACAAAGATGGTGTGGAAGTCAAGTGGCTGAGAAACAACATGATTATCATCCAAGGTGACAAACATCAAATGATGAGTGAAGGAAAAGTCCATAGGCTGCAGGTGTGCGATATAAAGCCTCGCGACCAAGGAGAATACAGATTTATTGCTAAAGATAAGGAAGCAAGAGCTAAACTTGAATTAGCTGGTAAGTTGTCTGTTTCATACTTGTTTTATAAAATGTAAGATGAGTGAAATAAGTCTTCAACTAAATTTTGTTTTTCTTCTTTCAAAGAGTTGCATTAAAAAGAATATGCAATTAGGCATACGCTGTTGAGAAAATTAGAGGACGCTTTTCATTGTCTACAGTAAAGAGCTAGAATTGAGGTTTACAGAAGACAGAACCATTTCATTTGGTCACTGCAGATGTGAAAAGCAAAAATTATTTGACATGATCATTTTATAGTTACATGAGTTGTGGCTTCATTCATTCAACTTCAGACCAGTAAATTACATTAAATTAATGCTCAAAAAGCAGCTCCCTCTTCCCTGACTTTATAGGAGGGCCGATTTTCTTGCTCTCCGGAGCAATGTAATGAATACATAAAGAAACTTGTTTAGAATTCACATAACGGCTCCTTTTGTTTTTCTACTCCTTTGCTTCTACTTCTTTGCTTACCACACATTATTCTTTTAATATGGAAGTACTCATTTGTCACATTGATATTCCTTAGCTGCACCTAGAATCAAGACTGGTGATCAAAACCTAGTGGTTGATGTTGGGAAGCCTTTAACTATGACTGTTCCATATGATGCCTACCCAAGAGCAGAAGCTGAATGGTTGAAAGGGGAGGAAAGTCTACCAACAACAACTGTTGATACAACAACTGACTGTACTACCTTCAAAATTTATGAAGCAAAGAAATCAGATAAAGGAAGGTACAAGGTTGTACTTCGAAACAAACATGGACAGGCAGAAGCTTTCATCAATGTAAAGGTCATTGGTAAGTGCTCCTATTATTAAATTTTTACTTACATTTAGTTAAGTCAAATAAAATAAAAAGATGCAATCACCTAAATTATTGTTATATATTTGTTAGATGTTCCAGGGCCAGTTAGAAACTTGGAAGTCACTGAAACTTATGATGGTGAAGTTGGCCTTGCCTGGCAAGAACCAGAAAGTGATGGTGGAAGTAAAATCATTGGCTATGTTGTTGAAAGGCGTGATATCAAGCGTAAGACTTGGATTGTGGCCACTGATCATGCTGAAAATTGTGAATACACTGTTACTGGACTTCAGAAAGGAGGAGTTGAGTACCTCTTCCGTGTAAGCGCACGGAACCGAGTGGGTACTGGTGAACCAGTAGAAACAGAGAGACCTGTGGAAGCTAAAAGCAAATTTGGTGAGCAGAAGTTATGAAAAATTTGGTGTTTGATGACAGCATGAAAGAAAAACAAAGCATTACTTACTGTAACAATAGATAGAGAAACATCCTTGTTTTTTCTTTTTCTCCATAAAATGAAATGCAGATGTTCCTGGTCCTCCTCAAAATGTAGAAGTTACTGATGTGAATAGGTCTGGTGCTACGCTTACCTGGGAAGTTCCTGAGTATGATGGAGGATCTCCAATTACTGGCTATGTTATTGAACTGCGTAACAGAGGTTCCATCAAATGGGAGCCAACTATGACCACTGGAGCTGATGAACTGTCAGCTGTCCTGACTGATGTTGTGGAAAATGAAGAATATTTCTTCAGAGTTAGAGCTCAAAATATAGTTGGAGTTGGCAAACCAAGTCATCCTACACGTGCAGTGAAGATTATGGACCCAATTGGTAAGCATGCCAGCGCTACTATGATTGCATTTGCTTATTTAAATATTACGTGTACTGGGAATGTTCCAAGAAGCAATTAGAGAAATGTGTGTACTGAAAAATGACATGTTCAGCTAGGCTTTTCCTAATTTTGATGTTTAAACATTTCAGAAATATCTTACAAGGATTTGGCGCAATAAGAACTGCCAATATTTTTGATCTGAACTTATGAGACAACCTTTATTTAAAAAATAGAAGGAATGCAACTTTAAAAATAGTACTTTAAGGTACAGACAACTGATATGCTGAACTATACTCCTTTACCAAGTTGCCAAGATGTGTTTCTCTCAAATTATTTTCAGAGAGACCAAGTCCTCCCATTAACCTTGATCATTCAGATCAAACAAAAACATCAGTGCAGCTCACATGGGAGCCTCCACTCGAAGATGGAGGAAGTCCAATCTTAGGATATATTATTGAAAGGAGAGAAGAAGGAACAGACAAATGGATCCGCTGTAACCCAAAACTAGTACCAGCGCTTACATTTAAGGTGAGATGCTTAGCTCATCAGCAAAGTACTACAAAAAAAATGTATAGTTAATTTTTAATGAGTTACTAAAAATTATTTGTGCTTTTTAGGTAACTGGATTGAAAGCAGGGTCTAGCTATTACTACAGAGTCTCAGCAGAAAATGCAGCTGGGGTGTCTGATCCAGCTGAGGCTATTGGACCATTAACTGCAGACGATCCTTTTGGTAAGCTATGTGCTGTTTATCAAAGATAATTAATTAGAAAAGATGCACAGCTGAAGTTCATCTTGTGGCTCGGATGTATGTGTTTCTTCTGTGATTCTAAATAGCAGAAAAAGCTTTAGTCCTATGAGATTCTGGGTTATTTCTCTTCGTTAAGAATCCCAGCAATAATTAGCTGTATTAGGTAGAGACCTGTTAGGTTGCCTGGAGAGTAAGACGTGACCTTTTGTCTCCTGACCTAGGTATGTGGAAGATGGGAGATATCTGAGGGAGAGAAAGTCAGGGAATACACAAAAGAAATCATGAAGTTCTTACTTTAAAGAATAGGTTAGATTTCTTATCTATTAATTCTAAAATATCACATATTTCTAACAGATTTTTAGCTGGGAAAGGGAGGAATTCATAAGCTACAACTAGGCCTAGACAGCTGCAACCTGTTGGCTCAGATGGACTCAGAATCACCCTTTAAAAACAGCTAACATTAGTCATTTTCAGAACATTTGAAAATATTTAATGAAATTCATTTTCCATTTTTTCAGTTGGACCTACAATGGACCTAAGTGCATTTAAAGATGGACTAGAAGTTATTGTTCCAGAGCCAATAAAGATCCATGTTCCTATCACTGGCTACCCTATTCCAACTGCCACATGGTCTTTTGGTGAGCAAGTCTTAGAAGAAGGTGATCGTGTAACAATGAAGACCACTGCTGCCTTTGCAGAACTTGTAATTACTCCAAGCGAACGTCCAGACAAGGGAATTTATACCTTAACATTAGAAAACCCTGTATCATCTGTTTCAGGAGAAATCAATGTTAACGTCATTGGTAAGTGGACATGTATATATTCTAATATTAACATTATTAGATTAATACAGTAAAATCACATAACTTTCAGTAAGCCAACAGTATTAAAACATAACTACAAATTAGAAATTAAACACCCCAAAAGCTTTTTTCTTATCTTCAACAGCCAGCTGTTTACTATTTTAGGAAGAATAACTGAGTACAGCAAGTTTTTTGGCAGATAGATAAAATAAAGATCATCTGACAATGTCTGATTAGAAAATAATAAAATGATTGTGATTTCCAGCTCGCCCAGGTGCTCCAAAAGAGCTTAAAGTTGTAGACGTAAGCAGGAGTACAGTACAGCTGTCATGGGAACCTCCAGAAGATGATGGTGGAAGTCCAGTTATTGACTATATAATTGAAAAACGTGAAGTAAGCCGGAAAACATGGATCAAGGTATGTTCATTCTTTATCATTCCTTTTGTATTTGCTATATTGTTTCCACATGTGCTGCTGAATTTTGTCATAATTTTGTAATAACTCTTTGGAAATAGATTTTAGAAGCACAATGGATTCTTCCTTCACTTTAGGTTATGGATCATGTCGTGGACCAAGAGTTGTCTGTACCTGATCTCATCCAAGGAAAAGAATATTTATTTAGAGTTTCTGCACGCAATAAGTGTGGTCCAGGAGAGCCTGCATATATTGATGAACCCATAAATATGTCAGCACCAGCAAGTGAGTCAACTTTTTTAGACTTGCTCATTTTCTTGGTGACTGTCTTTGAAAGTCTTGCTGATTTTCCTTTCAACAATATGTTAAAAATAATAAATAAATAAAAATATTAAACCAGCTAAAAAAAAAAAAAAAAAAAAAAAAAAACAACCAAAAACCAAATGAACAAAAAAACAGTTCCTTGGATTGTTTTCTAAGATACCGTATGTATTTAATTTTTAATAGCGGTGCCCGATCCACCTGAGAATGTTAAATGGAGAAATCCAACTTCAAAAGGAATCTTCCTAACATGGGAACCTCCCAAATATGATGGTGGTGCTCGCATCAAGGGCTATCTGGTAGAAAAATCACAACGTGGCACAGATAAGTGGGAGATATGTGGGGAGCCTGTTATTGAAACAAAGTAAGTAACTTCACGCTATAGTTACAACCTTTTAACTAACTGTACCATCCAAGCCTCTTTAAAAATTTGTATTTTTTTTTTTTAACAAACAGAATGGAAGTAACAAAACTTAAGGAAGGAGAGTGGTATGCATATCGGGTTAAGGCTTTGAACAGAATAGGAGCAAGCAAGCCAAGCAAGCCAACAGATGATATTCAGGCCATTGATGCGAAAGGTAATTACTTCTATCAATTACAATAGCCACCTCATTTTTACTAGTCTCTGAAATATTGTTTCTATAACAATGTTTCAATTGTCTCCTAAATCAGAGGCTCCAGAAATTTTCTTAGATGTGAAACTGCTCGCTGGACTCACTGTGAAAGCTGGAACTAAAATTGAGCTGCCGGCCAAAATAACTGGAAAGCCTGAGCCCCGAATTACTTGGACCAAGGCCGAAAAAATACTGAGACCTGATGATAGAATCACTATTGAAACGAAACCTGGTCATTCTACAGTCACTATTACAGACAGCAAGAGGAGTGACAGTGGAACCTACATTATAGAAGCTGTAAATTCCAGTGGACGTGCTACAGCTGTTGTTGAAGTTAATGTTCTCGGTATGCACATTTTTTTTTTTTAATTATTAAAAGCATGAGTAATGTATTGAGATATGCAAGCAGAAGATTAACGTTTTCATCCTATCTCCTACAGATAAACCTGGTCCACCAGCTGCATTTGATGTATCAGAAATCACTAATGAATCCTGCCTTCTGACATGGAATCCTCCCCGAGATGATGGAGGTTCTAAAATTACTAACTATATCCTTGAGCAAAGAGCTACAGACAGTGAAATATGGCATAAATTGTCATCAACTATCAAGGACACTTCATTCAGAGCTACCAATTTAACTCCTCATAAGGAATATGTGTTCCGAGTCAGTGCTGAGAACATGTATGGTATTGGGGAGCCAGTACAGTGTAACCCCATCATTGCAAAATATTCCTTTGGTTAGTGAATTAAATATTAAATTTTGAAAATGTTAAATTTTAACAGCTATGAAAATGCATGTGTAATGGTGTTTTTTTGTTTTGCTTTTTTCATTTATTAATTTATACAGATCCACCAGGCCCTCCAACAGGTCTCAAGCCTATAGAGGTTACCAAAGATTCAGTGACCCTAACATGGAATGAACCAGATGAAGATGGTGGCAGCCCCATTACTGGCTACTGGGTTGAGAGATACGATCCTGAGCAGGATAAATGGATAAAATGCAATAAAATGCCAGTGAAAGATACAACATTCAAGTAAGATATAGTCACTTTAGGCTGAAACTGAGATGTAAAAATTTAAAAGTAGCCTTTTAAACAAATGTTACTTCATGACTGTTCTTTTTTCCCTGCTTCTGTAAGTTTAGATTCAACTAATATCCAGTTACATACTTTATCTGGTGAAGAAGTATGTCTTTACAGAAAACTGAATTGTTGCTTACTTTTTTCTTTTTTTCTATTATGCTTACTAACATCTGTGCTTTGTGATTACTTATAAGACATTCAAAAATAACGAACAAAGCCATCTTCTGCATCAATTTGCTAACATCCCTTTTTTAAACCTGACATTTGCATTAGCTAAAAGTCACACTACAAACAGAAATGTGAGATGACTCTCAATACATCTATCTCTACATCTCAGCACACCATTTTGCTGTTGGCAGTATGCCTATTCTCAATGTTTCATATAGCATCATTAGCTGTAACTTGGTTATTTTCAGATTTTCTAAGTAAATTATAAAGAATATAGAAAATATTGTTTTAGGTAAGAGTTAACATGTGGATTGTTTTAATCAAACTTAATTTTGATTTCCAGAGTTAAAGGTCTTACAAATAAGAAGAAATACAAGTTCCGTGTCTTGGCAGAGAATCTTGCAGGACCTGGAAAACCAAGCAAGGAAACAGAGCCAATCTTAGTGAAAGATCCAATTGGTATAATAAACATATCTTGAATGTTCTAATTTAACAAAAACAAGTTTTTAGGTCTTTTTTTTCCATCATTTAATTAATATTGAACTCTTGTCTAGATCCACCATGGCCCCCTGGAAAGCCAACAGTGAAGGATGTTGGCAAAACGTCATTATTTCTGAACTGGACAAAGCCAGAACACGATGGAGGGGCAAAGATTGAGTCTTACGTCATTGAACTGTTAAAGACTGGAACAGATGAGTGGGTGAGAGTGGCTGAAGGAGTGCCCACAACTGAACACTTTCTCAAAGGACTTATGGAGAAACAAGAATATTCATTCCGTGTAAGAGCTGTGAACAAGGCTGGAGAGAGTGAGCCTAGTGAACCCAGTGACCCTGTGCTGTGCAAGGAGAGGCTGTGTAAGTATTGTTTCAGAATGTGCTGTTTCTGCAAGTACACTCAGTCTATCTTAAAAAGCCTCATGTCTGCCTATCTCTGTAGGCAGCAAGTGAACGTTTCCAGACACACTAAATATTAAAATCTACCCTTGTTGATCTAAGAAGTTTTCATAGTTTCAGTATTATTCTCTATCTTCCAGGATCTCTGCTGGGCAAGATAGTAACCTGCTTTTCCTTTTATTATTATTTTACAGTTCCTCCTTCTCCTCCTCGATGGCTTGAGGTTATTAATATTACTAAAAACACAGCAGATCTTAAATGGACAGTGCCAGAAAAAGATGGGGGCTCCCCAATTACCAACTACATTGTTGAAAAGAGAGACGTAAGGAGAAAAGGCTGGCAGACTGTAGATACAACAGTGAAAGATACCAAGTACACAGTGAGCCCACTGACTGAAGGCTCATTGTATGTCTTCCGTGTGGCTGCTGAAAATGCCATTGGGCAAAGTGACTACTGTGAAATTGAAGATTCAGTGCTTGCTAAAGATACTTTCAGTAAGTTTGAGATTTGCTTTCGGAGTGATTAATGGAATAGCTGACTTCTCATGGATTCCTTTTTTACTAATTTGTGTATGTATTTTGTTTAGCAACCCCTGGGCCTCCGTATGCTCTTACAGTAGTTGAAGTGACAAAAGGTCATGTTGATTTGAAATGGGAACCACCTAAGAATGATGGTGGCAGACCAATTCAAAGGTAAGCTCATTTTATGATTGTGTAGCATTTTCTGTGGATTATTTTTCCATAAATGAAGACGCTTCTGTCAACATTTTTAAACTTTAAATAGACATATTTTATATGAAGAAGAGGTGAATTTATGTGACAAGCAACTTTATGGTTGCAGCAAGTACAAGTTTAATTTTAAAAGTGGAAATTATACAAATAGAAATGATCTAATGTGCATAAAGAATTAATGTGTGTAAACATCCTCAAAAAAAAAAAAAAAGGGGGGGGGGATCTAATTAAATGAGATGAAATTGAGTTGTATATACAAAATTAAGCTTTAATGCAGACATAGTCTCCAGCTCTAGGTGGAGCTCTAGCTACTTTTCCTGTTACATTTTTCAACACAACTATTAACATTTTTCTTCTGCCTGAGTTTCTCAGTAAAACTACATATGTTGAGCTGGTATAAAGCATCATCTTTGTTTTTTCTCTTTATCCCATTTCTCAGACTATTTTCCTCCTTTTGGTTTCTTCTAAATTCTCCTTTTCTTTAGTTTCTCAAGTATCTCTTCTCCGAAATTTACCTTGAGTAGCAGATAGATTTTTCTCTCTATATTTTCACTCTTCCTCTTCTTCCCATTCACAGTAAACATATCCTAAACAAACTGACAACTACAAAGATCTGCTTGAAGGAACATAAATCGTTTAATCTTTCTTACCATCCCATAGATTATTGTAAACAGAATTCAGATAACTGAAGTATTCAGAGATAATATCTACAGACATTTTCAATAGAACTTATCCACTGCTGTCTGAATTAGCAAATATATAAATATAGCATGGGAGTTTTTCACCTCTGCAGCTCTACAAAACCCAAGAACAGATTTACTCTGTCATCAGCAGCAACCCCATTAGCCTAATAGCTACTAAGGCTATTAGGATTATGTTGCTGATATATGAAATTATGCTTAGTCTGTCACCATTGACTACCTTTATTTTTCCATTGGCTAAACCATTCAAATCTCACATTATTTTAATGAGCAGGAAATCTGAAATGTTCATATTTGACATTCCTGATACTATTTGTTCCTATTTATTCAGATATGTTATTGAAAAGAAAGAAAAACTAGCCACCCGCTGGGTAAAAGCTGGCAAGACAGCTGGTCCAGATTGCAATTTCAGAGTGACTGATGTCATCGAAGGTATAGATGTACAGTTCCAGGTTCGTGCAGAAAATGAAGCTGGCTGTGGTCATCCCAGTGAACCAACTGATCTCATTCATATTGAAGATCCAACAAGTAAGTAGCATTATAACATACAGCGTATGGACTATGGAAGCAGTGTGTTGGCTAGAACAGACAATTGAGTGAAAAATAACACATCTTTTTTATTTTTACAGGCCCTCCTTCACCTCCTCAGGATTTACATGTCACAGATGCAGGTCGAAATCATATTTGCATTGCATGGAAGCCACCAGAGAAGAATGGTGGAAGTCCTATTATTGGGTACAACGTTGAGTTGTGTGAAGCAGGAACAGAAAAATGGATGCGAATCAATTCTCGTCCAATAAAAGATCTAAAATGCAAAGTGGAGGAAGGTGTTGTTCCAGACAAGGAATATGTGCTGAGAGTCAGAGCAGTCAATGCTGTTGGAGCCAGTGAGCCATCAGACATCTCAGAAAAAGTTGTTACCAAGGACCCGGACTGTAAGAATAGATTTTCTTTCTGAAATCTACATAACTGATAACTGAAAAAAAGTCTTTAGTGTTCAGTACATTTATAATATTAAATTTATTTTTACAGGTAATCCAACCATTGATCTAAAAACTCGTGATATTGTTGTTGTTAAAGGACAGAAATTAAGTATCCCTGTACCCTTCAGAGCTGTTCCATCCCCAACAATCACATGGCACAAAGATGGCAAAGAGTTAAAAGCTGGTGACAGAACAACGATGAAGAGTGACTACACTTCTGCATTGCTTGAAGTCATAGAGAGTGTTCATGCTGATGCTGGCGTTTATACAATTACATTGGAGAACAAACTGGCATCGACAACTGGCTCTGTCAACGTCAAAGTCATTGGTAACTAGACATCTTTCATTCTGGGAGAGATGCCTGTCTCTGAGCCCACTAACTGATGGAAGTACTAGAAAATCCCTTTTTTGCCATGTGGATTTATCACTTCAACTTAGACGCTCTGTAAATTGCCTTCATTGCATTAATATAACAAAATCTAACTAAAAATACACTTTATTCTAAATTGATATTACAAGTCTGTGGCTGCATAAAGTCCAATTACTATGAATAATCATCATATAAATTTTAAAAAGCTTATGAAAATTAAGATTTTTTTTTCATCTTTAGGAATATGAGTTCCTATATATGCTTTGTAGCCAGCATTTGTGGGTTTGGTCTGCCTTCTTTAAAGCAATGAAATGCAGTATAATTTCATATTTGTAGGAATACATTTCCCTTCTATTTAGTTAATTGTTACATTAAATAACTTTATTATAATTACAGGTCCACCTGGACAGTGTAAAGACATTAAGGCAAGCGAAATAACTAAGAATTCTTGTAAGGTAACCTGGGAACCTCCAGACTTTGATGGTGGTACTCCTATTCTGCATTATGTTCTGGAACGCAGAGAAGCTGGTCGTAGAACATATCTCCCAGTAATGTCTGGTGAAAATAAACTCTCATGGCATGTCAAAGATCTTATCCCAAACAGTGAATATTACTTCCGTGTTAAAGCTGTCAATAAAATTGGAGGAGGTGAATATCTTGAACTAAGAAACCCAATTATTGCAGAAGATCCAAAACGTAAGTCTACTACTAAGTGACCTAGCATGCTGAATTTTAACTAAAATCTTCACGTGTTCTTCACTCGTGTAATACCTCTTTTGCTGTTGTTTCACAGAGCCTCCAGATCCTCCTGTTGACCTTGAGACCCATAATCCAACATCAAAATCAGTAACTCTTACATGGAAACCACCACTGTTTGATGGCGGAAGCAAGATTATGGGCTACATAATAGAAAAGCTTGCTAAGGGCAAGGATGTATGGGAAAGATGCAATGAATATCTGGTACCTCTATTAACCTATCCAGTGAAAGGTCTTGAGGAAGGGAAGGAATACCAATTTCGTGTTCGTGCTGAGAATGCTGCTGGTATTAGTGAGCCTTCTCGGATTACTCCTTTTGTGAAAGCTGTGGATCCCATTGGTATGAATTGCTTATTTGATTGTTTGTTGTAATTGCCATTCACCCTCAAACATGTGGGTGGATTCTACTCTTCATTTGTCATTGTTATTACAGAGTCTCCCAAAGTCTTCCTTGCTGCAAACCTGCAGTCTGGTCTTGAGGTGAAGAAAGGTGATGAGATCATACTTGAGGCACATATTTCAGGATCACCTTATCCATCTATTACTTGGCTGAGGAATGATGAAGTTATCAGACCAGAGGAAATCAAAAAGAGAGTAACCACATATACTAGGAAGAAGAAGGGTGTAACTGAAGAAGAGGAACCTTTTCAGCTTTCACTGCCAGAACGTATGAGTATTGACAACCATAAAAAAGGAGAGTCTGTGCTATCAATTCGTGACTCCATCAGAGCTGACCATGGCACATTTACAATTAAAGTGGAAAATGATCATGGTGTTGCAAAAGCGTCCTGTGAAGTTAATGTGTTAGGTGTGTAGTGAATGTACTTGTAACCAGCTACTTGTTCAATGCACTGAGAAGTGAAGTACATTAGTACTCATCATTTTTTCTTGCTTTACTGGCAGATACTCCTGGGCCTCCAGTCAACTTTGTATTTGAAGACATGAGGAAAAATTCTGTCATTTGCAAGTGGGACCCTCCCCTTGATGATGGTGGAAGCGAAATCCTGAACTATGTACTGGAAAAGAAAGACAACACAAAAGCTGAAATAGGCTGGGTTACTATCAGCTCAACACTCAGGCACTGTCAATTCCATGTAACAAAACTGATTGAAGAGAAAGAATATCTCTTCCGTGTATTTGCTGAAAATAGAGTTGGAGCAGGGCCACCATGTGTTTCAAAACCAATGACAGCAAAAGATCCTTTCTGTAAGTTTTAATTTTGAAATACAGTCTTTTCTGAAAACTGCTATTAATCTACAGACTCTTAGAACACTCAGTTTCATCCACGTGAAAGTTTCCCAGAAGAGTACTGGACAATGCAATTATTACTTATTGCATTTTTTTTAAACCATGGATATAAAGGGAAATATCGAAAAGCATTCTAGTTTCAATAGTAAAGAAATAAGAACAGCAGTCATATTCTTACCAAAAGAGAAAACCACTGTAAGTTTGATGACTGGTTACAGTTAGGAATCAAAAAGAGCAAGAAAATTAAGACTTCATTAAAATTAATAATTTCTCATATTTTTGTTCTTAGTTCTGAGTAAATTCTGAATAAGACAACAATGATTACAAAATTGTAATCTTCTTCTTCTAGCTCCACCAGATCCACCTAATAAGCCTGACGTGGAAGATGTTACCAGCAACAGTATGTTGGTTAAATGGAATGAACCAAAAGACAATGGCAGCCCAATCATAGGATATTGGATTGAAAAACGTGAAATTAATGGCACTCATTGGGCTCGAGTCAACAGGAATCTTGTGAATGCTCTGGAACTAAAAGTTGAAGGACTATTGGAAGGATTAACCTATATCTTCAGAGTTTGTGCTGAAAATGCAGCTGGCCCTGGTAAATTCAGTCCACCATCAGATCCAAAAACTGCACAGGACCCAATAAGTAAGTAGCTTAACAAAATGTGCTAGCAGACTAGTGACAGAATAGTATTCATAACCTTTAATTTTGATTTACGTATCTTATTTTATAGTGCCACCTGGTCCACCCATTCCAAGGGTTGCTGATACAACCTCAGTTTCTATTGAGTTAGAATGGGAACCTCCTATGTATAATGGTGGTGGAGATATCACTGGTTACCATGTATACAAACAATTAATGGGAACAAAAGAATGGTCTCGTTGCACAGAGAAGCCCATTAAGGTCCGGCAGTATACTGTGAAAGAAGTCAGAGAAGGTGCAGACTATAAACTTCGTGTTACTGCACTTAATGCAGCTGGTGAAGGACCACCTGGTGAAACTGAACCTGTAACCGTTGCAGAACCCCAAGGTATGGCAATTATAATATTTTGAAAAATTTTCAAGCTGCCTAAAAGCTGTACTTGAATCTTTCCCTTGAACTAATGAAACATCTCTCTTTCTTCTTCAGAGCCTCCTACTGTTGAGCTGGATGTTTCTGTCAAAGCAGGCATTCAGATCATGGCTGGGCAAACAATTAAAATTCCTGCTACTGTGACAGGGCGTCCTGCTCCCACCATTGTATGGACTGTGGAGGAAGGTGAATTGGACAAAGATAGAGTTGTTATTGAAAATGTTGGCACAAAATCAGAATTAACCATTAAGAATGCATTGAGAAAAGACCATGGAAGATATGTAATTACTGCAACAAACAGTAGTGGTTCCAAATCAGCGGGGACCAGAGTAGAAGTATTTGGTAAGAAAAAATATTTTCTGAAATCAGCTGAGCATCTCTTTTGGTGAAATAATCTTTGGGCTTTATCCTACTTGTTTGATTTTATTTTTTTCAGATGTTCCTGGACCAGTACTTGACCTAAAGCCAGTGGTCACAAACAGAAAGATGTGCTTGCTTAACTGGTCTGATCCTGAAGATGATGGAGGCAGTGATATCATAGGCTTTATTGTTGAACGGAAAGATGCCAAAATGCATACATGGAGACTAGCTATCGACACAGAAAGATCTAAATGTGATATTACAGGTCTAGTTGAAGGGCAGGAATATAAATTTCGTGTCAGTGCCAAGAACAAGTTTGGTACCGGTCCAGCTGTTGAAATAGGACCAATTCTTGCAGTTGATCCATTAGGTAAGATAATTTATGTCTTATTTATGTTTTTTTTCTTTCTCCCTGTCAAGATAATTTGACTGCCTTTCACAATTTATTTGCTCAGATTTCTGAAACAGAGTGTAGAATTACTGTGTCTCTTTATGTAATAAAATTCTGGTATCTACTGAGATACTGATTGCTGCCATTTCATCTATATATATTAAAAACTTTCTGCTATCCATATACATATTCAAATATTTTGCGTATGGAAGATATGACTTTGAAAAGCCACAGCTATTTTAGCTACTGTAGTCATACAATTTAAAATATCAGTGGCTACTCCAAAAATAATGCCTCCTATTTTATGTTGGTCCTGGACATCAGAGGCAGATGTTGGTGGTATGGCAGTGGAGGTTGAACCTTCCCATCAATATTCTGTTAAATTTTGTTGTCATATGACAGATGGCAGCAGAGATAAAATAATAAATAAAATGCTACCTGATAAAGTGCGTATGAAGCAAAGGTATGGGACTGAATTCCTCCTTGCAGAAAAAATTATAGCCATTGTCATTCATCTGCACTCGCTGAATGTTTATGGACACTAAATGTTTATGGATGTTAGCACAACAAAAGCTGGACTGCATGGGCAGTATTTTTCTACCAGCCATCACAGCAGCTGTGAAGCAATGTGTTATCTCCTCTAGTTCACATTTTTACAAGCACAGCATGCAGGCTCTTGTTCATAGCTGTCAAAAAAGCAGTTAATGGTGATGACTGTGGAAAAGTGTTTTGTAACTGAGAATTTGCTCTATCAAATAATGTTATGCTCTTTATATCTGTTGTAGTTTCCATTGAAATAAATGGGAGGCATTACTTTCAGAGTAACTGACATTATATTTTATATTTTTTTCATTATGATTTATCTGTGTTAATAGGTCCTCCAACAGCACCTGAGAGATTCATGTACACAGAGAGGACAAAGTCAACCATTACACTTGATTGGAAGCCTCCACGTAGTGATGGTGGTAGTCCTATCTTAGGATATATTGTCGAGAAGAGGAGGCATGATTCAAAAGACTATGAAAGAGTGAACCCAAGGCTCTGTCCAACCACATCTCTTCTCGTTGAAAAACTTGATGAACTCCATATGTATGAATTCCGTGTCAAAGCTGTTAATGAGATTGGAGAGAGTGAACCGTCATTGCCCCTCAATGTAGTTATACAGGATGATGAAGGTATATCTAGTTTAAAGAAATCCATATAAACACCTTAAAAATAATGCAATTTCTGTTTCACTCCTAACTTCATTCTTTTTCTGCTTTTCAGTACCTCCCACTGTAACATTACGCTTAGCTGTGAGAGGAGATACTATCAAAGTGAAGGCAGGAGAGCCAGTTAATATTCCTGCTGATGTGACTGGACTGCCAATGCCGAAGATTGAATGGGACAAGAATGAAGTTTTAATTGACCAAACATCCAGTGCGCTTAAGATAACAAAGGAAGAAGTATCAAGAAGTGAGGCAAAAACTGAACTTACCCTGCCTGCAGCCACAAGAGATGATAAAGGCACTTACACTGTGAGAGCTACCAATCGTCTCGGCACTGCGTTTCGCAATGTGCATGTTGAAGTGTATGGTAAGGATGTAACATTTCAATAAAATGGTAGACAGTTAGAATGCTTTTGTCTTTTTCTTAATGCAGTTCTATGTTCTCTTACTCTTATATAGATCGTCCTTCTCCACCAAGAAACCTTGCTGTTTCTGATATTAAAGCAGAATCATGCTATTTAACATGGGATGCACCTCTTGATAATGGTGGTAGTGAAATTACCCATTACATTATTGAGAAACGTGATGCTAGTAGGAAGAAGTCAGAGTGGGAAGAAGTCTCCAACAGTGCTGTAGACAGAAGATATGGGGTAATTTTATTATTTTTATGATATACTTCTGTATGACAGCATGCAATAAAAACTGCCTCTTGCGTAGATACCTGTGCTAGTGGTCCATTTATAGTGCATAATTATTGAATGCACATTGCCCAACTGTGAATATACATATTATGTGTATGTATTTTCCTCATGTGACAAAACAAAATAAATTGTTCTCATTCACTATTTAATCTCATGTGAGTTTAGAAGACGTCTTCTTTTCCATTTTCCAGTATTACTTGTAGCTTTACCAACTGCAAAGTAAAATCTGATGACATTTTTATTTACATTTGATTGTGTGCATGTGAAATAAGACTATCCCTAGGGCACTGCATGCAGCTATGTAGTTACATACACGTCATGATATCAGTGAGATTCCGAGGTAGAATACAAAGCTAAAAACCCCTGAATAATAACAAATAAGTTGATTCTGAAAAATAACTACATACTGACTAAAATCTTATTTTTCAGGTGTGGAATCTTGCAACAAATGAAAAATACCAGTTTAGAGTCCGGGCTGTAAACAAATATGGAATAAGTGATGAATGCCTCTCAGAAAAAGTTGTTATTAAGGATCCCTATGGCCTTCCTGGACCTCCTGGAAAGCCCAAAATTTTAGATCACACTAGGTCATCAATGCTGGTGGCATGGGAGCCTCCTTTGGACAACGGTGGCAGCCCAATAACTGGCTATTGGTTGGAGAAGAGAGAGGTGGGAGGTGTCTACTGGTCACGAGTTAATAGGGCTCCAGTAACGAAACCATCAGTAAAGGGTTTACAGTACAATGTGCTTCGCTTGGCTGAAGGTGTTGAATATCAGTTCAGAGTTATGGCTGAAAATCTTGCTGGAATTGGCCCACCCAGTGAGCCATCAGATCCTGCTTTAGCAGCAGATCCCATATGTAAGTATAAAATTTGTGACTACTTTTAAGATCTGTATCACAATACAATGTGGTACTTTTGTTAACATTGAATTTAGTGCAATTAATTGAATGCTTTGTTTTCATTAAACCAGAACAACGTTGTTGATGCAAAGTAGTTACCTAATTTTCTATTTTTCACTGGTTTTTAAATAACTGGCTTATTTAAACTATTACCCTTTCACTTATAAGCGTATAACTGTGATTATGCCATCACAAATATTGCCAAGTATATTTGTTTGAGTTCAGTATCAGATTTTTATATAATTACTTTTCTTCACTGTCAGAGTTAAATGTTTATTGTTTATCTATGTACCTAAAGAATTCCTCAGTAATATATGTAATATATGCAATTATTATGCATGTTCTAGGATTATATGCTCTGTGTATGGCAGAAAAACACTGAAAATGTTTGCATCCTTCTATAAACTCTTAAGAAAACTATACACAAGTACTAACTCTCAGGTAATTTTTGCATTTGCTTGCTCTTGTTTTACAAGTTGTGCCTGGCCCACCATCTTGTCCAGAGATCAAAGACAAAACCAAATCATCTGTATCTCTTGCGTGGAAGCCTCCACAAAAGGATGGTGGTAGCCCAATAAAAGGATATATTGTTGAAATGCAAGATGAAGGTAGTACTGACTGGAAAAAGGTGAATGAAGGAGACAAACTCTTTCCCACTTGCGAATGTGTTATTCCCAATTTGAAAGAGCTCAGAAAATACCGATTCAGGGTGAAAGCTGTAAATGCTGCTGGAGAATCAGAACCAAGTCCTGCGACATCTGACGTACCTATCCAAGATATTTTAGGTAAGTGTTGTAGAAATTCATTTAGGTATTTATATCTCAATGTTATCTACTGCTGTGAATAGTTGAACAGGACGTGAAGCAAGAGTCAACAGAATCAATAACAAGCAAATAATTGAACAGGAATGTAATAAAAAACTATGAGACTTTTTGGAAAGTGTTATGATAGCGCTTGTAAGCGCATGATCTACTGAGAACACTTACAAGTTCACACAACCATAGTCCAGAAGTACTTCATATTTTGTGATGAAATTGCAACAACAAATTTATTTGTATAATTTCCAGTTTACTTTTTATGCACACCACCTTTTCCAAATAAACATACATTCTGTATTTAGACTAGTTCTGGCAGAAATTTACTTTTGGCAGCTCTGAAAAATTATTAACTAATTTTTTTTTATTATTTTTTATTATTATTTTTTATTATTTTTTTTTTCCAGAGGAACCAGAAATCTTCCTTGATATTGGAGCACAGGATTTTCTCTCTTGTCGTGCTGGCACAACAATTAAAATCCCAGCTGTTATCAAAGGTCGTCCAGTTCCAAAATCATTTTGGGAATTTGAAGGAAAAGCAAAGACAACAGCAAAGGTTAGTAAAAGAAACGACAATTTTCTTAATCTATTTCTAGACATTTCAGTACATCCCTTTCATATTTACTTTATTCCCTTCATTTATAGGAGGGAGGTCATAATGTACCTGAAGAAGCTCAGGTAAAGCAAGCAAGTTTTGTAACTTCAGTATTGCAAAATTTTTCAAACATAGACATTTGAAGTTGATCTATACATTTCTTTCTTTCTATGATCTACAGGTGGAAGCAACTGATACACGTTCAGTGATAATCATCCCTGAGTGCAACAGAAGTCATTCGGGACGATACAGTATTACAGCAAAAAACAAAGCAGGACAAAAAACAGCACATATCAGAGTCAATGTTCTTGGTATGGCTTACATATACTGAAATGTTCAGATGGTAGATTTTGGGTTTTTTTTTCCTACATACTTGTGTAACATTGTTTCCGTTATGCTTTTACTTCAACAGATGTCCCAGGTCCACCAAAAGACCTAAAAGTAAGTGATATCACAAGAGGTAGTTGCAAACTTTCATGGAAGATGCCAGATGATGATGGCGGAGATAGAATCAGAGGATATGTTATTGAAAAAAGAACTATTGATGGGAAAGCCTGGACAAAAGTCAATGCAAACTGTGGAAGCACTTCCTTTGTTGTGCCTGATCTAATATGTGGTCAAGAGTATTTCTTCCGGGTACGTGCAGAAAACCGTTTTGGTGTTGGCCCACCTGCAGAAACTATCCAACGAACCACAGCCAGGGATCCAATCCGTAAGTGAAATCAAAATGAATAGAGTTAATTGAAACCAGATGATACTGTACAGTGAATTTATTTATGTTTCTGTTTCCTTTCTTAAGATCCTCCTGATCCACCTATTAAATTGAAGATTGGCCTTGTAACCAAGAACACAGTGAGCTTGACGTGGAAACCTCCAAAGAATGATGGCGGAGCTCCTGTTACTCATTATAATGTTGAATGTCTCCATTGGGATCGTACTGGAGAAGTGAAAGAGACTTGGAAACAGTGCAATAGACGTGATGTGGAGGAAACAAAGTTTACTGTTGAGGATCTTATAGAAGGTGGTGAATATGAATTCAGAGTCAAGGCTGTAAACATAGCAGGTCCTAGCAGGCCTTCAGCTACTGTTGGTCCACTTGTTGTCAAAGACCAAACGTGTAAGTAGTGGCTAATACCAATAAATATGAGTTCTACTCTACAATCATGAATGAAGCATTTTTGTATGCTAACTTTTATCAACATTTCATTGTAGGCCCACCATCTATTGAACTCAAAGAATTTATGGAGGTTGAAGAAGGAACAGATGTTAACATTGTGGCCAAGATAAAGGGCATACCCTTCCCAGCACTAACTTGGGAAAAAGCTTCTCCAAAGAAACCGGATGACAAAAAGCCAGTGTCATATGACCAACATGTCAACAAGATTGTTGGTGAAGATTCTTGCACTTTATTGATTCAGCAGTCTCGCAGAAGTGATACAGGTTTATATACTATAACAGCTGTAAATAATTTGGGAACTGCTTCAAAGGAGATGAGACTAAATGTTCTGGGTAAATATCAAGAACTCTTATGTTACATGTGTGTTACATGTGATACTTGATTTGAACAGTGTTTGAATTAATTCTTCTTTAATAAAAATTTATATTTTAGGCCGTCCTGGACCTCCAGTGGGCCCAATTAAGTTTGAATCCATTTTGGCTGACAAAATGACAATATCGTGGCTTCCTCCGTTAGATGATGGTGGTTCTAAGATTACAAACTATGTTATTGAGAAAAAAGAAGCAAATAGGAGAACGTGGGTACCAGTTACAAATGAGCCCAAGGAATGTTTATTCACTATTCCCAAGTTGATGGAAGGCCATGAGTATGTGTTCCGCATTATGGCACAAAATAAGTATGGTATTGGAGAACCTTTGGACAGTGAACCAGAAACAGCAAGAAACCTTTTCAGTAAGTGGAAATCTGTTTTCAAATTATGTCAAATATTTTCATACACTAATACGTGTAATGACATCTGATTATATACCACTATTATTTTTCTCCACTGAAGTAAATTCTCTAGAGTAGCTTGAATTTTATCAGTAGTAGTTAGGGGTTGTATGGTATCTGAAAATACTTCCCTGCTAAATATATTGAAATAAAGTCTCTGAATTTATTAAGCTGTAAATTACAAATAAGGTTTTATCTTACAAGATTTAGGTCATTCTGTTGCGTTTGAGACATCATTGATATTATAGATCAGGAATTTGCTGCCTTCAGTTTTGAAAGAGAAATTTCAGCAATAGTGATGTAGAAGTAATGTTTATCAAGTGTAAAATATCTTTAAAACATTCAGGATTGGGCTAGGTGTTGAAACGAGGTAATGATCCAGGAAGCAAAAAAAAAAAAAATAAAAAAAAAAAATCATTGTTATTTGAATGAAAGATACATTACTGTAGTTTCATGGTATATCATGGGATTCATAAGGGAAAAGTGATTGTAAACTGAATGAGGGAAAAGGTCTCATGCTGCAAGTGTAATCACGTGACTACATAGGTCTGTTTTGTACTCTAGGTATCTCCATCTTCCTATAGCAATTTTTTACAAGCTATCTGTAATTTTTTTCCCCAGCTGTTCCTGGACCATGTGACAAACCAACAGTTAGCAGTATAACACGTGACTCTATGACTGTAAATTGGGAAGAACCAGAACATGATGGTGGCTCTCCTATTACCGGTTACTGGTTGGAGCGCAAAGAAACTACCGGAAAGAGATGGACCAGGATTAATCGTGACCCAATCAAACCTATGGCACTCGGTGTTTCATACAAAGTTACTGGTCTTATTGAAGGTTCTGAATATCAATTTCGTGTATCGGCTATTAATGCAGCTGGTGTTGGACCACCAAGCATGCCGTCTGATCCAGCAATTGCTAGAGACCCTATTGGTAAATATTTTTGTTCGCCATTTTTGAATTTGAAAATACTCACATGGGACCACAGAATATATTGTTATGCTGTAACTGTGTGATCATCTTTTTCAGCCCCACCTGGCCCTCCTATTCCAAAAGTTACTGATTGGACAAAATCTTCTGTGGACTTGGAGTGGACTCCACCATTAAAGGATGGAGGCTCTAGGATCACTGGGTACATTGTTGAGTATAAAGAGGAAGGAAAAGAAGAATGGGAAAAGGTAGGTGGAAATCCTACAGAATCTGATTTTTTTCCTCTGTATGTCTTATCTTTTCATATGTATGCCTGTATGTCTTTTCTTTCAGATTTTTTATAACTGTATATTTAAAAATAGGACAAAATATGTAGGTGATTGGTGATCTGTGATTTAAAAAAAAAAAAAAAGAACAGAAGAGAAAAACAGGTTATCACAGGCATAATCTCTGTTAAATTATTTACAACTAATATGGCTCCTGCTTTTTTTTTTTTTTTTTTTTTTTTTTTTTAGATATTTTTTATTTTTTTTATTATTCTGAAATACATTTAAAGTAGAACATACATTTCCTGCATTTTTTCTGGGTAAACAGGATTCGTATTTAGATTTATTAAAGAACAATTTTTTTTCCTTTTTTTTCTTTTTTTCTTTTTTTGTTTAGCACCACTGTCACTTATGAGCCTATTTGACCAACAAAACAAGTAATCCTTGTGAACCTACAGAGCATTGTAATGTCTCTGTCTTTTAAAATGATCAAAAAAGTGAATCTTCAGAACAATAACTTCTCCCATTTTCTGAAAACTCCTGTATGAGCTAGATTACTGTATGCTCAATAATGTCTTGTACTTGTAAATGTGAAACAGTTTCTCATTTAAGATTTATTTCAAGCATGACAAAGAAATTGATGATACCTTGATTTTTTTGATTTTTTTTTTTGGTTGATTTTATTATATTTTTTTCCAGGTAAAGGATAAAGAAATCAGAGGAACCAAGTTTGTTGTAGCAGGATTAAAAGAAGGGTGTTTTTATAAATTTAGAGTAAGGGCAGTGAATGCTGCTGGCATTGGAGAGCCTGGAGAAGTCACAGACATTATTGAAATGAAGGACAGAATTGGTATTTATCACTTTCATTTACTTCTTTAAATATTTCTAATTCAAAATGAGAAAAAAAAAAGACTGATTTTTTTTTTTTTTTTTTTTTAAATTTTGCTCACCTCCCACAGTGGCTCCTGATATTAATTTGGATGCAAGTGTCAGGGACAGAATTGTTGTTCATGCTGGAGGAGTAATTCGGATCATAGCATATGTATCAGGAAAACCTGCTCCAACAGTGAGTTGGAGCAGAGATGATCGAGCTTTACCAGAAGAAGCTAAAATTGAAGAAACAGCTATAAGTTCTTCTTTAGTCATCAAGAATTGCAAACGGAGCCACCAGGGTATATACACTCTTCTTGCTAAAAATGCAGGTGGTGAGCGGAAGAAGACCATTATTGTTGATGTGCTAGGTAAAAAGCAATTTCATTCCTTGTAAAGAAGTTAAATTTCATAACATTCAGTATGTATATTTAAATACTCCATTTTTTTCTTTGATTTCAGATGTGCCAGGCCCAGTTGGCATGCCATTCCTTACTGAGAACCTAACAAATGACTCTTGTAAATTGACATGGTTTACTCCAGAAGATGATGGTGGTTCTCCTATTACCAACTACATAATTGAAAAACGTGAATCTGACCATAGAGCCTGGACTCCAGTAAGCTATACAGTTACAAGACAGAACGCTGTTGTTCAGGGACTGACTGAAGGGAGTGCCTACTTTTTCCGAATTGCAGCAGAGAATATTATTGGCATGGGTCCTTTCACAGAGACAACAAAAGAACTTATCATTAGAGATCCAATAAGTAAGTTGATTATGTGGTGTAAGTTATTGTCATGAGATGAATCTGCAGGAAAATGAGTTTAACGTATTTTTGTGTTTGTTCACAGCTGTTCCTGACCGTCCTGAAGACCTGGAGGTTAAAGCAGTTACAAAGAACTCTGTTACATTAACTTGGAATCCTCCAAAATATAATGGAGGCTCGGATATCACCATGTATGTTCTGGAGAGTCGTCTCATTGGAAAAGAAAAATTCCACAGAGTTACTAAGGAGAAAATGCTTGATAGGAAATATACTGTAGAAGGCTTGAAAGAGGGTGACACCTATGAATATCGTGTGAGTGCTTGCAACATTGTGGGGCAAGGCAAGCCATCATTTTGCACAAAACCAATCACATGCAGGGATGAAATCGGTACGTACCTTTTTCATATTTCTTTTGAAAATAATGATCATTCTTACTGATTCCTTACTTTTTCTTACTAATATTGCTGACATTTGTGGAAATCATATTTTTTAATTTCATCTTTCAGCTCCTCCAACACTTGACCTTGACTTCAGAGACAAACTTATTGTTCGGGTTGGTGAAGCTTTCAGCCTAACTGGACGTTACTCAGGAAAGCCTACACCAAAGATTACTTGGCTGAGGGATGATATTGTTTTGAAAGAAGATAACCGTACAAAGATTAAGACAACTCCTACAACACTTTGTCTGGGGGTACTAAAATCTGTCCGTGAAGATTCAGGCAAATACTGTGTTATTGTAGAGAACAGCACAGGATCAAGAAAAGGGTTTTGTCAAGTTACTGTTGTTGGTAGGTTTCTCTGAACATTAGTACTGCCTTTAATGTTTCATTATAATTCAAATTCATTGAATTATATGAAATGAAAAAACTGTGTCCTTTATTATAATATTCTGATTTATTACACTCTTATTTTTATTGAAATATTATTTATTGAGTTCATAGTTAACTCTGCCTTAATTTATTCTGCATGAATATATATTTCCACAAGCATTTCAAGAATATCAATTTACTGTAGAAAATGTCAGTCACTAAATACTTTATAAGCATTAAGAAATTAGGTTCAGTGAGTCAGACAAGCATTAAGGTAGGAATAACTTCGAGATTTTGATTCCTTATTAAAAATAGATGCTGGGGTTCTATTTTCATAATGTTTTTACTGTATTAACACTGGTTTAATCTCTGTTATTGTTTGAAGATTTTATAAGAACAAGGGTATGATTTATTTTTTTCTTAAACAGATCGCCCGTCACCTCCAGTGGGTCCAGTTATATTTGATGAAGTTCATAAAGATCATATGATAGTTTCCTGGAAACCTCCACTTGATGATGGAGGCAGTGAAATTACAAACTACATTATTGAGAAGAGGGATACACACAGAGACCTGTGGATGCCAGTTACATCTGCTACAGTTAAGACAACATGCAAAATTCCTAAGCTGCTTGAAGGAAGAGAATATCAAGTTCGAATTTATGCTGAAAATCTCTATGGCATAAGTGATCCTCTCATCTCTGATGAGATGAAAGCCAAGGACCGTTTCAGTACGTCACTTGTTTGCTTGTTTATCTTATTTTGATATTGTAATCTTTACTCTGTCTGTTGCCCTCATGAACTCTTGTGGGCTTTTTTTTCCCCAGGTGTTCCTGATGCACCTGAACAACCAGTTATTAAGGATGTTACAAAAGACTCTGCAGTAGTAGTTTGGAACAAACCATATGATGGAGGCAAGCCAATAACAAACTATATTGTGGAAAAGAAGGAAACAATGGCTACTAGATGGGTCAGAGTTACCAAAGACCCAATTTTCCCAAGTACTCAGTTCAAAGTACCTGACCTCCTTGAAGGCTGCCAGTATGAATTCCGTGTTTCAGCAGAAAATGAAATTGGTGTTGGTAATCCTAGTCCACCATCAAAGCCAATTTTTGCTAGAGATCCAATTGGTAAAGTATTAAATTTGCTTTTTTTCATAGAAGCTTTAATGCACTCTTACTTTCACTTAGAAATCCTTTAAAATATTTTCCTTTTTTCCTTTTTTCTTTGCAACAGTAAAACCAAGTCCACCTGTTAATCCGGAAGCAGTAGATAAAACTAAGAATTCTGTTGACTTGACTTGGCAACCACCACGCCATGATGGTAATGGAAAGATAATTGGCTACCTTGTTGAATATCAGAAGGTTGGAGATGAAGAATGGAAAAAGGCCAATCTTACACCAGATTCTTGTCCTGAGACAAAATATAAAGTCACTGGACTTACTGAGGGTTTGACCTATAAGTTCAGGGTCATGGCAGTCAATGCAGCAGGTGAATCTGAACCAGCCTATGTTCCTGATCCAGTAGAAGTAAAGGACAGACTTGGTGAGTGTAATAAAGTCAGATGAGTTTACTTAGGAAGGGACTTGTTTTCTCAATTTCTAAAAAAACTTATTTTGATTCCAGAACCTCCTGAGCTGATACTTGATGCTAATATGGCCCGGGAACAGCATGTAAGAGCAGGAGATACACTGAGACTTAGTGCTGTTATTAAAGGTGTTCCGTTTCCAAAAGTTTCTTGGAAGAAAGAAGACAAGGAAGTCTCACCCAAAGCTGATATTGAGGTTACAGGTGTTGGCAGTAAGCTTGAAATTCGTAACGCTGCCCATGAAGATGGTGGAATTTACTCCCTGACAGTTGAAAATCCAGCTGGTTCAAAGACTGTTTCAGTGAAAGTTCTTGTCTTAGGTAATCTTTTTTTATGTTACTTGCCTGGTTTTATTCTTTAATTTGAGATTAAGAAATGAAAGAATGTCAGGAAAATATCAACAAATTGAGATATAAGGAAAGGTTGAGGGAACTGGGCTTGTTTAGCTTGGAGAAGAGAAGGCTCTGGGGAGACCTCATCGTGGCTTCCGGTACTTGAAGGGAGCATATAAACAGGAGGAGGAACAGCTGTGTACAAGGGTGGATAATGATAGGACAAGGGGGAATGGTTTTAAACTGAGGCAGGGGAGGTTTAGGTTAGATATTAGGAGGAAGTTTTTCCACACAGAGGGTGGTGACACACTGGAACAGGTTACCCAAGGAGGTTGTGGATGCCCCATCCCTGGAAGCATTCAAGGCCAGGCTGGATGTGATTCTGGGCAGCCTGGTCTAGTGGTTGGAGACCCTGCACGTAGCAGGGGGTTGAAACTTGATGATCATTGTGGTCCCTTTCAACCTAGGCCATTCTATGATTCTGTGATAAAATACACAGTAGAAAAAAAAGATTGACACAGGAAATATGTTTGGTTTTTTTTTTTTCCTCTTAGAATCTACTAAATTTAAATAAAAAAAAAAATCTTTGATTATCAAATAGATAACGGATTTGTTTTCAATGTTATTAGATAAGCCTGGTCCACCTAGAAATCTGCAAGTCAGTGATGTTAGAAGTGATTCTTGCTACCTGACATGGAAGGAACCAGAAGATGATGGTGGCTCTGTTATTACCAACTATGTGGTGGAAAGGAAAGATGTAGCTTCTGCACAGTGGGTATCTGTCTCATCGACCTCCAAGAAACGCAGTCACATGGCTAAATATCTCATGGAAGGCACTCAGTATCTTTTCCGAGTTGCAGCTGAGAATCTGTTTGGTAGAGGACCATATGTGGAAACACTCAAGCCAATTAAAGCAATAGATCCACTGCGTAAGTGTTACTCAGTTATGATTTGTTTTATTTATGTTGTTCTCTGTAATTTTTGAAATGGTCCTGTTGGAACTAATGTGAATATTGTTGAGTGTACTATCAGATGGGTCGGCCATCTATTAACTGATGTGGGTTTTATGTTTTAAAAGATCCTCCTGGGCCACCGAAGAATCTGCATCACGTAGATGTTGACAAGACTGAAGTTTCCCTTGTTTGGAATAGACCAGATCGTGATGGCGGTGCTGAGATAACTGGATATTTGGTAGAATATCAGGAAGATGGTGCAGATGAGTGGACAAAGTTCCAAACAGTCCCAATGCTAGACTGTGTTGTTACAGGCCTACAAAAAGGAAAAATATACAAATTCCGTGTGAAAGCTCAAAATATTGTGGGTCTCAGCCTTCCAGATACAACGATACCAATAGAATGTCAAGAAAAACTAGGTAATTTTTAGCTTTTTTGTATTGTTTCACTGATTCTTTCTCTCCTTTAACTATACTCTCTGAAAACCATAATGCAATTTCTGTTTTTTTCTCATTTCAGTACCTCCATCTGTAGAACTAGATGTGAAGTTAATTGAAGGTCTTGTTGTTAAAGCTGGTACCACAGTGAGACTTCCTGCAATTATGAGAGGTGTGCCAGTTCCCACTGCAAAATGGGTTACTGATGACACTGAAATTAAGACGGAAGGCAGACACAAGATAGAGACTGACAATTATTCAACTGTACTTACCATCAAAGACTGTGTAAGAAAAGATACGGGAGAATATCTACTCACAGTATCTAATGCAGCTGGCCACAAAACTGTTGCTCTACATCTTACAGTTTTGGATGTTCCTGGCCCTCCGACTGGTCCTATTAATATTCTTGAAGTAACACCAGAACATATGGTTATCTCTTGGCGCCCTCCTAAAGACGATGGTGGGAGTCCTATAATAAATTATATTGTTGAGAAGCGTCAATCAAAGAAAGAGACTTGGGGAGTAGTTAGCTCTGGAACAAGTCACACAAAAATTAAGATTCCACGACTGCAGAAAGGCTGTGAATATATTTTCCGTGTTCGGGCAGAAAATAAGATAGGCATTGGTGCGCCTCTTGATTCAGAACCAACAGTTGCTAAATATATGTTTGATCCACCATCCCCACCTGGTAAACCAATAGTGTTTGATATTACAGAAAATGCTGCAACAGTATCTTGGACCCTACCAATGTCAGATGGTGGAACTCCAATAACTGGTTATATACTTGAGCGTCGAGAAGCATCTGGTAAATGGGTGCGTGTCAATAAGACACCAATACTTGATATGAAATACAGAGTCACTGGTCTCTTTGAAGGCAACACATATGAATTCAGAGTTTTTGCAGAAAACATGGTGGGCTTAAGCAAGCCGTCTCCAAGCTCTGATCCAATAAAGGCGTCACGTCCTATCACTCCTCCTGGACCACCCATTAATCCAAAATTAAAAGATAAAACCAGAGAAACAGCTGATCTAGTTTGGACAAAACCCCTCAAAGATGGTGGCAGCCCAATTCTGGGATATATTGTGGAATGCCAGAAAACTGGAACTACACAGTGGAACAGGATTAATAAAGATGATCTCATCAGACAATGTGCCTTTAGAGTACCTGGGTTAATAGAAGGAAATGAATATAAATTCCGAATAAAAGCTGTCAACATTGTAGGAGAGGGAGAGCCAAGAGAACTGGCAGAAACTGTACATGCAAAGGATATTCTTTCTCCTCCAGAAGTAAGCTTAGATGTGACTTGTCGAGACTTAATTACTGTCCGAGTAGGCCAAACAATCCATATTACTGGCAAAGTAAAAGGTAGGCCAGATCCTGACATAACGTGGTCTAAGGACGGCAAAGTTTTGGTACAGGAAAAACGCATTGAAATAATCCATGATCTACCTAATGTTGGACTGCAAGTAAAAGAAGCCAAAAGATCTGATCATGGCAAGTATATAATAGCAGCTAAGAACAGCTGTGGACATGCTCAAGGTTTTGCCATTGTGAATGTACTTGACAGACCCGGACCATGTCAGAACCTGAAAATAAGCTATGTCACAAAAGATTCTTGTATGATTGCTTGGGAGAGTCCAGTGGACAATGGTGGCTCAGAAATCACAAATTATATTGTAGAGTACCGTCAACCAAATCAGAGGGGGTGGTCAATTGTGTCCTCTGATGTCACTAAACGGTTAGTAAAGGCAAATCTTATAGAGAACCGTGAATACTTCTTTAGAGTTTGTGCAGAAAACAAAATAGGTCCAGGTCCTTGCATTGAGACCAAAACTCCCATCCTTGCCATAAATCCTATTGACAAGCCTGGAGAGCCGGAAAATCTTCACATTGCGGAGAAAGGAAAAACATTTGTATTTCTGAAATGGAGAAGACCAGATTATGATGGTGGAAGCCCGAATTTAAGTTATCATGTGGAGAGAAAACTGAAAGATTCAGATGAATGGGAAAGGGTTCATAAAGGCAGCATTAAAGAAACACACTACATGGTTGATAAATGTATTGAAAATAAGATTTACCAATTCAGAGTTCAAACCAAGAATGAGGCAGGTGAAAGTGACTGGGTAAAAACTGCTGAAGTTGTTGTGAAGGAAGATCTGCAGAAACCAGTGCTGGACTTGAAGTTAAGCGGGGTACTAACAGTGAAAGCTGGTGACACAATTAGAATTGAGGCTGGAGTCAGAGGAAAACCACAGCCTGAAGTTGCATGGACAAAAGACAAAGATGCAATGGATCTTACAAGGTCTCCAAGAGTCAGCATTGAAACAACATCTGACACATCAAAGTTTGTTCTCGCAAAATCAAGGCGTAGTGATGGTGGGAAATATGTGATTACTGCGACTAACACAGCTGGTAGTTTTGTAGCATATGCTACTGTTATTGTTTTGGATAAACCAGGTCCTGTAAGAAACTTGAAAGTCACTGATATTTCAAGTGACAGATGTACTGTTACCTGGGAACCTCCAGAGGATGATGGCGGTTGTGAAATACAAAACTACATCCTAGAAAAGTGTGAAAGCAAGCGTATGGTTTGGTCTACATACTCTTCTTCTGTCCTAACTAACTATGCAAATGTAACACGCCTCATTGAGGGTAATGAATATATATTCAGAGTTCGTGCAGAGAATAAGATGGGCACTGGTCCACCAACAGAAACACACCCAATTATCGCAAAAACTAAATTTGATAGACCTGGACGCCCTGACCCTCCAGAGGTAACAAGAGTAAGCAAAGAAGAGATGACTGTCGTTTGGAATCCACCAGAATACGATGGTGGCAAGTCAATTACAGGATACATCTTAGAGAAGAAAGAGAAACGATCATTAAGATGGGTTCCAGTTACTAAAACTGCTATTCCAGAGAGACGCAAGAAGGTTACTAATCTCATCCCTGGTCATGAATATCAGTTCCGTGTCAGTGCTGAAAATGAAGTTGGACTTGGAGAACCAAGCTTGCCATCAAGACCAGTAGTAGCAAAAGACCCAATAGGTATAATACTGTTATATTCTACCTTATTTTGTTTTAATGTAAACAGATTGTTAAATTGCATAACTGTATTCTTATCTGTAATTTTTATTGCCTTTCAGAACCACCTGGTCCTCCCACCAACTTGAGGGTGGTTGATAGTACAAAGAGTTCAATAACCCTTGGCTGGGGAAAACCAGTGTACGACGGTGGTGCTCCAATTATTGGATATGTTGTGGAAATTAGACCAAAAGTGGAAGGTGCCGATCCTGAAGCAGGGTGGAAACGATGCAATGTTGCTGCTCAAGTTATTCATACAGAATTTACGGCCACCAGTCTGGATGAGAAACAATTATATGAGTTCAGAGTTTCTGCCCAAAATCAGGTTGGCCTTGGCCGGCCAGCAGAACTGAAAGAAGCTGTGTCTCCCAAAGAAATACTTGGTAAGTTTTCCCATTTTTGCTATGAGTTTTTGCATGCAATCTTTATTTGCTCTGTTTTTAACTTATTTCATGTCCTAAACTTTGAATTTTATTTCTGTAAATTTATCTTTTAGAACCTCCTGAGATTGAATTGGATGCAAGCATGAGAAAGTTAGTCACAGTAAGAGCAGGATGTCCTATCAGACTTTTTGCCATTATTAGAGGTCGCCCAGCACCAAAAGTCACTTGGAGGAGAATGGGTATTGATAACGTCATCAGAAAAGGACAAGTTGATCTGGTTGACACTATGGCCTTCTGTGTTATCCCTGATTCAACACGTGATGACTCAGGCAAATATTCATTGACACTCGTCAATGTAGCTGGAGAAAAGGCTGTGTTTGTGAACGTTAGAGTTCTGGGTAAGTAACCAGAAAACTATCTGCAGACATTGTTTTAATAATATTGTATGTTCATTACAGAAATCTTTATGCCCACTAATGCTGAAGTTTTTGAGCACAAGTAAATATATTGGCTAACACTGTCTCTGATTGTGTAACATCCTGTTAGTACTCCTTAATTGTAATTTGAAGAATTTTCAATACAATGACTTGCATAAATTGAAATTTCTTTATAGATACTCCTGGACCTGTGTCGGACTTCAGAGCTTCAGATGTCACCAAGATGTCATGCCATCTCTCATGGGCACCTCCAGAGAATGATGGCGGTAGCCCAGTGACTCATTACATCCTGCAGAAACGTGAGGCTGACAGGAAGACTTGGGGAACAGTCACTGCAGAGCTAAAGAAAACTAGTTTCCAAATAGCTAACCTTGTACCTGGAAATGAATATTACTTCAGAGTAACAGCGGTAAATGAATATGGATCAGGTGTTCCAAGTGACATACCAAAACCAGTCCTAGCAACAGATCCCTTAAGTAAGTATGCTTTTATGCATATTACATTGTTTTCTATGATTAAGTAAGATTTGGGATTTTTTTTTAAAGCAGTTATTTCTAAACAGGATAATGCTACTATCTACTCAGTGTCATAAATATTTGCATCAGTTACTTTCAGATAACACATGTGAATGCAGTATTTTCACAATTTTTCAAAAAGTTTCCTCTTTTCTATATTTCACTAGTTGAATTAACATAAATAGCATCCAACAATTCAGAAAATCTTGGTAATTCATTGTTTAATGTTTCTTTACCTCTCCTTCTCTTTTTCCCACTCCTAAAGGTGAACCTGATCCACCAAGAAAACTTGAAGTTACTGAAATTACAAAGAACAGTGCTACTTTAGGCTGGCTGCCACCACTGCGTGATGGAGGTTCAAAAGTTGATGGGTATATTGTTAGCTACAAAGAAGATGAACAACCAGAAGATCGTTGGACAGAATATTCAGTAGTCAAAGACCTCTCTATTGTTGTTGCTGGTCTGAAAGAAGGAAAAAAGTACAAATTTAGAGTGGCAGCTCGAAATGCTGTTGGAGTAAGTTTTCCAAGAGAAGCTGAAGGAGTATTTGAAATTAAAGAACAACTCAGTAAGTACCTAATTCGATTTTACCCTTGTTACAATGCTCTCCTTAGCAATAAAATAGGCAAGCATTCTTGTTCTAAGTTTGAGACCTAAGAAGCCAATTACTTGATGAAGTCATCTTGAGGATTATGATTAACTGTACTGGATATTTTCACAGGTCAAAAAGGATGAGCATGACTTATTAAACAATATTGTGTGCATTGCTTCAGTTGGAGCCAGAAGACAGGAATTAGGGAGAGATAATAAATATATCCAATTTACTTAAAATGAAAGAGAAAAGGGGAACAGTAGGTCAACAGTAGAGTGAGATAAGTGGGCTTTGAAGTGGTTGTTCTTTTGAGATAAGAGAGAAAATGTTGCTTGTTTTGTAGAGTAACTCGGGAATGTAAAGCTAAAACAGGGGTGGAGGACATACCAGCCTAGTGGAGTACTTCAGGCAAAGGAAGACATAAGAGTGTGCAAAAATTAAGAACAGCCTCCTTCATCTGTGATGTGGAGAGAGGTACAGGATCAACAGAGAATGAAAACTAGACAGGGGCAGGAAGAAAAGTACACTAAACGTATGGACAGTCTTCTATTGGAAGGCAACAAAAATTTGTGCAAACATTAGGAAAGGGGCTCTAGTTTGAAGAGTGATTCAAAAGTAGTAAAAAGATAGGCTGTGGAAACAGATTAAATTCAGTGAGAATTTCAGTCTTTCTTTTCTTCTCCTTCATGTCTGTCTTGTAGAAAGTAGGAACTCATCTGTACAATAGGTTATCCATGTCAGATTTCATAGGAGTTGTGCGATTCGTTCAGTGTGCAAGAAATTCAAACTGAGATTTTTTTTCTTATAATCTGTATGAGAATGCAAAAGTAAGACTAGCATGGATATTGCACACTGCAAAATCCTAGTTGTTCATAAGTGGACCTAAATTAAAAATTATCAAGTTGTTCCTACTTGTTATTCCACTTGAGGGAGATGAGAAGAACTTTCACATGAAAGCATGAGAAGTGAATTGATAAGTCATAGAAGTTGAATTTATATGTCACTGTCTGTTTTTTTCCAGTCCCACCTAAGATCCTGATGCCTGATCATGTTCACATTAAAGCTGGGAAGAAGCTGAGAATTGAAGCTCACGTATATGGGAAACCTCAGCCAGTTTGTAAATGGCTGAAAGGAGATGAAGATGTAATCACATCCAGTCGCCTTGCTGTGCATAAAGCAGAAAAGTCTTCTGTTCTTATCATTAAGGATGTGACTAGGAAAGATTCTGGTTTTTACACTCTTACTGCAGAAAACAGCTCTGGTACTGACAGTCAGAAAATCAGAGTGATAGTCATGGGTATGTATCATTTAATTACTTTCTTAAAAATCCGATTTTATACAAAACTAGTTTTAGTATGTTCCAGTGGTTTCCATTTTCCTTCATAACTTTCAATGTGTTTCTTTTTGTAGATAAGCCAGGTCCACCACAGCCTCCATTTGACATTTCTGAAATAGATGCTGATGCTTGCACTCTTGCATGGCATATACCTCTTGAAGATGGTGGCAGTAACATTACCAACTATGTAGTTGAAAAATGTGATGTAAGCCGAGGAGACTGGGTAACAGCTTTAGCTTCTGTCACAAAGACAAGCTGCAGAATTGGAAAACTGATTCCTGGAGAAGAATACATGTTCCGTGTTCGTGCTGAAAATCGTTTTGGGATTTCTGAGCCACTTAATTCTGACAAGATGATTGCAAGGTTCCCATTTGGTATGTCAGATTTTCACAGCAACATCTCTCTTTTCTTTTTTTTTTTTTCCCTTCCTAATAAGAAAACATGTGAGATTTATATCAATTCTTGTATTTCTGTCTAGATGTACCCAGTGAACCAAAGAATGCACGTATTACCAAGGTTAATAAGGACTGCATTTTTGTTGCCTGGGATAGACCAGATAGTGATGGAGGCAGTCCAATCACTGGTTATCTTATTGAACGCAAAGAAAGGAACAGCTTGCTGTGGGTGAAAGCTAATGATACAGCTGTGCGTTCCACAGAGTACCCTTGTGTGGGGCTCATTGAAGGTCTTGAGTATGCTTTCAGAATTTATGCACTGAACAGAGCTGGAGCAAGTAAACCTAGTAAACCAACTGAGATTGTCACGGCAAGGACACCAGTCGGTAAGCCAGACAAACCACTGAGTAGCAACAGACTACTGTTTTTATGATCATTTCAAATGTATCTGCAATTCTTCATAGAGTTTGCACTTTTGTTTTCATGTTTGCTGTGAATGCGTTATATGGTCATACTGTAGACCGGATCCAGATCTGTTAAATATTTCATATATATTTTAAATATATTTATTAATATAGTAGCTATTAAAAAACAGCAACAAAACACCAGACTAAAACATGATCTTACTCCTAGATCCTCCTGGAAAACCTGAAGTTATTGATGTCACTAAGAGTACTGCATCGCTGGTATGGACAAGACCAAAGCATGATGGTGGTAGCAAGCTTATTGGCTACTTTGTTGAAGCTTGCAAATTACCTGGTGACAAGTGGGTCCGGTGCAATACAACTCCACATCAAATACCTCTGGAAGAGTACACTGCTACTGATCTGGAAGAAAATGCTCAATATCAATTTAGAGCAATTGCTAAGACAGCAGTTAATATTAGCCGACCTTCAGAACCTTCTGATCCGGTGACCATTCACCCAGAAAATGGTGAGAAATGCAAAAACATTTGAGAACTCTGAGAATCTATCCATATTGAACTAATAGTCATGAGAAGAATGGGATGCTTACCTCTTACTAAACTGATTAAATCTTGTGCTCTTTCCCTTCAGTTCCTCCCAGAATAGAGTTGGATCTATCTATGCAATCACAGCTAACAGTAAAAGCTGGAACTAATGTACGTCTGGAGGCCAAAGTATATGGAAAACCAATGCCAACCATCACTTGGAAGAAAGAAGGAGAACATTTAAAGCCATCAGAAGGTGTTAAGATAACTACTAAGAGAAATCTTGCTGTTGTTGAGCTGTTCAGTGTTAACAGGAAGCAAACAGGAGACTATACTATAACTGCTGAAAATCCAAGTGGATCAAAGTCAGCAACTATTAGGCTTAAAGTACTTGGTAAGCTAAAGACCATCTGTTAATAAATGCATTTGTGGTTAAATTATATAGCAAGAGCTAGTGGTATCACATACTGTTGTTTATTCTTCTAGATAAGCCTGGTCCTCCAGCCTCTGTAAAAATCAAGCATATGTATGCAGATCATGCAATGCTTTCTTGGGAGCCTCCTCTAGAAGATGGAGGTTCAGAAATTACTAATTACATTGTTGACAAACGTGAAACAAGCAGACCAAACTGGGCTCAGGTCAGCGCCACTATACCCATTACAAGTTGCACAGTGGAGAAACTAATAGAAGGGCATGAGTACCAGTTCCGTATATGTGCTGAGAACAAATATGGTGTTGGAGACCCTATATTGACTGAATCAGCAGTTGCTAAGAATCCATATGGTAAGTGTTTAGCAGGCTATCTTCACAAGTCACTGTTTTTTGTGGGTTGTTTTTTTTTTTTTTTTTTTTGTATACACTTATGGATGTCAACATAACTTTCAAATAAATCTTTACAGATGTACCTGGACCTTGTGATCCACCAGTAATCAGTAATGTAACAAAAGACTTTATGACTGTTAGCTGGAAGCCACCAGCTAATGATGGTGGGTCCCCAATAACTGGTTATATACTTGAGAAGCGTGAAACTAAAGCTCTTACCTGGACAAAGGTAAACAGGAAGCCTGTCATTGAAAGAACTGTTAAGGCTGCAGGACTCCAAGAAGGAACAGAATACGAGTTCCGGGTGATCGCATTGAATAAGGCTGGACCTGGCAAGCCTAGTGCACCATCCAAAGCGGTGTATGCTCGTGATCCTCAATGTAAGCTTAAAGTCTCAGATATTTTCCATGGTATTTCCAAATATTTTTGTACAGCATTTGGTATAATTAACTTTCTGCTGTTTTAATTCTCAGATCCTCCTGGCCCACCTGCTTTCCCAAAGGTGGTTGACACTACTCGTAATTCAATAAGCCTGTCATGGAGCAAACCAGCATATGATGGTGGAAGCCCTATTATTGGTTATCTAGTAGAATCAAAAAGAGCTGACACAGACAACTGGGTCAGATGCAATCTTCCCAAGAACTTACAGGCTACACACTTTGTGGTAACAGGGCTGATGGAAGATACAGAGTATCAGTTCCGCATATATGCTGTCAATAAGATTGGATACAGTGATCCAAGTGATGTCCCTGATAAACACACTGCGAAAGATATTTTAAGTATGTTCGTGGAAAGTATATTATCATGTTCACTTTTGTTTTAATTCATGGGATGGCTTTTAAATGAAGGGTTTGTCACACATCATTTAAAAAAGGATTAGTTTGGAATGTGTCATTTCTCAAAGGAATGTTGTTTAAAAGTAACTAATTTGGAAAAAAATGGGGCAGTTAGGAACTGAGAAGAATTGTACTGGTGTGTGCATTTTTCATTTATATGCCAGATACTCTTCCACTTCCTATTTTTTCTCTTACTAATCATAAATCAGACTTTTCAGGTAGTCTTCATGTCTTCTAAATAATTTGAAGCCAAAATTATTATTCTAAGAGTCTGTGCGTGACACTATGTAAACGTAAACTGGAACGCAGGAAATTCCATCTGAACATGAAGAAGAACTTTTATTTAGAGGATGCCAGAGCACAGGAACAGACTACCTGGAGAGGTTGTGGATCTCTTTCACTGGAGATACATAAAACCCAACCAGATTTTCCTGTGTAACCTTCTACAGGGAACCTGTTTTAGCAGGGAGATTGGATCTGATGGTCTTCAGAGATCCCTTCCAAGTCCTGTGATTCTGTGAGACTTATTTCCTAAGAGCTGTACTGGCTTCTATATTCATTTTGCCATACATAGAAAATCATTCCTTCACAGAACTGCTTTGGTTCAAGAAAAGTAGTACAGACTTCGTACTCCTTTGAATTATGGAGGAAATTAGAGTCCTTTTTATATGATAAGTAATGTAAACGATGGAAAAAAATAATGGAAATGATGGCAAAGTCTATACTTGATCTTGAAATGAGAATCAGGACACAAACTCACTAATATCATCATGGACAAAAGAATTGGTTAATCTAGTGGAATGCCTGTAAAGCAGTACTCTTGTCAGAGAAACCTTAGTGATAGTCATCATAAAGGTTATGTTTTAATCACCTCATTTTTGTTTAACAGTTCCTCCTGAAGGAGAACTTGATGCAGAACTAAGGAAAGTACTTGTATTACGCGCTGGAGTCACAATGAGACTTTATGTGCCGGTAAGAGGACGACCACCTCCCAAGATTACGTGGTCTAAAGTGGGTGCCAACTTAAGAGACAGACAAGGATTAGAGATCAAATCAACTGATTTTGATACCTTCCTGCGCTGTGAAAATGTAAACAAATACGATGCTGGAAGATACGTCCTCAGTCTGGAGAATAGTTGTGGTAAAAAGGCATACACCATTGTTGTGAAAGTACTTGGTAAGTGCCAGAGTTTTCCCCCAGAATAATATAATGGTTCAATTTGTAACTTTTTTTTTTCTTGCATCTCATTTACTAAATTAAATCCATGGGATTTGTGCTTATCTAGATACTCCAGGCCCTCCTGTTAACCTTGTTGTAAAGGAAGCATCTAAAGATTCTGCTTATATAACATGGGAACCTCCACTAATTGATGGTGGCAGTCCAATCACAAATTATGTTGTTGAAAAACGTGATGCAGAAAGAAAGTCATGGTCCACAGTAACAGCAGAATGTCCAAAGACAAGCTACAGGATAACTAACTTAGAAGAAGGCAAATCCTACTTCTTCAGGGTTTTTGCTGAAAATGAATATGGTATCGGAGACCCCTGTGAAACTCGTGATGCTGTTAAAGCTTCTGGTAAGAAAAATCAGTCAATTTCTCCTATTTTGATATTCAATTCTTTTTTTTTTTTTTTTTTTTTTTTTTTTTTTAGCCTGAAAGGACACTAACTATACTTTTTTTCCTCTTCTAGAAACACCCGGGCCAGTTGTGGATCTAAAAGCTTCAGCTGTAACAAAATCATCTTGCAATTTAGTATGGAAAAAGCCTATCAGTGATGGTGGAAGCCGTATTTTTGCCTATGTTGTGGAAGTTCTCATTGGTGAAGATAAGTGGCAAGAAGTGATGCGGTCAAAGAACCTTCATTATTCAATGAGAGACCTAAAGGAAGGTCAAGAATACACGTTCAGAGTTAGAGCCCAAAATGATGCTGGATATGGAACTCCAAGGGAGCTCACAATTGTGGCAAGAGATGATGTTGGTATGAAGCAACTTAAAAGATAATTAATTCACTCACCAAACCACATTTATTTCATGCTTAGCATCGTTGCTGTATGTACATGTATATCAGATGCCTCTAAAAGGAAGAAAATTTTTCTGTGAGGGTGGTGAGGCTCTGCAGCATGGAAAACTCTGGCCCAGGGAAGCTGTGCGTGCCCCATTCATGGAGATGTTTAAGGCCAGATTGGATAGGGCTTTGAGGAGCCTGAGTTAGTAGGAGATGTCCCTGTCACTGACATGGGGGTTGGAATTAGATGGTCTTTAAGGTCACTTTCAGCACAGACCTTTCTATGATTCTCTGAAAAGAGCATCTGAATTTTATCTCAGAATTTACACTTACTTTAATAATTGATCTTTTTCTTTTTTTTTTTTTTTTTTTTTTTTTTCAGTGGCACCTGATCTTGATTTAAGAGATCTACCTGATTTGTGCTATGTAGCTAAAGAGGGTAGCAATTTCCGTCTTAAAATCCCTATTAAAGGCAAGCCTTTCCCAACTGTAACTTGGAAGAAAGATGAAGACAAGGCACTTACTGAGAGTGGAAGAGTTGCTTTTGAATCTACGGCAGTAAACACAACACTTTTAGTACGTGACTGCCAGAAAGCTGATGCTGGAAAATACACAATCACTCTGAAGAATGTTGCTGGCAGCAAGGAAGGCACCATTTCTGTGAAAGTTGTTGGCAAACCTGGCATACCAACAGGTCCAGTGAAATTTGATGAAGTCACAGCTGATGCCATGACTTTAAAATGGGGTCCTCCAAAAGATGATGGTGGTTCAGAAATCACTAACTATGTTATAGAGAAAAGAGATAATATAAGCAATAAGTGGGTGACTTGTGCCTCTGCAGTCCAGAAAACTACATTTAGAGTTACACGGCTTCATGAAGGAAATGAATATACGTTCAGGATCAGGGCTGAAAATAAATATGGAGTAGGTGAAGGTCTTAAATCTGACCCTGTTGTTGCAAAACATCCATTTGGTAAGTAATCATTATAATATTCCAATTGTTATAAAAAGGTTTTAGAGGTGATATTCATTGTTAATGATGCTGCATTTTTTAATATTGTTTAGATGTGCCTGATGCTCCTCCACCCCCCAACATTGTTGATGTTCGACATGATTCTGTATCTTTAACTTGGACAGATCCCAGAAGTACTGGAGGCTCACCAATCACAGGTATATTCCCAAAAGCCTCCTTACTATTCCGGTTCTTAATAGTTTGGGAGAATAATTGGTTGATTTCACTGTTTTACTTTCTATTCTTTCTGTATGATGAATCTTCTAAAAGGCCTAATTTCAAAAGAAGGAAGTCAGGAAGTGTCTAACCAAGAAAGTTTTTATGCAGAGAGACAAAACAGCCAAAGCACCAAAAAACTATCACGGCTACATGTTACATCACTTGGGGCTGTACAATTTGCATTACAAGCGTCTCACTGTTTTTCTTAGATACATCTGTAATGTATGTCCACATCTGTTTCTTAATCTGGTTTTCAGTGTTGTCTTGTGCGATTCCTACGTGACATACCATGCAAACAGTATGATATTTTGCAAATGTGTGGTAAATGAAGATCTCTAGAAATCCTCTCATTTTCATCTCACATTTATCTTCTAGGTTATCATATCGAATTCAAAGAAAGAAATAGTCTTTTGTGGAAGAGAGCCAATACAATTCCAATCAGAATGAAAGATTTCAGAGTGACAGGATTAACTGAAGGACTGGAGTATGAGTTCAGAGTAATGGCAATCAATATAGCTGGAGTAGGTAAACCAAGTCCACCATCTGAACCTGTTGTGGCACTTGATCCCATTGGTAAGTTTATAAGGAGAACAAAATGAAAAAAAAATTCTTCTGAAAGCTGAAATCGCTGTTTTTTGACCATGGTTTACCATTTTTTCTTTAAGATCCTCCTGGGAAACCTGAAGTTATCAATGTAACAAGGAACTCAGTAACACTTATTTGGACAGAACCAAAATATGATGGTGGACATAAGTTAACTGGCTATATTGTTGAAAAGCGTGATTTGCCTTCGAAGACTTGGACTAAAGCTAATCATGTGAATGTTCCAGACTGTGCATTCACTGTAACTGACCTTACTGAAGGTTCCAAATATGAGTTCAGAATTAGAGCTAAGAACACTGCTGGGGCTATCAGTCCTCCATCTGAATCCACAGGAACCATAATATGCAAGGATGAGTATGGTATGTAGATGGCATCAAAATTAATTCTATTTGAATAATTAATATCATGCCAAATCCTTTTTTTGTTTGTTTATTTGTTTGTTTGGCTGGTTATTTTACTATCTTCTTTGTAAATGAATCGGTGGTTTGTTTGTTTGTTTTTACAGAGGCACCAACAATTGTTATCGAACCTACTTTGAAGGAAGGTTTAACAGTGAAAGCAGGAGACACAATTACTGTATCTGCTATTAGTATTCGTGGTAAACCACCTCCGACTTCAGCATGGTCAAAAGCTGGAAAAGATTTTAGACCTTCAGAGCTTGTGCACATTGAAACTACACCCACTTCTTCTACCCTAACTGTCAAATATGCAACCAGAAAGGATTCTGGAGAATACACAATCACTGCAACCAATCCTTTTGGCACTAAACAAGAGAGTGTACATGTGAAAGTTTTAGATGTTCCAGGACCTCCAGGGCCTATTGAGATCAGCAATGTTTCAGCAGAAAAAGCCACTCTGACATGGTCACCTCCTGCAGAAGATGGTGGATCACCAATCAAATCATATATTCTTGAAAAGAGAGAAACTAGCCGATTGCTCTGGACATTAGTGGCTGAAAATATCGAGACTTGTAGGCATGTTGTTAGCAAACTCATTCAAGGAAATGAGTATGTTTTCCGTGTCTCAGCAGTAAATCAATATGGCAAGGGTGAACCAGTACAATCAGAACCAGTTAAAATGGTGGACAGATTTGGTAAGTTGAACAAGCGAAGAAGTTCAAGTATACTTTTAATAATCTCTGAGGACTTGATTTTTTTCTGAACTTTGTACTTTCTTCTTTTCTATCAGGTCCCCCTGGTCCTCCTGGAAAACCAGAAGTAACAAATGTGACTAAAAATACTGTGACAATTACCTGGAAAAGGCCAGTAGATGATGGCGGAAGTGAAATCACAGGTTACTATGTGGAGCGGAGAGAAAAGAAAGGTTTAAGATGGGTCAGAGCAACAAAGAAACCAGTTTCAGATCTTAGATGCAAAGTAACTGGTCTCCTGGAAGGAAGTGAATACGAATTCCGTGTCAGTGCAGAAAACAGAGCGGGAGTTGGACCACCAAGTGATGCTTCAAACTCAGTCATGTGCAAGGATGTTGCATGTTAGTATCATGCTTTTTAATTTTTGAGTGGTGGTTGGGGGATAATTTTAGACAGTATAAGAGTTATTTACTCTTATGATGTAACATAATGTGGTATTTTATCTTTTCCTCATTTTTCAGACCCACCTGGTCCACCCGCAAATCCAAGAGTGACTGATACTACAAAGACAAGTGCATCTTTAGCCTGGGGCAAGCCTCACTATGATGGTGGTCTTGACATCATTGGTTACATAGTGGAGCATCAAAAGGAAGGAGAAGAAGAATGGGTAAAAGACACGACAGGGACTGCTTTAAGAATCACTCAATTTGTTGTTGCTCATCTGCAGACAGGAGCCAAATACAATTTCAGAATCTCTGCCATGAATGCTGTAGGTACTGGTGAACCAGCACTAATTCCCAATGTGGAAATCAAAGAGCGGGAAGAAATTCCTGACTTTGAATTAGACGCTGAGCTAAGAAGAACACTTGTTGTCAGAGCTGGGTTAACTATTCGGATTTTTGTGCCTATTAAAGGACGTCCAACTCCAGAAATTACATGGACAAAAGATGATGTTCCACTCAAAGGACGTGCTAGTATTGAAAATACAGACTCTTTTACACTCTTGATTGTCACAGAGTGCACCAGATATGATGCAGGAAAATACGTATTGACACTTGAAAATGCTGCTGGTAAGAAGACTGGTTTTGTAAATGTGAAAGTCTTGGATACACCAGGTCCACCAATAAACCTTAAACCTAGAGAAATCACCAAGGACAGCATCACCCTCCAATGGGATATGCCTCTGATAGATGGTGGTTCCCGTATAACAAACTATATTGTTGAGAAACGTGAATCAACTCGTAAAGCATATTCAACAGTCACAACAAAGTGCCAGAAGTGTTCTTTCAGGATTCCTAATTTGTCTGAGGGATGTGAATACTATTTCAGAGTGTTGGCTGAAAACGAGTTTGGTATTGGTGAACCAGCTGAAACTGCAGAACCAGTAAGGGCTTCTGAGGCACCGTCACCACCTGACAGTCTTAATATTATGGATGTAACACGAAACTCAGTTAGCCTGGCTTGGCCAAAACCAGAACATGATGGCGGCAGCAAGATCACTGGATATGTAATTGAAGCACAGAGAAAAGGAACAAACCAATGGGCACACATTACAACTGTGAAAACATTGGATTGTGTAGTGAAGAATCTAACTGAAAATGAAGAGTATACTTTCCAGGTTATGGCGGTTAACAGTGCTGGGAGAAGTGCCCCAAGAGAAAGCAGACCAGTTATTATCAAGGAACAAACAATGCTTCCAGAGTTTGACCTTCGTAGTATCTACCAGAAAACAGTCATCGCCAAAGCTGGTGACAATATCAAGATTGAAATCCCTGTGCTTGGTCGTCCAAGGCCAACTGTGACTTGGAAGAAAGAAGACCAGATACTTAAGCAAACACAAAGGGTAAATTATGAAAATACTGCAACGGCAACCATACTGAACATCAATGAATGTACACGAAGTGATAGTGGTCGATATCCACTGTCAGCTAAAAATATTGTGGGAGAAGTTAGTGAAGTTATTACAGTTCAAGTTCATGATATACCTGGACCTCCTACAGGACCAATCAAATTTGATGAAATTTCTTCTGACTTTGTAACGTTTTCATGGCAGCCTCCTTTGAATGATGGAGGTGTACCAATAAGTAATTATGTCGTAGAGATGCGTCAAACTGACAGTACCACATGGACTGAACTGGCAACCACAGTGATACGTACTACGTTTAAAGCCACTCGTCTTAATACTGGAGTTGAGTATCAGTTCCGAGTCAAAGCTCAAAACAGGTATGGAACTGGTCCAGCCATTACTTCAGAATCTGTAGTTGCCAACTATCCATTTAAGGTGCCTGGGCCACCTGGTACTCCTCAGGTGATTGCAGTCACCAAAGAAACTATGACCATTAGCTGGAATGAGCCAATTACTGATGGTGGAAGCCCAATTCTGGGTTATCACATTGAAAGGAAAGAACGAAATAGCATTCTTTGGCAGACTGTAAGTAAAATGCTGGTATCAGGCAATATCTTTAAATCAACTGGACTTAGTGATGGCATTGCATATGAATTCCGTGTTATAGCAGAAAATCTGGCTGGCAAGAGTAGGCCAAGCAAGCCATCTGAGCCTGTATTTGCTTTAGACCCAATAGATCCACCTGGTAAGCCAGTACCTCTGAACATTACAAGACACGCAGTGACATTGAAGTGGACTAAACCGGAATATAATGGAGGTTTTAAGATAACTGGCTACACTGTTGAAAAAAGAGATCTTCCTAATGGCCGTTGGCTGAAGGCTAATTTCAGCAACATATTAGAGACTGAATTCACTGTCAGTGGTTTGACAGAAGATGCTGCCTATGAATTCCGTGTGATTGCTAGAAATGCTGGTGGGGCTGTGAGTCAGCCCTCTGAGCCATCAGATGCAATAACTTGTAGAGATGACATTGAAGCACCAAGGATAAGCGTGGATGCTAAATATAAAGACACCTTAGTGCTGAAAGCGGGTGAAGTTTTCAGACTTGAGGCTGATGTATCAGGTCGCCCTCCACCAGCTATGGTATGGACAAAAGGAGAAAAAGAACTTCAAGACACAGCAAAACTAGAAATAAAGACAGCAGACTTTTCTACTGTTCTTATCAATAAAGATTCTTCAAGAAGAGACGGCGGTGCCTATACACTTACTGCAACAAATCCTGGTGGCTTTGCCAAGCATATCTTCAATGTTAAGGTTCTTGATAGACCTGGTCCTCCAGAAGGGCCATTGGCTGTGTCCGAAGTCACTGCAGAAAAATGTGTGCTGTCATGGTTACCTCCTCTGGATGATGGAGGAGCAAAGATTGACCACTATGTGGTTGAAAAACGTGAAACCAGTAGATTGGCATGGACAGCTGTAGCCACTGAAGTTCCGCTGACTAAACTGAAGGTTACTAAGCTGTTGAAGGGCAATGAGTATGTGTTCCGTGTTATGGCTGTTAACAAATACGGAGTTGGTGAGCCTCTTGAATCAGAGCCAGTTCTTGCAGTAAATCCATATGTGCCACCTGATCCACCTAAAACACCTGAAGTTACAGCAATAACAAAAGATTCTATGGTTGTCTGCTGGGGCCATCCTGATTCTGATGGTGGGAGCCCAATAACTAACTACATTGTGGAACGACGTGACAGAGCTGGTCTTCGGTGGGTAAAATGTAACAAGCGAGTTGTTACTGACTTACGTTACAAAGTGTCCGGACTGACAGAAGGTCATGAATATGAATACAGAGTCATGGCTGAAAATGCTGCTGGAGTTAGTGAGCCAAGCCCAACTAGTCCATTCTATAAAGCTTGTGATACTGTATTTAAGCCTGGTCCCCCAGGTAATCCTCGTGTTTTGGATAGCAGCAAGTCCTCTATTACAATAGCATGGAATAAACCAATATACGATGGTGGTTCAGAGATCACAGGTTATATGGTTGAGATCGCACTACCTGAGGAAGATGAGTGGAAGATTGTAACTCCTCCAGTAGGACTAAAGGCCACTTCTTTTACTATCACTGACCTAAAAGAAAACCAAGAGTATAAAATCCGGATATATGCTATGAATTCTGAAGGTCTTGGGGAACCTGCTCTTGTTCCTGGGACTCCTAAAGCTGAAGAAAGACTGCTACCCCCAGAGATTGAACTTGATGCAGAACTTCGTAAAGTTGTAACTATCAGAGCCTGCTGTACTCTAAGACTCTTTGTTCCAATTAAAGGAAGACCAGCACCAGAGGTAAAATGGACGAGAGAACATGGGGAATCTCTGGATAGAGCAACCATTGAATCAACAAGCTCTTATACTCTACTTATTGTTGAAAATGTAAATAGATTTGATAGTGGCAAATACATGTTGACAATTGAAAACAGCTCAGGTAGTAAGTCAGCATTTGTGAATGTCAGAGTACTTGATACTCCAGGGGCACCTCAAGATTTGAAAATAAAAGAAGTTACAAAGTCATCAGTTACACTCACATGGGAGCCTCCTCTCATAGATGGTGGCTCTAAAATAAAAAATTACATTGTTGAAAAGCGTGAATCAACAAGAAAAGCTTATTCAACTGTTAATGCCAATTGCCACAAGACCAGCTGGAAAGTTGATTCACTGCAAGAAGGCTGCAATTACTACTTCAGAGTCCTAGCTGAAAATGAATATGGAATAGGCCTTCCAGTTGAAACTTCAGAATCTGTGAAAGTATCAGAAAGACCACTTCCACCAGGAAAGATAACTTTGTTGGATGTGACAAGAAATAGCGTATCCTTATCTTGGGAAAAACCTGAGCATGATGGTGGTAGCAGAATTCTGGGTTATATTGTAGAAATGCAAAGCAAAGGCAGTGAAAAGTGGTCAACTTGTGCTACAGTAAAAGTTACTGAAGCCACTATCACAGGATTGATCCAAGGTGAAGAATACACTTTCCGTGTTTCAGCTCAGAATGAAAAAGGTGTCAGTGATCCTCGCCAGCTGGGTATACCAGTTGTTGCAAAAGACCTTGTGATTCCACCAGCTTTCAAACTACTGTTCACTACTTTCAGTGTTCTAGCAGGAGAGGACTTAAAGGTTGATGTTCCTTTTGTTGGTCGACCCAAACCAGCAGTCTTTTGGCATAAAGACAATGTGGCATTGAAGCAAACTACCAGAGTCAATGCAGAAAGTTCGGAAAATAACACAGTGTTAACGATAAAAGAAGCATGCAGAGAAGATGTGGGAGCATATTTAGTTAAACTTACGAATTCTGCAGGTGAAGCAACTGAGACCTTAAATATTGTTGTCCTTGATAAACCAGGACCCCCAACTGGACCAGTCAAAGTAGATGAAGTAACAGCAGATAGTATTACCATTTCTTGGGAGCCACCCAAATATGATGGTGGTAGCTCCATTAATAATTATATTGTAGAAAAAAGAGACACTTCCACCACCATTTGGCAGATTGTGTCTGCTACTGTTGCAAGAACAACGATAAAAGCGTGTAGATTAAAGACTGGCTGTGAATATCAATTCAGAATCACAGCTGAAAACAGATATGGGAAGAGCACCTATCTCACTTCAGAGCCAGTTGTAGCCCAATACCCATTTAAACTTCCTGGTCCACCTGGAACGCCTTTTGTAACGAGCACATCAAAAGACAGCATGGTGGTACAATGGAATGAACCAGTCAATGATGGTGGTAGCAAGATCATTGGGTATCACTTGGAGCGCAAGGAGAGAAATAGCATTCTGTGGGCTAAGCTGAATAGGACACCTATTCCAGATACCAAATTTAAGACAACTGGCCTTGAGGAGGGTCTTGAATATGAGTTCAGAGTTTATGCAGAAAACATAGTAGGTATTGGAAAAGCAAGTAGAGCATCTGAATGCTATACGGCACATGACCCATGTGACCCTCCCGGACGTCCAGAACCTTTAATTGTCACAAGAAGTTCAGTAACACTTCAGTGGAAGAAACCTATATATGATGGTGGAAGTAAGATTACAGGTTATGTTGTTGAAAAGAAAGAACTACCTGATGGTCGCTGGATGAAAGCAAGTTTTACAAATGTAATCGATACCCAATTTGAAGTAACTGGTCTGGTTGAAAACCAGAGATATGAGTTCCGTGTTATAGCACGAAATGCTGCAGGTGTTTTCAGTGAGCCGTCTGAGAGCTCGGGTGCCATTACAGCAAGAGATGAAGTAGAACCACCTCATATAACTATGGATCCAAAATACAAAGACACAATTGTAGTACATGCTGGTGAATCATTCAAGTTGGAAGCTGATGTTCATGGCAAACCAATACCTTCCATTCAGTGGCTAAAAGGTGATCATGAGCTCACAAACACTGCTCGTATGGAAATTAAAAGTACGGATTTTGCAACAAGTCTCAGTGTGAAGGAAGCTATTAGAGTTGACAGTGGTCAGTATGTGCTATTTGCAAAGAACGTTGCGGGCGAAAAGAAAGTTCCTGTTCATGTCAAAGTCCTTGATAGACCTGGACCACCAGAAGGACCTGTTGAGATTACAGGTGTCACTGCTGAAAAATGTATGTTATCATGGAAACCTCCACTACAAGATGGCGGTAGTGATATTTCACATTATGTTGTGGAAAAAAGGGAAACCAGTCGCCTGGTTTGGACTGTCGTTGATTCAAATGTGCAAACGCTCAGTTGCAAAGTAACTAAACTTTTAGAAGGAAATGAATACGTTTTCCGTATCATGGCAGTAAACAAATATGGCGTTGGTGAACCTCTTGAATCTGAACCAGTACTTGCAAAGAACCCATTTGTAGTGCCACTTCCACCAAAGGCTCCAGAAGTCACAGCCATTACCAAGGATTCTATGATAGTTGTTTGGGAAAGGCCAGCCTCGGATGGAGGTAGTGAAATCCTAGGCTATGTCCTTGAAAAACGGGACAAGGAAGGTATTCGCTGGACAAGATGTAACAAACGCCTGATAAGTGAACTGCGATACAGAGTGACTGGGCTGATCGAAAGTCATAATTATGAGTACAGAGTTTCAGCTGAAAATGCTGCTGGTCTCAGTGAACCAAGCCTACCTTCTACTTACTATAAGGCATGTGATCCTATTTATAAGCCAGGACCACCCAACAATCCTAAGGTTGTGGATGTTACAAGATCATCAGTTTTCCTTTCATGGAGTAAACCTATCTATGATGGTGGCTCTGAAATTCAGGGATACATTGTAGAAAAATGTGATGTAAGTGATGGTGAGTGGGCAATTTGTACCCCTCCAACTGGAATTAAGAACACCCATATGGAAGTAGAAAAACTAGTGGAAAAACATGAATACAAATTCCGTGTCTGTGCAGTTAATAAAGCAGGAGTTGGAGATCATGCAGATGTTCCTGGTTCTGTTATTGTGGAAGAAAAGATGGAGGCTCCAGACCTTGACCTTGACATGGAATTAAGGAAGATCGTAAACGTGCGGGCAGGAGGTTCCTTGAGACTGTTTGTTCCCATCAGAGGTCGTCCAACACCTGAAGTAAAATGGGGTAAAGTGGATGGTGAGATCAGAGAGGCAGCCATTATTGACACCACTAGCAGCTTTACTTCCCTTGTTCTAGACAATGTCAACAGATTTGATACTGGAAAATATACCCTGACTTTAGAAAACAGCAGTGGAACAAAGTCTGCTTTTGTCAGTGTAAGAGTACTGGATACTCCAAGTGCACCTATTAATTTAAAAATCAGAGAGATCACTAAAGACTCTGTTTCACTTTCCTGGGAGCCTCCTCTCTTGGATGGTGGAGCAAAAATAAAGAATTACATTATTGAAAAGCGTGAAGCAACAAGAAAGGCATATGCAGCTGTTGTAACAAACTGCCACAAGACTTCATGGAAAGTAGATCAACTTCAGGAGGGCTGCTATTATTTCTTTAGAATCTCTGCTGAGAATGAATATGGAATTGGCCTCCCTGCAGAAACCAGTGACCCAATTAAAGTTGCTGAAGTTCCTCAGCCTCCTGGGAAAATAACAGTGGATGATGTCACAAGAAACAGTGTTTCACTAAGCTGGGCAAAACCTGAACATGATGGTGGCAGCAAAATCATACAATATATTGTTGAAATGCAAGCAAAGGGTAGTGAGAAGTGGTCAGAGTGTGCTCGTGTGAAAACACTTGAAGCAGTTATTACTAACTTAACTCAAGGGGAAGAATATCTTTTTAGAGTAATGGCTGTAAATGAAAAGGGTAAGAGTGATCCTAGAGCACTTGCGGTTCCAGTAGTTGCCAAAGACTTGGTGATTGAACCTGATGTAAGGCCCGCTTTTCACAGTTACAGTATCCAAGTGGGACAAGATCTGAAAGTAGAAGTACCAGTTTCAGGTCGACCTAAACCAACTGTTACCTGGGTAAAAGATGGCCAGACACTAAGGCAGACAACAAGAGTCAATGTCAGTGATGTGCCAGATCTCACTGTACTGAATATTAAAGAAACTAGCAAAGAGGACACTGGTACTTACGAAATCACAGTGGCCAATGTTGTTGGGCAGAAGACTGCCTCTATTGAAATTATAACTCTAGACAAACCTGACCCTCCAGTTGGACCTGTGAAGTTTGATGAAATAAGTGCAGAAAGTGTTACCTTGTCATGGAATCCTCCAGCATACACAGGTGGCTGTCAAATCACCAACTATGTTGTTCACAAGAGAGATACAACAACCACTGTATGGGAAACAGTTTCAGCTACTGTTGCAAGAACTGTACTAAAGGTGACTAAACTAAAAACTGGTTCAGAATATCAGTTCAGAATATTTGCTGAGAACAGGTATGGGCAGAGCTTTGCATTGGAATCTGCACCAGTTGTAGCACAGTACCCATACAAAGAACCTGGACCTCCTGGCACACCATTTGTGACAATAGTTACAAAAGACTCCATGGTCGTACAATGGCATGAACCAATAAATGATGGTGGCAGTAAGGTACTGGGCTACCATCTTGAGAGAAAGGAGAAGAACAGCATCTTATGGACTAAAGTGAATAAGACTATTATTCAGGACACAAGTTTTAAGACAACGAACCTCGAAGAAGGAATTGAATATGAATTTAGAGTTTCTGCAGAAAATATTGTTGGTATAGGTAAAACAAGTAAAGTTTCTGAGTGCTACGTAGCTCGTGATCCATGTGATCCTCCAGGTCGCCCAGAAGCTATAATAATAAAAAGAAGCTCTATTACTCTACAGTGGACCAAACCAGAATATGATGGTGGAAGTAAAATTACTGGGTATATTGTAGAGAAACGTGACTTACCAGATGGTCGCTGGATGAAAGCTAGTTTCACAAATATCATTGAAACTCAGTTCACTGTAACAGGGCTTACCGAAGACCAAAGATACGAATTTAGAGTCATTGCAAAGAATGCTGCAGGTGCAATAAGTAAACCTTCTGACAGTACAGGACCAATAACAGCAAGGGATGAAGTTGAACTTCCACGAATTTCAATGGATCCAAAGTACAAAGAGACAATTGTTGTAAATGCTGGTGATACATTCAGACTTGAGGCTGATGTTCATGGAAAGCCACTACCAACCATTAAGTGGTACAAAGGAGATAAAGAGCTTGAGGAAACTGCTAGATATGAGATAAAGAACACAGATTTCAGTGCATTAATAATTGTAAAAGATGCTATTAGAATTGATGGTGGGCAGTTTATTTTAGAAGCCTCTAATGTTGCAGGAACAAAGACAGTACCAGTAAACGTAAAAGTCCTGGATAGACCAGGCCCTCCTGTGGGCCCTGTCCAAGTAACCGGAGTTACAGCTGAAAAATGTTCATTGGCATGGTCTCCTCCTCTTCATGATGGTGGCAGTGATATTTCTCATTATATTGTAGAGAAGAGAGAAACTAGTCGCCTAGCATGGACTGTTGTTGCTTCAGAGGTTCTACCTACAATGCTGAAAGTAACAAAACTTTTGGAAGGAAATGAATATATTTTCCGTATTATGGCTGTTAACAAATACGGAGTTGGTGAACCGCTGGAATCTGTGCCTGTAATGATGAAAAATCCATTTGTGGTTCCTAGTCCACCAAAGGCCTTGGAAATCACCAACATCACAAAGGATTCTATGACTGTCTGCTGGAGCCGACCAGATAGTGATGGTGGTAGTGAAATCATAGGGTATATTGTAGAAAAGAGAGATCGAGCAGGTATCAGATGGATAAAATGCAATAAACGACGAATTACAGATCTGCGACTAAGAGTTACAGGATTAACAGAGGATCATGAGTATGAATTCAGAGTTTCTGCTGAAAATGCTGCTGGATTGGGTGAGCCAAGCCAAGTTTCCCCTTACTTTAAAGCCTGTGACCCCATGTTCAAGCCTGGTCCGCCTACAAATGCCCATGTTGTGGATACCACTAAAAGTTCAGTTACACTTGGCTGGAGTAAACCTATTTATGATGGTGGCTGTGAAATCCAGGGATATCTTGTAGAAATCTGCAAAGCAGATGAAGATGAATGGTCACTTGTTACTCCACAGACAGGTATACGTGCCACACGATTTGAAATCAAAAAGCTTACTGAACATCAGGAATATAAACTACGAGTTTGTGCTCTCAACAAGGTTGGTGTAGGAGAGGCTGCATCAGTTCCTGGTACTATTAAACCAGAAGACAAACTTGAAGCTCCAGAACTTGATATTGATTCAGAGCTAAGGAAAGGGATAGTGGTTAGAGCTGGTGGCTCTGCTAGGATCCACATACCATTCAGGGGACGACCAATACCTGACATCACATGGTCTCGAGAAGAAGGTGAATTCACAGAAAAAGTTCAAATTGATAAAGGCGTAAACTACACACAACTCTCAATTGACAACTGTGACAGAAATGATGCTGGAAAGTATATTCTAAAGTTGGAGAACAGCAGTGGTTCTAAATCTGCTTTTGTTATAGTGAAAGTCTTAGATACGCCAGGACCACCACAAAACTTAATAGTAAAGGATATAAAGAAGGATTCTGCTGTACTATCTTGGGAACCTCCAATTATTGATGGTGGTGCAAAGGTAAAGAACTACGTAATAGACAAACGTGAGTCAACCAGGAAGGCATTTGCAAATGTAAGCGCAAAGTGTGGCAAGACAAGCTTTAAAGTTGAAAATCTTACAGAAGGAGCAATCTATTACTTCAGAGTCATGGCTGAGAATGAATTTGGAATTGGTGTTCCAGCTGAAACAGCAGATGCTGTGAAAGCCTCTGAGCCACCTCTGCCTCCTGGGAAAGTAACACTCACTGACGTTACTCAGAGAAGTGCATCACTTACATGGGAAAAACCAGAACATGATGGAGGTAGCAGAATTTTGGGATACATTGTTGAAATGCTGCCTAAAGGAACAGAAAAATGGAGTGTTGTTAGTGAGACCAAAACATGCAGTGCAGTTGTTTCTGGTCTGAGTCCAGGCCAAGAATATCAATTCCATGTGATTGCCTACAATGAAAAAGGCAAAAGTGATCCCAGAGCACTTGGGGTTCCTGTGATAGCTAAAGACTTGACAATTGAGCCAAGTTTTAAGTTGATGTTTAATACATACAGTGTACAGGCTGGAGAAGATTTGAAAGTAGAAGTACCATTTATAGGTAGACCAAAACCTACTATTACTTGGACAAAAGATGAACAGCCACTGAAACAAACAACCAGATTAAATATTGAGAATACATCAACGTCAACTATTCTACATATTAAAGAAAGCAACAAAGAGGACTTCGGTAAATATACAGTAACGGCATCAAACACAGCAGGCACAGCAAGTGAGCAATTGAGTATAATTGTACTGGAAAAACCTGGCCCACCACGAGGACCTGTGCGCTTTGATGAAGTTAGCGCAGACTTTGTTGTTTTATCATGGGATCCACCTGATTATACTGGTGGCTGTCAGATAAGTAACTATATAGTAGAAAAGCGTGACACCAGCACTACCACATGGAATATTGTGTCAGCAACTGTTGCAAGAACAACTATCAAAGCAACAAAGCTTAAGACAGGTTCTGAATACCAGTTCAGGATTTCTGCTGAAAATAGATATGGAAAGAGCTCTCCTTTGGACTCTAAGCCAGTTGTTGTGCAATACCCCTACAAGGTGCCTGGGCCACCTGGAACCCCATTTGTAACAGCAGCTTCCAAGGACCATATGATTGTACAATGGAATGAACCAGTTAATGATGGAGGAAGCAAAGTTCTTGGCTACCATCTTGAACGTAAAGATAAGAACAGCATTCTTTGGATAAAACAGAACAAGTCACTCATTGCAGACACCACATATAAAACAGATGGCCTTGAAGAAGGTCTTGAATATGAGTTCAGAGTTTCTGCTGAAAACATTGTTGGCGTTGGCAAAGTCAGCAAAGTATCAGAGTTATATGTTGCCCGAGACCCATGTGACCCACCTGGCCGCCCAGAGGCAATTGTTGTTACAAGAAATAACATTACACTGAGGTGGAAGAAGCCAGAATATGATGGTGGAAGCAAAATAACTGGATATATTGTAGAAAAGAAAGAACTACCAGACGGTCGGTGGATGAAAGCCAGCTTTACAAATGTTTTAGAAACAGAGTTTACAGTAAGTGGTCTTGTCGAAGACCAACGATATGAATTCAGAGTCATTGCAAGAAATGCAGCTGGTTGCTTGAGTGAACCATCTGAAAGTACAGGGCCCATTACAGCCAGAGATGAAATTGAAGCACCGGGAGCTTCTCTGGATCCTAAATACAGAGATGTCATTGTTGTTCATGCTGGAGAAACCTTTATTCTTGAGGCTGATATTCATGGCAAACCTATTCCTGACATTACATGGTCAAAAGATGGTAAAGATCTTGAAGAAACAACTGCAAGAATGGAAATTAAATCTACTATTCAGAAAACAACTCTTACAGTCAAAGACTGTGTAAGAGTAGATGGAGGTCACTATACTCTTAACCTCAGAAACGTTGGTGGCACAAAATCTATACCTATTACTGTAAAAGTGCTAGATAGGCCAGGACCTCCAGAAGGGCCTTTGAAGGTTACAGGTGTAACAGCAGAAAAATGCTACTTGGCATGGGCTCCGCCTTTACATGATGGTGGTTCCAGTATCTCACATTATATCATTGAGAAGAGAGAGACAAGCAGGCTTTCATGGACACAAGTAGCTACAGATGTGCAGGCCCTTAGCCACAAAGTAACTAGACTCCTTGCTGGCAATGAGTACATTTTCCGTGTAATGGCAGTGAACAAATATGGAACAGGAGAACCCTTGGAATCTGAGCCAGTTGTGGCTTGTAATCCATACAGACCCCCCGGTCCTCCTTCAACACCTGAAGTTTCAGCGATCACAAAAGACTCAATGGTTGTAACGTGGAGTCGTCCAGAAGACAATGGGGGAGCTGAAATTGAAGGATACATACTTGAAAAACGAGACAAAGATGGTGTCCGGTGGACCAAATGCAATAAGAAACGGCTGACAGAATTGCGATTCCGAGTAACAGGTCTTACTGATGGGCATTTCTATGAATTTAGAGTTTCTGCTGAAAATGCTGCTGGTGTAGGGGAACCCAGTGAGCCGTCCATTTTCTATCGTGCTTGTGATGTATTATATCCACCAGGTCCACCAAGCAATCCAAAGGTTACAGATACTTCCAGGTCATCAGTTTCTCTTGCCTGGGGTAAGCCCATTTATGATGGTGGTGCTCCAGTTAAGGGATATGTAGTAGAAGCAAAAGAAGCAGCTGCTGATGAATGGACTACTTGCACCCCACCAACAGGGCTACAAGCAAAACAATTCACTGTAACAAAACTTAAAGAGAACCAGGAGTACAACTTCCGCATCTGTGCCATCAACTCAGAAGGAGTAGGAGAACCTGCTACTATACCTGGCACAGTTATAGCAGCGGACAAGACTGAACCTCCTGAAATTGAACTTGATGCAGATCTCAGAAAAGTAGTCATTGTACGTGCCAGTGGTACCTTACGTCTGTTTGTCACTATCAAAGGAAGACCAGAACCTGAAGTTAAATGGGAGAAAGCAGAAGGAACAATTAGTGATCGAGCTCAGATCGAAGTCACTAGTTCCTATACAATGTTGGTAATTGACAATGTGAATCGATTTGATAGTGGCAGATACAATCTAACTTTAGAGAACAACAGTGGCAAAAAAACAGCTTTTGTTAATGTCAGAGTGCTTGATACACCTAGTGCACCAGTGAACCTGACAGTCAGAGAAGTGAAAAAAGATTTTGTAACACTGGCGTGGGAACCACCACTTATTGATGGTGGAGCTAAAATTACCAACTATGTAGTTGAAAAGCGAGAATCTACAAGAAAAGCATATGCCACAATTACAAATAACTGCACTAAGAATTCCTTCAAAATTACTCAGCTACAAGAAGGATCTAGTTATTATTTCCGTGTTCTAGCTGTAAATGAATATGGGGCTGGCTTACCAGCAGAAACACCTGAGCCAATTAAGGCTTCAGAACCACCTTCTCCACCTGCAAAGGTCATTCTTGTTGATGTAACTCGCAACTCTGCTTCAATTAAATGGGAAAAGCCAGAGAGTGATGGTGGCAGTAAAATTACTGGTTATATAGTAGAAATGCAAACTAAAGGAAGTGTGAAATGGAGCACATGTACCCAAGTAAAAACATTAGAAGCAACAATAACAGGATTAACTATGGGAGAAGAATACAGTTTCAGAGTGATTGCTACTAATGAAAAAGGGAAAAGTGATCCAAGAGAACTTGGTGTCCCAGTCATTGCAAAAGATATTGAAATCCAGCCATCTGCTGAGCTCCTTTTCAACACATTCACTGTGAAAGCTGGAGATGATCTTAAGATTGATGTGCCATTTAGAGGGCGACCTCTTCCATCCATTTGCTGGAAGAAGGATGGGAATCCCTTAAAAGAGACAACCAGGGTGAATGTTCAGACATCAAAGACTTCAACTTCACTATCCATCAAGGAAGCTTCACATGAAGATCTGGGACATTATGAGTTACATCTTTCAAATTCTGCTGGATCAACAACTGCTTCTTTAACTGTAGTTGTTCTTGACAGACCAGGACCACCAACTGATGTTCATATTGATGAAGTTAGTGCTGATAGTGTAACTTTGTCTTGGAAACCTCCAGAATATGATGGTGGGTGCCATATTAGCAATTACATTGTGGAGAAACGAGACACTACCACAACAACCTGGGACATAGTATCTGCAGCAGTTGCAAGAACATCAATTAAAGTATCACGACTTACTACCGGTTCTGAATATCAGTTCCGTATTTGCGCAGAAAATCGTTATGGGAAGAGCACACATGTTAATTCTCCATCTGTTGTGGCAGAGTATCCATTTAAGCCCCCAGGACCTCCTGGTACTCCTCATGTGGCACATGCAACTAAAGCTTTCATGATTGTAACTTGGCAGGTACCAGTTAACGATGGAGGTAGCAGAGTACTAGGATATCACTTGGAACGTAAAGAAAGAAGCAGCATTCTTTGGGCAAAAGTCAACAAAAGTCTTATAACTGATACACAGATGAAAGTTACAGGTCTTGATGAAGGTCTGATGTATGAATATCGTGTGTATGCCGAAAACATTGCAGGCATAGGCAAATGCAGTAAATCATGTGAACCAGTTGCTGCAAGAGATCCGTGTGATCCTCCTGGTCAACCAGAAGTTACTAATATTACAAGAACATGTGTCTCACTGAAATGGACTAAACCAGAATATGATGGTGGAGCTAAAGTAACAGGATATATTATTGAGCGCAGAGAGATGCCAGATGGTCGCTGGTTAAAGTGTAATTTCACAAATGTGCAAGAAACATACTTTGATGTAGGTGGACTTACGGAAGACCAGCGTTACGAATTCCGTGTGATTGCAAAGAATGCTGCTGGACTCTTCAGTCAGCCATCTGAATCAACCGGACCTGTGACCGTAAAAGATGATGTAGAGGCTCCAAGAATTATGATGGATGTCAAATTCAGAGATGTTGTAGTTGTGAAAGCTGGAGAAGTGTTTAAAGTCAATGCTGATATTGCAGGGCGGCCAATACCAGTAATTTCATGGACAAAAGATGGCAAAGAACTTGAGGGAAAAGCTAGAGTTGAAATAGCCTCAACAGATTACGCTACTGCAATAACAGTTAAGGACTGTATCCGAGGTGATTCAGGACAGTATGTACTAACATTACAAAATGTTGCAGGAACAAAATCTTTGGCAATTAATTGCAAAGTACTTGACAGACCTGGCCCACCAGCAGGCCCACTAGAAATAACTGGCCTTACTGCTGAAAAGTGTCATTTATCATGGGGACCTCCTCAAGAGAATGGAGGTGCAGATATTGATTATTATGTTGTAGAAAAACGTGAGACCAGCAGAATTGCATGGACAATTTGTGAAGGAGAGCTTAAGACAACATCCTGTAAAGTGACAAAACTGCTGAAGGGTAATGAGTATATTTTTAGAGTGATGGGAGTTAACAAATATGGTGTTGGTGAGCCTCTAGAAAGTGTTGCTGTCAAAGCCTTAGACCCATTTACGGTTCCAAGTCCACCTACTTCTTTGGAGATCACCAGTGTAAGCAAAGATTCAATAACTTTGTGCTGGGCAAGACCTGAGTCTGATGGAGGCAATGAGATCTCTGGCTACATAATTGAAAGACGTGAGAAAACTAGCCTAAGATGGATACGTGTAAACAAAAAGCCGGTATATGATTTAAGAGTGAAATCATCTGGTCTCCGTGAAGGATGTGAATATGAATTCCGAGTTTATGCAGAAAATGCTGCTGGTCTCAGCCTTCCAAGCCAAAGCACACCATTAATTCGGGCAGAAGATCCAATCTTCTTGCCATCTCCCCCATCTAAACCAAAGATTATGGATTCCACAAGGTCAAATATCACAATTGGGTGGACAAAGCCACTGTTTGATGGAGGCTCTCCAGTAACTGCATACACAGTTGAATACAAGAAAACTGATGAAACTGACTGGACAACTGCTATTCAGAACTTAAGAGGTACAGAGTACACCATAAGTGGGTTAGTGTCTGGCTCTGAATATGTCTTCAGAGTGAAATCCATCAACAAAATGGGTGTCAGTGAACCAAGTGACAGCTCAGAACCTCACTTGGCAAAAGAAAGAGAGGAAGAACCTGCTTTCGATATTGACAGTGAAATGCGAAAGACACTAACTGTAAAGGCTGGTGAATCATTCACAATGACAGTTCCTTTCAGAGGCAAACCAGTCCCAAATGTAACATGGAACAAACCAGATACTGATCTCCGTACACGAGCAAGCATTGATGTTTCACATAATCGCACATCTCTTACTATTGAAAAGGCAACAAGAAATGATTCTGGAAAATACACTTTAACATTGCAAAACATCCTGAACACTGTTACCTTGACTTTAGTTGTCAAAGTTCTTGACACTCCTGGCCCGCCATCTCATGTAACAACAAAAGATGTAACTAAAGAATCTGCTGTGTTATCTTGGGATGTTCCTGATAACGATGGTGGGGCACCTGTGAAGAACTACGTAATTGAAAAACGAGAAGCTAGCAAGAAAGCATGGGTCACTGTGACGAATAATTGTCATCGCCTGTCATATAAAGTAACTGGTTTACAAGAAGGTGCCATTTACTACTTCAGAGTTTCTGGAGAGAATGAGTATGGTGTTGGAGTGCCTTCTGAGACCAAGGAGGGAACCAAAATAACAGGTATGTTTCACTAAAAAAAATAATTCTGTAACATATAACAATGCATGTTCTGAAATGTTTATTTCAAAATAATATAAAAGATATTTAATCTGTTTATAATAAGAAAATTAAATATGTGGTAGATGCGTTTGTGATTTTACAAAAGAAAATGCTGAACAACAGCATAAATTTTAAATTTTGTTTGCATTTTACTGAAAATGTTCTAACATACAAATTCATTACCAAAAAAAAAAAAAAAAAAAAAAAAAAAACCAAAAACCAACCCTCAATCCAGTGTAATTGCTAGCATAAAAAGGAATAATTTCTTGTTGCTTAACCTGTTGAACTTTTTTTTCTCAGAAAAACCCAGCCCTCCAGAAAAACTTGGAGTGACAAACGTCACAAAGGACAGTGTTTCTCTGTCATGGCTAAAACCAGAACACGATGGTGGAAGCAGAATTGTGAGCTACCTCATTGAGGCTCTTGAGAAAGGACAGCAGAAATGGGTTAAGTGTGCAGTTGTAAAGACAACTCATCATGTTGTCCACGGTCTTAAGGAGAATGTTGACTATTTCTTCAGAGTGTCTGCAGAAAACCAAGCAGGGTTAAGTGATCCTAAGGAACTACTTCTTCCTGTTACAATTAAAGAACAATTAGGTAAGCCGGCTGTCATGAGACAAAAGTCAATATGCATTAAATTGAATTCATATTTTAGAATAGATAGCATTTTTTAATTATTTGAAAATGTTTTTGTTTTCAGAATCTCCTGAGATTGACATGAAGGGCTTCCCTCACAACACTGTGTATGTTCGGGCAGGTTCAAACCTGAAAGTTGAAATTCCAGTTTCTGGAAAACCATTGCCAAAGGTGACATTGTCTAGAGATGGCGCACCAATCAAACCCACCTTGAGATTTCACACAGAAACGACAGCAGAAAGTTTCATTGTTAACCTTAAAGAAAGCGTGGCTGCTGATGCTGGCAGATATGATATCACTGCTGCTAATTCGAGTGGCACCACAAAGTCATTCGTTAATATTGTTGTGCTGGATAGACCAGGTCCTCCTGTTGGTCCTGTTGTCCTTAGTGATATCACTGAGGAGAGTGTAACACTCAGATGGCAGCCACCAGCTTATGATGGCGGAAGTCAAGTTACCAACTATATTGTACTGAAAAGAGAAACAAGTACCGCTGCCTGGTCTGAGGTCTCTGCAACCGTTGCTAGAACTGTTATTAAAGTCATGAAACTCACAACAGGAGAAGAATACCAATTCCGCATCAAAGCTGAGAACCGCTTTGGCATCAGTGATCACGTTGACTCACAATGTGTAGTTGTCAAACTTCCTTACAGTAAGTAATGCTCTTCTCACACAGCAGATCAGAATTCTAATGTTCAGATGTTGAAAGGCTCATTTTGTTAACAATCGCTTCTTTTAATATCATCAGCTACCCCTGGTCCTCCTTCCACACCATGGGTCACTAGCGTCACCCGAGAGAGTATTACAGTCGGATGGCACGAACCAGTCACTAATGGTGGCAGCCCTGTCATTGGATACCACTTGGAAATGAAGGACAGGAATAGCATATTATGGCAGAAGGCTAACAAGACCCTCATTCGCACAACTCACTTTAAAGTCACCACCATCAGTGCCGGCCTTATCTATGAATTTAGAGTTTATGCTGAAAATGCAGCTGGTGTTGGAAAAGCAAGTCATCCTTCTGATCCGGTCCTTGCAATTGATGCTTGTGGTATGTATTCCGTAGAAAATAAAGAAACCCAACCACTGAAATAGTGCTTTTCCTTTTCCCCTGTGGTATTCTTTCTTGTGGAGTAAGCTAATACCCAAAACATTTGTTAGTATTATTATAAAGATTGTTATTCATTTGCAATATTTTCATGTTTTCCATCACAGAACCACCAAGAAATGTTCGTGTCTCAGATATTTCCAAGACTGCTATTACTTTGTCATGGCAGAAGCCAGCATTTGATGGTGGTAGCAAGATCACTGGATACATTGTAGAAAAACGTGATCTACCAGATGGCAGATGGTCAAAAGCTAGTTTCACCAATGTTATTGAGACTCAGTTCACAGTATCTGGTCTGACACAGAATTCCCAGTATGAATTCCGAGTCTTTGCCAAGAATGCTATTGGTTCCATTAGTAATCCATCAGATGTTGTGGGTCCTGTTACCTGTGTTGATACATATGGTAAGTGTTTTGCAATGATATAACAGTTTTATGTGCTTCTTAAAGTCAGTGCTGTTTTGTAGAACCATAGCCTTTTTAATACAGAAAGCTAACTTGTCTTGATAAACTTGAATGATGGCGAACTTTTTGAGCATGATTGTAATTAACATCTTTGGCTGTATCTGCATTTGTTTGAGTTGTGGCATGTTGATTCTTTCAACGACAGAAGTAAGCCCATGTCCCATGGCCAAAGTGATATTTATAACACATAGTTGCCTTTTTTTTTTTCTTTCTTTCCTTTTTTTTTTTTTGGTAGTGTTGTAACTCATTCCAACTTTCTGATTTAAATTACTCATGCTAGCTTCAATCAATATCTGTAAAATGCTTGTAACTGTTAGCTTAGAAAAAGTATTGCTTATTTTCACTTTTATTAAAGACAAGTCTTAACTGTTTTGTTTTTTATTCTTATTTTTTCTTAAGGTGCACCTGAAATCGATGTGCCGCCAGAATATACAGAAGTAGTGAAATACAAAGCAGGAACTTCTATTAAGCTAAAACTAGGCATTTCAGGAAAGCCTATACCAACAATTGAATGGTTCAAAAATGGCAATGAGCTGCAAAGCAGTTCACTACTGTCTATCGAGAACACAACAGAATTTGCTTCTATACTCATCAAGGATGCAACTCGACTTAACAGTGGCACCTATGAACTAAAACTGAAGAATGCCATGGGATCAGCCTCTGCCCATGTGCGATTACAGATACTCGGTATGTCTTGAGAAATTACTGTGTAACACTGTTAAACAATAATCTACGAAAAAATGCTTAACACCTTGTTTTTGGCATTTTATACAGACAAACCTGGACCCCCAACTGGACCAATACAGTTTAAGACAGTCACTGCAGAAAAGATCACAATAATGTGGGACCCTCCAGCAGATGATGGTGGTGCACCTGTAACACACTATGTTGTTGAAAAGCGGGAGACAAGTCGTGTTGTATGGTCTTTAGTTTCTGAGAAAGAGGAGGGGTGTATTATAACTACAACAAAACTTGTCAAAGGAAATGAATATGTGTTCCGTGTCCGTGGTGTGAACAAGTTTGGAGTTGGTGATTCCTTGGAGTCTGAACCAGTTATAGCCAAAAACTCATTTGGTAAGAACCATATAACATCAGTAATAGAACTGAATCATCCTATCTGGTATTTGCATATATTGTTCACCTACTGACATATATGTATATTTTTTTAAATTTAGTTGCACCTGGACCACCTGGTGTACCAGAAGTCACAATGATAACCAAGAATTCTATGACTGTTGTCTGGAGTAGGCCCACTGTTGATGGAGGTAGTGAAATATCAGGATATTTTCTTGAGAAGCGTGACAAGAAGAGTCTTAGCTGGTTCAAGGTTACTAAGGAAACCATTCGTGACACCAGACAGAAAGTAACAGGTCTGACTGAAAACAGTGAATATCATTTCCGAGTCTGTGCTGTCAATGCGGCTGGACAAGGTCCATTCTGTGAAGCATCTGACTTCTACAAAGCTGTAGATCCTGTTGGTAAGAAACAACGTGCAATATGTGTAATTGGTTAGAGATCAATAGGCAGCAAGCAATTAAGATGGCTTGCGGCAGTGTAACTGCAGGATATTTTATTCCTTTTTATGATTACTTGTAGTATGGTTTCTGACTTTCTTTTCTTAAACTGTCACAGATAAGCCAGGCTCACCAACAAAATTGAAGGTTGTGGATACAACTAAGACATCTGTCACCCTTGGCTGGATTAAACCTACTTATGATGGAGGAAGCCCAATTACCAGCTATGTGGTTGAGAAAAGGGAAGGTGAAGAGCAAGAATGGACTGTAGTTAGCTCTAAGGGAGAAGTGAGAACAACTGAATATGTTGTCTCCCACCTTCAGCCAAGCATTAATTATTATTTCCGCGTCTCTGCTATAAATTGTGCTGGACAAGGAGAGCCTATTGAAATGACAGAGCCTGTTCAAGCTAAAGATATTCTCGGTACTGTACCTTTCCATAACTTTTCTGTGGTTTTATTTTTCAGACCTTTTTTTATTTTACCTTCCAAATATGCATTATTCATTTTTATCTATTTCCACAGTGGCACCAGAGATTGATCTGGATGTTGCCCTCCGGACCTCTATCATTGCTAAAGCAGGTGAAGATGTGGAAATAATGATTCCATTCAAAGGAAGACCTCCTCCAACAGTCACATGGAGAAAGGGTGACAAAAATCTCGGAACTGATGAAAAATATATCATCCAGAATACAGAATCATCAACATTACTTTCTATTCCTCAAGTTACCCGAGATGACACAGGAAAATATGTTCTTACAATTGAAAATGGAGTTGGAGAACCCAAATCATCATTTGTGAATGTGAAGGTACTTGACACACCATCTGCCTGCCAGAAGCTGCAGCTTAAGCATGTTTCTCGTGGCACAGTTACACTGGTATGGGAGCCACCTCTCATTAATGGTGGTTCTGAAATAACAAATTATGTTGTTGAAAAAAGAGATGCTACAAAGAGGGCCTGGTCAACTGTAACAACAAAGTGTTCTCAAACTACCTTTAAGCTAACTAACCTGTCAGAAAAGACTGCGTTCTTCTTCCGTGTTCTTGCTGAAAATGAAATTGGACTGGGTGAGCCTTGTGAGACATCTGAACCAGTGAAAGCTGCAGATGTACCAGGACCTATAAAAGACCTTGCCATGAAAGATTCTACAAAAACTTCTGTTAAATTGCATTGGAGCAAACCGGACTATGATGGTGGTAGCATTATATCAGACTACATTATTGAAAAGAAACTGCAGGAAGAAAAGGAATGGACATACGCAGGCACAAGCAAGAGCTGTGAATTTGAAGTTGAAAGACTTAAAGAGCTGTCTGTCATGGAATTCAGAGTCTTTGCAAAAAATGAAAAAGGCATGAGTGATGGTGTTACTGTGGGACCCATTACAGTGAAAGAATATATAATAACACCAGAAGCTGACCTTTCTGACATTCCTGGAGGTCAAATCACTGTGCGAATTGGGCATAACCTTCACATTGAACTGCCCTATAAGGGTAAACCTAAACCATCAATGAGCTGGCTGAAGGACAACCTCCCTCTTAAAGAAACTGAACATCTTCGTTTCAAGAAAACTGAAAACAAGATAAGCTTAAGTATCAAGAATGTGAAAAAGGAGCATGGTGGCAAATATACTTTGATTCTTGATAATGTTGTCTCCAGAAAAACATTTACAATCACTGTCATCACTCTTGGTCCACCATCTAAGCCAAAAGGACCCTTAAGACTAGATGAAGTCAAAGCAGATAGTGTAGTTTTGTCATGGGAAGCTCCTGAAGATGATGGGGGAGGTGAAATTACTGGCTACAGTATTGAGAAAAGAGAAACTTCTCAAATGAACTGGAAGCTGGTGTGCTCGAGTGCTGCTAGAACAACTTTCAAAGTACCAAACCTCGTTAAAGACACTGAATATCAGTTTAGAGTCCGTGCAGAAAACAGATACGGAGTAAGCCCACCTCTTGTCTCAGCAGATGTTGTGGCAAAGCATCAATTCAGAACACCAGGTGCACCTGGCAAGCCTGTTGTATACAATGTAACTGCTGATGGAATGACCATAGCGTGGGATGCTCCTGCTTATGATGGCGGTTCAGAAATCATTGGCTACCACGTTGAAAAGAAGGAGAGAAACAGTATTTTGTGGCAGAAGGTTAATGTTGCATTAATATCTAGCAGAGAATACAGGATTACTGGGCTAGTTGAGGGTCTGGATTATCAGTTCCAAGTGTATGCAGAAAACACTGCCGGTCTAAGCCGAGCCAGCGAGCCAAGCAAGTTTACTTTGGCAGTCTCTCCAGTAGGTGAGTGAATGACCAGTCATCCCCCAAAATTCTAGTGTTCTAGATTATGGTGAACAGTAATAAAAAATAATTCTTCATTGTTTTTCCCCCCTTTCAGATCCACCTGGTACTCCTGATTACATTGATGTCACCAGAGAAACAGTCACTCTTAAATGGACCCCCCCACTGCGTGATGGAGGCAGTAAGATTGTGGCCTACAGTATTGAGAAGCGGCAAGGAAGTGAAGACCGGTGGCTGAGATGTAACTTTACTGATGTCAGTGAATGCCAATATACAGTTACAGGACTTAGTCCAGGTGATCGATATGAATTCAGAGTGCTTGCAAGAAATGCTGTTGGTACCATCAGCCCACCTTCACAGTCTTCAGGCTATATCATGACCAGAGATGAAAATGGTAAGATTTCTTAACATAATTGTTTGAATACTGGAGCCAAGTAGACCTTGTGGAAGATGGGAGGTCACGGGGGGGGGGGGGGAATGTTTGACTGCCCTTCCACTCAACTCAGAATCATGCTCCAGCATAGGAGGAACTAAATGGAGGACCCAAACCTGACAGACATGTGTAATCATTGCTACATTAGAGTAACAACATACAATAGTCTTTTTCACCTGTTGTAGAATGTTGCTAACAGGAAAAATAAGCTTATAGTTTGTAATTCTGTATATAACAATGTTTTATATTTACTGAGTTAAGAAGACTATATTTTCCTTTTTCAGTTGCTCCAACAATTGAATTTGGCCCTGAGCACTTTGAAGGCCTAACTGTTAAAGCTGGAGAGAGCATTAGACTTAAAGCTTTAATTAAAGGACGTCCAGTACCTAAGGTGACATGGTTTAAGGATGGCAAGGAGATTGAAAAAACAATGAGTATAGAAATAACTACAGGTATTGGATATAGCACAATCTTCATTAGAGATGCTACCCGGGATCATCGTGGAGTGTACACAGTAGAAGCCAAAAATGCATCAGGCACTAAACGAGAAGATATTACATTCAGAATACAAGGTATCACACCAAATGCTTTTAGTACAACTTTTTATACCAATATTTTACCTAAGTGCCAATAAATTAAAATTCCAAACTTTTTATTTTGCAGACACGCCAGGAAAAGTCGGTGGACCAATACGATTCACAAACATCACTGGAGAAAAAGTGACATTATGGTGGGAGCCTCCTGCTAATGATGGTTGTGCTTCTATTTCCCATTACATCATTGAAAAGCGTGAAACCAGCAGGATTGCATGGGCATTAGTTGATGACAAGTGTGAAGCTTGCAGCTACACTGCACTTAAATTAATTAAAGGCAATGAGTACCAGTTCCGTGTCTCTGCAGTAAACAAATTTGGAGTTGGCAGACCATTGGAGTCTGATCCAGTTGTAGCACAAATACCTTACAGTAAGTTTCCATCTCATTCTGTGGAAATAACTGTAGAGTTACAATCTTCTATTTCTAATTATGTTTTTCTTTTCCTTTTTTTCTTTTTTCTTTTTTCTTTTTTTTTTTTAGCTCTTCCTGATGCCCCAGGAACACCAGAGCCCACTAACGTAACAGGAGACAGTATCACTCTGACATGGGCAAGACCGAAGTCAGATGGTGGAAGTGAGATAAATGAATATATTCTAGAAAGGAGAGAAAAGAAGAGCATGCGCTGGGTTAAAGTGATCAGTAAGAGGCCCATTGCTGAGAACAGATACAGAGTAACTGGCCTTATTGAAGGCAATGAATATGAATTCCATGTCATGGCTGAAAATGCTGCAGGAGTTGGACCTCCAAGTGATGTTTCAAAGCTAATTAAATGCAGAGAACCAGTTAGCCCACCTAGTGCACCTAATGTCGTAAGGGTGACGGATACATCAAAGACTAGTGTAAGCTTAGAGTGGACCAAACCAGTTTTTGATGGCGGTATGGAAATAATTGGATACATTATTGAGATGTGCAAAGCTGATCTAGAAACATGGCAGAAAGTCAATGCAGAGACTGTTCTTGCTACTAAATATACCGTGGTTGATCTGGAGGCAGGAGAACACTATAAATTCAGAGTGAGTGCAGTCAATGGTGCTGGCAAAGGAGAAAGCTGTGAAGTTCCTGCATCAGTCCAAACTGTAGACAGGCTTTCTGCACCTGAAATTGACATTGATGCAAACTTCAAGCAGACTCACATTGTGAGAGCAGGTGCAAGTATTCGCCTATTTATTGCCTTCTCTGGAAGGCCTGTTCCTACTGCTGTGTGGTCCAAAGCAGATGCAAATCTGAACTTGCGTGCTGACATTCAAACCACTGACTCATTTAGCACATTGACTGTGGAGGAATGCAATAGAAACGATGCTGGCAAATATGTCTTTACTGTGGAAAACAACAGTGGAAGTAAGTCAATTACATTTACTGTCAAGGTGTTGGACACTCCTGGTCCACCTGGTCCTATTACATTTAAGGATGTGACCCGAGGATCTATTACTTTAATGTGGGATGCTCCTGTACTGGATGGAGGTTCACGTATTCATCACTACATTGTGGAAAAACGGGAAGCAAGCCGTCGTAGCTGGCAAGTGGTGAGTTCAAAATGCACTCGACAAATCTTTAAGGTCACTGATCTGGCAGAAGGTGTTCCATATTACTACCGAGTGTCAGCAGAAAATGAATATGGCGTAGGTGAACCTTGTGAGTTGACGGAACCAATTGTAGCCACTGAAGAACCTGCACCACCTAAGAGATTAGATATTGTTGATACTACCAAATCTTCTGTAGTTTTAGCTTGGCTTAAACCTGACCATGATGGTGGTAGTCGTGTTACTGGGTACCTTCTTGAAATGAAGCAGAAAGGCTCTGACAAATGGATTCCAGCTGGTCAAACCAAGCAACTTACTTTCACTGTTGAAGGCCTTGTGGAAAACACTGAATATGAGTTCCGGGTCAAGGCAAAGAACGATGCTGGCTACAGTGAGCCAAGAGAAGCTTTCTCTTCTGTTATTATTAAAGAGCCACAGATTGAACCAACAGCAGATCTCAGTGAAATAAGCAGACAACTCATAACATGCAAGGCTGGAAGCACTTTTACTATTGATATACCAATTAGTGGCCGCCCAGCTCCAAAAGTGACATGGAAACTTGAGGAGATGAGGCTGAAGGAAACTGAGAGAGTTACCATCAAGACAACGAAAGACAGAACCACACTGACTGTAAAGGACAGTATGAGAGGCGACTCTGGGAAATACTACCTCACGCTTGAAAACACTGCTGGCGTGAAAACATTCACGGTCACAGTGGTAGTCATAGGACGGCCAGGTCCAGTCACTGGCCCAATTGAAATATCATCGGTCTCTGCTGAATCCTGTGTGTTGACCTGGAAAGAACCTGAAGACGATGGTGGCAGTGATATTACAAACTACATTGTAGAGAAACGTGAATCTGGCACAACAGCATGGCAGCTGGTAAATTCGAGTGTAAAACGTACACAGATCAAAGTCACCCGTCTCACAAAATACCAGGAGTACAGTTTTCGAGTAAGCTCAGAAAACAGATTTGGAGTCAGCAAACCCCTTGAATCAAAAACTGTAGTTGCTGAACATCCATTTGGTAAGTGAAACATTTTTACTTTTAAGTTGTTGTTCTCTTCTGGCTGTTATATTTTTAATAACTAATATTTTCCCAACCTCCCATTTGTGTTTAGTCCCACCAAGCCCACCTTCAAGGCCAGAAGTCTATTCCGTGTCTGCAAATGCAATGGCAATTCGTTGGGAGGAACCCTATCATGATGGTGGCAGCAAAGTCATTGGATACTGGGTTGAAAAGAAAGAGCGCAACACCATCCTTTGGGTGAAGGAAAATAAAGTGCCATGCTGTGAATGCAACTTCAAAATCACTGGGCTGGTGGAAGGGCTAGAATATCAATTCAGAACCTATGCTCTAAATGCTGCAGGTGTTAGCAAAGCTAGTGAAGCTTCCAGACCTGTAGTGGCTCAAAATCCAGTTGGTAAGTATTATTTTCAATAGTTGTTTTGTATATTAAGTTAAAATAGAATGGCATTTCTCATTTTCTGTTTTATTCCTCCAGATCCACCAGGAAGGCCAGAAGTGACAGATGTCACCAGATCTACAGTGTCCCTGAGCTGGTCACCACCACTTTACGATGGTGGAAGTAAAGTTATTGGATACATCATTGAGCGGAAACCATATAATGAATCTGGTGATGGACGCTGGCTGAAATGCAATTATACCATAGTCTCAGAAAACTTCTTTACAGTGACAGCTCTTGGTGAAGATGAAGCATATGAATTCCGTGTTCTAGCAAAGAATGCAGCTGGTGTGATTAGCAAAGGATCTGAATCAACCGGTGCTGTCATTTGCAAAGATGAATACTGTAAGAAATATTCATTTGGAACAACTAAGTACATGGCGTTCCATTTTTAATACCATCTTCTAATTTGTAATTTATTTATTTATTTATTTTCCTCTGACAGCACCACCAAAGGCTGAACTCGATACCAGGTTGCAGGGAGAAGTTGTAACCATTAGGGCTGGATCTGATCTTGTTCTTGATGCGGCCATTGGTGGGAAACCAGAACCAAAAGTCTTCTGGTCCAAAGGAGATAAGGAATTGGACCTATGTGAAAAGATATCTCTGCAGTACACCAGCAAACGAGCCATTGCAATTATCAAGTTCTGTGACAGAAGTGATAGTGGAAAATATACTCTAACAGTGAAAAATGCCAGTGGGACAAAGCAAATTTCTGTTCTTGTCAAAGTGCTTGGTACGTTTTTCGTGATCAATATTTGTGCTTAATGTATATTAGATTAAAAAACAAACAAACAACAGAACCAAAAACTAAACAAGAAAGACAAGTGTTGCTGTAAAAATAAGAGTGAGGAATTTTTCCTTAGTTGCTAATAATAACGCTTATTTCTACCTCTACTCAGATTCACCAGGTCCATGCGCAGGAAAAATCACAGTAAGCAGGATAACTGAAGAGAAGTGCACTCTGGCGTGGAATATTCCTGAGGAGGATGGAGGTGCACAAATCACTCACTACATTGTAGAAAGGCGTGAAACCAGCAGACTTCACTGGGTTATTGTTGAGGCTGAATGCCAGACATTATCATGTGTGGTAACAAAACTTATTAAAAATAATGAGTACATCTTCCGTGTCAGAGGTGTCAACAAATATGGGCCAGGTGTTCCACTTGAAACAGAACCTATCATTGCCAGGAATGCTTTCAGTGAGTGTTACTACCTTCCATTCTGTGTCAGTATGTGTGGAATGTCTGTCATAGGTAAAGAATTTGTAAAACAATTTTTTTCCCTTCATTTTTAAAACCAACAGCTATCCCAACACAGCCTGGTACTCCTGAAGAAGTGAGTGTTGGCAAGGAACACATCATCATTCAGTGGACAAAACCAGAATCAGATGGTGGCAGTGAGATTAAGGATTATCTTGTAGACAAACGTGAAAGGAAAAGTCTGCGCTGGACACGAGTGAACAGAGATTACACTATTTATGACACCAGACTGAAAGTTACTGGTCTTATGGAAGGTGGTCAGTACCAGTTCCGTGTCACTGCAGTGAATGCTGCTGGAAACAGTGAGCCTAGCGAAGCTTCACAATATATGTTATGCAAGGAACCATCATGTAAGTTGCCACATTTAAAATATATTTTAACTTTTACTTATAATAATGGAGCATAAAACCAAATTCATGCTTCAACTAGGATACTCAGAAAGACATAGGAACTCACTGATCTAGACAGTATTTGAAAAAATTTAGAAGAAGCTGTAGTTCATTTTAAATGCATTTCCCAGTTTATACTGTTGATAAGTTATTTTTAACTGTAAAATATTCCCTTAACCAACGTGAAATACATTTTCTTGTTTTTCAAAGATACTCCTGCAGCACCTTCAGCTCCAAGAGTTGTGGACACTACTATGCACAGCATAAGTTTAGCGTGGTCAAAGCCCACATATGATGGTGGTGCTGACATCTTAGGCTACGTTCTTGAGATGAAGGAAGAAGGTACTGAACAGTGGTACCGACCACATACAACTCCCACTCTGAGGAATGCTGAGTTCACCGTAACTGGTCTTAAAACAACCCAGAAATACCAATTTAGAGTTGCTGCTACCAATGTGAATGGTATGAGTGAATTTAGTGAATCATCAGCAGAAATAGAACCTGTGGAAAGAATAGGTAATTTGAAAAATTCAATGTGTATTTTAAAGAATAATTCTATTTTCTTTTAAAACTACTAAAACATTAATTCATTTCACGTTTCTTGTACTCTTCATCAGAAAAACCTGAGCTTGAGCTTGCTGATGACCTGAGGAAGACAGTAACAGTGAGAGCTGGTGGTTCCCTGCGTCTGATGGTCTCTGTGTCGGGTAGACCTGCTCCTGTAATCACATGGAGCAAGCAGGGTATTGACCTTGTAAGTCGAGGTATTATTGATACTACAGACAGCTACACTCTACTTATTGTGGATAAAGTTAATCGGTACGATGCTGGAAAGTATGTAATTGAAGCTGAAAATCAATCAGGAAAAAAATCAGCAACTATTTCTGTGAAAGTGTATGGTAAGTAATTCTACAGTTATACATGGTTATTAGACTACTTGTGGTGCATGTTACTGAGGAGTAAGAAATTCAGTCATTTCCAAAGGAAGTTTGTAGTTTCAAACAGCATGAAATTGTTTGAGAAGAAGTCAAAGAAATAGAGGAAAATATGAAGTTCTAAAGCTGAGCTACAGTCGTAGAATTATTAAGGTGGGAAAAGACCACTGAAATCATCTAGTCCCACCACCATGCCTTCTAAACCCATGTCCCTAAGTGCCACATCTACTATTTTCTTGAGAATCTCGTGGGACAGTGATTCCACCACTCCCTGAGCAGCCTGTTCCAATGCATTACCGCTGCTTCTGAGAAGAAATTTTTTCTAATATCCAACCTGAACCTCCCCGGCTCAACTTAAAGCCACTGCCTCTTATTCTATCGCTGTTATCCGGAACAAGAGTCCATGATCTACCTCCTTTCACATAGTGGTAGAGAGCAATAAGGTCTCCCGTGAGCCTCCTCTTTTCCAGACCAAACAATCCCATTTATAAATGAAATCCTACTGTTATTGTTATTATTTATTGTTGTTGTTTTAATTCAGAACTCAATCTGAGGAAGGGATCTCAAAGAAAAAAAAATATTTTCTTTTTGGTTTAGATACACCCGGTCCACCAGCTGCAGTGAGAATTAAGGAAGTATCAAGAGATTCTGCAACACTTACTTGGGACATTCCAACCATTGATGGTGGAGCCCCTGTCAGCAATTATATAATTGAGAAACGTGAAGCTTCCATGAGAGCTTACAAGACTGTCACTACCAAATGCAGCAAGACATTTTATAGAGTTACTGGACTTCTGGAAGGAGCTTTGTATTATTTCAGAGTACTGCCAGAAAATATTTATGGCATTGGTGAAGCTTGTGAGACATCTGACGCAGTATTAGTATCTGATGTACCTATGCCACCACAAAAACTGGAAGTGATTGACATCACCAAATCAACTGTTACTCTTGCTTGGGAGAAACCACCACATGATGGTGGCAGCAGATTGACTGGCTATGTTATTGAGGCCAGCAAAGCTGGAACAGAAAGATGGTTGAAGGTAGTGACAGTAAAGCCTACTGTCTATGAACATACAATTATCTCTCTCAATGAAGGCGAACAGTACTTGTTCAGGGTCAGAGCACAGAATCAGAAGGGTGTTTCAGAAGCACGAGAGATTGTCACAGCAGTAACAGTACAGGACCAAAAAGGTAAGTATCTACTGCTAAAAATAACAGTGTGAAACTGACACCAAGTGAATGGAAGATTTATAAAACATATTCTGAGAAAATCAATGTACTTCTTTCTTTTCTTAGTTCTGCCGACAATTGACCTTGCCGGAATACCTCAGAAGACAATTCATGTACCTGCTGGCAAGCCCATTGAGTTAGCTATTCCAATTGGAGGACGGCCACCTCCAGCTGCATCTTGGTTCTTGGCTGGTTCTAAACTAAAAGAATCAGAACGCATCAAAATGGAGGCTGCTGCCAAAATGGCTAAACTGGCAGTTCGTGAGACCACCATTCATGACACTGGAGAGTATACACTTGAACTGAAGAACACAACTGGAACAGTTACTGATACAATAAAAGTTATAATCCTTGGTAAGAACTTCTGAAAGTAATCATCCGTGATCTTTATTTGTCTGAACTTTGCTCCCATCGATATGATTCTTCTCTCAACATTATTTTTTGGCTTTTAATTTTATTTTTCATAGACAAACCTGGACCACCTGTTGGACCTATCCGAATTGATGAAATTGATTCAAATTATGTAACCATCTCCTGGGAGCCACCTGAGCTGGACGGTGGAGCTACACTTAGTGGCTATGTGGTAGAGCAGCGTGACGCTCACCGTCCTGGATGGCTGCCAGTTTCAGAGTCAGTAACCAGAACAACATACAAGTTCACCAGGCTTGTTGAAGGTGCAGAATACGTGTTCCGTGTGGCTGCTACAAACCGCTTTGGAATTGGATCTTACCTGCAGTCTGAGATTATAGAATGCAAGAGCAGAATTCGTAAGTCTACCTTTAAGAACAAAATATGCACGTTTACATGGCTTATGTAGCCACACACAGATGATTTTCCTAAATCACCTTCTTTTGCCAAATAATGGGATACACTGTGGTACACTGTAGCCTTTGTATGTTACTGGGGAAAAACACTATCCATAGGCTTACTTAAGTATTGTAAAAGCACCACAGAGAATGTGGACAGTAAGCACGGTCTTTTTTGTGCTCAGATCTATTGTTAGCTATCTATCTACTATTACAGAAAATTTGGTTTACACCCCCTTACAAAAGCAGGATTATTTCATTGGCCTAGGTTGTAAAGTACTTTGATATTTTTTGATTTAAAAGAGTTTGATACGATGTTGATACTACATTATCATTCATAGTACATTGTATATTTCTCTGTGTAAAATTATTGATGCTTTCTTCGCTAAGTCTGTGTTTCCTTTTTACAGGTATCCCTGGCCCTCCTGGCACTCCAGAAGTGTTTGATGTCTCTCGAGATGGTATGACATTAACTTGGCATCCTCCAGATGACGATGGTGACTCTCAGATTACTGGTTATATTGTGGAACGCAAAGAAGTTAGAGCAGATAGATGGATTCGTGCAAACAAAGTTCCAGTCACTATGACTCGTTACCGTTCCACTGGGTTGGTTGAAGGATTAGAATATGAACACCGCATCACAGCAATCAATGCAAGAGGTGCTGGGAAACCCAGTCGTCCTTCCAAGTCTGTTGTTGCCAGGGATCCAATTGGTAAGTAATTTCCTACATAGATTAAGCATATTATGGCAGAACGGAACGGAAAGTCACTCTTTTTAGTAATTTGAAAATTTATTTGCATATGTTTATGAACAGCAGAGGAGATTCTGACTGGAAGGAACCAAGAAAAAAGTATTAGTGAAAATCTTTTTCTTTCTTTTTCAACTTCTTCCAAGTTTCCCTTTATAAATCCTATAGTGACTACATACAGATCTTATGCTGGAAGTTTGTATTTGTTATGTGTTTTAAATCTTCATAAAGATGATCTTACTGAGCCCTCATGTGGTCTTCTCTTCCAGCTCCTCCAGGGAAACCTCAGAATCCAAGAGTCACTGACACTACAAGAACATCTGTCTCTCTGGCTTGGAGTCCACCAGAAGATGAAGGTGGCTCTAAAGTCACCGGCTACTTAATTGAGATGCAGAAGGTAGATCAATTTGAATGGACCAAATGCAATACCACTCCCACCAAGATTCGTGAATACACTTTGACACATCTACCACAAGGCGCAGAGTACAGATTCCGTGTGCTAGCCTGTAATGCTGGTGGGCCAGGAGAACCTGCTGAAGTGCCAGGAACGGTCAAAATTACTGAAATGCTTGGTAAGACACTTCACATCTTAACTCCTAGTGAAACCCATCTTAAAGAAATATTTAGCTAAAGTGTATACCTGTAAAACACACGTGGCCTGAGGTGTTAATTTTCTTTACAGAATATCCTGACTTTGAACTTGATGAAAAATACCAGGAAGGTCTCATGGTGAGACAAGGTGGAGTTATCAGGCTTACAATACCCATTAAGGGTAAGCCCATTCCGGTATGCAAATGGACCAAAGAAGGACATGACATCAGCAAAAGGGCCATGATTGCAACCTCCGAAACTCACACAGAACTTGTGATCAAAGATGCAGAAAGAGAAGATTCTGGCACCTACGATCTGGCACTTGAAAACAAGTGTGGCAAAAAAGCTGTGTATATTAAAGTCAGAGTGATTGGCATTCCAAATCCACCAGAAGGGCCTCTTGAGTATGATGATATACAAGCTCGTTCTGTCAGAGTAAGCTGGAGACCTCCTACAGATGATGGTGGTGCAGATATACTAGGTTATATTGTTGAGAGACGAGAAGTACCAAAGACTGCCTGGTACACTGTTGATTCTAGAGTAAAAGGGACATCTTTGGTGGTGAAAGGTCTAAAAGAAAATGTGGAATATCACTTCCGTGTTTCTGCGGAAAATCATTTTGGCATTAGCAAATCTCTCAAATCTGAAGAACCAGCTGTACCAAAGACACCGCTGAGTAAGTCCCCATTTTAAATTTTTTAAAACTTTTTTTTAATGACTACTGCTTGCTTACTTACATTATGCTTCTACAAGTGCAATAGTATGTGCAAACAGTTGAATGCTATGGCTTTATTATTTCTACTGATCGTGTTCTTGTTATTATCTTATTGTTATCAGATCCTCCGGAGCCTCCAAACAACCCACCTGAAGTGCTTGATGTCACAAAGAGTTCAGTTAACTTGTCCTGGTCCAGACCTAAAGATGATGGTGGTTCTCGTGTAACTGGGTACTACATTGAACGTAAGGAGACATCTACAGAAAAATGGGTCCGGCATAACAAAACGCAGATCACTACTACAATGTACACAGTCACCGGACTTGTTCCAGATGCTGAATATCAGTTCCGTGTTGTTGCTCAAAATGAAATTGGTGAAAGTGAAGCAAGTCCTGCTTCTGAACCAGTTGTATGCAAGGATCCATTTGGTAAGAAAATGTTTGCATTAATAGATCTTGTGAAAAACAATTTAGTAACATTCAGAAAGGAATTTCATTTCTGTATATTTTGCAATTTTCAGACAAACCAAGCCAACCTGGAGAAATTGAGATCACTTCAATATCGAAGGACAGCATTACAATGGAATGGGAACGACCTGAAAGTGATGGTGGCAAAGAGATCCTTGGATACTGGGTTGAATATCGACAGTCTGGAGAAAGCACCTGGAAAAAATGCAATAAAGAACTCATCAAGGACAGACAGTTTACAGTAGGAGGTTTATTGGAGGCCACAGAATATGAATTCCGTGTTTTTGCAGAAAATCAGACTGGCCTCAGCAGACCTCGAAGGACTGCTATGGCAGTGAAAACTAAATTAACATGTAAGCAAAAAATACACTGTCATATTTGCTGCAATACTGCTGTGATGTCATGTGTCATAAACCACAGTGATACACTGACTGTGCTTTACAAATTATTTGCCAACAGGACTGTCCTAAGGCACAGTCCAGTTGTTCAAATGTAAGAGGCACAAGTGTAAATGAAGGTTAAATTTCAGTAAATAAGAATAGAGGAACATTTCGTGTTAATTGTCATCCTTTTTTTTTTTTTTTTTTTTTTTTTTCTTTCTTTTAGCTGGAGAAGCACCTGCCATAAGAAAAGAAATGCAGGATGTTACAACTAAACTGGGTGAAGCAGCTCAGCTGACATGCCAGATTGTTGGGAGACCTCTTCCTGATATTAAATGGTACCGCTTTGGCAAAGAATTGGTGCAGAGCCGAAAATACAAAATGTCATCTGATGGACGCAACCATACATTGACAGTATTAACAGATGAACAAGAGGATGAAGGTCTCTACACTTGTATGGCTACCAACGATGTTGGAGAAATTGAAACTAGTGGCAAGCTATTGTTGCAGGCTCCTCCTCAGTTCCATCCTGGCTTCCCATTGAAAGAGAAATACTATGCTGGTGCTGGTGGCACTCTCCGCCTTCACGTTGTGTATATTGGCCGACCAGTACCAGCAATAACTTGGTTCCATAGCAACAAACCTCTGAGAGGATCAGAATCAGTTACTATTGAGAACACAGAGCAGTATACTCATCTTGCAATTAAGAATGTCCAGCACAAAACTCATGCTGGGAAGTACAAAGTGCAACTCAGTAACACGTTTGGAACAGTTGACACCGTACTTAATGTGGAAATACAAGGTAAAGAATTCTATTTTCGGTGTATTTGTGGAATATTTTCTAAAATACTGAGTAGCAAAAGAAGAACTAAAAAGATGCTGCTTTCTGTTTTACAGATAAGCCAGATAAACCAGAAGGGCCGATCGTTATAGAATCTGTACTAAAGAACTCTGTGGTGATTAGCTGGAAACCACCAGAGGACGATGGAGGTGCTATGATAACAAATTACGTCATAGAGAAACGTGAAGCCAAGGAAGGAGCAGAATGGGAACTTGTATCTTCAAGCATTTCAGGCACAACTTGTAGAATTGTTAATCTAACTGAAAACGCAGGCTATTATTTCCGTGTTTCTGCTCAGAATACATATGGAATTAGTGAAGCACTGGAAGTCTCATCAGTTGTCATTATGAAGCCTCCATTTGGTAAGTGAACACCAAAATATCCAGTTCAGTATGCCTGTGTAATTACTAAGGCAAGTTCACTTCACTTCAATGTTTGAATCTCTTTATTCTTTACAGAAAAACCAGGACAACCTGGTCAGCCAGTTGCAAGTGCTATCACAAAAGATTCTTGTGTTGTCTCATGGAAGCCACCTGCGAGTGATGGAGGTGCGAAGATCAGAACATACTATCTTGAGAAGCGTGAGAAGAAACAAAACAAGTGGATTTCTGTAACAACAGATGAAATTCGTGAAACCGTATTCTCTGTGAAAGACCTTATTGAAGGCCTTGAATACGAGTTCCGTGTAAAATGTGAAAATCTAGGTGGTGAAAGCGAGTGGAGTGAGGTATCACAACCAGTCATTCCAAAATCTGATGTACCAATTCAAGCTCCACATTTCAAGGAAGAACTAAGAAACCTGAATGTGAAATTTCAAGCTAACGCCACATTTGTCTGCAAAGTCACTGGTCATCCTAAACCAGTCGTCAAATGGTACAGGCAGGGCAAAGAAATCATGCCGGATGGTGAAAAGATCAAAATACAGGAATTCAAGGGTGGATACCACCAGCTAATCATTACAAATGTAACAGATGATGATGCCACAGTATATCAAGTTAGAGCTACCAATCAAGGAGGATCAGTGTCTGGCACTGCCTCTTTGGATGTTGAAGGTAAATGAAGGGTCTCAATTCCCAAGACAGATTCTTGTTAAATTTTGAGCAGTCAGATTATTGGTGCTCTTCTCAGGTGTTTTTGCTCATGTGTTGTTTTTTCCTTCCTCTTTTTGTTCCAGTTCCTGCAAAGATTCACTTGCCCAAAAACCTGGAAGGTATGGGAGCCGTTCATGCCCTCCGAGGGGAAGTAGTGAGCATCAAGATCCCATTCAGTGGCAAGCCTCCCCCTGTGATCACGTGGCAGAAGGGACAGGATCTCATTGATACTAATGGACATTACCAAGTCATTGTTACAAGATCATTCACATCTCTTGTTTTCCCAAATGGTGTTGACAGAAAAGATGCAGGTTTTTACATTGTTTGTGCCAAAAACAGATTTGGAATTGATCAAAAAACAGTTGAATTAGATGTGGCTGATGTGCCTGATCCACCAAGAGGTTTGAAAGTAACAGACATTTCGAGGGATTCAGTCAACTTAACCTGGATTGAACCAGCCACTGATGGTGGGAGCAGGATCGTAAACTACATTATTGAGAAACGTGCTACAACAGCAGAGCGATGGATCCGTGTTGCACAAGCTCGTGAGACACGATACACAGTAGTGAACCTATTTGGCAAGACCACCTATCAGTTCCGTGTAATTGCAGAAAACAAGTTTGGCCAAAGCCAGCCTTCTGAACCTACTGATCCAATTATAACAAAGGAAGATAAGACTAGAGTAATGAACTATGATGAAGAGGTTGATGAAACCAGAGAAGTCACCACAGCTAAAGCTGCTCACTATTCTACGAAGGAACTCTACGACAAATACATGATTGCAGAAGAGCTTGGACGTGGGCAGTTTGGCATTGCACACCGCTGCGTTGAGGCAGTTTCAAAGAAGACTTACCTGGCTAAGTTTGTCAAAGTAAAAGGTGCTGACCAAGTTTTGGTAAAGAAAGAAATTTCTATTCTAAATATTGCTAGGCACCGAAATATCCTGTATCTTCACGAATCGTTTGAGAGCCTTGAAGAATTGGTCATGATCTTTGAATTCATTTCGGGAGTCGATATCTTTGAAAGAATCAGCACAGCTTCATTTGAACTGAATGAAAGAGAAATAGTAAGTTATGTACGCCAGGTCTGTGATGCACTAGAATTCTTACATCGCCACAGCATTGGACATTTTGATATCAAACCAGACAATATTATTTATTTCACAAGAAGGAGCTCTGTAGTTAAAATTGTCGAATTTGGTCAAGCCAGACAACTGAAGCCTGGAGACAGCTTTAGACTTCAGTTCACTTCACCTGAATATTATGCACCTGAAGTACATCATCATGATCTGGTCAGCACAGCAACTGACATGTGGTCAGTTGGTGCTCTAACCTACATACTTCTCAGCGGCATTAATCCTTTCATTGCTGAAACAAATCAACAAGTTATTGAAAATATTCTAAATGCTGAATACAATTTTGATGATGAAGCATTCAAAGACATAAGCATTGAGGCTATGGACTTCATCGATCGCCTGTTAGTAAAGGAAAGAAAAGCTCGAATGACAGCTGCTGAAGCACTTAATCACACGTGGCTTAAACAGAAAACAGAGAAGACCAGCACTAAAACCATCAAGACCTTAAGACACAGGCGTTACTACCACACGCTAGTAAAGAAGGAGTGGAACACAGTTGTGTCAGTAGCCCGTATTTCCTGTGGAGGTGCAATTAGATCTCAGAAAGGTGTAACAGTGGCCAAAGTTAAAGTTGCTCCAATAGACATTGGTCCCATTGCTGGGCAGATAAACCATGCTGCTGCAGAAGAAGGAGGGCATGCCAAATACGTGTGTAAGATTGAAAACTATGATCAGTCCACACAGGTCACCTGGTACTTCGGTATGAGGCAACTAGAAAACAATGAGAAATATGAAATCAATTATGAAGAAGGTGTGGCAACAATGTATGTCAAAGATGTTTCTAAATCAGATGATGGAACCTACAGATGCAAGGTTGTAAATGACTACGGTGAAGACAGCTCTTATGCAGAACTTTTTGTTAAAGGTGTGAGAGAAATGTCTGAGCACTACAGATGTAGAGCTGTTAGGAAAGTGAAACGCCGGGTTGATGCAATGAGACTCTTAGAGCATCCACCAGAATTTACTTTGCCTTTGTATAATCGCACTGCATATGTTGGAGAAAATGTCAGGTTTGGTGTAACTATAACAGTCCACCCAGAACCTCGATTGACGTGGTTCAAATCGGGCCAGAGAATCAAACCTGGTGATGACGATAAGTATACTTTTGAATCAGACAAAGGTCTTTACCAACTCATCATCAATAAAGTCACTGAAGAGGACGATGCTGAATACAGTATTATAGCACGCAATAAATATGGGGAAGACAGCTGCAAAGCTAAGCTGACTGTGATTCCGCATCCACCTCCAGCAGATACTACGCTGAGGCCAATGTTTAAAAGGCTGCTGGCCAATGCTGAATGCCAAGAAGGCCAAAACATCAGTTTTGAGATCAGGGTATCTGGTATACCAAAGCCGACACTGACATGGGAGAAAGATGGTCAACCTCTATCCTTTGGTCCTAACTTTGATATAATTCATGAAGGTTTAGATTACTATGCTTTGCATATCAGAGATACTTTACCGGAAGACAGCGGTTATTACAGAGTTACTGCAACAAACAGCGCTGGATCTACAAGCTGCCAGGCTTATCTAAAAGTCGAACGCCTGAAATATGTCAAGCGTGAGTACAAGACTGAAGAAGAGCGGGAGAAGCATGTACAAAGGCAAATTGACAAGACCTTAAGAATGGCAGAGATCCTTTCTGGGGTTGAAGCTGTTCCATTGACACAAACTGCACAAGAGGCTCTCAGAGAAGCTGCTATCTTATACAAACCAGCTGTCAGCACTAAGACTGTCAAAGGTGAATATGAAATTAAGAAAGAAGAAAAGAAGGAAGAAAGAAAACTTCGTATGCCGTATGAGGTTCCAGAGCCTCGCAAACATGTGCGCACTACTCTTGAGGAAGATCAGACCATTAAACACTTTGTGCCTCTGTCAGATATGAAATGGTACAAGAGGCTGCGAGACCAGTATGAAATGCCAGGAAAACTTGAGAGAACTGTTCAGAAACGCCAGAAACGCATACGTCTTTCCAGGTGGGAGCAGTTCTACGTGATGCCACTGCCACGCATTTCTGATCAGTATAAGCCTAAATGGCGCATACCAAAGCTAACACAAGATGATCTTGAAACTGTGAGACCAGCACGTCGGCGTGCACCGTCTCCAGATTACGAATTTTACTACAGACCAAGGAGGCGGTCACTTGGTGATTTATCTGATGAGGAATTACTCCTGCCTATTGAGGACTATTTAGCCATGAAGAGAACTGAAGAGGAAAGACTGCGCCTCGAAGAAGAGCTTGAGCTAGGCTTTTCTGCTTCCCCACCAAGTAGAAGCCCTCCACGCTTTGAGCTGTCTGCGCTTCGGTACTCGACTGCAGGAACACAGGTCCAGTCAGAGGAAGAAAGAAAGAGAGAGCTGAGGTATTCCAGCTACCATATCCCAACTAAAGCTGACACAAGCGCAAGCTATGCAGAGCTACGTCAGCGCTATGACAGAGCTGCCTACAGACCCCCCAAACAAAAGCAAAGAATAATGGCTGAAAGAGAGGATGAAGAATTGCTCCGTCCTGTTGGCGCTACTCAAAGACTCTCTGAGTACAAGAGTGAGCTGGAATATATGGCAGAAGAGGAAAAGAGCAGACTTAGGAGAAGGAGGGAAAGAGAAATAACTGAGATCACATCAGAAGAAGAAGAAGAAATAGAAATGGTGCAACATGTTCACAGGGAATTTTCACCTCCTTCCAGATTACTAAGGAGAAGAAGATCCCTTTCTCCAATATACATTGAGTTGATGCGCCCTGTATCTGAATTAATTAGACCCCGTTCACGACCTCCCGAGGAAAGTGAAAGAAGATCCCCAACACCAGAGAGAACTCGACCACGTTCACCTAGCCCGGTTTCTACTGAAAGATCACTCTCTCGGTTTGAAAGGATGGCAAGATTTGACATCTTTTCTCGATATGAGTCCATGAAATCTGCTTTGAAAACACAGAAAACTATGGAAAGGAAATACGAAGTCCTAACTCAACAGCCTTTCACCCTTGACCATGCTCCTCGCATCACCCTGAGAATGCGCTCACACCGTGTGCCATGTGGCCACAACACCAGGTTTATTCTGAATGTCCAGTCAAAGCCAACGGCTGACGTGAAGTGGTACCACAATGGTATTGAGCTCCAGGAGAGCAGTAAGATACATTTCTCGAATACCAGCGGGGTATTAACACTGGAAATTCTCGACTGCCATATTGATGACAGTGGAACATACAGGGCTGTATGCACAAACTACAAAGGCGAATGTTCTGATTATGCAACCTTAGATGTTACTGGAGGAGATTACACTACATACTCTTCCCAGCGGAGAGATGAAGAAGTACCAAGGTCAATTTTACCTGACCTGACAAGAACAGAGGCATATGCAGTCTCATCATTTAAGAAAGCATCTGCTACAGAAGCAAGTTCCTCAGTAAGAGAGGTCAAATCAGAAGTGTCAGCAACAAGAGAGTCACTTCTATCATATGAACACCACGCTTCTTCTGAAGAAAAAATCACTGCCTCAGAAAAGAAATCACTGGAAGAAAGGACAGTACATAAGGCATTTAAGAGCACTCTGCCAGCAACGATCCTTACAAAACCGCGGTCAATCACAGTTTCCGAAGGCGAGACTGCAAGATTTTCGTGTGACGTTGATGGTGAACCAGCACCAACAATAACATGGGTCCGTGCGGGTCAACCTATTGTTTCTTCCAGGCGCTTCCAAATAACACGGACACAGTACAAATCTACTTTTGAAATTTCTTTGGTCCAGATTTCAGATGAAGGAAGTTACACTGTTGTGGTGGAAAACTCTGAAGGAAGACAGGAAGCGCACTTCACTTTGACCGTTCAAAGAAAAAGAATCCCTGAAAAAGCAATTACGTCACCTCCGAGAGTCAAATCTCCTGAGCCTCGTGTAAAGTCTCCAGAGCCAGTTAAGTCTCCTAAACGAGTGAAATCTCCCGAACCCATCAGTGCCCACCCAAAAGCCAAGTCACCACCTGGAGACAAAACAGCACCAGTGGAGAAATTACCAACTGCTTCTCCTCCAAAGATAAAAGAGCAACTGAAAGCAGAAACCCTTGGAGATAAGGTGAAGTTATCCTGTGCAGTTGAAAGTAGCGCTTTAAGCGTCAGGGAAGTGGCTTGGTATAAAGATGGCAAAAAACTGAAAGAAGACCGTCATTTCAAGTTCCATTATGCAGCAGATGGCACATATGAGCTCAAAATCCATGACCTCACAGAATCTGACAAAGGAGAATACACTTGTGAAATTATGGGAGAAGGAGGTATTTCAAAAACTAGCTTCCAGTTTACCGGCCAAGTATTTAAAAATATCCATTCCCAGGTACGAAGTGTCTCTGAAACTCATAAATCAGCTGAGAAAGGAGATGAAGTACTTACTGTTTCTACCCACAAGAAATCATCAGTGGCAGCTGAAGAAAAAGCAGCAATTGAAGAAGTCATTAAAAAGTCAATTGTTACTGAAGATGTCAAACAATTGAAAGCAGAAGTTAGAGCTTCTTCTACTCAAATGACCGTGTCTGAAGGGCAGAAAGTGACTTTGAAAGCCAACGTTCCTGGTGCCTCGGAGGTAAAATGGGTGCTAAATGGAATGGAGCTAAGAAATTCAGATGATTACAGATATGGCATTTCTGGAAGTGATCACACACTAACTATCAAGAAGGCTAGTAATAAAGATGAAGGTATACTCACCTGCGAAGGTAAAACTGACGAAGGCGTTATTAAATGCCAGTACGTGCTTACCTTGTCCAAAGAGCGCTCAAATGAACCAGCATTTATCATGCAGCCCAAGTCTCAAAACGTCAATGAAGGACAAGACGTGTTGTTCACCTGTGAAGTTTCTGGCAATCCTTCTCCCGAAATTGAATGGCTTAGGAATAATCAACCTGTAAGTATTAGTTTTTTATGTTCACTTGAAAACTTAGAATTCTTTACTGAACTGATCTTAATGAAACAATGTTATCCTCCACAGATTGCTGTTTCATCACATATGAGAGTGACTCGCTCTAAAAACACTTATTCTCTTGAGATTCGGAATGCTGCAGTGAGTGACACTGGAAAATACACAGTTAAGGCTAAAAATTACCACGGGCAATGCTCTGCTACAGCCTCTTTGACTGTATTCCGTAAGTTCATTTTCTGCATCGTGTGTTGACATTAATGGGGTAGTTTTGCTGTGGTATGTCTACTAAAAAGATTTTTGATAAAAGCCAGCAAGGTTGATACAGGTATTTTAACCCGTTGCTATTTATTATGTGTATTGATATATCCACAAAACTAAAGACCATTAGAAATGGTCTTTAGAAATGAAAAATCTTCAGAGTGCCCACAGAGAAGCATGCAGATGTTCTTTCATAGCCCTAGATGAGTGTTAACAGAAAGCTGAACATTTCTTCTAGGCTAAGACCCTGGTGCTGGCAAGCACTTTTTCCTGAATTACTAACAGAACCTCATCCAATGAAACAAAATAATCCTATGTTGAAAACCGTTATGGTACCTTACGAACCAGATTTAAGATTTTATTGGCTGAACAAGGACATCTCTGTTCCTAGCACCATGGGGTTACTATGATTTGCTTGGATGACTGCGCTTGGGCTTAAAGGAAAGCTGCAGTAGCTGATCGTTTCTACAACTATGAACTGAACACACAGTTTCTCATTCTAATAATGGCTTTATTAGGAAATAGTGTGTTGACGATCTATTTCTTAAGTACGTCTTCCCCTTCCACCTGATACAACCTAGCAACCATTCTGTTTCCTACTTGTTTCATTTCCAAATTACCATTTTCGTAACTTGGGCATCTTGAAACAAACAATTTTACACAATTATACTCTCCATTGCAGTTTTCCAATGAAAGCAAACTGAGCTAAGCTGTCTGTCTGTTCATTTCTGTGAAATTAACCATATAGACTGCATGACTTCCTTAGTTAATGTGATGTTATTGGTTTTTCCTTCTATGTTTGTGATGCTCCTCAGCTCTAATTGAAGAACCTCCAAAGGAGGTAGTATTGAAGACAAGTGGCGACGCAAGCATGCACGAAAGTTTTTCTTCTCAATCCTTTCAAATGGCTGCTTCTAAACAAGAGGCTTCATTCAGCAGTTTCAGCAGTAGCAGCATGACTGAAACGAAATTTGCAAGCATGTCTGCCAAAAGCATGTCCTCCATGAAAGAATCCTTTGTAGAGATGAGCTCCAGCAGTATTATGGGGAAATCTAGTATGGCTCAACTGGAAAGTTCAACTAGTAAGATGCTTAAATCAGGTGTGAGAGGTGAGCAATGAATTACTGGTAGAGTTAGTGCTTTGAATATCCTGAAATAGTCCTTGAAGTAAACCTGCTACACCTCACAAGTTTAGTGGAAACAAACTAACTTGGTATTTCTTCTCCTGTTTTGTAAAGGAGTACCACCAAAAATTGAAGCTCTGCCATCTGACATCAGTATTGATGAAGGAAAAGTTCTCACATTATCTTGTGCTTTTTCGGGTGAACCTGCTCCTGAAATAACATGGTACTGCAGAGGGAGAAAAATTACCAGTCAGGACCAGCAAGGCAGATTCCACATTGAAACTAGTGAAGATCTAACCACCCTGATCATCATGGATGTCCAGAAGAATGACGGTGGAATTTACACTCTGAATTTAGGAAATGAATTTGGTACCGATTCTGCCACTGTGAATATTAATATTCGATCAATTTAGAAAGCTTGATCTGTATTATTTACACTTGTCTTTTTACAAGTGATTAATATATGGACTGATCTGTAAATATTAAAAAAAAATATTTTTGTACCTACCTGAATGAGACAAAGTCCAGAGATATACGTTATGACTTATAGTCATTATTGACCTAAGAATTTTAAACACTTTTTTCACTGACATGTACATACTGTATATAGCCGAAGTTAACGGTTATGAAGTTTTGTACCATTTGTTTTACGACATTTTGAAATGTAACTTTTGGAATTAACAGTTGGTAGGAGAAAGTTTCCTGGCAAACGACTATCCTGCTCAACATTTAACTAATTTTTGTGCCTCAACTCATTGTTGATGTTTAAGAATGCCTCAACAGGTAGAGGGGCTCCCTGTTGAAGATTACCTACCACCAAGAGAGGATACTGTGCATAGTATTTCATACATGCACAAATAATTATGTTGAATCAGAAATGTAAGGCACTAGTGATATTTACATTTACCCTCCTGTAAGTATTACTTTAATGTTTTACATTGGATCTGATTATGTCATAATTTCCATACCTGACTGACAATTTCTGAACAAAGTGCAAGCGGCCAGCACTTTGTTCGACCACTGTTTGGGTGCTGCTTCTGACACACTGACTGCCTGAATGGCTTTAAAAAAGTAACATCACCTGGCCATCCCCATAATCAACAAAGCCATTCAGGTACTCAAGTGCAGCAGCAGTACCAACTCTTGGAGGTTTGTAGGGTGCAGTGATTGAGTTTGTGTAGTAGTATTAGACACTTAGTAGTCACTTACAGGCAACTAAGCAGTGAACCACAGTTTGAAAACAAGCTGTTGTTATATCAGGTATTGCCCTGCACTTCAATTTGCTGTAGTTCTTCTAATGTAGTATTAAATCTAATTGTTAGATGTTGAACCTCCTTGAGATAGAATTGTTCATTTAAAATAAAGCATGCTTTCTGCACCTTAAAGTCTGTGTTTGTTTGGTGTTTTGGTTAAATTTGAGTATTTAAACCCCTTCGCGGGTTCACTTTTTTCCATAAGAAAAAAAATCGAAACAATTATAAACTAGCTGGGCACTACTCATAGAACAGTGAACACTGATACCACAGTGAAGTTAACCACTGAATGGCCGAGGTTGGAAGGGACCTCAAGGATCACGAATCTCCAACCCCCCTGCCACATGCAGGGCCACCAAGCTCCCCATTTAATACTAGACGAGGCTGCCCAGGGCCCCATCCAGGGACAGGGCATCCACAACCTCTCTGGGCAGCCTGTTCTAGCACCTCACCACTCTCATAGTAAAGAACTTCCCCGATATCCAACCTAAATCTTGCCTCCTTCAACTTAACAGCAGGACAAGAGGAAATAGTTTTATTTACCCTTTCAAAGAGTTGACTCCCCTCCTGTTTCTAGGCTCCCTTTTGGTATTGAAAGGCTGCAATGAGGTCACCCTGCAGCAGCCTTTTCTCCAGGCTGAATGAGCCCAGCTCCCTCGGCCTGTCTTTGTAGGGTAGGTGCTCCAGCCTCCAGCTCATCTTTGTGACGCTCCTCTGGACCCTCTCCAGTCACTCTCCGTCATTTTTGTACTGGGAGCTCCAGACCTGGACACAGTATTCCAGATGGCGCCTTACAGGAGCAGAGTAGAGAGGGACAATCACTTCCTCTCTTCTGATGGAGCCCAGGATATCATTTGCTTTCTGAGCTGCAAAAGCAAGAAAAGAACAAGTCTCACCTGAAGGAAAAAACATGCCTAGATGTGCCTTCAAAGCTAGGGCCTTGCTTGTGCAGCACACAGTGAGGTGCTAAACACCTTCAAGATCCATGCTAGCTCAGCCTGTGTGGGTTACCAGAAACACAATAAGTAGCACCATTCACCAACTGGCAAAACTTACCTTGCTTCTCAGTAGGCTATGCGAGCTTAGTGTTGTACAGCACTAAGAGGACTACATTGCTGCTAGACTCCCACCTGTAATCACCTACGGAGCAAGCTCAGCACTGCAAGGGAGTCACGTAGTCAGAGACAAAATGACCTGAATTTCAGCTAATAAACCTCCATTTAGCTAATAAATGGAGGTTAAAATACAAAAAAAAGCTACATTTTGGATCATGACAAGATCAAGACAGTTGGTAGTGATGGAAATAGGCACGTTTAGAAACAATGACAAAGAATCTGAATGTGTGGTACTCTCCCTTAGAGACAGTAGTAAAAGAGATCAATATCTGATAACTGATCAAAAAAGAGATCAGTTCGCTACTGGAAATTCAGTCTTCAATTGTCTCTACTGAATCTAGACATTTTTACTTGATCAAGCTGCAAGCAGTTCATGTGGTAGTATAAGCAAGTTAGTTCTGTCTGCAAGCACATCTAACTTTAAGCAGATGACTAACTCATATGCCTCAAATAGGATTTCAATAATGTACTTACCGAATTTGCTGGAGTACAGTTTTAATAGATAACTTGACACGCTGCTGAGCCTGTGTTCACAAGACAGTGAAGTTAACAGTAAAACTGAGTGTCACTTTCATAAAACATCCCAAAACAACAGCAATTTTCATGACTAAGCATTCTCTGAATAAAAATAAGAAAATGAAGAATGAATGTCCAAAATTATTTACTTCCTCCATTCAGGTATTAATGCACTAATTACATAACTTTTGTTATGAAGGTCAGCTCCCATTCCCCACAGAAAAGAGCAATAATACAATTATGTATTTCTAGTTAGCTTTCCCCTGGACCTGGAAGCAAAAATATAATATATAATATTTTTATATAATATTTTTTATAATTTTTATTATATATATTTTTCATATTTTATATAATATTTTATATATATATATATATATATATATATATATTTAGTATATATCTTACACACCTGGCCCACTCTGGTTCTAGCTTAGTACAATTTTTCAGAATGACTTCTTAGCTCCTAATGCCAAAAGTACTATGGTATATCATCTTCACTCATTTCACTTACTTAAACACACTTTAGCATTTCAGCCATAGTGCAGAAATATATTTAAAAAAAAAAAATTAAATTAAAAAAAAAGAAAAAAAAAAGCTGATTTACCTTTAGCAAGAATATGTTGCACATATACTAAAAGATATCTATCATTCCCGCTTTAGTCACATGGAAAAAAACAAGAGAGTCCTGAAGTAATTAATTACAGGGAGCCGTTATACTTGAATCTAAACATTACAACTTTTATCTAACCAATCATACCTAAAATATTTATCAGCAGTATTTTAAACACTGATTTACAACTACACGTACTGATCAGTGTCAGGGAAATGTTTGCACAGAATCCAGACTATTTATTTTCTCTGTAGGAGCTGAAAGTCAGAAACAGACTCCCATTAAAGTGACATGTACTTACTGTATATATGTACTTACCATATATATGTACTTACCATTACATTGGAAAAAACTTCAGTGAAATTTCAGTAGGCGTTTCTAAACCAATATATATGATTCAACAGAACACCCAAATACGTCATTTACTTCTCTGAATGCTGCTTTTTTTAATACTTGCTTCTACAATTGCCTTAGGTGTCACACAGAATACATAAAAGCAAACATTTAGGAAAAAAAAAAAAAGTAGAAGCATGTGTGGCTGATATGCAAATGACAGGTGCATGAAAACTGGCAGATCTGAGCACAAATGACAGCACTGAGCTGGAAGCCATTAATAACTTCATTCAAATGAGCCTTTCCGTTCCCTCTGACAACCAACAGAATGGTTTAAAGACTGGTAGCCTACACAAGCAACAGTTTATGCTTTTTCTCAACATTTGGATCTATTTTGATTTAGATGAATCAATATTCCAGAAGTTTATAATGAAACCTTCAAATCCAACCCCATCTGTCTTTTCCAAACTGCTTCAATACCACCAAATTATTCATAAACACCAGAGGAAGACGACTTAGATCAAATTAAAGAAGATTTGATTATAAAAAACAGATTTTGGTATGTGCTCAAGTACAAAAAAACCCTGTGCATTTATTTAGGAATTGTGTAAACGAAAAACAGTAAATGGCTTGCTTAAAGTGCTCTACAGCTAGGACTTCATAAACCAAGCTTATCTTAAAATGAACACCAACCCTCCCCCCTATGCCAAAAGCTTACAATGCTAACACTAGCAACCTTATGGATTAAGGTGCTAGTAGGCACTGTTATACTATATTATACTACTCATGAATTACTGAGTATCAGAATCTGATCTCACTTACAGTTAACGCAGATTTACACTGATGTAAATGAGAGCAGAATGCATCCCCTGGTGTACACCATCCTGAAACGACATGAAGGAATCACAAAAACAGAAGCTCCCTTTGTATAAATATGTCACAAATAAAATATGTCCAAATACAGATACACCTATCCATACCAACAGCAGCTTCATGGTCTAATATTTCAGCTCTTACTTCTACAAGATGTGTTTTCAGCAAAGTATTACATGAGCAGAGTATATATTAGAAGTGCTGCATTAGCTACTTGTGATGCTACACACACCAGAAACAATTTATGCCCATTTTGAAACTTTTAGTAGATTTTTGTATCTTTAGTAGTGAAAGTAGGTAAAAAAATTTTGATGCAAAAGAAGAATAAATAAATACAATTATTAAATATCCAATGCTTGATACAAATGCTTCATATTAAGTTATTTGTATACTTTTTTTTTTTAATAGAAAAATACATGAAATATTTCTACTCTCATTGGCTAAAAACAAGGACCAGATTATATATACCCTTGTGTTTTTAAAGAAGGCAATGTCAACTACCATCATGCTGCTAGAATAGATCCGTTAATGCCCAGTCCCACAGTCCTTACTCAGGCAAAAAAAAGCCCCAGCAGGGCCATCAAAGCTCCAGACAGACTGCTTATACAAATGATCAGCAGGCACAAGCTGCACTTTCTCCAAAAAGGAAAAAAAAAAGAAAACACAAAACAAAACCTCTTTGCTAAAGTTTATAATCTGCAGGTTTACTACTGTATCAGTCAGACCTTCAAACTTTTTATAAAGAGCAACATTTACAAATGTAGATGTTTATCTTTTAAACCATCATTTGTTCCAAAAAAATGCACATTCAAACTGTGAAATATTAGGAAAATACTCTTGCAAATAAACTATATAAAGATAAAATACACTTCAAAGATATTTTTCAGGTTATTCTATAAAGTGCAGAGAAATCCTTCTAAAAAGGGAAATTACTACTTCCTATAATAACAATATAATTACAGCAGCCTTTGCATAGCATTTTTTATAGAAAATTTAAACACTTTCAGCTTCTTCAGGAAGAAAAGGATGAGAGACTCCCTTCCAGGTCAGATCTTTCATTTGATATCGATCTATTTTCTTCCGGAATGGTTGATGACACCAGATTCCCATTTACAGCATTTCCAGGGCAGTGAGCAGATCCTATGAAGATATCAAGAAGATTTAAATTTCCAATTAAAAAAATCCCTCACCCAATCTGTCAGTTATTCTACTTGTTAAGTCTTTGCTCTTCATAAGGAATGAGATGCATAATTACTCTGGACTTCTAAAAGATTTCCATCAGTATCACACACAAGGATGATGGATATAATGAATGTTCACCTAGTATACATCTAGTACCTTTTTAAAACAATTAGTATTGAATTTGGAGAACAGCTATCTGTGCAGACAAATGCCGTATGACAAAGATTTATTATAGAAAGAAAAACACTGGTGCACTATACACGTTTAATTAAAACTATTTCTATTATTAAAATTAAATTGATGACTTCTGCAAGTTGAGTATTGTTAGACTGCCTGTCAGGAAAGAGGAAAAGCTAGGATAACTAGAAAACTCTGGTGTTAGTAGGAAGAAGACTTTTCAGCAGTCCTGGAAAGAGGCTTGGTGAAGAAAGTCCAGATGTTAACAACCAAATCAAGACTGATGTGCAGCCACATTAGCAGAGAAACACCGAATGGAGTTTAAACCAAGTTTATTAGCTTGGGATCGATGGTGGCAGATCCTAAGCTGGTGGCGGGTGACTGAGGCAAAAGTGGTTGTCATTCCACAATATGTGAGCATCAGAAAACCAAGGAAATGGTGTGGAGGTGCAAATATTTGTGACATAATAGCATAAAAGCATTAGAACCTCTCTGGGCTCACACATGCTCTCAGCACTGCACAGGCCTCAGGTTTTTTCAATCCAAGTGACGCACTAGGCATTCCAGAAGAAAGCAAGACTAAACCAGAACTAACCAAGTTAAAAGTCTTCCTGAGAGGAGTTACGACACAGTAACCAAAGGACAGCAAGAATCAAGACTGAAAAACCACAGAACCAAATACTAACTCTGTAGGGCCCATTAAACCAGGAGAGACTACTGTTTAGTACAAACACTCCTGTTTTGGTTAGATCTCCATTTTAGATTACAAGCAGTCCTACTCACTTGAATACTTCAGCTTCAGCTGTAAGATTCTTATCAATATGAATGAAAACCAGAGAAATCAGTTACATAATACAGGTGCTTCAATCTGTAGTGTAGGAAATGTATAACCAAACCTTTTCCCTTGTACTGACATCAGCACTACAATACTTGACATAAACAGGATAATAAATTCTACAGAAAGATACAAAAGAAAACAACCATCCCTCTTCCAAACTTACTCTGAGAATCTTCCAGGGGAGTATCACTGTAAGAGTCTGTATCTGAGTATGTTCTTCTGCGTTGCTGTGATAACCGATGGAGGGAAATTGGTTCTTTCACAGAGTGATTATCCCTATAAACAAAATGAGTTACATTAGTATGAAAAATCTGTAAGAACCCCAATTTGAAAACAACTTTGACTATAGATTTGTTGTTCAATCAATTATGTTTTTCACTATATTAACACAGAAATGACCTGGTCAACAGAACATCCTTGATTTTCATAATTTTAAAGCCTGAAAATTGAAATTAAAAAAAATCAGTTTGTTGTTTGCATGCAGAAGAAAACAGTTCAAAAGTCCAAAAGATTAACGCAAAAAACAATGGTAGCACTTCAGGCTATATGTCTAAATTTATGAAGTTAGCAGAAGTCATTTGCATGAAGTTTCTAGCATGAATAAATATTTACAGAGCAAGTAACAGACACAGCAACACTTCAATTTTAGTGCTAGCAGGTTCTGCAAGGTGTTTTGAGAAAAAAATCTAATGGAATAGAAAAGTACCTTTCCGAATAACAAGGACCAGGATGGCTAATGGAACGCTTCATCTAGGAAAACAAAAAAAGTCACAAGTTGTTTACAGGAATGATTCACACTGACATTAATTTATACCTTATTTACAGCCTCACAAAGAGGATGGGTGATTTTCTTTTAATTAAAAACAACTTTTGTTAAAAACAAAGCAAAACACAACAAAACCTGTTTTAACTCTAAAAAAGGAAAAAAATAAAATAAAATGGATTGCCACCAATGCTAAAGCGTTCACACAGGAAATGCAATTTAACCAAAATATGTGATAAACAGAAATACTGAGGTAGTCTTCTTCCACCCTACCAAAAGACCATTTAAATTCTGCACACACAAAGCCAAAATTCTGTCCTTTGATTCTTTGTGGTTCTTCTGACACCACTGCCAAACTTTTACATATGAACAGTATTACTTTAAATAAATAAACTGGAAGATAAATAGATTGGAAGAAGATAAGGAGATAAGATCAAAGCGCAAATAAAGGGAATCCCACAACAAAAAGCTACAATACAACCCATCTTAGAATCTATGTATGCAATTAATGAGATATTTAAGACAATTCTGCATATACTGTCCTCCTAGAAGAAACAGTTAGTAACGAACAATTATGCAAGCAGTATCTTTACTATTATTTACCTTTTTGATAAATAAGATTATATTACACTAATATAAACATTTTTGAATGACATACATTGAAAGATATGTTACACTGCTGAAGTGCTTCTAGTATTCAAATCTCAGTAATTTCATGGATATCTCAGTATAGGATCTTGATAGGTATGACAAATTACTCTGATTACATAAAGGCTAGAAAACAAAGACTGGAAACAGAGAAGTATTGATTTACTAAATATTTAAAACCAGCACTGAACATAGCAGAGTCAAGATTCCATCTGCTGACATCAAATCACACAGCAATACTTTTCTACCATTTTTCTTCCCATAAACAACAACATGACCCTTAGAGAAAAAAAGCATTTTAAAAGTGCCTAACCATTTGGACAGGTGATGGCGACACAGGAGAAACTAAGGGATCGGGATGAGGCAGCTGGAACATTTCTGGCTTAAACTTGGCATTAGCAATCTTCACACATTCTTCAAGTGTTGTGATAAATGTATTACACGTGGCACTAAGCAAGGAAGAGGCTTCATTCATGTTCTGAAAGCAAATCAAAGCAGAAGTATAAGCAAGAAAAAAGACAAACACAATTTTCCCATACACCCACTAAATTCCATCCTTACTATTAAGACCTAACAGTAATTTAGAATCACAGAATCCTTAGAGTTGTAAGGGACCTATAAAGGTAATCTAGTCCAACTCCCCTGCAATGAACAGGGACATCCACAGCTAGATCAGGTTGCCAGGGGTGTGATCCAGCCTCACCTTGAAAGTCTCCACAGGGATGGGGCATCCACCACATCTCTGAGCACCCTGTTCCAGTGCCTCACCACCCGAGTTATCAAAGATTTTTTCCTTATAGATAACCTAAATTTAACCTCTTTGAGCTTGCAATTCATTCTCCCTTGCTACATCGCCACAGACCCTGCTAAAGTATCTGTCCCCTTCTTTCCCGTGGCTCTGCTTTGGATACTGAAAGGCTACCACAGAGACTTCTCCACTCCAGGTTGAACAGTCTCAGCTCTCTCAGCCTATGCTCATAGGAGAGGTGTTCCATCCCTTGGATCACTTTTGTGGCCCTGCTCTGGATATGCTCTAACAGGTCATGCCTTTCTAGCACTGGATTCCACATCTGGACACAGTATTCCAAGTAAGGCCTCACCAACACAGAGTAAAAGGGCAGGATCACCCTTTTTGACCAGCTGGCTATGCTTCTTTTGATGCAGCCTAGGATCCAATTGGTTCTCTGGGCTACAAGGATGCATTGCTGGCTCATGTCCGGCTTCCCATCCACCAGTATCCCCAGGTCTTTTTCACCAGGGCTGCACACAATCTTTTCACCTCCCAGCTTGTATTGATGGAGAGGGTTGCCTCAACTCAGGTTCAAGATCTTACAATTTGGACTTGCCGAGTCTCATGATCAGGTGACCAGTAGAAGACAAAAATCACAAGGCTCCCTTTGCTGCCTTGGTCTCTAACTGTCACCTAACGGCTTTTGACTTGCTCACGACTATTCTTTCGGGAAGTTCTTCACATGCTATTCCTTTTCTGACACAGATAGCAACAACCCCTCCCCTCCTTCGTTGCCTGCCCCTTTTGAACAGCTTGTAGCCATTGATAGCCATGCTCCAATCATGGGAATCATCCTACAAGGTTTTGGTGACAGCAACTATATTGCTGTTTTCTAGTAGCACAGTATCTTCCAGATCCTCCTGTTTGTTTCCAAAGATACATGCATTGGTGTAGAGACACTTCAAGCTGGACAGCTGGTCTTGTCATCTCCTTAAAGAATAACTCCTAAATTCCTTTTAATTATTTCCCTTGATTTTCTCCATTGCCTTCTATCACCCCAGCAGTCACTGCCTCATCATCATACCATTTGTCTGGACTGCAGTTTTGCCAGCACCTCTCAAAGAAGTGGGTCCTTCAATGCCCCTTCTAGTATCTGTCCCTCTAATATAGCTATGCCATTCCACACCTTATCAATGGAAGGGAAGGCTCAATTCCCCTGCCCCCCATTCTCCTTTAAAACTCTTCCAATCAGCAATACAGCAATGATAGTGGAGTGGCACAATCCTAGGCTAGAGCAAATGAAAACAAGTCCAAACGCAGCAGCCGTGGACACAGAAACAAAGGAAAGAATTACTGCTTATCTTTGGAATGCCTCAGGCAGAAAGGCAGGGATCTCCAGCAAGATACCCTTGCCTCTACTGCCAACCCTTAAATGAGGTCTGGGAAAGAGCAGATCTTGCCTCCATCCCTTCTGGTCACTCAAGTGCATTGCATACACCTGAGCTCTCTTAGGTTGATCCTGCCTTCCCACCAGGTGCTCAATCACTGGTTCAGGCTATGACTTAGCACTTCCCCTACAAACACTATTATATTTTTACTAGTAGCAGATATAGCAGGTCTTCTGTCCTTTTAACCAGTATTAGTATTACGTAGACACAGGCATTAAAAAACTGAGTTGAAGTTAGATCTCCCAAAATTATGAAGAAGGGAAAAGAATGTAAGTTGCCAGTGGAACCTTAAGCAGAATAAGGTACCTAATACCATTACAGACATTCAATACCTCAATGCTGGGAGGAGAGCAAGTCTCATCATGGTGAACAAATTCTTGTATTGTATGAACTTGCTGCATCAGAAGATCACAGTAGAGACGAAGTTCAGACATTTTGGTTTTAAGAGATTCAGTGGTCTCACTTATTTCTGTAAGAAATAAAGGAAATATCAACTTACAGCATAATAATTGCTTGAACTATCATTACTTACTGGAAATTTAGGTACAGATCTTTCACACTGGTACAAGCGCAGAGTGCAGTCTGTGTTCAATTAAAATGGCATGGAAGGTAGAGTGGAGTAGACTACAACCAAGTTCTTTGATCTATAGTAGTTCCATAGGTAGCCTTAGGCATCACCAACTTCAAGAAAACCCGATGGACTGACTCTAAGAAAAACAATACCAGGACGGAGACTTGGTGGCATCAATCTGTCTACCTGCTACTCCTGGGCCAAAACTCCACCATCCGTTTTACAAAATGCCACCCTTTAGTGAACTCTGCTCATTATAATACCAAAACACACCTCCATTCCAAAAGCTACCTGCCTCCAAGGTGCAAACAAAAAGCAAAGCACAAGAATTTTATGCCAATCAGAACCAAGTAACGTAATGACTAGAGCTAGTCAAGCTCCATCTGCAGAGTAAGAAATGCTAAAAAAATTGGCTTAAGAGAGTGGGAAGATAAGGAAGATACATTTGCAGACAAGTGAGAGACAGACTATCTCTGATTCCTAAAATCAGTCAATGAGCTGAAACTCTTTTCCCTACACCATAAGGTTGCCTACTGGGTAAGGTTCACACACTCAGCTATATTGAGCACTTTCTCAGGAAACTTTGTAATCTGTATAGTTAGTTTTATAATTTAGTGTGCTTGTGGCCAGGCTGCATTACAATTAGTTATTCCATGTGCATTGCATTGTTTCTGATTAGCCTCACACACTTTGCAGACAGTGAATTAATCACCAGCAATCTAAAAGCACCCGTTATCTGTTGCTAATAAAATGCACAATACAAATGATTTAGCTGTGTGGGGCCAAAAGGTTGTAAACTAACATGGAACACCACTAGACAATTAGTTTGTACTTTTGGTAACTGATGCTGCTTTAAGGACGATCAGAAAGAAGCGTATAACAAGAAAATAAAGTTGAAATCTGTCTCAACTACAGTGCAATATAGAAAAAAAAAAAAGTCACTAAATGAAAATTTAGCAGACTGCAGAAATGGTTACAACAAAACAGCAAAAATACTGCGCAGAAAATAAAAGCAATTATAGAGAATCAGACCGGCAGCAGCTGAAATTAAATGGCTTCATAACCACTACAACCAACACAGTCGTAACAGTAAGTTGCTGATGCTTCTCGCAACAGAAGAGGTCAAGAAGGTAATCCTTTCCCTCTAGTCAAGGCTTGTGAAATCACATCTGGAGTACTCTGCTCAATCTGGACTCCTCAGTGCAAGAAAGATATGAGCACACTGGACCACATCTGGCAAAGTATTGTGAAAATGATAGGGGACTGGATTCTCTGACATACAAGGAGACAGAGAGGCAGCTGCAAGCGTTAAGGCGTGGGCAAATATGAAGCAGTTTGTAGATAACTCAGTATTTGACAGGAAGATTTGAAGAAGACATAGCCAGACTGTTCTCAGTGACAGGAAAAAACGTAATGGGAAAAAACTGAAACATAGGATATTTCATCCAAGCTTGAGAAAATAGTTTTCTACTATTGTAGTGGACTGTTTTATCAGGAAACTGTAGTATTTCAATCCTTGGAGATACTAAAACTGAGCTAGCTGTGGTCCTGGGCAGCCTGCTATAATTGAATCTGCTTCAGCAGGTATATACACTATCTAGAGGTCTCCTCCAGACTCAACTACTCTGTGAAAAGATTTGGAAAGATGAGAATATACACACATTTGTACATGCCTCGGGTTAACCAGGAGAGATCACCTTATTTACATTCTCTTTCTTACATTAATTCCCTTTGAATATTTTGATTTTGGTTTTCATAAGAGGCCTTTAGTCTGATTCAGTAAAGTACTTGTGTGTTGCCTTCCTGTAGTGGAGGCGATTTCATCCAGTGGGTTTTTGGAAGAATTCTCTTCCGTAAAAGGAAACTTAAACAATGCCCACATATTAAAATTCAGGATGCATTACTGTCAAATAGGACAGAGCTGAACACGTTCAGAAATTTTAAGAATAAAGCATGTGACTGATTTTACACAGAAGTGGTTCTGTGTAGTCTCAAACAGAATAAAGACACAGAGTATCCACTACTGCAGTGTCTATAAAAATGCATTAGGCAAAAAACTAATGAACATACATACCTTCTCAAAAACAGCCCTGGGAATCAGATATCCAAACTCTATAGACTTTGACTTTAAACTGCTTGTTCCTAACTGCTCACAGTCAGGCTCCTAACCAAACATGGAGTATTTGTTAAAAGAGAAATGATACAAGTTTCTTTGAAGTAAATCGAACTCATATACTCTACTTCATATGATCACAGCAACATTCCTGGATTGCCAAATAGAAACAGGGTGCAGGACAAATCTGAAGAAGGCAAAGTAATCCATATTGAAAAGCAATACAGAAAGGAGAAGTGATAAAGCCTATGAGCAGCAAAATAAAGTCAATAACAGACTACATAACAGTTATTTGCATCAGTCATTACCATATCCCAAATACCACGGGGAAATATACCCTACAGATGATTAGAAACGATGACAACTTTTGTTTTAAAGACAACAGTGCTGAATTTCTACCACAGTATTTTTGCTATCATTACCTGAAATTGTGCAAAAGTGGTTGGCTTGTGCATGGGAACACACATACCTTTTTCTTTTTTTGTTCTAGTATCTGCTAAACAGGCCTTCGCACTTCCCAGTGCTACCAGCCACCTCTGCCTTTCAGCTGCATTAACTGCTTTCATATAGAAATGCTGTTCCCCTGGGATGATTAACTCCATTCTGGTGTTGTCTGTTGCATGGACTAAAGATATAAAAGAGAAAAAGAAGTTTTAAGAAAACCAAACCAAAGCAAAACCACAAAAACTACAGCTCACACACCCAAACCTGGTAACGCTTATTTATTAAATAAAAAGATCTCAAAGCAATATCTCTGTACTGCTGCAAAACAACAGAAAACCCAGAACAGCTCCCTAGTGCATCTTCTTCAAGAGAAAAGGCAGGAGCATCAAACACCGAACAACGCAAATAAAAGGACATTTCCTTACTGCATTAACAATTCACTGCACATTAACCTGTAGTAACAGCTGCACTCTAACTCTGATCTAAAGATGGCAAACTTAAGAGTTTCATTGCAAGAAGTACTTACAGAGATCTAAAAAGCATTATAGAAGACTAAAAAGTGAACTAATCTCCTCTGCTGTCAGGTCACACAGCCCTAGAAACAAGAACTGAGGTGGACTCTGCTTACAGTCCATTATATCCATTACTACGTCTTCAACAGAATACTTTGCTGAGTTCACATTACCAACCACAGTTTCTCCAGATCCACTTCCCACTAGCCATGGATGTAGGAGATAATCAAATCTAGACTTCACCTATCATCCTTCATACACCATAAGAACAAAACAACAAAAATGACTCAAGAAAACAAAAGACTGAGCATCTCTGCTTTCTAAGCATCTCCCCCCTTTCAGGTTACTGCCGCCACTCTTGTGAAAAACAAGCATTTCAGTCCCTTACATGACTGAAGAGAGGTATAAACAAACAATTAGCCTAGGCAACTTCAAGCACAGGCCACATGCACACAACTATTCAGAACAAAGAAGAATATATTGTGGGTTTTGAATTACAATACTAATTAAAAAAAAAAAAAAAGCTCTAAATGCCCCAAAACTTTTCTTTTGTTACCACGTCATAATTCATACTCGTATCATTTGTAAACTACAAAGCAATCATGTTGAACTATAAATACACAAAAAGAGGAAGAAAAAATCTATGATGCAAACTGCACATTGGTTGGTCTCTTCCACCTCCCCAACACCTAAAATTTCTTCTAGCAGAAATCCAACTCTTACCTTTTATTTCACACACGGCCATCTTTATACTTCCTTTGCTGCCTTTGCAAACGTCATCCTGTGAATCATAGTACGACAATATCCCATTGTCTAAGACAAACCACCGAGGCTGCCAACCTGGCAAGATCAAAAACATGAAAAAGGAAGTTTAGTTTAATTACTAAATTGCAAATCAAATGCATCTCTTCGGCTGTTAAATCTTTTATGAACGATGCAAACATTATAGCAATCCCATGACACAACAGGAAATAAAGTGTCTGTGGTCTGAAGACAAGGTATCATCGCACCAGTATTATACAGCTAATTCATTCCCATTCTTTTTGAATGAAAGATTGGCAGTATTTTGGTTTCTACTACTTTCCATTCTACTGCAGAATGAAATTTTAATTTAGCCACTAATTAATCCCATTTTGAAGGGATACTTCTGAAGAAACATCTTTGTCCAAATACATTTTTCAGGTAGACTTCCTTTAGATTGTAGTCATAGAAATAACTGCCATCACAAGTGCCACATTCAGTCTCCTCTACCTACTGTATTTCAGTGAAAAGCTTTGCATGCCACACTTGACCACTGACACACCACTGCCTCTGAAGGTAGCTCAGCTCCACTGCTCAACAACTTAATGTCAAGCACTGTACAGGGAACTGAGATGCAGCTTATATTACATAGAGTCCATTTGCAAGGACAGATTACACCAACCCCATTCAGATTTTCACCAGCTTTGCATCAGCAAAACTATTTCATGATCACTGACCTTATTCTGCTATAAAACTGAGCAGTTTATACAGGAATCTCTGAGAACTCTACAGAGCATTATGACAAATAGAAATGCTAATATATTTTAACTCACGAGGGCCCATGACAACAATTCTATTTATTTCTCTTAGAGATGTTTTATAAAACTCAATGTTCAGTAGAAAGGGTACCTTATTTCTCAATGCTATCAAAAAATATTTTTGCCTAGCAAATTACCTTTCTTTCTAAAACAACACAGAACTTAAGTATTCCTTGAGAGCATACCAAGAACTTGGACCCGTTATAGGCTGTATCAGCTAGGCAATATGAACAGATGATCCCTCTATTTTACAACCTGAGACCACATTTCTAATTTCCTGTTCAGTTTTGATGGGACAGGAGTAATGTATGGCCAAGGCCTCAACACATTTGGTGACACAATGATGTGGTCTCTGGGACTCACCATGCCCCCAAAACAGCAAACCAAGCTGCAGCCATCTAGCACCCACACGTTGTAACACTGCAGTTTAGACAGCCACTCTTGAACATCTGCTAATGTGAGCAGTATGAAGCCTTTTAGTCACTACCACTATTAATGCTAATTCAAGAAGCACAGGACCAGATCACATGAAACACAGTATCACAGACTCATTAAGGTTAGAAAGCCATCAAATTCAGCAACAAACCCATCACCACCAGGCACACAGAAACATGTCCTTCAGCACTGCATCTAAACATTGCTTGAACACCTCCATGGACAGTGACTTCATCACTTCCCTCCACAGCCTGTTCCAGTATCACAATTCCAAGATAAGGAAATAATAACATGCAATATCTCTTTAAGTTATATATTAGCTGTAACAGCATACATCTTTATCTTTCAAAATGCAGGCTTGTACTCAATAGGCAGATCCACATTCTCATAAAAACAGAATATTAAAAACAAGCAAATCAACAAACAAAAAAACCACAATCACTAAGGGAGCCCAGATCCCATAGGAAAAAAAACAATCAAGTTATATGTGTACAAAACCACTTACACTAAAACAATGTGCAACGAAACGACTGCACAGAAGACCATGTCGTATAAAATGCACCTCTGAAATGCACTAGCTTTTCGTTGTTTTTTTTTTTCCCCAGTGGAGTGGTGTTGCACTCTGAACTACCCTTATCTCCTCGGCACATGCATTAAGTCAACGAGCATCCGAATAGTCTTATTCTGATAAAAAGGGACTGTATATAGATGATTATTTCTGCCTCATATTATGCTGGTGTTGGAAAAAAAAAACAGAAGTTGCCTCACAAGAGTAAGCAAAAGAACAAAACCACTTCTAACTTGAGTGTAGATGAGTAACCAAATCTGATATTTGACAAAATACTTAACAAAATTTGTATTTTACAAGTCCCTAGATGCACCCATATTACTGAAGCTAGAGAGGAGTCTCCTTTGCTGTTAAAGAAAGAGGAAACTAAATAATATTTTCCACTGTGCTTCAGCAGTGACAACAAGCTGCTTGGCTACTACTGTGAAAACTACAATAAATGCTACGGCCTCTTTTTGGCTACAAAAACATAGAGCAGAGTAACAACAAGGTTGGTAACAATACTGGAAAAAAAAAAAACAGTAATATACTTGGTTTTCTGAAACTTGATTCCCTGCTATACTCAGGAAATTCTACAGAATTTCTGACACCATAATTTTCAAATGCAGCAGCAGTAGATGCCCTCAGTTGGGCAACACATGTGGAAGGAAGGGTCCTGCAAATTGGTAGTTTAGAGGGTGACTGACTATTAGAGGCAGTCATGTACACACACATGTAACTGTCTATTGTGCAGCGCTTACAATTACTGCTACAAATTTACCTATTAGGTAACAGACCAAATGAGAAGTTTGTAATAAACACCACAAGGTATCATGTTTTCTGAGCCTTCATAGCTTTGCACCACTTCACACTAAAAACTCAATTCCCTGAAGCAGAACAGCACACACAAGGACCAGGAGACTGAGAGGGCAATGAAGTCAATGGTTGCCAAGACGAGGCTTGATTAGGCACAGCATGGGATCCAGCACAACCTACTCTACAGGCAGAATCAGTTCTATTACAGCATTAGAAAAAAAATCTTTTGCACTTTGAAAGTGCAGCCCACCCACTGCTATCTCCAGACAGAGATGACGTCTCTGTTATGGGAGGATGGTGCAAACAACGCTGCGCTTTCAGACAGCAAACACAGATAATGCAGATCTGTGGTCCACAGCAGCTCTACAGATGCAATTCCTGTATATCTTACCCTGAACTCCAGCTTTTGTATGTTTTAGTTAGGACAGAGAAGCAGAGACTTTAGAAACCAACATCCAAAACCCAATTAGGAGAATTCAGACTTCAAGAACATTGAGCCCTGAAGATTTCCGGCAACCCTACCTGATTATGAACAGGTTGCCTAGTAAGTCTGTGAATGCCCTTTCCATGGAAGGATTAAAGGCCAGGCTAGATGGGCTCTGAGCAATTTAGGCTACAGGGAGGTACCGCAGCCTATAGCAAAGGATTGGAATTACATGATGTTAGAGGTCCTTTCCAACCCAAACCATTCTACAAACCCTCAACAGCAAGCAACACTACCCAGCAGATGCGCACCTGGCAAATAAAAGCCATTTCTCATGAAGACAGAAAGAGCAACATCCGAGCTCGCAGAACGAGACGCCGGGACGGAGGCTCCCCGCCCAGCTGCCAGAGGCCCCATCGAAACGCAGGGGTCAGCCCCGCAGCCGGAGCCCTCCGCCCAGCACGAGGCAGGGCGCGACGCCGGGGCCCACACGCAGCCCCCCCCGGGCCGAGGCCCAGCGCCCCGCACCGCAGGCCCGACCGTTCCAAAGGCCGCCGCAGGCCCGGCCCGCCGCCTACCCGCCAGGTAGTTGGTCCACTTGTACAGGACTCCTTCCATCGCTCAGAGCTCCGCTCCGGGCCGCATCCTCCCGCTCCGCCTGGTGAAAGGGCGGGCGCCGCCGCGGAGCCGGGGCTCGGCTAGCCGCTACTCTTCGCGCGGAGGCGGAGCCGCCCGACCCAGCTCGGCTCAGTCCAGAAGCGGCGCGGCGCGCGCCGGCCCCGGCGGCGCCACCCGCCCGGCGGGGCGCTCCGCGCTCCCCATGCGCGGTTCCCTGGCCGCTCCCTCACGGCCGTTTTGCTTCCTGGGCCCGCCCACCCGGACGGGAGGCTCCGCCCCTCCGGCCGCGGTGCCACGCCAGCGAAACGCGATGGGCCGCAGGCTGAGCCTGCTCCTGGCTGCGCTGGCCCTGCTGGCGGCCCCGGCACGGGCCGAGGAGGAGGTGAAGATAGAGGTGCTGCACCTCCCCGATGCCTGCAGCCCCAAGAGCAAGAAGGGGGACCTGCTGAACGCGCACTACGACGGCTTCCTGGCCAGCAACGGCTCCAAGTTCTACTGCAGGTGGGGGCGGCGGCGGTGGACGTGGCGCGGCCTTCCCCGAGCAGCGGGCACGGGAGCGGCCGGCAGCGGCGTGCCTCCTCCTCTCAGGCTCCTTCATCCTGTATGTACCAAGTGCCGAGGGTGGTGGAAGGGAAGCGGTAGGCACGCTGGTCGGCCCAGGCCGACAATGAGACTGCAGCTGCGAGCGCTTTCCTCCTTGTCCCGAACTGCCTCGGGGAAGCCTTCCCTCAGGGTCAGCCCTCGCCCGTGTTTTGACAGATGTTACAGGCAGTGGCCTAAATTAGGACCCAGCCTCAGTTCATCCTTCCCCTTCTATTATTTAAGAAAAAAAATCAACAGATAACCCTACATTTAACTACCGTTTTACTTGCATTTTTTTCCCCCATTGGAGTGAACATTCTTAACACAAAAGCTCTCTTACACATGTAATTATAAATGTAGCAGAAAAATAGCATTATACTTAAGGTATTATTACTATTTAAACATTCTTCTGTTTTAATAATAGAATCACAGAATGGCTTTGGGTTGGAAGGGACCTCAGAGATCATCTAATAATGTAATGCGTGCTTTCACTGACTGATAACCTAAAGTAATTTTAAAAATATATACAAATGCTAAATTTGTTGTTATCCACTTAATTTTTATTTTTTTTTAACAGTCGGACGCAAAATGATGGTCATCCAAAATGGTTCGTTCTGGGTGTTGGACAAGTCATAAAGGGGTTGGATATTGCTATGATGAATATGTGTCCTGGAGAAAAACGGAAAGTGGTCATCCCTCCATCATTAGCATATGGACAGCAAGGATATGGTAAAAAAAGAGTTTAAAAACTAATTTTTTTTTTTTTTTTTTTTTGCTCTGTTTTATTTACCTTCTAATGTGCAAACAGTATTGTAAATGACTAAGAGTTGGTGCTTTATTAATTTTGTAGAACACTTCAGGTAACTGGAGCAGCATGGCTTAATTTTGCTAATTCCAGTTTGATTTAAGCAGTTCTTTTCACAGACTGCCACCAAAGCTCTGCATTTTGCATCAGAATTCCCAGTACATGCCGCCTGTCTTGGTTTTGTGAGCACTGCTGCAATACCAAAAACATACAGCCAGAGTAAGATCTCCATGATTCATATATGGATTTTGTCTTACTATATTACCATAGAATTATTAAGGCTGGAAAGGGCTACAGATATCATTCTAGTCCAGCCATCAACCCACCATGCCCACTAAGCCATGTCCCTCAGTGCCACATCTGCACAGAGACTGCTACTTACCAGGGCAGCTGTTCAAGGCCTCACCACTCTGAGAGGAATTTTTTTCCTATGATCCAACCTGAAATTATATTCTATTCATACTTTGTTTCTATTAATTCAGTTTTACTAGCTTTAGCCTCTTAACTGAGCAAAACAGAATGTAATCCAGCTCATACACTGAGTCAACTTAACTGGAAATCATTTGTTTAAAAGATTGCTTACATTCTGCATAGTTAATGCACAACATCATCACATAGTCTAATAATTGCATCAATACAATGCATAAAATCTGATTTGAATTCATGATTTTAAATATAAAAGAGACTTCTAGTCATTTTTATGTAGTGTTTCTGTACTCAGCTGTAAATAAATGCAGTCTGGTTTGGGTGTATTGGTTTTTTTGGAAAATGCAACTTCTGATGTATAGTAATTATTTGGTAAATGTTACTGTGTTAGAATCTCATGCATCAGTTCCATGTTTGGTATAATCCACTGTAGCCAATGAAGTTTAGTAGGATCAAATTTTTGCCTCTTGAGCATAATGTTTAATGAGCAAGTCTTGCAACAAAGAGAAACACTGACACAAAAATACATTCTTTTAATCTAATACTACCATTAACTGTTTGTTCTAGGTAGCACATCAAGAAACTGTTCTGTTTCTGAAATACACCTGTCTCCTCTGTCTCAGCGCATTCCTGCATGTTGTGGAAGATGCCTGCCTAATCTTGAGTTAGAAAACATGCATGTGGCTTTCTAAATCTTTACATATCTTTCCTTTGTCGGTATGTATATTCGTAAATACTGGCACTGAAGACTAATTCTGTATCTTTATTTGGTGAGTCGTATATAAACAGTGGTATATATCCAGTTATATTTAAAACTTCTACATGTTCAGGCTTTTAAGATTAAAGTCTTTGAATTTTAAAACTTGTGATTTTTAACATTGATATTTTAGATGAGAAGTGTAAGTACTAGTTTTGTTTGCCTTGTTCTTATAAGCAAAGTACATTTAGCTTTTCTTCAGTTTATGGTCACAACATTCTGTCAAAAGTCATGCACACTAGCTTTGGCTATGAATAGAAGCAACTTGCATGTTCACATTTTAATATTAAACTGCATGGTTTCTAAAAGCTTTTTTGGCTTTGCTTTCAGACCTGATCTGTTTATTCCGGTCTGCTTCAGTTCCTTTTTTTTGGCCATAAGCATGATACAGTGCCTTATGTTAATAGGCAAATGCTTTGACACAGGAATAATACTGTCTAACGTGTTTTGGTGTTTTTATCTAGGGACCAGAGAAAACATTCCAGTGGTTCTTTAGGGCTTTTTGGGTTGTGAGGTTTTCTGTGGGTTGTTTTGGTTTTCAAATGTGAACCAGATGAATTACATGCTATTGCTTCTTCCTAGTGAGATGCATATTTAACTCACTGTTTCGCATAGTGTCCTTTAATCATAGGTATAATTCATAGTAAATTTGTTAAACCTGATATTACCTGCTCGTTTCTTCAGACAGAAAAATGTATAAAACATTGGTCTAGTACTATAATGCATATATTATAAATCAATAAATTAATACATACATCTTAGAATGGATCTCTCAGTAAGCCTCAGTATACGAAACAGTGAGAACAGCAGAAATATTTGTTTTTCATGATGCAGAATCACTCTTCAAAGTTGACTACATCCTCATTTTTGAAAATATGGTATGAACAGCATAATTTTCAGAGAAGTATATTGTTTTCAAGTCTCTCTCAAAATGGTTTCTATAACACAATGACCTGCTGAACCAGCATCATGCCAGAACACGAACTGATAAGTCTAGCTGTGTAATATTTAAATCAAGCATTTAATCTGAATATTAACACTGTCTTTTGTAAGAAAAAATAGGAAAATTTACGTGCACATTTACCATACATGCGATCACTGAATATACATTATTATTTCTTAAATGTGCTTTTTCTTTTGTTCATAGCACAGGGCAAGATTCCACCTAATGCAACACTCATCTTTGAGATTGAACTTTATGCAGTAAATAAGGGACCTCGCAGTGTTGAAGCATTTCATCAAATAGACAAGGACAGTGACAAGAAGCTCTCCGAACTCGAGGTAATTTGACATAATGTTGAATGGATTGTATTTATAAAACTTTGGAGATACTTTTATCATAACATTATCCTTACACGAGCTGCTTTTGATGCAGTTCATTACAGAAAGCTTTTGTATGCTTAGACCAAGTATACATTGTCATGCTGACATTTGCTTTAGTCTACTAGTCTGTCCCAGACATAGTAGGAAAGTAACTTCAGACATGCCTACACTGCAGTCACAGTTACTCACACGTATAACCTAGTGTTCTTGAAGATAGCTGCTGAGTTTTCTGGTATAAAAGCCACAATAGTTGATTTTCTTTTTTTTTTCCCTTCCAGATAAGTCAATATTTGAAAGAAGAATTTGCAAGAGATGGCAAAAAACGTCATCCCTCAGTCCATGATGAAATTTTAGCTGATATATTTAAGAAGAATGACCATGATGGAGATGGCTTCATATCAGCTAAGGAGTACAATGTCTACCAGCATGATGAACTCTAATTACCTGTCAAATCTTTGGCTGTTTTATGGACAAAAAATTTAAAAAAAAAACCAAAGTAATACTTTGTTACAGAATATTTTTGTTTGTTTGTTTTTTATAGTGGCATCTTTTTTATTTCTAAGGTGACTGTAAAATACTACTTTCAACTTTTAGCTAATAAAATGTTTTAGATGTTACAAAATAAATAAAATTGGAAAACACCAAGATCCATAGTTTCATTTTTCCTTTATCATTTCCTAATCTACACAATTGATTACTGGTGTTGCTCAATGTGTAAAGTGCTGATCAAAATGATTGTTTCTGTCTCATCAGTAAAAAAAAAAAATTGTTCCAGTACCTGTTGACATATTTAGAAAATTCCTAATGAATACTTCTAAGTCCAAACAGAAAAACAGAATCCCAGGCAGGTAACTGCAGGCTTTCTATAGCTTTTAGGCCATTGTAGCACTTTCATCTATAAAAAAAAACCTTAAAAGAAAGAAATTGAAATTTCAAGATAAAAATACAAATGTTTATCAATGTTAAATCAAGTTAATATTATAGTTATTTTGTGTTGAAGTTAGGCGTTTATGAATATACAGTATTTTTAAGGGGATTTTAAACCTTGACTACAGTAAATTTGCTAAAACCGCTCAATAAACTGGCTAAAAGTTAGAAACTTATAATGCCATGTTTTGTTTGAGATGAAAGAGAATAGAAGGTACTCCTGTATAAGCATAAGTATTTATCTGGGTGTCTGGCTTCCCCCACTTTGGAAAAAACACAAAGAAGAAACAGTGATAGTTAATATACAGTACTCTCATAGTTAATAAAGTCAATATTCCTATAGTTTATACACAGTTATTCTACCTGCTTATGCAACCGTCATCATAACACTTGTATATCACACTTTTCTACTGATGGCAAATTACCATTTATTTCAACATGGAAGAATCAGGTGTACACACAGTGAAATGGCAGCCCAGGCAAAGAAACAGAACTTCCACATACGGCTTTATACTTAAAATCATTAATTACACTTAAAATCAAATCAAAATGTACAAATTTTGTTTTCCTGTTTCAACATAGCAATGGCAAAGCTTGAGCTATACACAAATCAACCATTCTCCCCGTCTCTGCATTGGACGCTGTTGTGTAGTGCCCCCTGGAGTATATATTCTAAAGAACAGTTTATTTCTTGTGGTTGAGAACTACTTAAAAAAAAAAACTTCAGCCTGAAGTCTAGCTGGAAGGATCTAGTTCTGTTATCTTAAATTTCCTAAGCTTTCTCCATTAGACATTTTTTTCTGAACACATAAAATGTATGAAAGTCAAGAGCAGTTGTAACCTAAAATCCAAACATTCCTTGTATGCTGGCTGGTACTTCTTAGTAATGACATCCTAATATTAAACTCCTAACCCCAGTTTTAGTAGTTCCCTTTTGTAAATGAAACATTAGACTGAGCTAAGTAAGTTTCAGCATGTTTTTTAATCTGATACTTCAATTAAACATTCATGAGAACACTAAATTATTAATAAATATTCTCATTTTACAATTATATGCCAGTGTAGATAAAGGCAACATTTGGAGGCTTCAAAACAAGTTTGTGTAAACAACTTTATAGGTAAGTTATAGTATATATTTTGACATTATTAAAATTCATTTTAAAAGTACATCTTCCACTATGATAATGAAGTGTGAAGGTACTAGAAAGATGAAAAGCAAAATGTCAGGGAATGCATTGGAACATTCTCAAGTAATTAAGATCATTGTGAAGCAAATAAGTTGAAAATAATAGTGTAATAAAATATTTTGCACTTCCACTATTTTGCATTTAAACCATTTGAGTCACATGTAATAACTCTGAAAACTTGTGGCACCCAGTTATGCCCATGTCTGTAACAACAGGCACTTACCTACAGCAGTTACTTCACTCTTTTATGCCAGAGGTCGAAACAGGGCACAGCATGCAGTCGTACATATTTCTGTCCATTAAAAGAGCACTCTAGGCATCCATAGACTGTTTCTCTTTTAGAACTTCCCATTCCACAAAGAACACAAGGACCTTTGGGGATGTTGTTATTAAGTAAATTAATTCGGACATGAGCCCCATCTCTGAGATAGCTTGTAGAGAGATCAGTCATGCTTGCAGCTTTCTCATAGTAGTCTGTAAAAAGGTCCTCCAAGTAACCGTCAGAGCTAGGGACGATACTCACTATTCTTTTATCTGAAAAAGAATGCACACACACAAAATTTGTCATTACATTATGAAGTGTTTACAAAACAATTTGTGAATCAATTGGTGGAAATAACAACTGATTCATGAATCCATTCTAAACATGCTGCACCATAGCTCACTTCCCATCAAAAGCCTTGGGTGGTGAAAACTTTCCTTTAATCTCACAAAAGACACTGGCAGAAACTAGAATTTTTTTTTTTTTTATGACATGCATAGTAGAAATATTTATATACAAATGATTCTAGAAGTTAAGGTCACGATACAAGATTGTGAAAAATAAGTGCCGATTACCACACAGCTGCACACTTTCTTGTTTTAGCATATTTTTGTTCCTGAATTTATTTCCTAAAAATTGTTTTTTCTGTTTCCATTTTTTTTTTCCATGCTGACCTCCTAGCAAATTTCTGAGCATCCAGACATCCCAGAAGAAAGTTGCTTTGAAAACTACTTATCTTCTATCTTTTCAGGGAGTAATGAGTTTAGGTTGGATAACCAACTTCTAGGCAGCTACAGAGAGTGAAGTGTATCATGCCCACTGAAGATCGGTTCCTTTAGGGTAGACTGAAACACAACTGAAGGTTTAGGCCATGAGCTCTTTGATCAAGAATGGAATACAACAGAGCAAGAACATCCGTACAGAGCAGCCTTAGAAGGATGTGTCTGGTGCTCTTCATTTTCAGATTTACAGCCTTCCTCAATACTTAGACCAAGGTTTGTTAAAAGTAGAGGATCTTGCTCTACACTGACTACAAGAAGTTCCCAAACTTGAGTAGCATAGAGTTAGAGGCATCCAAAAGAAATCAGCCTGCATAAAGTGATACTATTTTCGGTGGTTTTGTTCACATCAGAACAAGAAAAGAGAACTACAGTGGTCTCTTGCCAATATCCCTGTCATGTGATGATGCAGCCTAAAGAGTACATTCTAACATTTAAATTAATATTGCTTTGTACCTAAACTTTGTCATAAAGCTGAAATATTATTTATAAATTATGACCTGAATACTCCATGTAAATGGTGAAAACATGAAATAACTTTAATCTTAACAGATTATTACTTTATCATCAGCTATAAATTAAAATTTTTAGTTTTAATGAATAGCAATACCTGTAAATTTATTTACAAAAAAGATTGTCAGTATGAATTTAATCACTTGAAAATCATTTCTGTTTGGAAGGAATTTATTAGGTATATTTTGCATTAAAATTTTCCTTTTAAAATGTCCATCTTACCAACTAAAACCAAAAATACACTTTTCATACATTAACAAAAGACATACTTTGATGAAAGAGATTATGCTTTAATCTCCTTAATTTGTTCATTGAAGATGATCCAGATTTCTCTTTTTCAAATCCCCCCTTTGCAATTGGAGTCACACACAGTTCTGTAAAAATTAAATGTAAGCTTTTAGAAGAATGCAATAGGAAAGCTACACAACACAGTTTAATATTCTTTCCTTAATCTATAATAGGTTGATAAAGTTAGTGGGATTAAATTCATCTGTGCTGATGTTAATTGCTAATACAAATTGGTGCACTGTAATAGCACAATCAAATGATACAGCATTAGTGGAAATTTTTGCATGTTGGTGGCTTCCAACTTACAATCTCAGAGTTTCTGCATGTTTTAAGGAATTAAGACAGCCAATATCATATTAATGGAACTCCTGTATCTGAAAGAAACATCCCTTTACAGAGATCTCTCATTTGAAATTCAAGTAAGAATTCTAAGCGAGGCTGGTGAATTTTATCGTCCTCTCTTCCAATGCAGAATCAGCTGACAAAAGTGATTTTTTGAATTCAAAGTATCACTTTAGTTTCCATCCATAAATTGTGAGAAAACCTCAGAAGTAAAATATATGGATATATGGATATATGGATAATTGACCGCATGAAACTGAAAAAAGCCAAACCTCAACTGATAATTCTTTTTTAATTATGCAGTTAAAAATACCCTCTTAATTCATCATTTCCCCAACTTCAGCAAGAACATTATTTTTGCATGTTTCTACCATTGCATAAAGGTAAAATAAAACACTTAAAAATTGGAACATTATATTGAGATTCACAGAAGTGAATGTAAGGAACTACTGCATTGCGTATCTCATACTTGTAATCAGGTAACTATGCACAGTTGGGATTGTATTTGAAGTCTTTACAAAATGGAAGAGGTATCTCACAGCTTGTTAAAAAAGTCCTTTAAAATGCAGAGTTTCTGTCTTGGAATGTAAAAACTGTATATGCTAAAAGATACTTGCAACTTCAAAAGCAGATACTGCTGTCTAGATCCGCAGTGGTACAGTTCACTTCCCTAATCTTTTGTCTTGCTATTTAAAGAAAGCAACAATCTTAATCAGAGTCAAGCAATTCCTGAAACAGCCTTGTGACTCCTGCAGAGATCCTGGCATTTATGCACAGGTAAATCTGGTGTTTGAAACATTATCTAACATTATGTGGTATTATCATGTACTAGATCAAATCCTAAAATCAAATTTATTATTTATTTGAAACAACATTTCTACCATTACAGGCTATGCTTCAGTGTCCATAACAAACATAAACTCCATCACTTCCCTAAAAATGAGAAAAGCTTACTGGAGCTGCATACATTTTTTGCATTTGTTTTCAGTAATTGTGATTCGTAAATATCTTTAAATATCTTCAGTTAGCCATATACATAATAATGTATCCAACTGAACTTAAAGACCCAGAAACAAAAACAAAATTCCTCATTTCATTTAAAGAAGAAAATGTGCAGGACTTTTATTTAAATCTCTTACTTTCCCTTTTTATACAAAAGTGATCAGATAGTCCTTAAAGGCTAGAAAGCAAGTGATATTTTGTTCCTTGCTAATGGAGCAATGTGTGGGAAGGAAAAATCATCATCATCATAAAGTCCTACTATTTTTCAGAAAATTTTCCATGACAAAATTTTTCTGTAACTATCTTGTTTATCTTTTAAGTAAGTCAGACTAAGTCAGTTAAGAAAGTCAGACTACTTGTGTGCATAAAATTAAAGCATACCCATTTTATGGAATTGGGTTTATGCACATCAAGAGCAAGGAAACTGTATTAGAAGGTAAAACTACTATAACCAGTTGCAGTAATGACACTAACTGTAATGTGAGTGACTTACCAAAATTCCCATCCAAACGAATATAAAGTTCAAATACACTAAAAGCAACCGTTGTATGTGCAGGAAAAACAATGGCTTTGTCCCGTCCTTTACTATTTTGGTCTTCAATTATGTGAAACTATGGTTTCGAAAATCAAAAGAAAAAATTCAAAATGAAAAACTAAGCAAAATAATACTTTAAATGTACATAGTGAAAATTACATTACCAGGAGGAATCTTTGAGGATCAAATTTCACAAATAAAGGTTTTCTTTTTTTTTTTTTTTTTTTTTTTCTCCAATCAATGCTATATTTATACAAAGAAAATAATCTAACTTGCATTAGTTTTTGAAAATCGTGTGGATGACTTACAAAAGGGCAAAGTTCAGAAGATTTGAAAATTCAATTATTCAAACATATAGATGAGAGAGAGGAGAAGAGAGGGAGAAATTGGGCAGGGAGCAAGAGCCAACTGTTGAAATAGTCACAACCCAAAGCTGTAACGAGCTACAGAAGATCAATCCAGTAGGGAAGGATAGGTTACATGTTTCTCAAACATTCAAACTAAAAAGAAGGAATTTCCAAATTTTTGCCAAGACTTCACCCAGAGAAACGGCTCACTGTCTATCCATCCTTCCATGCTTTTCCTATCCCCTACATAAGCAACGTGAATAAAAAAAATCCAAGTTCTCATTCACTTTATATCAGTGCAATAAACCTCATTTCTCTTCAGAATTTTCTGTTTACTTCAGTAAAAATGCAATCAAATCCAGACAATCTATAAAAATGAGCTTGCTGTTTGACTTTTCACTTAAATTACAGAACTTTGTCAAACATACATACCCTCATAGTCTCTCCACGCATCCCAGTATGAACAGTTAATGAGCACTGCCTTGTTGTCCTAATGCTTTCCATGACTACACACAGAATCTCCATCCTACTTTTTCTTGTTTGATGGACTAGGCAATGATCAAAGTTTATTTTTCTAAAATCAAGTGAGAGACAAAGAGGAAATTCAGAGATTATTAGCATTTAACAAACCTTATTGCATAATTAGGAACTTTAAGTCAGTAAAAAAAAAAAAATCACCATAACTTCTGTCTCATTGCTATAAGAGAGCTGACTGAGAAGGTTTCTGGGAACTTCACGTTGATTATGCTGATTTTCAGTGTCTGGAAACAAAGTCACCAGAAGATTCAAAGAAAGCTAACAATATACAAGTATTAAGTTACATGGAATATCTTGGAAAATTTCAAGGCTGGTGCTGTACTTACTGACATTAAGGTGTGTCAACACACCCTAATTAGTAGCTTTTTTTTTTCCAGGTTGATATAATCCTACTGTCTCATATTAATTATAATCATCTTTTTAAAATGTAGTTACGAGTTTGATTAGTAAAAATAATAGTTTTAATGCTTTATCTTAGGGCTTCTATAAAAGCTTGTGATAGTGACTGTTTGTTTCAGAAATTTAAAGTGATACCTGTAGAATCTGGCATATTTAATGAATTAAAAACTAGCTAACTAATAGGTATCAACTGTAACTGCAACATACTGCATAAACTATAAATACAGAACAATCATCAAATGTTTTTTTTTTTCTAGGAGAATCTCCAAAGAGACTAGCTCTTAGTCATATATTTTTATTGGAAGACTATGATCAGTTTCTCCCACTAACCCCAGCTCAAGTTATGGTAGCAGCTAGGTACAGAATAAGAGAGGTTATGAATACCAAATGACATGCTTGGTAAATAACTACTAGGAAACAAGTATCTTTGAAAACACCAAATGTCACATCAAGCATAGTGAATACTTTACTGGATTGCAATATTGAGATTAGCTGGGATGACACTGTGGCCAAGGGACAATCACTGAAATATAAACTGAAAATGATCACCTAGAAAAAGACCCATTTGTGCCAACACTACAGTACCGCTGAGTGCATTTTCAGTGTTAAGAGCTAACAAAAGTTTTGGAGAAAAGGACTACATTTATAGCAATCCAGCAGATTATTAAAAACTCACTCAAATAGATCTATTTTCTTTTAAAATAAAAGTTTGGAGGAATAACCTAATAAAATCTTGAATATTGGAAATAATTTTGGCAACATACATCTCTTTAGTTCATCAGACAACAACATAGCAATCAACCTACTACCAAAAGCAGAAGATGGCTAATGTCATTTGGAAGTCAATTTCAAATTTGCAATAGTATGAAATAACATTGAGTCTTCGGTGGACTCTTCCTTACTCTTTTTTTTTTTCTTGAAAGAAGCACTATAATTAAAAAAATAATTCATTCAGGTAAACTATATTCTTGTGTTATGCAGGAGGTCATGCATCTAATTTAAGTGGTGAACTTGAGACTCATTAGACAGATAGTTAAAGAATTTGGAAAACATCTGTTTTTGACTACTACTGATTGCATAAAAATAATCAAAATCTAACAATTTCTTTATTAATACATTTTCTTCAGAGAAGCAACCTAATTGTATGAAATATTATTGCAGAACCAAAATACATAACACAACCTTGTAGTAAGTTCTTTAAGCAGCGTTGGTACTTCAACCTCGTGTTTGGTCACTATGCCAAATGAAGCTTTAAAGGCAATAGAATCTGATCCAGCAACATCAAAACCAACATCGTTGATTATCTGATTTCCTCTTCTACCACTGAGTGAAACATCTGATTTGTCTTCATAGTTGAGCAACTGGTAGGATGAAACACCTGAGTAAAAGAAGGTAACTGTTGTGTGATGAAGATCTGAGCATAGTATTTTTACAAAGCATTATATTCTTTTAACAGAATATTTTGTTTGTTTGAAAACTATATAGAATAAATGTAAAGAAGAGAATGAAGCGTACTGTTCGTACTCCGCTATTCTGATTAAAAAATTCACAGCTGTGTGTTGTTCTTATTTATCAGCATTACTACTGATGACTAATAGAAAGAGAGTGTGCAGGAACTCAGGCATCTCTCTACTTATTTGGAGAACTGTGCCCATGCTCCCACATGGGATAAGCCTAAGCGTGAAATTATGATTAGGGCTGTTTGTGCATTTCTGTGTTTATCATTATTCTCCTATATCACGAGAGGCAGGATAAACAGAATCTGTGTGTTCTGAGTGCGTTGACAAAGGCTCTGAAACACAAAGGAAATGACATAGTGAAGACTGCATACAATGTGAAAATTCGGAATAAAGAGAAAGGTAACACAGCTGATACATCATGTCCTGGTACCTAACAACTCATAGGAAAGACTTGTTACATACAGGCAATTACAGGCAATTTTTCCTCCTTTGTAACTTGTAGAATTAAGTTTGTTGTTGTTGTGTTCTGGTGTTTGTTTGTTTGTTTGGCCTTACATTTACATATTTCTTATGTAATACGTTAGGGAGTTCTTAAAATTTCTAGATTTAAAACAAGTTAACCTTACACTGATTTTAATTTTTGAAACACAGGTCTGCCAGTAACATTAATTTTGCCTTTTAGCTGTTACCTAGAAAATGCCATGTTTCCATGTGTCCCTAGAGATTTTGGAGAGTACCAGTTTAATTTGAAGGAAAACAACAGATTAATTCTAATTCATTCAAACATTTCTGGTAATCTATTATACAACAACAGGATAGGTACCAAAGCATTTTTATAATGCTTTCTTTATAACCTTAAACATGTTTCCAGTACACTAACAGAAAACTATTAGAACACATTGGTTGCCTGCCAAATTAATACAAAGAGGGCAGATAGATCAGGGAATTAGGCATCCAATTATTTTTTCTTATTCTTTGGAGCTTTTAGAATAAAGTGACATTAGGAAGTTACCTAGAATTAATCCCGTTTGTCTGTATCTTTAACAAAAAAGCCAGTTCTATATTTTTCATAATGCTAAAAAGATTGCAATGCTTGTATTTGTCACAAAAAAAAAAAAAAAAAAAAAAAAGGAAATCCAATTACAGTTCTCTTTGTTCACATTAAAGGACAATACTTTCTCCATATGACATCTAACCTTTACAGAAAAGACTTTGTGATGAGATTTCGCAACCTTTTCCTCTGCCTTCTTAAATGAGAATTTTTCTACCTTTTTTTTTTTTTTCTTCCATTCAGGACAAGCTTGCTGACTTGTCCTGAATGCAAGACGAATGGGATTTCTGTCATCTTGTTTGCATCCTGCAATCACTTCTCTGTGGGGTCAGCAGACATTTCTGTCTTCCTGTGCTGTTTTTTTTTTGTAGAGTTTTTAGTTAATGTATTTGTAACACAATTAATACCTTTATTAAAACATGCTTTGAAAATAAGTAAAATTAAGCAATTAAATACTTTTCAGAAAAGCATATCATGTAGCTATAAATTGCCCAGACTCTTTAAAGGAATGTAAAAGAAAATGCATGCAGTATAGCTCAATTTTTACATCTTCTACTTCTGAAGGAAACTTAAAACTTTCTGATTTTGCACTGAAAAGACAAACGCAGTCAAACTCTGTAAAATTTTTCTCATATTTAAAAACGTGGGAAAAAAAAGCTCATAGAAAACCTATTACTTGTTAGATTGCTGTCGCCAAATGTTTCTGCTTATTCAAAGCACAGTTCAACACACAAGATCACTAAGATGAAACAGCTGCTAAGCTTTCGTCAGTGCTACATATTCCAATGTGAGTTTATAGGAGAATGGTGAAAATTAAAATCAAACGTTAAGTAGCAAATAATCAATATACATCAACATATCTATTGCGAGTTGTGAGAAAAAGACAACCCACAGGGCTCAACGGGATCTGTTAAAAAATAGGGTTTTTTTTAAATATAATTTTTTTTTTCAATTTTCCTGAAAGTCTTCTCTTTTTTAACCAGCCTGAAATACTCTTTTTTTCCTGAGTATTTATTAAATGACTAAGCAAAATAATTTTATTACACATGTACTGAAGAACCATTATGCTACCTACACAGATGAGAACACAACAACTGGCATGTAATAATGGGAAAAAATGGGAAAACATGCATTTTTCTGCTTTAAAGATAATTAGAAAACTTACCTGCAGAAATTTCTTTCTCCCCTTCAAGAATGTCTTTTAATGTGAAAGGTGTCGAAGCAAATTTAGATTTTTTCGAAAGCAAACATTTTCTTTTCTTAATCACAAGGCTGAGAGGTTGGTACTTATCAGCTTCACTGAGGCTGGGCACTGGCACTAGTCTTCCTCCGTCACCAACCTGTTTAACAAAGTTTTTGGTTGCAGCAGCAAACATATTACAACATTAGAAATGATAATAACAAAAAGCTCTGCCTCAAGTGTAACTTCCCAATCCAAAGCCCATGTTTTTCTTTGCAGTATTCTTCCAAACAAATTGCTTGGAAAAAAAAAAAAAAAAAAAAAAAAG